GGCTTGGTATCTTCATGACAGCTGAGATGCCACTAATCTTTCTCTTTGCCGGACGATCAAATCCCTTCGTTTACCTCACCGGATGGAGCTACAGGACATTTAGCATCTTCCATCGCTGGATAGCACTGATCTTGACTATTGAGGGTATTATCCACGGTTGTGTATTCTCAGCCTACTATGTCAACGGTTAGTACACCTTTACAACCTACAAAAGGGAATGATACTGACAATCATATAGAGCAAGGATGGTCTGGCTACCACGAAGAGTTATCAACTGATCCTACTTTCAAATACGGACTTCTTGTAAGCTAATATGTTGTATACAACGCTTGCCTGCAGGGTGCTTACAGAGAATTTAGATGGTCATAGCCTTGTCACTTTCCGCAGCTTTTGCCTTTGGCCCCATCCGCAGTCGAATCTACGAATTCTTCAAAGCTTTTCACATTTCCCTGACAGCCATCTTCCTTGCCGCGTTGTTCTAGTAAGCATAACAAGCCCATATTGCATCTGCACTTGCTAACAAAACCCTAGTCACATCAAGGACCAGTTCAAAGGCCTATACAAGGTCTGGGTGTGGGCTTGCGTTGGTATATGGGCCGGTGACCATGTCCTCCGCCTACTGCGAGTCCTTGCCATGAACTACAAGTCATTCCTCGGACAAGGCTCGCTGGCATTAGCCAGTTACAGCGAAGAGACTGGCATGATTCGGCTCCAGGTCAAGCCTTCTATCAATGGCAAGCGCCAAACTCCAGGAACTTACTTCTTCGTATACTTTCCGGGCATGCGCTTTTGGGAGACACACCCATTCACTCTGGCTGGAAGGTCCAAGCAAATCGACAATGTTCCGATATACAACAGCAGCAGCGATCAGCCGAGCGACAAGGAGAACGGCACACAAACTCCTCGCGTGACCGAAGTGACCTCCGAACAAGGCGATACTCACATGACATTTATGATCCGTCCTCGAGACGGAATGACTCGAAGACTACGAGACAAGCTATTGAGCAAAGGTGAATCCGGCCCGCTTCGTGTCAGGGTCTTTCTTGAGGGTCCCTACGGTACACCTGCTCGCCTCGACCATTTCGACGATATTCTCTTTATTGCTGGAGGCAGTGGAATTACTACTGTGTTGCCATACCTCCGCATGTTCTTCGAAGACCAAGCATCACAGACACCTCCGAATGTGCACCTGGCTTGGGCTGTGCGAGACGAAGGTTTCGTTCGAGACGTGCTTGCCAATGACCTCCGAGCTACTGAGGGATCTGCCTTTGCGGCATCGAAGCTCAACATGGAGTTCTACATTACTTCGGGGGCTTCAGGCACTTCTACTCCCACGCCAGTGTCAAAGGAAGCAGGCAATGCCACTTCTGACTCTAGATTCAAAAGAGTGCGTCCTGACATTCACTCAATGGTTGATGATTTTGTCAACAAATCTCAGGGCCGAGCAGCCGTGTTTGTCTGCGGCCCGGCTGAGATTGCTGATACAACACGGCAGGCCGTGATTAGGCAAACAAGGAAGGTTCATGTTGACGTTGAGCTCTTTGAGGAGATGTTTGTTTGGTAAATGGGGACTGCGGTCAATGGGCAATGGGCAAATTGGGTTTAATGAGGCGTATTGAGAAATCTGGCGGTATACACATGGTGGGCCATACCATACATTGATTGGAGAGAATAGAAACGGCAATGAATTCTAATACTTCTCTGCGCATATACTTTTCAGGTGTACTTGCTTTGTAATTCTTAGAAAAGTGAACGCGAGTACATGTAAATACCAGAGAGTGGAGTATTACTCGCCAAGAATCTTGGCAGCCCTGTTACTCCGTCCTAGTATCCTATGATGGCATCTATTTCATGATGACTTGCAAAAAAATAAGCTATAATAGCGGCACCACCACATGTAGACCATAGAGGTCTGCGTGATTAGCCTAATAGTGGACGTCTCCGCACGGCTAAGCTTGCTTCTCCTCATGAAGCCGATTTCCCATAACAGCCATTATTAGAAGGCTCGGAGAGAAGGAAATGAAGATGCATTCGGTGTAAATGGAAGCTTGAGACTCATCTTCATCAAGACAAATTATCTCTTACTCCAATAGCATCGCGCATAATCACATCTCTTCGTCATGCCATTGGTTCGCAATCCCATTCTGCCGGGGTTCAATGCCGACCCGTCTATATTGAGGGTTGGCTCGGATTATTACATCGCTACATCGACGTTTGAGTGGTATCCTGGGGTGCAGATACACCACTCCAAAGACTTGGCCAACTGGGAGCTCGTCGTGCGTCCTTTGACCCGCCGCAGCCAGATCGATCTGCGCGGCGAGCCAGATAGCTGTGGAGTTTGGGCTCCCTGCCTGACGCATGATGGCGACAAGTTTTGGCTCGTCTATACAGACGTGAAGCGCAAAGACGGTTCGTTCAAGGACACGCACAATTATATCGTGACGGCACCTGCGATTGAAGGCCCGTGGTCTGATCCCATCTACGCCAATTCATCCGGGTTTGACCCTTCTCTATTTCACGATGAAGACGGTCGTAAATGGTTTGTTAATATGACCTGGGACCACCGGGCGAGACCAAATGCCTTCTCAGGGATTGCGCTGCAGGAATTCGACCCGATCAAGCGCAAACTAGTCGGCCCTCGAAAGATTATCTTCCATGGCACTGATTTGGGGCTGGTGGAAGGGCCGCATTTATATAAACGAAGCGGATGGTATTATCTTTTGACAGCTGAAGGAGGCACTGGATACGATCATGCAGCAACACTTGCGCGATCGAAATCCCTTTGGGGCCCTTATGAGCTTCACCCGCAAAAGCACATCATATCTTCCAAAGACACTCCCTTCGCGGCACTGCAAAGAGCTGGTCATGCTGACATTGTAGAAACCCCCGATGGGAAAACGTATCTGGTGCACCTTGCCGGTCGGCCAATTGGACAGAACCGAAGATGCGTGTTGGGGCGAGAGACGGCTATACAAGAAGCATACTGGGGCGATGATGACTGGTTGTATGTTAAGAATGGCCCAGTTCCGTCATTGGAGGTTGATGTGCCAGGAATTCGTAATGAAGACGCCTACTGGGGAGAAAAACGCTACACGTTCAAAGATGGTCTTGACAAAGATTTCCAATGGCTGCGGACGCCAGAACCAGAACGCATTTTTGGTATTCAAGACGGCAAACTTGTACTCACAGGAAGAGAATCCATCGGCTCTTGGTTCGAACAATCACTCGTGGCTCGGAGACAGACGCATTTCTCTTTCGATGCTGAAACTGTCATCGACTTCTTACCAGAGGATGAACGTCAATTCGCCGGCTTGACGCTTTACTACTGCCGATACAATTTCTTCTACCTCGTTGTGACATCACACTCGGATGGCCAGCGCGAACTCCAGATTATGAGGTCAGAAGCATCTTGGCCAGAAGGAAAGCTCACGGATCGTGGTTCAAGCGCCCATGTCGCAAGCCTTCCCGCAGAAGGCAAGGTCAAGCTTGCGGCCAGTATTCGCGGAAGCCAATTACAGTTCTCTTATGCCATTGTTGCAGACAACGGCGAGCAAGAAGAACTCAAAAGATTTGGACCTGTCTTGGATGCCTCGATTGTTTCAGATGAGTGCGGCGGGCATCAGGCTCATGGCAGCTTCACGGGATCTTTTGTTGGGATGGCGTGTTCGGACTTGAATGGGACGGAGAAGAAAGCGACTTTTGACTATTTCTTGTACCGCCCTGCGCATGATGAAACAGATCGGTATACCATATAGAACAGAGTCTTATGGGCTTTTGTAGAAGTGGGCAGCTTCAAACTTATCTGCTATATAACTGGTTCGATAGTAGTGCATTGAGTGAATATGCATGTACATGTATTTTTCGACTCTTCTCCTATTGGCCTGGTCTGATTTGAAAAGAGTGAGTAAGTTCCTCCAACTTACGTGTCACTTCCCTGGTGCTAAGGGAGTGGAAATCGAAGTGTTGGCTGAGGTGAAATGGACTTGTATGCAGGGCTAGAGATCAGCACCTAGACATCTAATAATATCTTGCGCCAAGTGCCGAAAGCCTGGTTGAATCACTCGTTATAAGGGCTAAGTACTTTCATGTGAGTGTGAGTGCCAAGGGTATACCAGTAGCAGTACTGGTAGTACCAAGCAACCAGTTGTCTCAGTTGGTTGATTCATTTTAAATTGTCTCAGTGCGAGGCGCTAGTCGGGCCGTGGACTGTTTGGCTGTTACGCAGCTTTGTCTACTTGCGTCATGTCATCGTCTCTCTACATTCTCATACTCGGAGAAAGTAGAATAGCTTTATTCCCATCTTTTAAGCCTACTGGGTAAAGTTAGATCCTAATGACACGATGCCAGACTTGATTAGTGAGCTACAGCGTTCAGCAGACTGCCATCATCATGAGCTGCCTAATGGGGCATTGCTTCTTGAGTCTTGTGAGACGTTAAAGCGAACTCAATCGAGGCTTTTCTCCACTTCGGAAAGATTGAGTGACGGCAGTGGCGGGACCGTGGCTCAGAACGGTTCCGAAAGCCGCCAGCAACTGTGCCTTGTATCAAACTGAGAGTTCTCAATGCGTAGTTGTTACGGCCCGCTTCCGCCCAAAAAGCACGAATAACGAGTATACATCTGCCGATTGCTTTCCAATTTCATCTTTTCATCTTGCCATCAGCCCGGTTTCATCCGCAAGCGGCCATGTAATCTCCCCGCCCTTGAAGCAATCCATTCCCCAAAATAGAAGCGAGAACCTGATCTTGTTTTACCCACACTTGCAATGCGATCGATTTGTCTACCGCAGACAGCGCATATACGAGGCATGGTCGAGGAGGAGCTGCAGGGAGAATACCATGGAGCATTGTCAAATCAGTGGCAAGTAGGGCCGAGGGTTACGTAGAGAGTCTTGGCGATTCTACACACACACATATATATACCCATATCGAGGGAGGGTCGCGTCCGAGACCTTGTCATTTGGAATGAGAACTTCCCGCCTCGTGATATTCAGACGGTAACAATGTTGGCTCCGCGACTTCTTGTACCTATTTTCTTATTTTCAATAGCGGAAGCCGTCGAAGAGACGGTCGATGTAGGCTATTCTGTTTATAAAGGACAAGCTCTTCCAAATGGCGTAAGCCAGTGGCTCGGAATTCGATACGCAGCACCGCCGTTGGGTCAGTTGCGGTTTGCGCCGCCACAGGATCCTCCTCATACAGAAGGCGTACAGGATGCCACACAGGTTGGTTTCCACACTCATAGTAACCCAACTTGATACAACTCACTCAACGTCAAACTATATAGCACGGAAAATACTGTCTTGGGACCGGCCGCTCTCCCACAGATACGGATACATCAGAGGACTGCTTGTTCTTGGATGTGCAAGCTCCGACTTCAGCCACGGCCGGTTCGAAACTTCCCGTCTTCCTCTACATCCAAGGCGGTGGCTTCAGTCTCAATTCGAATCCCAACACAAATGCATCGGGCCTGATAGTGAACAGCGGCCACGGCATCGTCGTTGTGAGCCTCAACTATCGCGTTGGTCCATACGGGTTCATGACAGACAGCGATAAAATCCTCCCCAACAATGGCCTCCGTGACCAGCGAAAGGTCTTGGAGTGGGTGCAGAGGCATATTGTTCAATTCGGCGGCGACCCAAGCCACGTTACTCTTGGTGGAAGCAGTGCCGGAGCAGCCAGCGTCACCTTTCATCTAGCCGCCAATAACGGTACCGACCATGGCTTCTTTCATGCCGCCATTGCTGAATCTCCTTCCTTTGCTTCGACTCTTACGGTTACTCAGTCTCAATACATGTATACCCAATTTGCAACTCGCGTAGGCTGCGTCGGCAGAGACAACCTCGCCTGTATGCGCAACAAGACGGCGGTGGAGCTTCAGACAAGCAACTTCAATATTCCTTTGCCAGGGGCTTCCAAGCCACCCAACTATATGTGGCTGCCTGTGCTCGACCGAGAATTTGTACAAGATTTCTCATATCGAGTGTTTCAAAAGGGTAATTTCGTTAAAGTGCCCACCATCTATGGCGACGATAACAACGGAGGGACCAAGTTTGCCCCTAAAGATACAGCTACCCTCCAGCAGAGCAATAACTACGTGCTGGATCAATACCCTGATCTCACTTTGAACATGCTTGGGCAAATCAACGAGATGTACCCCAATCCAAACAACAGCTGTCCCGCCATCGGCTGCTATTGGAGGCATGCCAGCAACGTGTATCAAGAGGCCCGTTACATGTGCCCCGGCATGTATGTCAGTTCGGTGGTCACGAAGTATGGTCAAAACGCTTGGGTATATCGATGGAATGTTGAGGATCCTGACCAGATGGCCTCTGGACTGGGTGTTCCCCATACTGTCGAGTTGGCTGCTCTTTGGGGGGCCGATTACTTCCCCGACCCGCCGGCGAGCTACCGCAGTGGGCAGATCAATGCCAATGCCTCGTCCGCTATGCAGCACTACTGGTTGAATTTTATCAAATACTACAACCCCAACGGGCGGCCTGTCGACTCTACCAGCAACTATACCAAGTGGGAGGCGTGGGCAGACAACGCTCAAAGTCGTCTCACGTTTCAAACCGGAGGCCTGACGGAGATGATCCCCGTTGACTCAGGCTTGAAGCGGCGGTGTGAATTCTGGTCTACAAACGGTATCGCATTGACTATGTAAGGGCGCCGGAGATGATAGTACAAGGCGATCTTTCATCGCTATGCATGTTACCGAACAGACATGGCTGCCTGTTTGCTCTCATGCTTTTCTTGATGTCTCTTTGAAGTATATCAAGTATTCTTACTCTCCGTATATAACCGAAAAAACAATACATATACCGATTGCAGCTGTCCAGAAAGGTCTCAGATGTATCACCGCTTGTCTCACTTATACATGTACTGTTCGTATTCGGGTGACCTAGGAGCCGATTTCTGAGTCATATTGTTTTAGTACTAACCGTTTTATCTCAGGAATGCATAACGGTCCTGTCCATTACAAAAATACGGGCTTTTATCAAAGACGATAAGATCAGTTGTAACGACGTTATCTTGTAGGCGCTGAAATACCTGCGGCATGACGACACGTGATGGTTCTCCCCGCACGGTTTGATAAGCTCTCCATTATCCACCTGTATGTAACCTCAGCTTAGACAGCACTGAGCGAGAAGTCATCTCGTCATAATAACTGTATAGAAGCTCTATTTTACAGAAACTACAGGAAATTTACATGAAATGTCTAAGCCATACATGTTATGGGTTGGCGGCAAGGAAGTGGTGGGTACTGGTGAGCTGTATGTCGCTGCTAATCTCCAAGGCCACAACTCTCAAGACGAAGCTAAAGTCGTTTGCGTAGCATAGCTGTTGAAAATCCAGCAAAAACGGCAATATTTGCAGAGTAAGAGGGTCCCTCATCGGTCAAATATGAGATTTCCTCAAACACCTTCATTCGTGTTCTAATCTTTCTGGCTAGATGCCATTCTGCATCACCTCAAGATGTCGATGACACTGTACAGCTTGCTCATAAAGCCTTCAAATCGGGAATTTGGGCCAAAGCTCCTCGACACACGCGAGCTGATGTGTTGGATAAAGCAGCCGACCTTCTCGCTTCGAGGCTTTCTGTGCTAATCCCCCTGGAGGTGGAACAGACGGGGAGGGCCATCAGAGAGATGCAAGCCCAAGTCCCATCTCTGGTTCGCTGGTTTCGATACTTTGCTGCCGTGCTTCGCACTGAAGAGCGTCCCGTCCTACCGACCATGGGCAAGCTGCATAACTGGATAGAGCGGGTTCCGCTCGGCGTCGTTGTTCAGATCACTCCGTTCAACCATCCTTTGCTCATCGCAGTCAAAAAACTTGCCCCTGCTCTGGCGGCTGGGAATAGTGTTGTGCTGAAGCCGAGCGAGCTCACGCCTCTCACGAGTCTGCTACTGGGGCCAATTTTGAAAGAAGCAGGGCTTCCAGACGGCGTTTTCAACGTTCTGCCCGGCCTTGGAGCTACAACAGGACGCGACCTTGTAAGTCACCCGCTTGTACGGAAAGTCGACATTACCGGCGGAACAGTTGCCGGAAGAGCAATCGGTTCAATTGTCGGCAGCAACCTGGCACGCTACAATGCAGAGCTAGGCGGAAAGGCGCCTTTGATCGTGTTCGAAAAAGCGAATCTTGAAGCTGCAGTCAATGGCGTCGCATTCGGGTCATTCATCGCGACTGGCCAGACTTGCGTGGCAGCCACTCGGATCATCATTCACAAGAGTATTCTCGCAACTGTAGAGGAGAAGCTTTCTCAAAAAGCTCAATCCATTGCACGACGTATGGGATCGCCTACAAACACAAACTCCTCCATGGGCCCTCTGATTTCATCTAAGCAGCTTGGAAATGTCGTTGGACTCGTTGACGATGCTGTTGCAAATGGCGCAAAGGTTGTCTGTGGTGGAAAGAGAATGGCTGGTATCTCTGATCTCGATGGCACGAATTTTGCCGAGGGCTACTTTTTCCCACCAACAATCTTGGCTTCCAGTCCAGAATGCGATATTACCAAGACGAGGATCTGGCGCGAGGAGGCATTTGGTCCAGTCATTCTGCTTGTTGGGTTTGAAAGCGAACAAGAAGCGCTGGAACTCGCCAACGACAGCGAGTTTGGCCTGGGAGCGGCCCTGTGGACCGATGATCTGAGCCAAGCTTTCAGGGTATCTGAGCAGATTGAGTCTGGCATTGTTTGGGTGAACACGCACCATCGGAATGACCCGAGCAGTCCATGGGGCGGAGCAACTACCGCAAGTGGCGTGGGAAGTGAAAATGGAGTCAAAGCATATCACGCGTATACGACGACGAAAAGTATCATTATCAATTATGCTGCCGGGGACGAGGCCGCAGCGGACGATTGGTTTAGAGAAGATGGGGCTCAGGTTCGCTACGGTTAAGCTACCATACTTGACTAAAATGGGAAATGTCTTCTACCAAAGCATAATGGCCCAAGCGAGAATACATAACGATAGGGCTGGCAACATAAATAGTATCTAAATTGTAGGCACATATTAGGAATATTGCCTAGTGCTTCCTGTTGCCTATTTGCGGAATTTCAGTGGTTCTGCGGAGTTAGTTGGGAGAAGCGGCCACTCCAGCGGCCGCTTATCTCCATCCATTTAGCGACTGCGGAGGATTCCGATATTGGTGGTAAGCAACGTAAGATACAGTTGGCACCTTGTAATTTCATGCCAAATGTACCAAATGCTATCAACACAGGAGCTCGATGTATTACACGCGTTGAGCGGAGCGGACAATAACTTCAATGTTGTTCGCGGAGGCGCCCAGCAGAGGTCTCCGGTGACAATGCAGTTTGGTAGAGAATATAAGTAGGAGGTGATTCCGACAGTTTATGGAAATAAAATAATAATATCAAGTCAACATTCAATTGATCTCTTTGCGACATTTCAGCCCTACATATAACATCAGTGCAGTGTAATATTCGACATGCCTTCATCCAACTTTTCACCAAGCTCGATTCCCGATCTGGCAGGGCGAGTGTATCTCGTTACCGGAGGCAACGCCGGCTGGTACGTCCACTTCCACTGCCGAACGCGATATTTGCCAGCCACCAATTAATACCTCTCAAAAACTTTAGTGGTTACGAAACCGTTATAGGCCTGGCAGCTCGCGGAGCCAAAGTTTATATGGGTGCGCGCAGCAAAGACAAGGCCAATGCCGCCATTAAAGAAATACAAGAAAAGCATCCGTCTGCCAACATCCATTTTCTCGACCTCGACTTGACCAAGTTCTCCAGCGTCGTCGCTGCCGCCAAAAAGATTCGGGATGAAGAAACTACATTGCATGGACTCGTTAATAATGCCGGCATTATGGCTGTGCCTTACTCTGTAACAGCAGATGGTTATGAGATCCAATTGCAGGTACGTTATTTGGCAGAGCTAAGAAGCTGCCTCTATCATTCAACATTATATAAGAAATCATATAACTAAACGTATTCTTTAGACCAATTACTTATCACATTGGCTCTTAACCTATCACCTCCTCCCTCTTCTTCAATCTAGTGCTCGATCAAACCCTGAAGGAACTGTCCGATTGGTCAATGTGACATCGGATGGGCACGCGGCTTTTCCACCCTCAGACGGAATCCATTTCGAAGACATTGGCTTAGAGAAAGAAGGCGCTATGAAAAGATATGGTCAGAGCAAACTAGCAAACATCTTACACACAACGCAGCTGAACAAGAGATACGGCCCCGCTTCTAGTGAGGCTCAGAATGAGGCAGTTTGGTTTGCTGCCGTGCACCCTGGCCACATCAGCACGTGAGTCTTAAACCCTGACTTCTCATCAGCTTAATGAATTATCAGACTGTTAACAGCAAGTTAGAGATCTGACTACAAAAGCCACTGGGGCTGCGCCGGGGTTCGTGCTTCGTGCTACTGCACCAGTCTTGAAATGTCTCGGAGTTCTGGAGCCACAGGAAAAGGGAGCCTGGTCTTCACTCTTCTCCATTGCCAGTAGCGACTTCAAGAAGGCGAACTCGGGCGCTTATATTGTGCCATATGCGAAAATTGGAACGCCGAGCAAGCATGCACGGGATGAAAGCCTGGCAGAGAAGCTGTGGGAGTGGACTGAGGCAGAGCTTCGTGGCAAGGGCTTGCTGGAATAGTCGCAGGCGAAACATGGCGTAGATAGTCCCATCATAATATTCGACATAGACATCTGTATTTCAAATCTAAGTCGCTCCTTCTTTTATATATATAGCTGTCCATGTCTTGTTACGCACGACTAGGAGACCAAGTGGCTTACACTTACGTACAACTGGACCAAAAGCTAACACCAGAGCTGACTCGGCAAGCAACCGGCATACCCGGCTTCAGCCAATTAGAAGCCAGAGTTTCCGAGCGAACCAATCATCAACCAAGCCAGGAAGTCCGCATTTTTGCTCTGACGAAAAGGGGATCCGAGTCCGGGACGGCCCCACAGTAGATGAAAGTCGGATCTCTCGAGCAGCTTCTTGGTTACTTTCATCTGTCTATCTTCATGAATGCTAGACGTCTGTTCTATCATATAACCTGCATGTACTAATAGCAGCATTGACCAGATATCGCCCAAGATATCTGACTAGAGCACCAAGCCTCAAATGGAAAAGTCGCCCAAGTTCTCCAAAGTCCCTGCAGCGAAGACTGGGAATCGAAAAGTAAAGACTGGGTGTCAGACCTGCAAGTATGCATTTCCATGGACTTTGATGAGATTTGCATTTAGCTGTTGCTAATCCAAAACGGTAGAAAGCGTCGTGTGAAATGTGATGAGAAGAAGCCAGCGTGTCAGAGATGCACCTCTACTGGCCGCGTCTGTGATGGGTATGGGATATGGGGAGGAGGAAATGCGTATGGAAGCTCCAATAAGACTCCATCATTACCTCATTCGTCCCTGACCCATTACAAAAAGATGCCGGCCCCGCTGAGCATTGCATCCATGTCACAGAAGCATAGGATCGCGGGCCAACCCGCGAGCGTCGGCTTTGAGTACTTCCGCAGGTATACTTCTACCAAACTCCCCGGTCTGTTCGAATCTGGGTTCTGGGATTCTCTGGTACTCCAAGCAAGTGACCAAGAACCAGCTGTTCTGCATGCCGTGGCAGCGCTGGGAGCGGCGCACAAGAATGATGAACACATCTCGCTGGTCGAGTATAACAAAGCAATCCAGCATCTGCGACAGAGCCTCAACAGCTCCGACAGGGATACCATCCGCGTATGCCTCATCACTTGTCTACTATTTGTGTGTATTGAGTTGCTGAGGGGAGGCTTCAAGGCCGGATATACGCATCTCAGCACTGGCCTACGCATGCTTCACGAGATCCAGAGGCGCGACGGAATCACAGCTAATAACGAAGTCATTTTGCGGTCTCGCGCACAGTCTGTAGAAGAGACGCTCATCGAAGTGTTTTCACGGCTCAACTTACAAACTGCGCTTTTTGGTCACGTCTCTGCATATCTTCTTTACGTAGGCGACACTGATCAGGCGCCGCGGGTATACGACATACCGCCAATATTCTCATCCTTGACAGAAGCAAAGAAACATATAGATTCTCTCGTCAATGCATCTTATCTGCTAGCACAGCAGGCTACTCAACTGTTTCATGAGCAGCACCTCTTCCCCTTCCCAGAGACTCTGTACCAGAACCAAAATAATCTGCAGACGGCATTGACAAAGTTCCTCGTCACTTTGAACTCAAGCCGCAAAGACCTAACGAATTATCCAAATTGGCGCTCTGCATTCGGCATGCCAATGTTGACCCTTTATCACACAATGGCAAAAATCATGACGGCTACTGCCCTTCGCGGAGTCGACGAAATGATATTCGACAATCATCTGCAGGATTTCGAACTGCTTCTCAAACAAGCGTCTGGCCTGTGCGATCAGATGCTCGACGAGATGGCACAAGCTTTTCACAGAAAAGTCGCCATAATGCCCGGCCACAACACCTTTACCATTGACATGGGCTTCATACCTCCCCTCTACTACACGCTGGCCAAGTGCCGCCAGCCAAATCTGCGGAGGATGGTTCTCGAGTTACTTCAACGGGTTCCGCATCGTGAGGGCGCCTGGGATGGGCCGACGGTGATTCGCATGGGCAAGATTCTCCTCAAACTCGAGGAAGGCAGATTCTATGACGGATTTGACATCATACCGAGCTGCAGCTTATCAGATTCATCAATAGCGGATGTTTTGCCTGTTTTGCCAATCTCTCAGCGGTTCAACAATATCAATGTAGCGCTACCAGATACTGTGGATGGCAAGGCCACGTTGTTCTGCAGGCGGTACGAGGGATATGGACTCTGGGAAAGCAAAGTCGCGGAATTTGACGTGACACTATGAGATGCTGGGCCATGTCTCATGAACGCGTGTCTACCGCCTGGCTCTAGAGAAATTTATTTGATATCCACCGTAACAACGTATTGGCGGCTAGTATTTGAGGGTGTTTCAAGCATCTGTTGGCTGATCTTGACACATCTTATATTGAGGGTACAGCATAGAAAGAATCAATTTGATGATAGGAGCTTATCCACACGTATACACAATATATGTCCAATAGAGCATGACACCTGAATGCATATGCCGAAGATTTCGGTAACTAACCAACCAACATATTGCCGTTCGCTCTCCAGCATCTTCAGCTGCCCCGTTAAATCGTGTCGGTGGGGTCTCAAGTCTAACCTCTGCACCGAATTATATCACCGTGGCGGCGCACCAAGGTGAAGGGTTCGACGCTAAGCGCCACAGCTCTGATATCATAGGTTGACAGGCCATGATGGACTGCGTGTGAGAGCATTTCGTAAGTTTAGCAGGCTTTCTAGAATTGGAAATATGATTGTTCACACGTGGTTCAGAATCTTGCCCTCAGCCACTTGATTGAGTTTACGCTCTCCACGAGAGCCGTCGAGGCGGTTGTCTTTGCAAGTGCAGGAGAAATCTATGGTTTTGCCATGTGCAAGTGGCAGATTGAAATCTGACCAAAGCGAAGCCTCTCCATATAAGCCACTATCCGAGCATAGGAAGAGGTGGGTGCAATCTAAAATACAACGCAAAACGGATTCACGTAGTGCATAATCTGTAAAGCCATGGTCGTAATCTCGGCCACAAGTAGTCAAAGAGCATGCTTATCATTGCCAGTGACACCCTTGCATTTGGGGTCACGAGCAACAACAACCCCCAGGGCATATCCGACGGCGCGTAAAAAGGGAAAGTTAGCCGATGAGCGAAAGCCGCGGGTTATCGAACCATCGGCATTTATGCTGTCGCCTCCTCAACTGCTACTACAGCAGAGATGGCTTGCAAGTTGTGGCGGCACTGTACTGTGTAGTAGGCGAAGGCAAGTGCCATTTCCAGAATCCGGCTTTCTTCTGCCGGGGGTGACACTCTATACGCGTACGTGGGGGATCTTATTGATGGGGTGATTCTGAGACTGAAGTCATCTACATTCTACTCCCAGCCCACGTAAATGAGAGACAGCATAGACACATCAACGGACATCGACCGCTGCTTCTCCAACCCCACTGAAGAAGCTTTAAAATGCGGAGGAGGAGACTTATCGTGAAGCCATCTCCAAGCCCCCCGTTTATGCCCATGCTATCAACCTCGATGCTGAGCTAAAAGCCCCCCACGAACAGCCGCTGAGCTTCTCACCATCCCCAAACCTCTCCACAGTGTCTTGATAGCCATGTAAATCGGCATATTAGTGCTCATGATACCGCTGCCATCGGCAATTAGCGTGCCTCTTTTCGATAGCTGTCTTTATCTCGCCTGCTCTTCTTTATCACAAGAGCGGGCGTGGGGAACATCTTCTCATCATCCACTTCAGTTCCCCCACCTGTGTTTGAAGCAGAAGCAGTCATCTTTCGAAAGCGCGTGTACGACTATTAGGCGAGAAGGTATATTAAGAAGAGTTGGGCTACCATGCAGCATTGCTTGCATCCGAATGCAACCCTGAGATAGCCGCCTTGTCGACACCACGCTTCATTTGTCGCTAGCTTGCCATCCTCCTCTTCTCTGATTTCCTGGAACATCGGTCCAATTGGAAGAGCAATTGGACGCGACATCCGAACACCATCGGTTTTGGGTTTGGCAGTATTTCCTGCGATCTGATTGGAAATCTCAGACTTATTCCAGATCCGAGCAATTTGGCTCCCCACAAGATGGCCATGTTTCAAGATTCCAAAGAAAAGGATGAGAGGGATCTGCAAACCGTGTCGTCGTACCGCCCTGGAGCGACGACCGGTGTTTTGCAGGACTTTGCAGACCCCGACGTCCAGAATGAAGGCGAAACGACTCACAAGGGAGAATTTGGCACCAAGCGTGACCTGGTGAGTTGCTGAATATGTCTTTTTTTCCTTTACATTTAATCTGCAAAGGTGTCGACTAATAGTGCTTGTCACTAGAAACCTCGCCAAGTGTCCATGATAGCAGTTGCTGGTACGATTGGAACTGGTCTGTTCTTAGGATCTGGTGCTGCTCTAGTCAACGGTGGGCCTGTGGGCTTCTTTCTCGGCTACTCCATCGTTGGTTGTCTTGTAGGCATGATGATGTTTTGTCTGGGCGAAATGTATGTCTGAGAGTAGCCATGCTATCATCAATGCTTACTTTGCTAACAATGAGGGTGTAGGACAGTATACTCACCCAATATTGGTGGTTTCATCGAAATGGGCACCAAATACATCTCGCCCGAGGCAGGATTCGCCATGGGCATCAATTACATCTTGCAGACCGGCTTCGCTGTCCCGACAGAGATCACAGCAGCTGCCGTCATGATCAGCTATTGGGATCCCGTCACAAATCACGTAGCAGCGTACATTGCGTCCTTCCTTGTCCTCAGTATAGGCATCAACCTCCTTGGAGTCAAGTACTTTGGCGAAGTGGAATTCGTATTTGCTTGCATCAAAGTTTTGATGCTCGTTGCCCTCATACTGTTTGGCCTCATCGCCGACCTTGGCGGAGTCAATGGTGTATACACCGGTGGTCGCTACTGGAGGGACGAGCCTTTCAATGACACGTTTGCAAACTTGTCCCCAGCCTCATTTGCGGGCTTCCTCGGATTTTGGAAAGTCCTCACTCAAGCAGCCTTTGCGTTTGGCGGCATTGAGGGCATTAGTGTGCTGGCTGGTGAAGCGCATAATCCCAGGAAGACCATGCGAAGGGCTGTCAGAACAGTCTTCTATCGAATTGGTAAGTACAGAATTAAAATGATTTGCGAAATTGTCACTAATGGAATTATAACAGTCCGGTTGTATCTCCTCACCGTCTTGATCATCTCTCTTAATGTCAGCCAGCATTCGGCTGCGCTGCTCGATGCAGTCTCCAAAGGCGGCTCAACTGCAGCATCCTCGCCCTTTGTAGTCATCTGCCAGCAGACTGGCGTTAAAGTCCTCCCAAGCGTGATTAACGCTGTGGTAAGAAGCCAATGATTCTCATGTTTGGGGATGGCACATGCTGATTACGCACTCAGGTCATGACCTCGGCTTTGTCATCTTGCAACGAGAATATCTTTGCTGTAGCGAGAACGCTGTTTGCACTCTCTCGTCAAAGTAAGACGACTTCACATTTCTAGAATTATCATTTGCATGCTAACAACGCACAATCCAGACTATTTGCCCAGATGCTTCCTGAATGTAAGCCGCTTGGGCACACCATTTTGGGGTGTCTTGGTAGCCTTTTGCTTCGGGTTACTAGGCTTTCTCTCAGTATCCAATGGCTCTAACCAAGCTTTTATCTGGCTGTCAAATTTGTCAGGTAAGCTGTCAATGATTCCGCTCTACTCCTATGCTCGCTGACAATATTTGGATATTAGCTCTTAGTAGTTTAATTGCATGGATCAGTATCTGCGCTTGCTTCGTCCGATTCTACCGTGCTCTGAAAATCCAGGGCATCGACAGAGAGAACCTTGACCTCCGAGGGTGGTTCCAGCCATACATGGCATGGATTTGCATTGTTTCCTTTAGTGTTATCCTGTTTTTCAACGGTTTCCAGTCCTTCATCCACAAGTTTACAGTCTCAGATTTCTTTGCTTGCTACATCACGTTGCCGGTGGTTGCCCTATCCTTGCTTGGGTTTCGAATCTACTTGTGGCGGACTGGGAAGAGCTATGGTTTGACAAATCTTGATGAGATCAACCTTGGCAACGGACCAGCAAAGGCTCTGCGTGGCACTCGGTACGATCTGGGGGCGTCATAAAAGATAATTATGTTGGGAAAGTTGGAAATAATGAGATTACATTGTGAGGCTTTTAGGTATTACACGATTTTGATAATTGACGAATTTACTTTGAGAGTCTATAAAGACCTACTTTGCCCGCGATTACATGTTGACAACCAAGTATCGCCATCTCTTGCCCGTATTACCCCTGGCTTGCCCTAATAGGAAGATCCTAGACTGCATGCATGTACTGCAGACACTAAGACTGCGGGGTAAATATTGCAAAATTTCCAGTCAACAATGAGATCTTTGCGAGGGGAATATCATCTATTAATACCTCGAAGAATAAATCGGTCCAAAAGTCGGCGTTATCGTATCTGCTTCGGCATTCTTCGAGGCTTTACAACCATCGATGCTCTTACCAGAAGTGGCAGAATACTACACTTACACGGCATGTGACTTTGGCTCACAGAATTCTTGATCCTATAACCTTCCCCGCCTCTTCATTCAAATGCTCCGCAAGCCGAGTGTTACGACGCTTAACATGAATTGGGCAGTTCGTTATCGCCGGTGGAAACAACGGATAGCTTTGGAGGACAATGAGCTCCACCGTGTTGACCTCACACCACATGCAATATGTAGTGATACGTCACAGATATTCTGCAGTGCACAATATTAGCCGTTCCTGGATTTGGAGGCAGTCCAAGACCAAGGAGCGGCTATAGCTCCAGTTTCCCTTAGTCGAGCGCCGGTATTAGTCTCAAGTTGTGAATACTCCGAATGTCTCAGTAACAACACATAGATCCAGATCTACTACAAGATCTTTATTGCACCCCACCAATCGAAAAACCACCCAAATTCAATACTCTTCTGAAGGAGGGGCAAAACATCCAATTAATGCGCTGTGACGGTATGGCGCCGACTGGGGTTGCAACCATTTAGCCATTCCAGGGGTATGAGCCGGCATTTCGTTAATTGGTAATGCACTCCTTCCCCCTCTTGGTCCAAGACATGCTCATCACAATAACGGTAAATGTCTCACAGCATACAGTACATAGTATGCTAGTACGGAGCTTGCATTCCGGCATAGCCAGCCCTTCGAGTTGTTGGACGGGCGCTCTGCTGGCTTTTGCGATAAGGAGCGAGCGATGTAACATGAAGAATTAAAGACCATTAAGTTTGAGGGGTTGAAGCGGTCGGGAGAGACGATGGATTACATATGAACTCGAGATGGCACCTCTATGATATAGGATGTTCTTCATGCCTCCCTACCCGTCACCATTGTAATAAGGGCTTGTGATAACATGGCACCGAAAACCAAAGCCGTCAGAGCTGTAAGCTTGCTGTGTGGTCTTGGGGCCATTCCTCAAGCTCAAGCCGCCGTTTTTGATCCTTTGACCTACGTCGATCTGCTTGTTGGCAGCAGCAATGGCGGCAATGTCTTCCCAGGAGCTACCCTTCCGTTTGGCATGGCCAAGGCCGTTGCCGATACGAACAGTGGCAGCAATCAAGGCGGCTTCACGTTAGATGGCTCACCTGTTACTGGCTTCAGCGTAATGCACGACTCTGGCACTGGAGGCTCGCCGTCTCTTGGCAACTTCCCACTCTTCCCATACACGTCTTGCCCAGGCGGTGAAATTGACGGATGTTCTTTTCCCAAGAACGATCGTGTCAAGTTTGGCAGCTTCTCCAACGACAGCGTTGTTGCGAAGCCGGGATACTTTGGGATAACACTCAACAGCGGACCCAAAGTTGAGATGACCACATCACAACACGCGGCGTTGTTCAAGTTCACGTTCCCCAATGCGGCTGCCGGTGATAAGCCGCTTATTCTGCAAGATCTGTCAGATCTCTCAAACTCGCGCCAGGATAACGGCACAGTGAGCGTCGACGCAAAGACTGGCCGCATTACCGGCAATGCCGTCTTCGTCCCCAGCTTCGGCAGCGGGACCTACAAGCTATACTTTTGCACAGACTTCTCAGGTGCAGAGATTTCCGACAATGGCATCTTTGCAAACTCGCGTGCAAGTACCAGCGTCAAGGACCTCACCGTCTCTCGCTCCATCAATGGCTACCCGTTGCCAGGCGGCGCCTTTGTCCGCTTTGCCAGCGCTGAGAATCCGATATACGCTCGTACCGGCGTCAGCTTTATCAGCAGTGCCAAAGCATGTTCCAACGCAGAAAGCGAGATTACGCAGTGGGATCTTGACAAGTACGCCAATGAGGCCACCAGTATCTGGCGAGAGAAGCTCTCTCCCATCACCGTCAACACTACGGGTGTTAGTAACGACTTCATCACGTCATTCTACTCAGGAATCTACCGCACACTGGTCAATCCCCAGAATTACACTGGAGAGAACCCTTACTGGGACGACGGTGAACCGTATTACGACTCGTTCTATTGCATCTGGGACCTATTCCGGTCGCAGATGCCTTTCATGACTATTCTAGACCCTGCGAGTCTTACGGAGCAAATTCGCTCCCTGATATCCATTTACGAAAATGTCGGTTGGTTGCCCGACTGCCGTATGAGTCTCTGCTCGGGCTACACTCAGGGCGGCTCCAACGCGGATAATGTCCTTGCGGATGCCTATCTCAAGGGCCTCAAGGACGGTATCGACTGGCAAAAGGGATACGCGGCTGTCGTGAAAGACGCAGAAGTCGAGCCCTATGCATGGAGCGTCGAAGGACGCGGTGGTCTAGACAGCTGGAAGAGCCTCCACTACATTCCCGTCCAAGACTTTGACTACAAGGGCTTCGGAACCATGACACGCTCTATCAGTCGAACTCTTGAGTATAGCTACAACGATTTTTGCATTTCGCAGCTTGCCGGAGGTCTAGGCAAGAAGTCTGACCAAGAGAAATATATCGAATCCAGTGGCAATTGGAGAAATCTGTTCAAAGCTGATCAGACTTCGTTCAGAAATGGGACAGACACGGGTTACAAGGGATTCTTCCAGGCCAAGTTTTTGAACCAGACTTGGTTCAACCAGGATCCTTTGAAGTGCAGCAACTTGGATTCTACGAGCGTATGCTCGCTACAAAATTCTGGTGCCGAGACATTTGAGAGTAGTGTCTGGGAATATGGCTTGTGAGTTACTATTCTTTCTTTTCTGGCGACAGCCTCTATGCTTTTGCGGTTCTCTTTTGACTAACTCACTTTGCCTATAGTTTCGTGCCGCACGATCAGGCTAGTCTTCTTAACCTTTACGGAGGCTCCGACAATTTTGTTAGTCGCCTCTCTTACATGCACGATCAAGAGATTACATAGTAAGTCATATCAATGGAATCCCTTCCAAGACATTCTAACAAGTTTTTTAGTATCGGTAACGAGCCAAGCTTCCTCACTGTGTTCCAATACCATTACGCTGGCCGGCCTGCTTTGTCTGCTCAGCGAAGCCACTTCTACATTCCCAAATACTTTGCTCCTACTCCAGAAGGTCTACCAGGCAACGATGACAGCGGCGCCATGGGCAGCTTCGTCGCATTTTCCATGATGGGTCTGTTCCCCAACCCCGGCCAAGATGTCTACCTTATCACTCCACCTTACTTCGAGAGTGTCAGCATCAAGAGCCCTGTCACAGGAAAGACGGCGACTATTCGCAACGTCAACTTCGACCCTACCTATCAGAATGTGTTCATTCAGAAGGCCACTTTGAACGGCAAGCCTTACACTAAGAATTGGATCGATCACAGCTTCTTCCTCGAAGGAAAGGAGCTTGTCCTCACTCTAGGTAGTAAGGAGAGTGCGTGGGGTACGAGGGTGCAAGACCTCCCGCCGAGTTTGAGCCCGTATAATAGTAGCAGTGTCTCCCACACTTCTGCTCCAGCCAAGAGGTCCTACCAACCCCGATTCGATCGCGGGATGGGATTTCAGTGAGAAAGGTATATATAGCAAACTACAATATATAAATTTGTGCTCGTTTACTCTGTTTGAGGAGTGACTCCGCTCAAGAAAACATACATCAGGTTACTGTCTAATTGGATATAAAACCATTTAATAGGCATTCGCATTGAAGTGAAAGTTAGTATCGAGTGATATATTATGTTAAACACAAATTATGTCATATTCATTAAAGTCGGGTTGTAGTATATGCCTACTCTGTATCCGCAAATCGCATTATTTCCTCATACTCGCCAACCTTTACAATCCTTCCATCCTCGACCCAAGCCACTCTATCCTTTTCTGGCCTCATCCTGCCAGCAACGACGCTCAGCCGGTGAGCCACAATAACAGCTGTATATCCTTCTTGAATAAACTCACTCTCCAGCACGTCGTAAATGGCCGCTTCAGTAGTCGAATCAAGCGACGAAGTGGCCTCATCCAGCAGGAGTATCGGTTTCGGCGCATTATTTCCAATATAGTCTGGCACTGCTAAAGCATGTTTTCGAATGATAGCACGAGCCATAGCAAGTAGCTGTTGCTGCCCCACAGACAGCACAGGCAATGATGAAAATTCTGCATCGAGCACCTCTGCCGGCGTCCCATCTCTGCTGGAAAGCAGTGACCAAATGCCAACTTTCTGCAAGGCCGTCTGCAGTACCTCATCGGCAACAGTGGAATCGGGATCCAAGTTGAAGCGTAACGTAGCTTGAGGTATTAAAAACGCCTCTTGGGAAATGGTTATGAAGCACCGTTTGCGGATAATCGACCTGGGAGTGCGAAGCAAGTCTTGCCCATCCACCTTGATGATTCCGGTGCAATCAATCAAGTGTAGCAAAGCAGCAAGAATAGTGCTTTTTCCACTAGAACTGTCTGTCAGCCAATTGATGATGCGTTATAGGTGCTTCTATCTGCTTACCTGCCAGTTCGACCACAAATGACGAGTTTCTGGCCCTCGTGGATATCGAGATTGACTTTGCGTAAAATTTGATGATCCGAGCTATTCAAATTAGTCTTTCACTCTCTTGAAATGCAACAGGATTCGTCCAAACCCACCTATAACCGGCGTCAAGATCTGCTATATAAGCCTCTCCCTTAGTCGGCCACCCGGCATACGTCACAAGGTCTTCCTCAGGCAAGTCTTCTCGAGGGGTATGCAATTCCACGTTTCTCAGTCGTGCAATCGCACCCAGAGATACCTCCAGAGACGCCCAGAACTCTACCAGTCGTACCAACGTCGTATTAGCAACCATGATGAGATTGAGAGCGGCACCAATATCTCCACCAGTGGTCGTCCCTCTCCATTTCACGGCGAGCGCAATTAAACCAATGGCAATTCCGCTAACAATCAAGTTGAGCACTAAACTCAGCCATCGCTGGACGCACATGAGAGCATAGCGCGGCTGAAGTGCCCAGTCAAGAGCTTCGAAGCTCTTCTTTTCAGCCGCAGAAGACCAGTCGAAAGCCCGTATGGTGACAACGCCTTCTACTGTCTCCAAGAACCATTGGTAGAGCGTCGCCTGGTTCTCAAGTTCCAAGACCCGCAGTTGGCGGGATGTCCTGAGGTATATCCTCTGTACGAAATAGACAGCAACGATGCAAGCAGGGAGAGAAAGGGCCAGTCCTCTCTGGACAGCCATAATCAGGGCCAGTTGGCTTGCCATCTTGAACGATTCTACAATGAGACAAGATGTCAATACTGACCAAGTGTCTAGGATAGAGTTATGAGATTACTTACGAACAAAGATGGACATCAGAGCTGAAGGCAGCTGCCTATCCACATAGGAAATATCTTGGCTGAATCTGCGACCAGGTTAGACTTTGCCAACCGACATCAACGCCAATGATAGAAGGATCACGCATTACCTATTGATTGTGACACCAATATCTGTCGTAGAAAAGAACAGCAGCGGGGCACTTAGAGAGTCAGCAATTGTACTATCGACTTGCCTGATTCACCTTACTCAAAAATGGTTCCAAGAAGAGATTTGTGCAGCACTTCTCCAGATCTCGTTGCTATCAAAAACAATGTGGACCTACACGGCATACGTTGTTAGACCTTTGGTGAGATAATTCGTCCCGGTATGTGCCCTTGAAGACTTACAACATCATTCCATTAGTTGAGACCCATGCAGTAACAGCTAACAAGACATAGCCGATCATGTAATACGTTGAGTCACTTGGAGAGCCTTCTGTCCAGGATTTGACCCAATACTGCGGATAGGTAATGGAGAAGGAATAGATTATTGTAAGTCCAAGCAACAGGGCCACGTTCCTAAATCCAGCAGATTTCAGATAGTAGGCTAGTTATTCGATCAGCTCATCTTCTTCATCGCATGTATGTGGTCAAAGCTCACAGTAAAGGGAGAAGTCGCCAGTTTTCCGATAGAGGTCATCTTCTGCGTCAGGACTCGGCCGTGGTACCAATTTGGCAGCATTTGAAGCCGTCTCTGGCCTTTTGGCTGTCTGTGAAAATGTAAATTTGGACAAGTTGGACAGGGTATTCCTCAGCTCATCCCACGAGCCCCGAGATATAATGCGGCCCTTTTCGAGAACCAATATTTCGTCTGCAACGTGAAAATGTTGCGCTATTGGGGTATTTAGTCCAAAAGCTGTGTGAAGTTGAGGATGTTGGGGCTTACCTGAATTTGTAACCAAAAATACTGTTGTGTTCCTCTTCTTGAACCAGCCGTTTGGCCCAAGCAGATTTTCAACGACTGCATTCTCCGTATTGCCGTCCAATGCACTAAACGGGTCATCTAGTAACACGATATCGTGAAGATTATATACTAAGCGCGCCAATGCCTAATCCATATTTTGTCAATTATCGTTTCCGTTCAGCGCAGACACATGCTGGTATCTTACTAGTCTCTGCCTTTGTCCGCCGGATAGATTGACACCACGACTGCCAACAATGGTGTTGTCGCCATCTGGGAAAGTGCTAAGATCATGGTCAAGGCAGCAAGCATGAACGGCAGCCTCATATCTCTCCTCATCAATAGCCGTAGAAAAACCACATATAACTTGCTTAACTCTGCCTGTGGACAGCCATGCTTGCTGGTCGCAGAAGCCAATCGAGGCAGATGTAATTGTTATCTTGCCCTCGGAGGGGACAATTTCACCTAATATTGCCTTGGCAAGAATCGACTTGCCGCTACCGACGGCACCGGAGCAGGCGGTTGTAGAACCTCGGCGAAGTATCAGCTTGATATCCTGCAAAAGAAACTCGTTTGCTGACGGCGAATCTATCGTTACTCCATCAATATCAACGGCAGCTTCTGTCGCGCCTGTTCTAGGCATATCCGACAGCCGAGAATTGACTAGGCGCGTATCTATTCGAGATGGCTCAAGTAGGTAAGCTTGTATTCTCTCAAAATTGGCAGAAGTGGCAAACGCCTTGGGCACAATCGTCATAATCATGTTTGCAGGCTCTGTTACGAGCGCCAAAATGGCAACAGTTGTGAAAGCGGTGCTAACGTCCATCTGGGAACCCTGGAAGCGAGCCACAAGAGCAAATACCACCAGAGTAAGAGCAGGAGCAAAAATCCCAAGCGCATTGGCTATTTCAGAGTCAGTATGTTACCAAAACGAAGGAACTTGGCCGGATCTTACCGCTTGCATTATATACAGCGTTCATATAGCGAACGTTGTTGGCACTTTTGATCTCATCTTGCCTGAGACGGTCGACATATTTCATCATGGCGTCTGATACGCCCAGTGCCTTGACGCTCTTCATGGACATGAGAATTGAGCTCAAGGCTGATATCCGCCGCTGAGTGGCTGTACTCCAACCCTTTTGTCTAGATCGGATATTCTGCGCCACATAACGGCTGATCTGAGAACAAACTACGGTCAAGACAGTTAGGGCACCATGGCAACGAATACATGAGCAAATTCAGGTCAACTTACAGATGATTATGATGAATGGAAGCGGAGCAAGCCATTTGATTTCTCGGACCAGAAGGCTCACGCCGATTACAAGCTCAAAGAACTTTGCCCAGGCTTCATGGAGCATTTTTCCTGCTTCTGCCGCGCCATCAACATCTGTGCTCATAATCGTTATTACTTTGCCTGTATCGGAGACGTTTGATCCAATGGTCAGTGTTTTGTTGTAGATTAATGTCGTAAGGCATCCACGCATCATAAGCTCAAGCTTATTAAGGCGATGATAATACATTGAGGCAGAAAACTAGAAAAGAGTGATTAATTAATTATTTGCATTTTCAGTGCTAGTTTATACTCACAGTCTGGCCCAAGTAGACGACGACAGCGGCGACTATTAGCCAATATCCTACATTGTCGCTGTCTCCGTTTGTGTATCCCTGGACAAAGCGAACGGCCTGCTCGATTAAAATTGGCTGACTAGATCTTAACATCAGAAGACTCAAACGCGGGAGTATCGCTGATAAGAATGGCACTGAGAGGCACTGCAACAAGACTTTCGGTAGCGTCAAGATTGTCTCGGGTTTTGCTATTGCCCCGGGTCAGAACTGAAATAACAATCTGGATATCCATGCTCCATGAGTCTCCACTGAGAATGTTGGCATACCTCTACGATCCCAAGATTGGAGGATACCACGACGCAGATTCTCAGCTTCCATCTTCTTCTCCAGGGCAGGGAGATGGCTGCCGCGCAGTATGCTTCTATTACCACGGCTCAATAACCCATTTAGCCACCAGAATAGAAGAGAGCTCAACAATCCGGCCGTTTCCTCGGGAGAATGTTGGCGATATTTTGATTTCAAGATGGATGTCTTTTCTTGACTCTCAAGAGTCAGTATCGCGAGCCGAAGCGCGAGCCCGGGGGCTATGCTGCCTTTGGAGGCTTTCTGATCATCAAAGAGGCCATTGTACGTCAACGCGAAAACGTCCCAAGTAGACATTAGCAGCAAGTAGAACACGATTAAGCTTGAAGGGCGGATGGACCGCTTGTGCTCAGCAATCGCCAACCAGACCAAGCCGGCTGATGCAGCCAAAGATGCGCCACACGACTCGATTCGCAGCCATTCCTTGTTTCTGTCTGTCAAATCGTATACCAAATCATTGAGCAGCAACAAGGGAAGAGCTGAGGCTACGAGCTATTAATTGCAATCAGAGTCCGTCGCGATATAAGACTTGGAGGAACGCGTCGCGTAGAGAGAATGCATACGGGTTTAATAACACCGAGCCAATTCGGCTCTACCTTGACCGGCTCATAACGCAGGACCCATAATCGGCGGATGCCAAAAGCAACAAACACAAGTGAAGTTCCCAAAGTAAGCGAATGAAAGAATTGAAGGTTGATGGTAAGCTCCATTCTTTTTACTCCGTCCATCAGCACGCGCTCTCTAATTGAGCATCGCACTGATTGTCTCGTTGAAAATTGCGAGGATAAGCTGTTCAAAGAGATGTTTTGGGTCCGCTTATGTAGGTATACGATAATTCACTTTTACCATAGAGGGCAGGCGCACGTCATTTTCGACATTGCGTGCTGGACAAGCCAAAGGATCAAGTACCTATCAATACGAGCCAGCGTTATCTGTTACTAAATGCTCGTTTATGCACAGCCTAAACCCGGTTAATGCTATCGTTTGTTACTGTCGTCCCGTAGCATACTGGGGTTAATCCTATTGACATCTGCTCGCTTCGTATAGATGTCTATTAATAGAAATAGAATTACACCGAGAAAGAGAGAGAAAAAAATAGAAAAATGAGCAAAGCTCTCTCTATTGACAAGGTCTATACGATATATGTATAAAATTTAAATGCTATTAATACAAGCTTCAACAAGTGAAATGAGACGCTAACCACACAACGCTGAATAGCAGCCTTTAATCGTAAGTCAGTCCAAAGGCCGTCTTTGCTCTGTCAAAGTACGCAAGCCGAGCGTCTGTAACGGTCGTGCCAACACACGACGAAAGGTAGTTTTTGAATCCATCATCAGGATTCGCCTGCAAGGCTGCCTTGACGGACGCATCGCAATGCGTAGAGTAGAACCAGGCACCACTGGCAAAGTTGAATTCGTCGGGCTGAACCAAGGACAGGATGTGGTTCAGATCAGCGTCGCTCAGCCCATCAATGGTGGTGAACTGCGAAACCTGGCTCTTGACGCTGTCGATGCTCTGGGCGTAGAGCAGGTTGAAGTTGGCCATCTGCATGTTGGCGGTGCCTTGGCCAGGACGGCCGGGCGAGACGTTGTGCTTGAATTTGAAGTCGGCGGACTCAAAGGCCATGGTGGCGATGATGGCAGCCATCTCGGCCACGTTGTAGATTTTGTAGTCGGACATGCTCTTGGCAATGAAGGGGGCCGCCTGCTCAGCAGTGCGGCATTCGGTGGTGTCGGCGCAGTTTTCGGCGTTGGGAGCAATTGCCTTGATGATGGGGACAGCGGGAATCTGGGCCGCCGCGATGGTGGCGAGGCTCAGGACGAGCGAGGCTGCGGTTGAGAAATGCATCGTGGATGGGTATCAATATGTCTGTGATGACGGAGAGTTTGTAATGCAGCGATGAGCTGTACGAGTATTTCGTTTGTAGGTGTAGATGGATATAGATGGACGAGAAAGACGGCAACAAAGGACGCCAGGCCCTTATGAACTGTTCAACGTTGGAAACGAGTTGAAAATAGAACAGCCAGATTGAGCAGAACAAAAGCTTGAATAGTAAATGAATGTAACTAGAGCGCGATCCAGCGCAAGAAAAGGAACGACTTTGTTTTTGAGCGTGGGTAATGAACGATGCCCTGCATTCACTCTCGCCACCAGGGACAGACCAAGTCCCTTTTGTACGGCTCCCTCGTTCTGCCACCACGCACAGGATCGTGAATCATGTCATGCCTCTCCAAGGGGTCCCACGAGCTAGAATCCCGCCTCCACGAGATTCCCAGCCTTGATTGGACGGCGCCATACGGAGTGGTGCCCCCAAGCTTCGTTTGTCCCCCTGGCGAACTACCGCAAAGCTCTATTCACACGATCAGCGCTCAAATAGCCTTGAGAAACCGCGGCTAAAGATTGGCTCCCTTTGCGCTGGCGCAGGGCACCGAAAAGGGAGGGCAGGGATACGACGTCGGCCATCCAATCGCTGCGCTTCACAGGCCAAGCACTAGGAAGAGGGGACGTTTCATGAAACAGAAAGAGCTGAGCTGTGAAACCGCTAGGAGGCGACGCCAAGGAGGGAAAAGCGTGCAGAGCCTTGCCTGAAGCACGATCTTTCAGATGAAGCCCAGCATTCTGGCGCGGGGGCCAGCTTCAAGCGTGGAATGGACATTGACACACTTTGAGCACTGCAGTCTTGGCAGTCGTCCTTTGTAAGATTTGCTCAATGCTGTATTGTTCACATGAAAGGCGCGATATTACATACGCGCACGTTGGCCCTACGCGAGAGTAGGCGTCTTGGCCTCCTTGCGCTGTATCACTTCGCCACCCAATATTGTATCTCTTCAAGCAGCATTCCGCCATGGTGTGCGTCGTGTAACCTGTGCGCGCCGTTGGGGAGCGTGCAATAACGGCTGTTGTTAAAAATAGGTAACATTGATCGGAACTACATGCATGTATGTGAGCACGGCTCATCCTCTTCCAGCCATGTCGCAATGAAAGGTTCGTGTCACAAAGGTCCCATGGTAATGGGTTAAAGCGCTGCCGATTTGACAATGAAAATGCTTGCAGTTTTGCGCAGCTGAAGAATGAGTCTCGACAAAGCCGTATTTTCTTTGTCGTTTAAATGATGATCGGCGTGGCTTGAGCGCGTCTTTTGCCGATACAATATTCCACCCACTTCGCGTAAAGGGGTAGTGTGTGATATCAGAACAGCTGAAAGATACACAGAGACGGCCATCTTTGCCTTGGGCATACAATGTTAATCCATAGCCGTCATATTTGAAAATACCCTCATAGTCATACGTGGATATACATCCACAATCGTGACCAGGGCATGCATAACCATGATAATAAGGATGATTCCTTGACACATCCAGGGTAGCCTGCCAGGCCAAGAACGCGACATCGTAAGTGTCAAAAGATGGGCACACGCCTAGCTTGCAGTTACATGGACGAGACAGCTTTGATACGTCATAGTACATGTTCTCGCTAATCTACGGCCTTTACCAAAGCTGACAACTCCCTACGCAGAGAGCCCATACCTGTTGCGCAAAGCTCAGCCAGCCCTTTGACGTTGTTATTATCCGGAGTAGAATAGGCCATATTCAAATCATCACCGACAACGATCCTTACCATCTTAGGCGATCTCACCGTCTGAACTCGGCATCGCAAGGCGAATGGGCGGATGGTTTAGTGGTATAATTTTCCCTTAGCATAGCGCAACTTCCAAGTTGCCGCACCCGCCTGGGAAAGGTCCGGGGTTCGATTCCCCGTTCGTCCATACGTGTGATGCGGGCCACAGGCTCGCAATCTCTCTTTTTAGTATTTATTCTCTTGCTTTTTTTAGACCTCGGCCGACTTCTACTTCGACAACCTTGTTGATGTTGTCCATCACATCATCTATAAACAAACACTCACCATTGAATCATTCACCACTCCTATAGTCTCATGATTGTTTTTTTTTGAGTTTACATGAAATATGCCGCCACCATAATATTGAGCTGAATCGTCAAATCTATACAAAATTGTCATAAGAGAAGGGTGAGTCCGTTTTCGAGCCCCTACCAAGCCCCCAATACCCATCCATCATGATATACAAATACTGCTGTTGTACACAATCCACCACCTTTTTTCTCATAATAAATACATATAACCATCACTCCCATTCCACCCATGGCATGTGGTCCTTGACCATCATCACAAGAGCCCAAACCCTCCGGCCGCGAAATCATACATAGCACACATACCTCTTCACCTCCCCCTCTTCTGATCCAGCATATCCTGAATATCGCCCTTGCCCTTGCCACCCTTCGCCCCAGCACCCCCCTCGGGCGCAAAGTTGGAAGAAACCTCCATCTCCACGGCGCCCTGCTTGCGCAGCTCCTCCAGCCGCCTCTTCTTCTGCAGGTCCGCAACGCGCCACTGCTTAAAGTACTTGACCCAGGCGGCCGAGCAGTCGCGCTCAAACTCGGCAGACTGCTTGGGGCACGCCTTGGCAGCCTTGGAGGCGTCCTTGTTCGCATCGAGGATGTTGTTCGCGTCTAGGCACAGGAAGTAGGCGTCCCGGGCGGCCCAGCAGAGGGCGCGCTCCTCGCGGGTCGGGATGGCGGTGCCGGTGCGGATGGCATCCTGGCGGGTATCTCCGGAGAATGGCCACCAGCCCATTTTGTGTATGTGCGTGTGTAGATGTAGGTTATGTGTGTAGTAGTTGTTGTGCAGGTAATTGGTTGATGTTCTTTGGCGAAAGAACAAAGAACCTCCAGTGAAAGTCTTTATACTGAGACAATTGCTTCTGGCACGTTTCTTGCTTTGTAATGAGGGGTAGTATTGCCCTCGAAACCTGGCGATATGACCAAGACAAAGACCTCAATAAGCCAATTGAGTACTGCAAAAGAAGAATGATTTGCCCGCCGTCTCGAATTGAGATTCTCTCAGCCCCGTAGATGTAGTGACTGCAGACTAAGCGTCGTCCCAAGCTGCCATGAGCTACCAAAGCCGCAAACTAGTGAGCCGCCATCCGGTAAATGACGATGAGAAAAGCCCGGCAGAATCCTGCGGGCGGTCAGGCGCAAACGCCCCCTTCCAGTCTAGCGCCGAGCTGCTCCAACGCCTTGAATCTCCTTTGGACGCTGGTCACCTGGCTGGCGTATCAATGTATGTGTTCATGCCCCCCAAGTCATTTCTCGTGCCGTCACCAGCATCATCTTTTCCTTTTTGCGCCAGGCAGCGCTACTCGCCGAGCATTCGCCTTTGCCGCCCGTTTCCGAACTCGGCATCTTCTTCGACTGTTGTTGACACGAATCCTCTCAGCATGGCTTAAGACCGCGCGCGATTCGAACCAATGTACAACAACACCCCATCGCCTCATCTGCCATCAAGCATCTCCAACTAGTCCACGCGAAGAAACATTTTGCTCGACCATCGATACTCCAAGACAAACACACATATCCTCTCTGCTTCAGAGCAATCAAAGAATCAGCAAATAATAGAAAGAAAGCAGAAGCACCATGGCTCGCCGACGCAGGCCCCCTCGCGCCGGCGCCCTCACAGAGCTCCAGCCTCTCAAAATCGCCGCCCAGATAGCCAGCCTCCAAGCCCTCTACTACTTCGCCGCCCTCGTCCTCATGCTCTTCACGGCCCTCGTCGCCGGCATGTCTTTCGACCTCAACCTCATCCTCGGGTGGGATCGCGTCCGCGGCGATACAACGCAAGGATGGCTCCTGGCCTTTGTGTGGATTCTCAACGGAGGCTTTTGCATGTGCGTTTTAACATCCTTCTCAAACGTCAATGCACGCAAAAGACTATGGAGATAAAAGCTAAATATCTTGTATTGTAACAGGTCCCTCGCCATGGTCGTCCTCGTCGCGCGCAGCAAACTCGTCCCCGACTTTGCCCTCACAATCCACTTCCTCCACCTCCTCTTCACATGCCTCTACACGCGCTCCCTCCCGCGCCACTCCATGTGGTGGTTCACCATGCTCGCCTCCTCCGCCACCGCCGTCGGCCTGGGCATGTGGGGATGCCGCTACCGCGAGCTGCAGCCCGTCTTCTTCCTCGGCGGCAGGATCCTCGGGTCCGGCACGTCCGGCCCTACGAATAATACTGCTAGAAGCATGGGCGATGGTGCGCTGCACCCCGACGTGGAAGACGGCATGGGCGGATCGTCGAGTACGGCGGGAGAATACGAAATGGGCCAGATGAAGCCTTCGACATAGAGAGAGCAATTTCAACACTCAACATTGGGAAACAATACTAGACGGAATATTCTTGGCCAAAGATGGGGCATTAAACTTGGAATGTATACTATTTAATCCGATAAAAAGTAGCGTGGCATTATTCGGCGTTTATTTTGGGAAGATATCAGGAGAGCCACATTAGACGGTCGCATCCTCTGGGAAAGGGGCAATAGCACCATATTCACCTCGAAATAGCGAGAAGATGAAGAGCAAATCAAAGATGTACATAATTTTATTCATGTCCGACCTACGAACAAATCAGAATTCTAAAAGAGATTTCATGCTGTTCAACTACAAAGCGCATTGCGTCGCTACTATAACTCGGACGCACTGCAGTAACAACGTCGTTCTTGTATAAAATAAAAGGCTAAAGAAAAAAAGTTTTTGTATCGCGATATACCCAAGCTCATGTAAAACAAAGAAAATGAAGAAAATAAAAATAAAGCAACGCCTCCCATATATACTACACAACGGGCTCCATTTCTTCTTTTCCCCCGTCTCATACTCATCTAGTATAGTCATTTCGTCCCTTCTGGTATCATCATTGGCTAAACTCCTTCAACCCCCCCCCCCCCCCCCCCCCCCCCCTTCTCTCAAGTTCATTAGTGCGTACATATTCCGCAAATGAAGCAATCGTATATAGATATTCGCAATCAACCCATCTTCCCTCGCAAAGCATCCACCTCTCTTTGTAGCGATTCAAGATCAGCAAGAATGTCTACGCTTTGCCCGCTTTGCCCCAAGTACTGTTCATTGATGTCGCTGAAATCGTCCGCAGATGTTCTTGGCTTCCTCGCCGAGTCTAGACTTGTTCGTCCAGACCGTCCACCTGTGCTGCTTTGGCTCCTCGAGGGGGGCGGAGGAGGAGCCACTGTGTCTCGCGGTTTGATATCGGTCATGGCTCGTCGTTGAGAGGACTCTAGGCCGTATAAACTTTGAGGCCGGCGAGTAGATGGATTGCGCGTGGGTGGTGGAGGAGGCGCCATGGGCCTTGCTGAATCGAGGGAGGCTCTTGGCGGATCAAGTTCGGGAGGATGGATGTACGTAGAGGATTGCGGCGTGCTTGGATGGCTCGGGTGCTTCGAGCTCGATATTGTTCTCCGGGGCGGTGGAGGTGCTGGCGCATTGGTACTTTGGCGGACACTGCCAGACCTAGACATAATCGAGTCCATTGACGTGCGTGGAGGCGGTTCATTCTCTTGAGAGTCCGAGGCATTTGTCTTGACCTCAATTCGAGGCTGTCGTCGGGGGGGAGGGGCCGGCACAGCTTTTTTGGCATTGTGAGGAGGGGTTGTAGAAGCATCCATTTGATCAGGGCTGGATGTAAGCCCGGCGGGGTGACTATCAAATTTCACGGGCAGCTCCTCTATTGAAGAGTTGCTGCTTGCCGAGCTCTCTCGAGACAGCACAGGCCGAGACGGCTCCTTGTGATGCGCAACCGGCTCGGCCAGCTTTTCTACGGGGCTGCTGATGGTACTCTCAGAGCTGGTGACATTCTGCTCAGGCCTAATCACCTTTCCGTGTCTGGAGCTTGGAGGCGGTGGAGGAGCCTTCTTCTCCCTGTTGGTTCGTGCTGCAGCCGGAGCAGCAGCATCCTGTGCGGGCTTTGAGCGATCGATGCGATCGAGGTCGGAAGAAGAGTCCGTTGGAGACGCCGAGTTGAGCGGACTCGCATCGCCCGTCATGAGCAATCGCTTGAACGAATCCACGTTCAAGGACCGCCTCGCAGACTGGGCCGCCTTGAGCGCCTCGCCCTCCTCGTGCAGATCCTCCTTCAGGTCCTTGGAGTTGCCAGCGTCGTGCGTCTTCTTCTTGCTAAAGGGATTGGCCACGGTCTGCACCGGCCGCTGCATCTGCGTCGTCTCCATCAGCGGCTGCCGTGCCTGCGGAAGAGCCGGCTGAGGCTGAGGGGGTGGGGTAGCGGATGCATCCTCCCAGCTGTTCTCGTCGACCACGGCGTTGCTGAAGGGATCTTGCTCCTGTGCATAGGGCTGTGTTGGTGTGGCAGAGTTGAAGTAGCTGGCCGTCAACTCGGGCGAGTCGGGCGACCGCGGAGGCGGTGACAGCACGCGGACCTTTTTCACCACCTTTGCTTTCTGGGAGGGCGATTGCGCGGCCGCAGGAGGCACGTTTTCGTCGCGGAAGCTCGTCTTGGGAGGCGGGAACAGCTGGACGGAGCTGATGGAGTCGATTGCTGGGTAGCGACTCTCTGCATGCTGCGTGGCAGGCTTGCGGAAGGGATTTGATGACGACGCCATCGTGACGGGCGTGGCTAGTTAGTGGGTGCGTATGGCCGAGCTATTATATGGTGTTGTATTGCTCAAGTAGACGGTAGGTAGTCTCCTCTATTTCCCTTGGGTCATGACAGAAAGAGGCAGCAGTCGTCCGCCATCTTCCAGCGTCAGCAAATAAAATAAAATAAAACGGTGATTGCACTCTGCGCCGTTGTCGACAGGATATATGAAACCTTGTCCAGCTTAACAATCGGGAGGTGTGTGGCCAAGGAAACGACGTGCAAGTGAGGCCCCCGTCCGGAAGAATCGGTTCCTCCAGAAGGGGGACGGACAGCTACAGGAAGGTACGTAGACGGCCGGGCCTCAGTGACATGTGTCTGGCTGAGGGGAGCGCCCACGCCGAGTTAAGCATATACCTGGCCACGCTACCGTCGGTGGCGGCGCATGGCAGGCAGACGCACCGCAGCCGCAGGTATCTGCCCATCGCAGCCCTGTACATGGCCGACGGCCTCGCACGGGCCCGCCAGCGGTATCTCGCCAGGTACCGCCTGTTCCTGATACGGTCGGCCGTGACGGGATGCGCTGACGAGATTCGCTGACGGCGAGGCTACGTCCGGTGACCTTGGCATGAATAAGTACCAATGGCATGTAACCGGGGGGCGCCGGAGAGGGGGACAGGACCGGACGTCTTAGTAAGGACCCAATGACTTACACGCAAAAGAGACACGGAGAAGAAAGGCACAAAGTTAAAACAGCAAAAGAGGGGGGCAAACAGCAGCCGTTGAAGATTGGATTCAGCTTGTACCAAGTACCTACTACCACTGCTGCTATTCAAAGACCGTACCCTGGAGCTTCTTCGCATCCAGTTGGCTTGGGTTGACGTGGCAGCGAGCCGCAGGAACACAGCATGCAGCTACAGGGTCCTGGCACCAGCGATGCTACCTCACCTCACCCACTTGTTTATAGTATCTAGCGCTACGTAGGAGAGCCGGGGCTCCAAGTCGGTGACCATGGTGGACGGGATGGTGTGCTGCACACAAGCACAGCAAATGCACGCAAGTACATGTACCCATTTGACTCGACTACCCTGGACGATGAGAAATGTTGCGCCGGAGCAGGCATCAACGTCATGGTGACCAAGCAGGCGAGGCTGAGTGCCATTCGCGCCATGGGGGTTATTCGCCTAGCGCCAAACTCGTCGTTGAAACATGCCATTTGCTGCCTATGAGCTGATGTCCTCCTTTTTCTTCTTCGCTGAAGCATGTGAATCAGATATTACAAGAATGGATGGAACTGGGACAGCATCTCATAATTCCTTGAGATCAGAATAAGAATGCATGTTCTAATATTGCTCGCAATGCCCATGCCGTAAACAGAGGAGGAGCCTCTGCTGAATTTACTTACACGCATCTCACCATCCATCTCATCCTACCGCAAGGTGAGGGCCTCAGTTCATGTGCCCCATATCGCGCTACGCGTAGTCTGCTTCATCAAATGCTACATCTCAATGATAGATCCAGGGGAAGGAGAAAAAAAAAAAATCGAGCATTTCGCTTAATTACGTATTCCTCAGGAGGCTTGGAATAGGCAACAGACTTCAAACAAAATCCACAAACAAAATCTACACGCCAGCGTTCTTCAGGTTATAGTAATTCCCCAGTACTACAATTCTGCATTCATTTCCGGAATATTACTATAAATTATTTTTGCTGGGATTATATACGCCAGGCAACACTCAAAACAAAGGGTCAAAAAGTTTTGGGTACAGCGCGCGCGCAAACTCCTCAGACACCGCCCCATCGTCCCTCTTTTTCTTTCAAACGTTTTCCTCCCCCCACAACGATGAAAATTGAGATCGCGCCAGCGAGGGAAAAAAAAAAAAAAAAAAAAATTCACAGGGGGAAAAAAAAAGACACGCGAAAATGGTAATGTGAAAAAAAAATAGTAATAGTATAAGTGATCCGCCCCACTGGGAGGCTCATTCCAGGAAAGTCACATATATAGTGCGGTCAATGCCAGGCCCAGCGCGTCTGAGAGAGTGCGCGTATCAAAACAAACATTCATTCCTGCGCACCGCCAAAAACAGCAATCAATCAATCCCGAGCCAACCCAGGCTCTCCTTTGCCCGACCCGTAGTAATAAGTTGCAAGCCCCAAAAACGCCGTGCCACATTCATCAAGGATACAAGAAAGTAAAACAAAAGCCGCTTTTTGCTTCACGCAAAGGATAAAGACTAGATTTATGCCTTTACAGCAGCAGCAGCCGCGGGGGCAGCAGCGGCCTTCTCCTTCTTGGGTGCGGCGGCCTTCTTGGGTGCAGCCTTCTTAGCGGCGGCGGCAGCGGGCTTCTGGGCCTTGGCGACGCGGCCGGACTTTGTCTTGGTCAGAACGGTTTCAGGCTTCTCGGGCTGAAAGGGGGTTTGGGAGTTAGAATAGGGACAAGTATGAATGTGAATCTGTAAACATACCTTGGTGGCAGTCTCCTTGACCTTCTTGGGGGCAGCAGCCTTCTTGGGAGCGGCGGCCTTCTTAGTGGCAGCGCCCTCCTTCTTTTCCTTCTTTTCCTTCTTCTCGCCCTCCTTGGCCTTCTTGGGGGCAGCGGCCTTCTTGGTGGTGGTGGTGGCCTTCTTGGTAGTGGCGTCCTTCTCCTTCTTGGGAGCAACAGCCTTCTTGGCCTCGGGCTTCTTCTTGGCCAGCTTGGTGCCTCCAGAGGGGCCCTTGGGCTGGGCGAAGAAGCCCTTCTCAACACCGGCCTTGAGGGCCTTGTTGAAGAGAGAATCGAACATGTTGTCCGAAACGTTCAAAGTGTTGTTGGCCTTGACATACTTCTTCAGAGACTGACGGCTGTGGGAGCATGTTAGCTGCGTTGTGTGCTTTGCTGGGGACAGACGGAAGAAGGAGCAGCTGAGATTGCTTACCTAGAACCATTGCGATCCTTGAGCTGTTGAGTGCGAAAAAAGAGCGGGTTAGTTTTCTTCTTCTTTTGTTCACCAATCGTGTGTGTGTGCAGATTCTCATGAACCAATCGACGTGAAATACCACGCGACGACTGAACGAGGTGATGTGTGATGGGATGAAACCAAATCAAGTGAAATGAAAAGGGCGCAAGCGGCTACAAGTCTGCTTGCCTAGTGAAACGAGACGGGGGAGGGAGGGAGAAGATAAGGCGCCGACAACAGCGCTTGTGCAACAGCACATCAATCAGAGGGCTGGCGCCAACGTACATTAGCAATGGCATCCGTAATCATGTCCTGCAGTCCTCGCATTAGCCTCGCACACGCAGAGCGTGGTGAAATCACCACAGAGATGCCGGCATGCGGCCGACGGCACAGCGCAACGAACCTGGTAGCTGGCGTGAGCAGCGCCAGACTTGGCCTTGGGGGCAGCAGCGCCTTCGGACTTCTTGGGAGGCATGGCGACGGATGGTTGGGTTGGATGGTGTGGATGTACGAGAGGAACGTGTTCGACTGTGATTGAGAGACGAGACGCGACTGGAGATTGCGAGCGATGAAGATCGAGAGGAGCAGAGACAGCGGGAAGCGAACAAGTCGTCGGGCGCGTGGGAGGGCGATGGGGCTTGTTTATATACGGGGCGGGGGCAGCGCCGCAATCAGTAGGTCCTGAGCTCTGCGCAGCTTGGGCGGGCAGCTGGGCCCCTGTCGGCGCTGCAGCATGTACCGCCTGGCCGCTAGAGCTCCGGTGGGCCCCCCGCTAGCGGGCCAGTGGCCAGACCCTCGTCGTCACCGTCACCCACACCTACAGCGCTGGCCTTTGTTTGGCCGCGATCCCGGCGGCACACCTGCTGCTGCTTCGAGGCCGCCTTCTAGCGCAAGTACCGGTACAAGCGACGAGTGGGAGGGCCCCTCTTCTCCCCGGCCGGGAAGCGATCCTGCGCAAGCCAAATCTTAGCACTTGGACTCTGGCAAGCAATCTGCTGCTAGACACATCGCGCAGCTTGGCACGCCCATCACCCACCACCACGTTTCTGCCTCTCCCTCTTTCGCTCTGCCGCACTCCATCTACAGCTACGGTGATACCCCGTCGGCGTTCCATTAATGGTGCCAGCACAGCCAACTATTCTCTTTTGCTGTCTTTTGTTCTCCTTTACCAGCACCATGGTGTGAAAGAAAAGAAACTTTCCACCTCTTCTGGTGTGGAGAAGACAGATGCCTTTGATCCCGACTCCAAACTCGCTCTCTGATCAGGCTTGCTCAGCTCAAAGACTTATCTACAAGTGTGCCCGTCATTGTCCGGCCACTGCAAAAAGAGCAAGGACAAAAATAGCCATGCAGCTCAAAGAAGAAACAAAAAGAGACAATGGAGGGGGGGGCAAATATTTCGACAAAAAAAAAGGAAAAAGGAAAAAAGAGAAAAAGAGCTGCCCAAAGCATGGCCCGCATCGCTCGTCCTCCGGTACCTTGCGGTTCGGATGTACCGGTACAAGGTCCCCACGTCTGGCGCGCCCCACAAGTCTTGTTATGCTTCCAAAGTAAAAATCGACGCCAGTTCGGCTGCGAAAATAATCCCTTGCCTCGTGACCAATTTTCTGATTGGCCAGCGCCAACATCACCTCGTCCGCCGTGTACTTCGACCTCTGTGATCTGAGAGCTCGACCGCTCCCCCCGAAAATCCTCGACGTTGCCAGAAATTCCTGTCCCTCTCTTCTCTTTGTTTTTTCTTTCTCTTTTCCCTCTTTTTTGCCTGCGACCCTCCTCTACCTTGGTCAGTGAGGCATTTTTAGCATCTGCCCTTTTTTTGCCATTCATCTGCCGCGCTCTTTGACGTCAGATGCGGCCGTAGTTGTTGTATGTTGTAAGCGCTGCGATCTGGCGGCGGGTCATCGCCAGAAGACGTGGTTTGCGTCTGATGGTCCAAGGTGTTGTCGTTGTCGCATTCTGAATTGCGCGACGGCACCCCCCGTTCGCGACCCCGTGAATGGCTAATTGTGAATGCGTGTTTCTTGGGCTTTTCGCCGATGCCATTTTTATTCAGGCTCTTGCTCGTCTTGGTGTCTCTTTTGCCGTTGATAGTCAAAGTCACTTTTTCGACCGTGTGTCGCGCCGGTCGCTCGCGATGCACCCGTGAAGCTATCCAGAGATTACCGTCGCAACACTTTTTGGCCACGCAGCCTCACAACAGCTATCTGAAACTCGTATTTCTTGCATCTGACATGAACTTGGGTAATTTCTCAATTGATTTCATCCTTTTTTGTTATTCTAGCCCATCTTTGCGGTGAGTTGTTGCCATTTCAAAACTGCCCGCGGCGGGAGTGGCAGATGGTCATGCGACCGAAGGCTCGGTCACCGTCTCACATTTGCCACTCTCGGGGTCACATCTCCAGCTCTTCTTTTGCCATCTTGCTCTTGTTCGCTTCCGCTGGCTCATAGAGGCTCTTCTGTCCTCTTTCAGCCCTCCCGAGTTTCAAATTACGTCCTGCTACACTCTTGCGCCGCGGCTTCGTAGCTCCGGATCGTTGCACCATGTCATGTCATCCTTTCCAGGGTCCAATGACCACCCAGCCGCCTATATGGCCGCATAGCGACGCATAACAACTCCAGCATGCCTATTCAATTACGGTGTCGCACATCCTATTGCATTTAATCAATTTATTCCCTTTTTTTCTCGTTCAAATTGCTGTTTTATACCATGTTCTGCGACAATATCTGGTCTCGGGCGCGACGCCGTCATCACCTCTTGCGATCCCCGCACTTCGACTCTGCCACAACACGTAGCCCAACCTCTTCTGCCACCTGTGCCCAACCAAGACAGACGGCTTCTTCGAATTTCATCCATCTGAATCAATCACTATTGAACTTGCGAGAGTGCTAGGCATTGATGCAGCCTCCTGCATTGACTCGTTGCCGTCTTACACGCTCTTTGCAGGCCCATCGCGCAGATGCACTACTGTCCGCCAATAACACCTCCGATTGCTCCACGGCTTCCGCAGCGGGAGCCCTTAACAATTCATCGTGCAGGAGTAAGCAAGTAATCAATTGCCAGCATTCAGTCGGATAGGGACACCTGTCTCTTCCATATAGGTATGCGACTTGTCGAATAAGGCCTGATGCGGTGCCTGTTGTCGAATGATAGGTCATAGATGCCTAAATCATGTCATGCTTTGATGACCGTGGCGCTCCGGTGACGAAGTAAGGTACACCAATCCGGTCGCCTGAGGTGTCTGCAAAGTTATAACTGATTGTGGTTCAAGTGCTGCTATTCTTTTCAAATTGCGAAAAAAAGGGAAGAAACACAGAGAGGAAAAGAGCCTTGCAAGCTCAAAAGCTTCCTTTGTCTGTGTTTTGCGTATCGTGCAATATGACCCAACCTACAGCGGATTGACCCGACGCCCTGCTGGATACATGTCCATACAAGTGCACTCTCGTCTCAGCTATTGGACAGTCACTTTAGCCGCCAGTCAAAAACATATAATGGCCCAAGAAAAAATGAGTTCTCTCCACGAATTCTTCTATTGTTGCCAGCGACCGCAAACCTCATGCGTCTTCAAGCCTGACCCTTTGCCTTTCGTTATAAAATGAGCCCTCCGCTAGACTGTCCCCATCTTTTCGCTTACACTAATTGGCTGCGAGAGAGACCCCGATACAGCGACTGATGCTCTATATATGCATGTGGGGTAGAAGCCCCTTGTCGCGATAGGCACCGATAAGCCACTGATAGTTCAGAACCGGGCTAAGCCAATCATAGACAAGCGGCAGCGAGGCTCTCAAGCCACGATTGTAGAAAGTCGCGAAAAGGCCACCGAGGCAAGGAACAGCTTCATCCAGCGAGGGCGCTTTCCCAGCATCACGACCTTTTGCGAGCCAGCCTTGTGGACGAGGATCATGGAAGCGTTGCTGAGCCTGTCTAGAAGTCACTGACCTTGTATCATTTTGCCTTGTTGGTTCTGCCTCGCCTGCGCTTGTCCCGCAACAGACCCCTCGTTTTGCCAGCTCTTCTGTAGGCGCATGCTCGTCTGATATCGCCACTTGCACACAACAACAATGGACTACACCCAGTATCACGCGCTGGGCCACGGCGAGCCCCTCGATCCCAACGACCCCAACAAGACGTCGGCCCCGGCTCCCCAGCAGTTCCAGCAGTCGGTTCCTCCATCGCCATACGCACCTCAGGCAGCCTTCGGCGCTCCTCAGTATGGAGCTCACCAGGGCATGCCGCCGCCGCGAACTCCCGGCTACGGGCCACCAATGACTCCCGGCTACGGACCGCCAATGACCCCGGGATATGGGCCGCAAACTCCGGGCTATGGTCCGCCGCAGAGCTTTCCTGGGTCTCCAATGCCGTCGCAGGATGGCGTCCTGGCAGCACAGCTTGGGGGGATGAACTTGGGTGCTGATGCGGGTGCCGCCTCCGCAAGGAAGAAGAAGAAGGATAGACACGCCTACCATACCGTTGAGCCGACTGGCTCGTCGCAGGCCTTCAATGGGCTGCCGCCAGGGACGCCTGCCGAGCAGTTTCTCAATGTCAACAATCCGCAGGGAATTCCGGCTCTGGGAGGACAGTTTGCCAGCCCTCTGGCCAGCCCTCAGATGGTTAATCCAAACCAATTCCCAGTGCCTGTCGGAGCTCCATTCTCCCCCGCAAACCTCGCATCGTCACACGAATTTGCCGAACGCTACCTCACTGCCGACGACGACGACGAACCCATCGGGCCACCTACGGGACCTGTGGGCGCCGGCGGCCAGCTCTCGGCAGACGACATGCCCAGCGTACCGGCTGCAAGAGACTCGATCCAACAGCACTTCTTCAGGAACGTGTATCCGACATTCGAGCGCCACGTCCCCCCTCCTGCAACAGTCTCGTTCGTTGCTTTTGACCAGGGCAACTCCTCCCCCAAATTTACTCGACTCACGCTAAACAATATTCCGACAACGTCCGAGGGCCTACACGCGACCGGTCTGCCTCTTGGTATGCTCATTCAGCCCCTGGCTCCTCTCCAGGCCGACGAAGCAGAAATTCCCGTTCTGGACTATGGAGAAGCCGGCCCACCACGTTGCCGAAGATGTCGAGCCTACATCAACCCCTTCATGATGTTCCGATCTGGCGGCAACAAGTTTGTGTGCAACCTTTGCTCATACCCCAACGACACGCCACCAGAGTATTTCTGCGCCATCACCCCCCAAGGAGTGCGGCTAGACCGAGACCAACGACCGGAGCTTCACCGAGGCACTGTCGAGTTTGTTGTCCCCAAGGAGTACTGGACCAGAGAGCCGGTTGGCCTCCGGTGGCTGTTTGTCATCGATGTCACTCAAGAGTCATATAACAAGGGCTTCGTAGAGACATTCTGTGAAGGTATTCTCTCAGCACTGTACGGAGGAGACGATGAAGAAAAGGATGAGAACAATGAGCCGAAGCGAAGGATACCCGAGGGAGCCAAAGTTGGCTTCATCACATACGACAAGGACATTCATTTTTACAACATCAATGTAAGTGGACAATGCCAAATGACGGAGTGATTTATACCGGCCTGCTGACATTGGGAATTTCCAGCCACAGCTTGACCAGGCCCATATGATGATTATGCCCGATTTGGAGGATCCATTCCTTCCTCTCGGCGAGGGACTCTTTGTTGACCCCTACGAATCAAAAGCCATCATCACCTCTCTGTTAACTCGTCTTCCTGAGATGTTTTCCACCATTAAAAACCCAGAGCCTGCTCTGCTTGCCACGCTCAACTCCGCCGTGGCTGCGCTTGAGGCAACAGGAGGCAAGGTCATTTGCTCTTGCTCTAGTTTGCCAACTTGGGGCCCTGGTAGGCTGTTCATGCGTGATGACGGCAACCACCCTGGCGGCGAGCTGGACAAGAAGCTGTACACGACGGAGCATCCTGCATGGAAGAAGGTCGCCGAGAAGATGGCCTCGTCAGGAATTGGCATTGACTTTTTCCTTGCCGCGCCGTCTGGTGGTTATCTGGACGTTGCCACCATAGGCCATGTTGCCGCAACGACTGGTGGCGAGACTTTCTACTACCCCAATTTCATCTCTCCGCGCGATGGACCCAAGCTATCAATGGAAATCACGCATGCCGTCACGAGAGAAACGGGCTACCAGGGGCTCATGAAGGTCCGCTGTTCGAATGGACTGCAAGTGGAGGGGTACCATGGCAACTTTGTCCAGCATACTTTTGGCGCCGATCTAGAAATTGGCGTCATCGATGCAGACAAGGCGCTTGGTGTATCCTTTAGTTATGACGGTAAGCTGGACCCGAAGCTGGATGCCCATTTCCAGACGGCTCTTCTCTACACTGCCGCTTCTGGCCAGCGGCGCGTACGATGCTCCAACGTCATTGCTAGCGTTAGTGATACGTCCAAGGAGTCAAGTACCAAGGAACAGGCCATTAGACAGTGCATGAAGTTTGCTGATCAAGATGCTGTTATTGGTATCTTGGCCAAGGAGGCTAGCACGAAGCTTGCGACTACCTCGAGCAACCTCAAAGACATCAGAAATTGGCTGACAGAGCGGACAATCGATATCATGGCCAGCTACAGGAAGCACTCTGCAAACCAATACCCACCAGGCCAGCTAGTCATGCCCGAGAAGCTCAAGGAATACTGCATGTACATGTTGGGCCTCCTGAAATGCAGAGCGTTCAAGGGTGGTGTCGAGAACTCTGATCGGAGAGTCCACGATTTGCGCATGGTCAGGAGCATGGGACCTTTGGAGCTTAGCTTGTATATCTACCCCAGGATGATTGCTCTGCATAACCTTCAGCCCGAGGAAGGATTTGCAGACGCAGAAACCGGTCACCTCAAGCTGCCGCCTTCTATTCGGGCATCATTCTCGCGCGTCGAGCCCGGCGGTGTTTATTTGGTAGACAACGGACAGCAGTGTTTGCTGTGGCTCCACGCACAGACATCACCAAACTTGATTACCGACCTCTTTGGTGAAGGCCACGATTCGCTCAAGGGCTTGGACGCCTACACATCATCGTTGCCAGTGCTGGAGACCCATCTCAGCGCTCAAGTCCGCAATATCCTCGAGTTCTTGAAGAGCATGAGGGGATCAAAGGGTTTGACAATACAGCTGGCGCGCCAGGGGATCGACGGAGCAGAATACGAATTTGCACGAACATTGGTTGAAGATCGAAACAATGAAGCGCAAAGTTACGTTGATTGGCTCGTACACGTTCACCGGGGAGTGCAGCTTGAGGTATGTCTATCTAACAAATCCTTGTGCCTATTCCCATCCCTGTCAGAATTTAACAAGCTAACCCTGGTGTTTCTCAACAGTTGAGCGGACAGCGTAAGAAGGATGATGGAGAAGCAACGGCTGTAATGGCTAACTTTGCGGGACTGAGGCCGTCGTACTGGTAAACAGCAGCCATTGCGTCGATTGTGATGCTATAAAAAGGAACCAAAAAAGTCGTGCATTATTTATTATTCGCTATTCATAAAGACGCTCGGAAAGGAAGAAAAGAGGTGTCTAGCACCGCCAGTGTGGGGGAGCGTCTTTGTGAGGCGTACAATTTGGGTAAACTATGGTATAGCAAATGCCAACACAATAGGCCAATGCAAATTGCCCCCCATATCAAGCGTTAAAAGTAGCGGTCTTGATGTTTAATCTTTGTGGGAGACGCATACATCGTTGATGAGCGTGTACTGCGCTGCATTAAAACGTCACAAGTCTTGATTTAAACATATAGCCTTTGTTTTATATAGTACAAATGAACATAAAAACTTTTTCTTGATGTAATTAAATCTGAAGCGGCTTTGTGAGGGTGACGACCAGAGCGAAGTGTAGCTTTAGATTGCTTCCTAACAAGAAAAATCACCAGTCACTATAATCATCAGCTACACTTGAAAGAATGAGTAGTAGTTTGTTGAGGTAACGCAGGCAACATTCGATACAGGCGTCCCTGGCGGGTAGTAATTACATGTCAAGTCCAAGTCAGCTTTGCTTGTCGAGCATCAGAACTTTAGATATGGAATGAGGACATATTTTGGTAAAGGAGCATGCTAAAGTTGAAGTGATTCTTTTCACACTTTTGAGATTTGCATGCTGTGATCTGTTATAAGCTGAAATTAACCAGCTCAATAGCACATACGACCATATCCATTGGAATATACGGGATCCCGTCCGCTCTCCCAGAGTCAAGCCAATGAGAGGCAGATTAGTAGTTGAGTGGGTGACCATCAGCGAACACCGGCTGTTGTATGTTTTTTTCTTTTTCTTTCTTTCTTTCTTTTTTTTTTTTTTGGCAGCTTCTTTTCTTATCAATCATCCATATGAGTATAGTAAAAATAGATTTATGGATGAAGTTATATGGGTGACTGCAATGGCTGCTAAAAACTAGGAAACTTTTGTCAGGAACTCCAGAGCTTGATGATTTGCCCATCTAGTTCCAACGCCATCAGGCGACGAGTGGGTGTGAAGACAAGTGAATCAATATAACCATTGGGGTTGTTGAGCGTTTGTTGGCATTGACCCGTTGCAATGTCCCAGATCTGAATGTTGCGATACGTCGGAAATGCCACCAAGTTTGCACCAAACGAGAAGACGATGGAACCACTATTGCTGCTGCTGCATCGCAGCGTCTGCCTACACTGGCCTGTTGCGACGTCCCAGATCTTGATACACTGATCTTCCGAGGTCGATGCAAGCAGCTTAGAATCGGACGAGAATACGACCGAGCTGATGGCTCCTTCATGGCCAATGAGGGTCCATTGGTGCTGACCGGTTGTAGCGTCCCATACCCTAATCGTCTTATCTCTTGAACCCGATGCTACCAACCTCGAATCAGACGACAAGGCTATCGTGTGGATAGAATCTTGGTGACCCTCAAAGGCGCGCTGAAGTTGGGCTCTGGTGGCGTCCCAGATGCGAACAAGATCATTACCATCTGAGCTTGCCGCCATCAGCCCAAAGTCAGGAGAGAAGACCACCGAACAGAACGGATCGCCGTGGTTCTCAATAGTATGCTGACACTGACCCGTCGTGGCGTCCCAGATCTTGATCTTGTCATGATTGAGTGTCGATATCAATAGCCTTGATGTGGACGACGACAATGCTATTAAATCTTGACCCTTGTTGCCGGCTTGGAATGTCTTTCGGCATTGACCTGTCGTGACATCCCAGATTCGGATCAAATTATCTCCTTGAGAACTGGATGCCACCAGCTCACAGTCAAAGGAGAAGATTGCCGCGTAGACATCACTTGGGTGGTCCAGCAATGTGTGTCGGCATTCTAAATCATGGTTCAGTTCGTCCGGCGCCGGCGGCATGATAGCCTCATGGCCGCTCTCTTTGGCCCATTGCCGGGGTGTCCACCCATTGTTATCGGCTGATTCGACATCCGCCTTACCCGTGCCCAGCAGCAACTTGACGATAGTCCCATGGCCGCTGGCGGCAGCCCAGCTAAGGGCCGTCCGACCAAACTTTCCGTCTTTCAGATCGACATCAATGCCGCTGACAGGGAGCAGAAGCTTCACAATGTCGACGTGTCCCTTGTCCGCAGCCGCAATCAGTGGCGTTCGGCCGTGCTCGTTCACCGCCGCCGTATCAGCGCCTTGTTCGAGAAGTGTCTGGACCATAAAAACATGGCCATCTTCAGCAGCCTGTTGAAGCCGCATCTCACGACTTGCTTGGGTTGAGTTGGAGCTTGGCCCGTCATCTTTGCCGCTCTGGGGGCCGTCGGGGCCGCCTTCCATGTTCCCGGGCCCAGTGTCAACGTGAGAGTCTCTGTCACTGGCCATGAGCTTTTCGGAGCTCTGCTTCTCATCCTCCTCCCTTGACCGAGCGTTCTCATCAGGACCTTGCATAACGACATGAGAATTGGAGCCTTATAAAAAAGAAAATTGGAAGAGGACAAGGTTATGGAGGTCAAGACACACCAGACACGGAAGAGACTTCCTTTTTATTATCAACCCAAAGCGGCCGAAGGATTTTCTTTGCAGTCTGTATGAAGCCAGGAGGGAGGAAATCTAAGTCAATTAGTCTCAAGTCCTGTGTGGGCACTTAGAGAGACTGCTTGCCTTTGATGGCTTGCATCCTATCAACATCACTATCCGGCAGCACCGAAAGCAAAGCCTTTGCGTATGCCGCGGCCGTTGCTGCCGCGTATTCCTGCCAAACCTTGTTCTTGTGAGAATCGGCGTAGTCGCAAATGCCTCGGATGACAATGCATGGAAAGTCATTCATCAAACCCGCTGCCTCCATCTCAATACAAAGAACATTATTCTTGAAATCTTTCTTCAACTTGTTTCGAAGGATAGCGTCTTTGATGACTTGATTGCCCGAAGCAATGAGGCCATAGTGGACCACTAGATCCTCTCTTCTTGGTTGCCTCTTGAGAATCATTCTTGGATCGCATAGCCGGCAATCGTCCACCACATTTTCCTCTATATCCTTCTCCCATGCATCATCATCATCTTCCTCTTCCTTTTCACCGTCATCGTCATCATCGCCATCATGCGTGTTGTGGCCCTTGCCGACGTGGGAATACTTTGACTTGTATAGCACATCCACGAGCTTGTCTGACTTGATATAGCCTGTCGGCACACCCTTTTTATGCTTGAGATCTTCAAGGTAATCGACAATCTTGGCACGAGACCCAGCCGGGTTGGTCTCAAACTTGCTCAAGGCCGTCAGAAGAGCCGTAGGCGGATCGTTCAAGCGGCCAGTCCGCTTAAACTCGCCCCCCTTTTCTGCCTTGCCCATATCCCATTGGATAACGCCTGGATCTCCATTCTTCGGGCAACTGACGACAACATCCCCGAGTCGAACATCTGGGGGAATGCCGCCTCCGATGCCGACCATTAGACCCACCTTGACATTAGGAAAAGTTGTAATCATCCGGGCCGCAACCGTTGCTGAGTTGTTATTGCCAATCCTGCCCATGGGCAGACAAGCAATGACGACATTGTGTTTACCAATCCTGCCAAGGACATATGCATTATGGTCGTTTAGCGGGTTTGGGAGATCCTCATGCGGATCGTCGAGCATGTAAAATGCCGCTGTCTGCTCCTTTGGCAATGCGCAGACCCATCCGATGGTATAATCCCCGTGAGTGAGGCGGATAGAGGTCACCTCGACCATGGCTGCTTTTGTTCTTTCAACACTTTTGTTCGTGGGATGGGAGAGATGTGATAAAGATGAGAGTGGTAGTAGTAAAGAACAGTGCTTCAGTCGAGAGATCCAAGGCTTAATGAATGAAATATCAGCAAGACGGAATGAGCTGGTCTGGCCCTAATTCAAAAACCTCCACATATCGGCCAAGCTTCTAAGCTGAAAATCAATAAGGGAAGGGGTAAAATTGGAAAGAGGGGGAAGCCTGCTGGCTGTTTTGATCCGCAAGAAGGCTCCATGCCTAACGGCTAAGAATGTGTATGAGCCTCTATGAATTTGCGGTCGACCATCTACGTCAAGCGGGCGGAATTAGGCCATGGTGTTGAGCATCTTGTGCATCATCCGATACGGCAGGGTCCCATCGCTTGAGGCCGTCCAACCAAGTCAGCCTGACGAAGAGAGAAGTAGAGGCTCGGGTTTGGGCTATCTGGTCAACGTATGCGCGACCCCACCAATATGTTGACGTGGAGCGGCCTCGATCATGTCGCCCAGCCTGATTTTGAGATTGTCAACCAATCCGGGGGCCGACGTCTCCACTTGTTGGCATATACAAGTCTGGTTGTCCCGCGTCATTATCAAGACCGAGCTGACACCGAACAGAAGGACACATACACGGGAGCGTGGCGGATGACGATTGGAGGCACGGGATTGCTTGCATCGCAGCTGCACTGCTGCCCGTCCATTGCACTTAGATGGAGGCGGGGTGTATATAGCTAAACTCCTACGATAGACCCTACTATAATACTTCACTCACTGATAGAATTAACTACACAAGATATAAGCTAGAACTCCTAGGCTTACCTGGACTTTTACTTGACTAGCCTCATTACGATTGTTTGTCGTTGGACAAACTAACAATCATAATCATAGGTAGTTACCATAATACTTACGTCTATAATCATCATCATCCTTATGAGAAAACGCATGTTTCCTTTCCAATCTTAATCTTCAGCATTTCCAATGCTATATTTCCACATACTATGCAACTGACTGATCCGTAAACAGTCACTGAGCTGCACACTCTTATATCTAAACCTCACTTATTCATAATGTTTTGGATTCCGTGTTGGCCTCTATAATCGTTGTGGCTTTTCCCCTAAATCCCTGGGTTCTTCATAGACTTCTGTCTTCATTCCACTCCGTGACTTTGGTAGCCGGTGGCCATGTCTCATATTCATAGCTATATTGTCTCCCTAGTTGCTTGTCACAATAACCTGAGCCTTCTCCAATACTCTCGGCTCCTCACTGCCAAACCTCTCATACCTGACCAAAGCACCTACAAGCGTGAAGGAAATGAGGCTTTCCGTCTGCGTTGAATCACCAGCCACTTCCCCGAAGCTGTCACACAGATGCAGTTTGTCCTTGAGTGGGCCCCTTGCCATCAACCAGCATTCGTACGGCTCACGAGATTTGCGCATCAGGAGCCGCAGGGCTGATGCCTCCTGGCAGAGGTCTATAATGATGCGACGAAGATTGGTCTGTTCCTCTTGCGTGGCCTCCGCCGCTATGAGGGGCGAAAACACGTCGTACATGTCTTGCGCAACTTGGACGCCAAAGTCCGTGCCTTCTAATCCGGCAGCTTTGATACACTTGAAAGTGGACAGTCTCCAGTCGATCACGGTGTCACGAGAGGCTTTTGGTCCTTGTTAGCGAGAGCTGTGTTGGGAAACAAAAGTGTTGGCCTACCCCCTTGATGGACAATGGTGCGCTCGAACTGGCCCAATACTTTGGCCAGATCTGTGACTAGGTGTGTGTCTGTCCCGTGGACATCGAACACCTCATGGCTTAGGATCTTGCTATGCAAAGTTTGAAAGATGGCCGCTCGTAGAATTAGTAGACGGGTTGGCCGAGAGGAGGCTTCCCACAAGGCGCCAAGATTGTCATTCTGTGGCCAAATGCCTTGGCTGGCGAAAGAGGTGCTTCGCTCTACGTGGTACGTCTTGCTCATGGCAAGCTTATGGATGCTCTGGCCAAGTCGTGTGTACTGGTTTATCACGGCTTGCTCGCTGCTGCCCTGGTCATTGGCATTGTGAAGCATAAAGTCTCGCAAGGTTTGCTCTTTAGTTTGTAGTTGTCGAATCTCAGCCTCGGCGGCCAGCAGTTTGTCTGAGAGGTCAGTAATCACCCCTGCTTGTTGTCTTGCTTGTCCAAGTGCTGTCTGCAATTGTTGAACCTCAATCTCGGAACTTTGCACCTTCATCTCGGAACTTTGCACCTTGGCCAAGAGGTCGTTTATCAAAGATTCCTGCTGCTGCAGCTGAGATTTCAGGTCGCGAGTGCTGGTGACATGGGAGTCGCGCGCGGCTTGGCCCTTGAACAATGGGCATCAAAACATCAGCGTCATGGTACATTCCATTTTCACGGCCTCTTGGGTATCCGAGGCTCACCTCAGATTTCGACGCATGTCCAGCAACCCTGCCTCCGCCACTAGGAGTTTCGGTTGGTTGACGACGACTATTTCGAGCTCTATCCCGAGCTGCCTGGTTGGACCGTGGTTCCGGAACAGGAGGCTTGTCAAGTTCACCTTCCGCCGTTGGCGTTGCCTTGCTATTCCAGCCAAAGAGCGAACTGCCATTAGATCGTGACATTGGATAAAGCCCACGCGGCTGCGAGAAAGATTCTGGAAATTAGAGGCTGGGGACTTGGACAGGCGACGATCAACTCAGCTCCGAGTTCTCAATGCTCTAGTTATTGTTCGCGAGTTCCAGAGGTCACCTTGGTAGGATATGAAACTTAACACGTGTATGCACTTGCTGACAACCATCGTTGGCACTGTAGGCAGCCAAGGTTGGTTGTGGGTGAGTGGAAATGCCCCAGATGCCATTTACGAGCGACCTATCGCCGCGTGGAGGATTGATTTCTGCCCAATCAATCACACCCCCCTCCCTCGTCTCCAGCTCACACCCCGCCTGAAATTATTTGGTCACGAGGAGAACATATTAAACCCTTCAAGTTGACTATAATGAAATGGTTGTACACGAAGGAGCATACACCTAAAGACACGTATCGAAGTTTACTGAATGAAAACAATAAATAGGCTTGTGAGGGTTTATTTTGATACAAATATAAAGTAAATCAGTCCTTATTTGGTTTAAAGGATATTTGAGTGTAATAGATTAGAAGCATTGTAAGGTCTGTATGCCACCTATGCACACGTATCTTGGCCTCTACAATATAAAGGATCTAATAAGACGTATCAAAAGGGTTACAATCTATCTTCATCTGGATTAAGTAAGGATTATATTTGAACTAATTAATAATATTGACCTTGAGATGCAGCAGTTTGTAAAGAATGTCTACATAAAGTTCTATTTCAAATCTCAATTTCTCTCATTTGCTTTCCCCTTCATTTTCCCACCACCAATTTCTTTCCATCTTAGCCTTGCCCACTATCCGACACACGTCACTGGTTCGCGCCCAATCTAAGTCCAAGGGCTACTAGGATTCATCGGGCAGAAGTGTACTGAGCCTCACTCCACACAGCATCTCGAGGGAGCCATTGGCTTTAGTAGATATTGTCCAGTCCAGCCGTTTATTTAATCTGTCATATGAGCCCCCTCCGCATGCAGACCACGCCATCAAAGTCACCCAAACGCAAGGTTACGCATCACAAAATGACATCGGCTTCGTCTCCCGGCAGTGCCAACAGACTTATTATCGCTTTGGATTTTGGAACCACGTATTCGGGTATTGCCTACGCTTTCTCCAACGACAAAGTCGGCTTGCCTGTTTCCATCGATAATTGGCCCGGTAAGTGTTTCGCTATTACAAAGCCTCTAGATCAATGGTCATCGACTTACAACACTGCAGGAGAAGAGGGCAGGCGTCCTGTCAAAATCCCTACGCTGGTCTATTATGACAGTTCGGATTCCAGCAAATTCTCCTGGGGCGCAAAAGCCGGTGCTTCAGCCAGCAGAGTTGCCGCGGTCAAGCTTCTCCTCGATCCCTCACAGCCACGACCAAAATATCTTCCTGATCTCGACGCTGAGGGTGAGATTAGCAAACTACCGAAACCACCCCTCGAAATTGCCGCAGATTTCATCGGAGCGATATACAAGCATGCGATTTCGGAAATGGAAAAAAAGCTATCCGTGGAGTACATTGCGTCCTATCCCAAGGACTATGTTATGACTGGTACGTTGTTGACAAACCCTTGCATTCATTACGCCCTTGCTCTCTAACAATTTATCAGTGCCGGCTGTTTGGTCAGACGCTGCTAAGAATGCCACACTGCAGGTAAGCTCTCTCCCATGCTCACCCTTTTCGCTTCCACGGTACACACGGGTCTCATGAGTTTGACGTTGCCCAGGCAGCCGAGTTGGCAGGTCTCAATCCTGTTCACTTAATCAAGGAGCCAGAGGCGGCAGCTTTGTGGACTACCAAGCAGCTAGACATCGCCCTTCTTCCAGACGACGCATTCGTCGTTTGCGACGCTGGTGGTGGCACAGTTGATCTGATCTCATACCAAGTCGAGGAGACGCTGCCACACATTCGCGTCAAGGAACTTGTACCAGGCACGGGTTGGTATACCTAAGCCCCTACAGCCACATGCCTTTTGGACTGACTTTGAGGGCTTTCACAGGCGGACTGGCCGGATCCCTAGGCCTCAACCAGCGCTTCGATGATGCCGTTAGACGCCTTGTGGGCAAGGAGCAGTGGAGGGTGCTACAGTCAAGTAAAGGTTATAACTATGCGGCTAAATACTTTGATAGAGATGTCAAGAGGAACTTCATGAACAGAGAAGACGATGAGTACTTTGTTTCTTTCCCTATGGCTAAACTCCGAAACGATCCTGATCGTGGCCTGGAGTCGAATTGTTGGGCGATGGCGAGGTAAGCGAATCGCCTCTCTCCCAGCCCAGTTTGTCTTTAACGCGACATTAACAAGGGTGCCCCCTCTTAGGGAAGATACGAAGGTTATATTCGATCCTATAATCCAAGAGGTTCTCTCTTTAATCGAGGGGCAAGTCGAAGGGGCAAAGGCTAAACTAGGGGGTAAAAGCCCAAAGGTTTGACATATTGATGCATCTTGCCCTGCTTACTAGAATTCACCATGCTCACCCATCTGTATTAGTATATATTCCTGGTCGGTGGATTTGGCGCCAGTCTGTATTTGCTACAACGGGTTGTGGAAAAGTATCCCGATATCCAAGTTTTGCAACCACCCGAGGCTTGGGCCGCTATTGCCAAGTAGGTAGGGGACGAGGATATGGATGCAGAGGCTCTATATGAAGGCGTTTTTTTTCTTGCGTCCTCGTCACTAACACAATCATTAATTAGGGGCGCCGCACTCTACAAAATGTCAAACCGAGCGATTGTAACGAGTTCGTCAGCAACCCGTCACTACGGAGTCTCGACTTGGGGCCTCTATGATGAGTCTCGTGACAGAGGTCAACCTACATTACCATTCAAGGATGATACCATCAGAACCGAAATAGTCAGTACCCTTGTATGAACCAATATTTGGCTGATCTAACACCTGCGGACGATTAGATGCAATGGTACATCAATATCGGAGACGATCTCTTAAGACACAGGCAAATCAAATTTCCGTTTTGTCGGAAACTTGACGAGGGCTACACCTCTGATGGCCTTCGATTCACAGACCATCTTTATGAATGTGAAAATGAGTATGTAGCGAAGCATTGTAAAATTTACCTTACCTTTCCATGCCATTGCTAATGACCTAGAGTCTAGCCCAGCCCCTGTGCATCCTTTGAAGGTCGGAACATTCCGTATTAACTGCACCATTACCTCTGATTTCTCCGGGGCTCCACGGGACAAGTTCGTCAAGAAAACAAGTATGTCATGGGCACCTAATACGACGAGATGATCAAGTTCTAACATACGTTGACACAACCATAAGATAAATGCGGACAAGTATAGTAAGTGTGAGAGGATGAGACGCTATGCGAAGACTATAAGGCAGCCACTTACAATACATGCAGCTATGAATTGAGTTATGACCTGGTTTTAACATTAGACGGTGCTCTAATGAAGCTTTCCCTGGAGATGGATGGGCAATCCTATGGGTCAGTGGAGGCCAAGTATCATATATAATAGGCGAGGGGTAGAACGACAGAAGAGCATTAGCAGGCAACGGCTTGCATATATTTAAATAAATTTCTGCATTGTGCCACCCAGTCATTAAAAGATATAATACGGCATAACTATGTATAAGTGCGTATGCAAGCGCAATCACTCTTCAGAACAAAATCTAGAAAGGATGCGGATCGTGGCAAACACTTAGTTTTAAACTCAAGGGTTATAAACCCGACATTTTTATCGGACATGTACTCGGTTACACCCCCTTTCGGGATAAAATTTTGCACTCCGTCTTTTTTTAACCCTTTTTACCTTTTCAGCTCTCTTCTTTTTTTTACGGGGGATGAACGAATGGGGGATGGGGGCCAGAAAATGGAGTTGGTATTAATTATAGTAAGACAAACCGAACTTTTAAGAAAAAAAGGAAGAATGAGAGAAAAGAAACTAGGCCTAACAAGCATGCGCAGAGTAGTAGCGAGAAGGATTTTCAATTTAGGACAGATTAGTCTCTTTATTCTGGTGAGATTGGATCCTATTTCCAAAAAGAGTAACCATGTGGTTGGTAAGCATATTCCAAAAGGAATGTAGTAGGGCCTATATAAATATCTTGCGCGTAGCATATCCAATACCAGATAGGGCATCATTTGCCGTATCCGATTGAATCCTACCTTATTCTTGCTGCCTGTTCTGTTGCTTTTCCGCATCCGATTGAATCCTACCTTGTACTTGCTGCCTGTTCTGTTGCTTTTTCCGTTTCTGCCAAAGTCTTACAGTTCGTCCCGCTTATCTCGCCCACCCGTTCGTTCGCATGAAAGACGCGGGGCGAGAGAGAAGAGCCCATTCCGTCTTATTTTCGGCCGAGTTAAATAGAGAGACTGACCCCCTCTCATCCTCGTATAACCGGGCAAATTGTAGCAGGATAAAGTGACCAGTAACGAGTTGTAAACTTCTTCCATTAAATTAAACAACCAATACGCACTCTGCAACGTGGTGAAAAAAAATGATTACATATATAAAGCAGGATTTTATAACTAATTAGTCATCTTTCGGCTTTACTTTAGAAAGCGGAAATGCGAGGCCCCCTGGTTTTCACATGTACATATCAAATCTAGACGGCCACGCGGTGGGAAGCTTTCGAACATGCAAGCTGATGCTGTACAAGCATGACACGCCAGGGGGCAACGATATCCCCACTGATAGATGGGATCGATGCGTTGCCATCCGCGGCTATGCCATCGTTGTTGGTTCCAAACAAAAAAGACCCAACAGAAGAGAAGAGACAGAGTCATGCGCTACTCCGCGTGTCATGCACTACTCCGCGTGTCATCTTAAAATCACAAAATGCATCTGCCGATCACATAGATTGACTCGTTTCCACAAACCCATCTAAAAAAAGGAAAACAGGGGACCAAACGCTTCACAAGGTTCACTAATTATTAAATCACGTAACCTAATACGGATAATTGTTTCCTATGGGTTTCAACTTACACGTACTAGTTGCGAGGCAACAGGCCAAGGATCACAGAAGCTAAAAGAAAGAAGGATCCAAAAACTGTAAGATCAAAAAAAGGAGAGACAAAAGAGTCAAAGAGAAAAAAGGCCAAACAGTCACCAAAACCGTAAACTTATAGCTCTATTCTGTCAAGGATTCCTGTTTAGGCAACATCCGCGTTGCTGTGGAGGTGGGGTGCGGCAAAAAAAAACAAACCGATCATCAGGATTCCTACTTTGCCCATCCTATTTTTTTTTTGGAAGCCTGGCGCAGTCGTTGCAATACGGGTCATGTTCGTGGCAGGAGGTTGGTCGGATTATTATACATTCGCAGTTTAGCAGTACTACCTGCTGGCCCCCTGCCTTACATGACACAGAAAGCGGTCAGCGAATATTTATGGAAACTGACTGCGTATCGCCTACACATACCTATATTGGACAATCAGCATATCCGAAGCCAACGATCGCCGGCGTCTACGCCGTAATTACATACAGTAGTTATCTTTGACACTTGACCAAGTTCGTTTGCTAACGACGCCCTAGGGACGGGAAGAGCGGGCAGCCGTTTGACGATTAAAGAGGGCTACTGTAGGTATTTCTTGTCGACTGTGGTCTGAGTGACATGTCGCTTTTGCTTGGCCACTGGTTTGGCCTTGCACCTGTAAGTAAGTTTTCGGTAACCTATGTTGGCTTCTCTTTTATAGTGCCTTGTGAGCTAAATAGGAAAGGCTTTGCGAGAAAAAACGCCTACAAATACGCATCTGTGTCGGTAAGATACGACAATAGTCGTCATGACCACCACCAACGCCAGAACAACAGCAGCGGAGAACCGGTGGCAATAGCCAAGACGCACCAACGGAGGGATGGCAAGAACGTCCAAGTACCCCCTGTCATCTGGACATGTTAAACGGTCATATACAAGTAGGGGTGCTTCGTAAAAACATAGCACGTTTCTCGCCAAATACCGTCGTGTTCTCTCACGGAGAGCTCCGGGCACCCGTTCAGTAGTAGTAGGTAGCACCAAGCGTACAGATTAAACGGGTACGGCCAGGAAGCTAATGCAAACTTGGCGTCTGCCTGTCCCCATGCATTGCGCGCTTCTGACAGGCGCAGATGCCGGCCTTCCTAATGGATGAAGGCAATTGGATGCTAGCCAGGCTCCCGTGCGGCCGCAGAACTAAAGCCCCGAGGAACGCTTGTTGCGCCACTTGCACCCTCTGAACATGTCTCTTAGCTCGTCCATGTTTGATACCTGTATCTCAGCATTGTACAGTAATGTAGCATAGGGAGTTGGAAGCCGGCGGGAGCGATTGTGCGAGTTCCGCAGTCCCCGTTGATGAGCGGCAGCTCCGCAATCCCGCTAATGCAGCATTGCTACCCAGGATGGAAGAGACAAATGGAAAAAAGAGAGAGAAAGAGAGCCTTCTTGGCGCTTCCCAGAACCCTCGGGTGTGGGGGCAGCCAAGATTCCAGACGCTATGCACTACAACACTTGATCGTTTTCTGCCTTCCTTCTCACAACGTCAGGCTACGGCTGAAGTGCAGCCAACATGGAGGGGCACCACTCCTCATGACTAGTGGGCGAGGCCGGGGGCATCACACAGCCTGTCTGAGGGTTGGGAGGGCTGCAAACGGATCGGCGATGATGCATGGAGTCCCCGACATGGGGACCGCGTTGTGGGCAGTATCTTCCAGCCCAGATACGTATTCAGGATATGTAAGCGATTCGGCCCCCTCTTCGAGACCATCAGGCTTCAATTTCGATAGAACCAATAACCCTTGCAACTCCAACGACCGGAGAGCAGCTAGCGGTGTTCACTGACTCAACCACAAGTCATCACAATCACACGTCGATATGCCTAGCATCCCGGCAATGCCTACCTGTAGATCGGATTAGCCGCGAATCACAGAAGGCCATGATATTTTAGCGCTGCGCCCATCCAGTTTTCGCCGGTTTCAATTACTGGCATTAGCCATCCGACGATGCAAGGAGTCCAGCAGGACGGGCTCTGGTAATAGCAGCACCGCGGGACTCCGGATCGGCTAGCGAAGGTGTCCTGACAGCTTGGATTCTTGTTCGAGGTGGCGGTCTCACTTTGTTCGGATAGAGTACGGAACACGAGGTAGATACTAGAGCAGAAAAGTCAATGCCAATGACTTGTCTTCGGGGGCGACTTGCCAACATACAAGTGAATATCGAGATGTTCATAATGTCAAGTTACTTTGGTCCGCCTAGACCTTGGGTCGTCGTTTGCATTAGTCAAAAGACGACCACTCAAGGACATAGACTAAACATTAAGAAGAAAAAAGCAAAGGAAGCGTAAAAAGAAAAGGGGAGTGAAAAGATGGCAAATACCCGGCAAGCCACCATAGGTCTAGTAATAGAGTGCTTATAGACACGACTCTAGCCCCCAAAGCTGGCATCCCCAGTCGCCCCTTGTGTCGGTCGTCGTGCCATTCCTGTCTCACCCAGTTCATCCCCAGCCAAGGGGGGGGGCCTGATGTCAGCTGTCTCTCCTCACAAAAGTAGGTATTGACGTTTAGGCATCTTCACTTCAGGGAAAAGAAAATGAGGCTTCACCGCACCTTGGCAGCTCTGAGAGCCAGCTGGGGTGCTTGAACTCAGCCCGCCCGCGACCACTAATCGCATCAGCAGCCAACCAATCGCACACGCAGACATGGCTCCATGGGAAGGCAAAAAGAGACAAAAGTTACCCAAACGGAAAGAACTTAAACCCGATATATGATATCCCTTCGTAGAATAGTCTAACCCGTTCATCCAAACCTAGCCACCCGCACACATACCGAACTGTCCCCCATAGTACCCCAAACCCAGACGCTCAAATCCTCTCCGCTTGAAGCCGGAGAGGATACCAAAAGACCACTAATTTTTCAAAGACATACGAGGCCACCAATAGCGAACAAATACAGCTCTCCTCCCTTTGTAATAGCCCACTTGAAATCAAGTTCCAATAAGAAAAAAGAAGAGAGAGAGAGAAGAGAGAGAGAATGCGAGAAAGAAGATGGGGGAAAGGGGCATTTGCCTAGCGTCAAAACGCCAGTGAAGGCCTTCAAACCATGCTGCCCACTTCCGTCCTCGCCAGACGCTCTCCTCGTACATGGCCATTCCATGGATGCCACCATGGCAACAACCGAAAAAAGCTTCATGAAGTAATCATGTCAAGGCCGTACCGGGGATCTGGCCGGCAAAGAACACGCTCAATCTCCTCAGGGTCAAAAGTATGCCCAAAGATGTCCATATCAGTAGCGCCGAGGCCATGGGGCACCTTTGTCTTGGTAATGCTGCTACCCTTTCGGTCTTTCTTGGCCATTTCCTCGTGGATCAAGCGAGTCGTGTTCTGCGTGGGATCTTCAAAGACAAAGACAACGTAGGAGAACTGCCCACGGAGATCAGGGTCAAATAGGAAAATATCCCGCCAAATTTCCGCAAGTTCCTTGGGTGGGTTGCGATAACCATTGCCGAGGCCGAAATCGCCAATCACAACTCGATCGTAATTGTTGTATAAGCAAATCCGAAGGGCGCCCCGGATCTTTTCCCGTATCATGTCCCGCTCTTCCGAGAAAGAATACTTGGTCCCATTCTCTTTAAGCTTGGGCCAGCGTGTTGGCGGAACGGAGATGACTGGTAGATCGTACCAGCGATCGAGTGGCTCGTAGCGATCGTGAGGCCCACGGCATACAACAACCGAGTCGGAGAGAATAGCTCCAACAGACGGGATAGGATAGTTGGAGACCTCTCCCGTCGCAGGCCAGGGGCTGCCCAGCGTGGCGGAGAGGTTGCTTCGTCGGCACAGCTTCTCTTCATAGCCAGAGCAGCCGGTTTCCCAGTCCCCCCCTGGACGCCGCTCGTTCGCGGCGCAGATGAAAGGGATTCGAATTCTTGGACCTCTAGCTGCTTCACTAGACTCGCTGTCCATATTGGCGTAGTAAATGGCTTTCATGACCGGGTCACCAGATTCTACCCGAAACTGTGGGGGACGAGTGCTTGGCTTCTGGCGTGGAATGTCGAGCTGCGCCGCCGGATGTCGATAAAGAATGGAGTACGGTGGGAACATTTCCGAGTAGTTTGCCTTGACTAGAGGAATAAAGTTTCTCTTGGTATCGGCCGCTACATCGGACGGCCTTACCTTGCTTGATCTAGTTGGAGCCATACTCATAGACTTTGCCAAGGCCAAAGGAAAAGGGTGTAACAAGAGTAAACCAAGGGCGAGGACGAGATGCAAGCCGGGTTGTAAAGAAAGGTGTGTAAATTGAACAACAACTTGGGGACTCCAACTTGGGGGATTCCAATTTGGGGACTCGGTGTTTATTTTGCGTTCTCAGGGATGTAAACCGGTCAGCAGGAGCGGGCGAGGCGCCTTTATATATCACTGTCTCGGCCTGATATGAATTGCTTTTTTTCTCCTGCCCTTGTTTCCTCTCCTTCAGGCCAAGTTGCCAATGACCAATGACCAATGACCAATGAGGCAGGCAGTGATTCAGAGGCGAACATCCATAGAGAGAGTGAAGCGAGATGTAGGGGCTGCAATTAATTGTACGACCCAATACGTCCAGAATCTGAACCATTTGTTTAGGACAAAAACCAACGGCAGGCGAGCAGACGGGGTTAGAAGGAGCAGCTCAGAGGCTAGCGATCTTCAACCTGAAAAGAGTGTCAAGTATCGCTTGAAAGGCCACCGCTGAGGGGGGCCAGATTATGTCTCGCCGGCAAGACAGGAATACATACCGGGACCCACGAGGCACCGGTAGCCAGACTGGCGGGACACGCACGGTGGATGGTATCCTGACGCCCAGGACTGGCTAGAGAGTGGCTTGAGAGTAATATTTGACCCTTGGATTGATTAGAGACGTGCGGGATCTCAGCAATACTGGTCCTAGCCGGACGCCCCCGGTCGAAAGCCAGAGAGACATGATACGGTGTGCCCCACGGGGGCCTCTGAGAGACATTCTTGGACAGCGTTCATGGTTCATGATGAAGCTTCACACCACTGGAGGGAGAGATGGGGATCCCTAGTGGGCGGAGCCGAATCCGCGCGCTCATTGGATTCCATCAGGACTAGGAACGGCACGAATAGGTGCAGGCGAGCATGGCGGCCGGAAGCCATGACGAGGCGCACTCGTCCTGCAACTGTTGCTTTTGGCATAGGCCGGAGTATTGTTGCGGACGCATGCGCATAAGATCTGTGATACCTCATCTCGCCCTGTTGAACCTTGCAAGGGTCTAAACTAGCCTGCGTCGGCGCAGGACATGGGCCAGGGGGTTCGAGGCCCCGGGTTTGGGTGACAGATCTCTCCACCGTCTTGTACTTATACAGTACGCAGCAAACAGCACCGCACAGCACGCTCGTGAGGGTGGCGGCCAAGAGCAGCGGCTGTGTCTTGCCAGGACTTGCTGGTCCTCTCGAGTCTCGACGGCCCAATCCCACGGCACTCGCTAGGCATGGGCGTGATGCTCGACGACGGGCTGAGGGTTGGGCATGGACGGCCAGGCTGGGGCTAAAACATGCAGCGACCAGCTGGTTGGCCGGTCACTCGCCGTATCAAGAGCCAAGCTCGCGGGCCTCTTCTGGATATGATGAGAAGGGCCGCGGTCGCCAGACAAGTGGTGGGTGCGAGTGGAACATGGCGTATCTCCACGGCCATTCAGAGGAGGCGCTCGTCACTTGATGGCCGCCAGCCAACAGCACAAGAGGGGAGAAGGGAGATGAGGCGGGCGAAGGATGCGAGACGCCCTCCCAAGCCTGCTTCTCGGCGATCCAAGGCTTTCCAGGGCGCAAATGCGAAGCGGCGTCGAGGCCCGTGAAGTACAGGCAGGCAAACGTGTCAAGTATAGTGGACGATGTCTTGCCCTTGGCGGTTGATGCGGTTTGGCAGTATACAAGTGTGTACCTGAGGCAGAACAGAGGCAGTGATCCGCGGCTAGAGTACACGATACTGGCTCGCTCAGGTAGCGGGTACCACGGTTATAGGGCGATCGCGATGAGGCGGTACCAATGCAAGATAGCTGTAGCGGCCGGTGGCTGCAGGGAGGAATAAGCGTTCGAACGGTGGCTATCCGCGACGCCACAGCGCTATTGTCTGGAGCTGCATCCCTTTTATTCTGCCTCTTCTAGCGCTGCTGTCTATCTGGATCGCTTATTTCCGTTTCTACCATGTAGAATACCATGTAGAATAGACCGGCAGAGCAGCGAGAAAGCTCAAGTTTGAGCATGGAGAGCCAAATGCCCCATCACAGACGGCATACTGTAGCGCCGAGGCGGCCAAAGAGGTTCCCCATAATGCATGCCCCAGGTACCCGCTAACACCGCTGCGCGGTACTACAGTACAGTAAATTCCCACTCACCGCTTTGAACTACACGGCGGCACAACAGTTTTTCCTTTTTTCGCATCTGCCAAATCCCTGCTCTCAGCTTTCAGCCCGCCGAAAAAGCAACCTCTCTCCAATCTAAAGACGAGACATATGATGGCCGCTGGCATCTAATACGGCGCAGAACCCAAGACAAGCCCTGCGCCATCTCCCTGCTCGGTCCAAAGGCACACGTCATGAGACGCTCTGCTCACGTCTTGCTGCCTTGCCAAAGTCCCCGTGAGCGGCCAACAGCCAAACATGTCTCGTTCCCTCCGCCTGCTTGGGCGCTACCGACGCCATCCTTTTGCCCATGCCTATAGGCGATGCTACTCAGTGCGTGTGCCCAGCGACGGTGCCGGGGACATCAGGACGGTGGCAGACCTGAAAGAGTGGCAGCCTCAAGGCCGTGTCTCGGATGTGCAAGTCTGCGGCTGGGTCAGGTCGGTTCGCAAGAGCTCCAGCGTGCGCTTCGTTGACATCACCGACGGATCCTCCATGAGGCCAATGCAGGCTGTCGTTGACAAGAGCTTGGCCGCAGAGTACGTCAAGCCCTCGTCCCAGCATCATGGCGAGCAGCAGCTGACAGGCCTCGTAGTATACGCCCGGGTGCAGCCGTTCGCCTCAAGGGGGTCTGGCATAGTAGCGCCTCCAAATTGCTGCCTAATGTAGAGTCTCGATGTGACAACCTTGCTCGTCGTAGTCCAATTGCAGGCACTTCAGCCCTGGCTGACCACCAGCTGAGTTTGAAGAATCCCGGCCATGGTTCAGAGCATGCCTCAGCAGCAAGCTTACCGGCGTCGATATCCGTGCAAGAAGCAGAAGTGCCCAGTATCACGGAAACAAGTCGTGGCCAGGCTCAGGCCTCAGCTACGGCTGAATTACAAGTCAACCAAGTGGAAATACTTGGCTTGTCTGATCCCCATGTAAGGCTGGAGCCGTTTTGCAAACAGTTTCCCCCCTGAAACGTTTATCCATTCTGACGTCTGTCAAGACATATCCCATTCAGAACAAGTACCAAACACCAGAAAGCTTGCGAGCAATATCACATCTTCGGCCGCGAACTCCTCTCAACTCAACGCTCCTCCGGCTACGATCAGATGCCATGGCAATCCTAAACAATTTCTTCTTCAATGAACAGTTTCAGCAAACCCACCCCCCAATCATCACCTCATCAGACTGCGAGGGTGCTGGTGAAGCATTCAGCGTCAAGAGCGGCGGACCTTCCGAGTTCTTCAGAGACCCCAAGTACCTCACTGTCTCATCACAGCTCCATCTGGAGGCTCTGGCTCAAGCGCTGGGAAATGTATGGACTCTATCGCCTACCTTCCGAGCCGAGCAGAGTGACACCTCTCGGCACCTGAGTGAGTTTTATATGCTTGAAGCTGAAATGAGCTTCGTTCAAGACATGGATGAGGTCATGGACCTCGCCCAAAGAATGCTGGCGTCGCTTGCTAGCGGGCTCAGCCAGCGCAGTGCCGCTCAAGAACTCGAAAAGCACCGGCTCGACTCCAGAGACCCTGCGGAACGTTTAGCATTTGAAGATCTGGTCGATGTCAAGGAACTGCAACAGCGGTGGAGGGGTCTTATGGTGCCGACCAGATGGCCGCGAGTGACGTACACAGAAGCCATCAAAATCCTCGAACCCGTGGCCCACCTGTTCGAACACAAGCCCGTCTGGGGATCCGGCCTCCAGTCAGAACATGAGAAATACTTGGCTGAGAAAATCGGGTATGATGCAGCAAGCGATGCGCTCCAACCCATCTTTGTCACCCAATACCCACGAGATATCAAGGCTTTCTACATGCTCCAGTCACAATCCCCCCCACCTCAGGGGCAGACGGTCGATTGCTTCGACCTCCTTGTTCCTAATCTTGGAGAGCTTGCGGGAGGATCCATGAGAGAGTATCGGCTTGCCGAGCTTGAGGACAACATGCGCCTGCATGGTCTAGAGGTCCCAACGAACCGGAAAGCCAGATCCAACGACATGGGGTGGTACCTGGATCTGAGACGCTGGGGATGTCCTCCCCATGGAGGATTTGGTCTTGGCTTTGACCGCCTGTTAAGCTATCTGACTGGTGTGCCCAACGTCCGCGATGTGGTGCCATTTCCACGCCATTTCGAGCGCTGCGATTGCTAAATGCGGCTATCTTTTCGACTTTGTGCCACGTCAAGCTTCGTCACTAAGACAGGAGATTGCCCCGACGTCTCGGGAAATGGTAAACCACCAGCCTGTTGTGCTCGTCAATGCTTGCCTACCTCGGACTGTTTCATTTCAGGCAAGCTTGCTCGCACAGCAGCAGCAAACGGCGATCTGCGTCAGGGGACCGATTGCATGACGCAGCGCCACGCCGCCACTCATTGTTACACGACGCAACCCGATCTTGGGGCTCAAAGACGAGACGGGCTTTGTGGCAAGCTGCATGTGCCAATGTTCATGTCTCTCTTTCTTATTTATATCTGAGCACCTTACACGCGAGGCGGGGAGGCCGACACTGATGCTCCGGTAGCGATTGGATCCCACTCAGCGAGCGTGGCTGCCATTCACGAATGGGGAAATTAGATCTTGTGCGATTTGCCCATCTGCGACAATGGGCGCGATTATGCGGGAAAGCGATGAGATCTTTTTTCATTTGGAGTTCGGCGATTTGCATTATCTCTACTCTCTCAACCCCGGCCTTGCCTACTTTGTTCAGAGATATGGTACCCAAACTGAAGTGACTGGCTCCCTTTTCTCTCTCTCTGGTCACGGTAACACAACCTATGATGAATGTGACGCTGCAGGAACGCATCTAACCGTGCTGCTGTGGATTCAGAGATCTGATTTCTTTGTATTCCGTTCAAAATTGCCAGATTGGGACCATACATGGATGGTTATGTATAGATGGTTGGAATGAGGAAGTAGAATACGTTTGAGAAGCCCTATCATTTCGTACTGTGATGCCAATATGACTTGTTGGCGATATGTAGGATACTGTAAAACAGGCTATTTGTAAGATGAAATAGAATAAAATACCCCACCATTCATCAGAGAGAGGCCGTGAAGCTGCGTTGAATGCCTGCTCCTTTTTACAGGGGACACTTTTTAAAAAGTGGCAACAGCATAGACGAGAAGAGCTCTGGAAATATCCAGCCCGCAGCTGCCCAAAACTTATTCCATTATAAATGACACTGTGAACTCCGATACTAGCCCTTGACTATAGACTTGGGGGCTCTGCAGCTCTCTGAAACAAGTATATTCTTAATGATCAGACCTACAGCTAAACAGAGGAAGCACTCAGTTATAGAACGCATGAATCTCCAGGCTAATAGAACTTGCCTACCCGGTGGTTTGCATGCTAAACTCCAGTAAGCATCAAATTTTGAGATTTTTTTTCCATCATCCTAAGCTGAGTGTCTTTTTCTTGCCTGTTTGAGACTTGCGGCCAGCCCTAGGCGTCAGTCCAGCTTCAGCTTTCATTGCCCTCACCCCGCGTTCATCAGAGCCTCGTCGGGTGCTGTTTGGGACCAGCGCGGGCATTGCATGAGGAAACAAAAAAAAAAAAACCGCCCCCAAAGGGCAGAACCCGAGACGTCCCCCAGCGCTGAGTTAACAATGCTGGGCGCCACGGAGGAGATGGTTGCGAGTTTGGCTGTTCAGATGTCATTGAAGCCATTGAATTGGTTCGAGCCATTGATAAGGGGGCACCCCTCTTCAGCCTCAGCCTCGAGTACGAAACAAACAGGCCCCGTGTATTGACACCAGCCAGGGTTTGAGCAGAAAGCCGGGACACGCTTGTCCCATATTTCTCAAGTGTTCATTGCTTGTTTCCAGCTCTCGAGACGCCAGCACACCGTTTGATAAACTAGTGGGCGTGGCGCAACGCATGGCGCATCCGAAAGGGCAAAGGGACGATACTACAAAGGCCGTTTGCTGGATACCAGGGCCAGGATCGGGCTTTTGTAAGGGGGGATGGGGGCTGGTCTCGCATAAGCATAATCAGCTACTATATCTCGATGAGTCGACATGGGAGTAGACGCCCATTAACGTGCTTGTACAAGCATAGTATAAGCGTCGCTTTTCTTTTTCTTTTATAGGCAATCCCTTCCTTCTTCCATCCTTGCTTGTGACCAGAATGGCCAAAAAAGAGGCGAGTGACCTCTTCCTTGGCCGAAGGATTTTGGCTTCTATTGGAAGGCATCATCCGCTGGGGCCAGGGATTATCGAGGTTGAAGGGGCCGTTGACGCTGTGGCTTTTCTTCCTCTCCCTGTTGTGAAACTTTTATTTTCACTCTTTTAACAACCCCGTTTTCCAATTGGTGAGGGGAATGAATAGTAATCTAGAGGAAGGGTAGGATTGAATCTGGGAAAATGGGGAAAAAGCTGGGCGGCCGTGCCGTACGAACCGAGTTGGCGTGGAAGGGTGTGGGTTTGATATACTTGTATTGTAACAGCAGGGAACTAAAAAAAAAAAGAACTACAAGAATAGAACACACATAAAAAAGAGGAGGGGCGTGTGGAGAGAAGAGGGAATTAGAAGGAGAGAAAAAAAAAATAAACCGCAAGGGATTTGCCAATCTCTCTAGGCTGGAGCACCAATAGTATACGGAAGAAGGAATGCTAGATCCAAGCACTAGGTAATAAACTATAGCTTCGAGTTCTGATGGACGAGGCTGTGTCCGGAAAGGGTAACATTAAGTCAGCAGCGCATCAGCAATTGAGCCTATCTGCAAGCCGTTGTTATGCAAAGTTGCACAAGAGAAGCTTTAGCCAAGCTATACGCTACGCAATTATCTGCTGCAAGATTAGGCAAAGGGGGTTGTTTTATCCTTGTGACATTTATGCGAGGCTTTTCATGTGTATATTACGGATGCTGGATGTTGGGTAATGAAGCGCTAGCAGAGGGACATCGACTTACTAGTTGTCGTAGGATTAAACCGCATAGTTGTAAGAAAGTACAGGACTTCCAATTTTACTTTTTAGAAATGGAAGCTTACCGTGCAACCCCATTATGAATGCATGTCAGCAAGATTTAGTATACACTGCTGCGCCTATCATCTACCTACATAGAGAGAGGTAGTGATGACAGATTGAGAAACGTATTCACTTCTACTAGCCACCATGAATCAAGTATCAAGCATGCGTGATGTATTAAGCTTCAAATTCTGGTTGCTGGTATGGGAGAGTACCAAGGAGTAATGACTAAAGACATCAAGCTCTACCCAGCTCAAGCAAATGAGCTTAAAGCTGAGCCAAATGAAGATATGTACATACATACGCATATATAAGTGTATATATTGCTCACGCCCCATCTAATATACCACCTTGGCATTATAATACAACTTTCCACATTACAGTAACTATGTTTTAGGTATACAGACTACCTATTAGCAGTAGAGACTAGCATAGCATCGTATTATAACCCCACAAGCGCATGGAGCATGGAGCGATTCATGACCAAAAAAAAAAAAAAAAAAAAAAAGGACGTGCGACGTCTTGAATCATGTGCTGCTCTGCTCGATATACTTTCAACGTCTATATATAAAAAAGCCACAAATAGATCAAAATAGAAACAACTAACAGACTTGTATGGATGAATGATCAAAAAGAAGCTGCAAAAAGGAAGACAAAACATACAACAGCCGGTGTTCGCTGATGGTCACCCACTCAACTACTAATCTGCCTCTCATTAGCTTGACTCTGGGAGAGCGGACGGGATCCCGTATATTCTAATGGATATGGTCGTATGTGACAGTGTTGACGCCTCAAACCACTTATAGCACAATTGTGTCCATAGAAAAGCAAAAAGAAAAAACATACAACAGCCGGTGTTCGCCAATGGTCACCCACTTGACTACTAATCTGCCTCTCATTGGCTTGACTCTGGGAGAGCGGACGGGATCCCGTATATTCCAATGGATATGGTCGTATGTAACGATGTTGACGGCTAGAAGCACTTATACCACAACGACGACAACTTCTTCAAAAGGATGCCAAAAAATAAAAACATACAACAGCCGGTGTTCGCTGATGGTCACCCACTCAACTACTAATCTGCCGGTTAATGGCTTGTCTATGGGGGAGCAGACGGGACCCCGAATTTTCCATTACCTATGGTCGTATGTGCTTGGAAAGCGGCGGATTGTGGATTATAACAGAAGTTGGCATCTAGTATCGCGGAACTACCTCTCCGAGTTCAAATGCAAAATGAAAGACATGTAAAAAAAAGTATTATCTCAGCTAGTACTCAAATAAACATCTGCTATCTTTTAAAATTGATTTCATTTTATTTACTTCGAAATTGCGCTCGCAGTGTTTTGTTGGCGACATGTAATCTTGAAACTAATCGTTGGTGTTTTGTAAACACCATGTCAAGTCAGCCTCTGTTATTCACACCTTTGCGATACGTGTCCGGCGCTAAGACCAATCCTGCCAAAACAGCTTCGTGGTATATGACTAGAAAGAACATGTGAAGAAGGAGAGAATTATAAGGAATTGGAACTAATTCTGAGCGGGCGGTTGAAGGTAACTCACAGCCTTGCCAAGTCCATTCCCAACATCAATGTCTGCCTTGCTGCCTGCGCGCGTGCATTTTCGCCTCCCTCTCATCGCAATAACCAATTGGGAGTTTCCACGTTACAGGCCGGCAAGGATTCATCAGGCTGCCCGCAGATAGGCCCCCACGTTGGGGCATTATTATTCGCATGCGAAATCGCCTTGTAATTGAGGGGTCAAAAAGAGGAATTTAATTTTAGTTCATCTCAAGTATAACTGCATTCTCGTGCAACTTCACGGGGCAGACTTGATTGTCGAGAGATTCGCCAGCTGAGGGAATTATAAGACCAGGCTGCTAGACATACATGGCGAGGATCTAGTCAAACAATCTCTTTCCCTCTACAGCCGGGATGCATAGCCGAATGCTCTGCTACGATAGAATGCTCCACAATCTAAGAAGCCTTAGAAGAGGAGTTTTTGATCTTTTCATCAACTTCTACAAGCTTGCGACCACAGTTCACGGTGCCGCTTGGACAGCAGCTAATAAGCCTATCAACCTCTTCCTAAACGAAGCAGACCCGGACATACGCAATGTCCAAACCAAGGTTTGGAGAGACAATATGGTATCACAGCTAAACACTATTCTTATTACTGTACGTTGGTAATCCAGCCGAATCCCAAAGCAATGCTGAGGTCGACCTAATAGACTTCACTTATTAGCAGTGTCGTTGTAAGCTCCCTAAGCTGGGCAGACTTTGGTAGCGATAACGAGGGAGAGATCACTGTAGTCAAATCGCTCTGGTATGGTAGCCTTGTACTCTCAATTACCGCGATTGCATCAGCGTCTCAGCAATTGGTTTGCTTGAACCGACTCAGCACTTATATAGATGGGTTAAGCCTCTTACGAAAGTTGTTAAGTGGAACTGAAGATGTGACGGCGGGGACTGTTACTCCAGGCCGTAGTCTTCGCGTTGAACAAGCGTACCTCTGGCAGATTCCCGTTATGCTTATGAATGGGGGGCTCTATGTCTTCACGATTGGATTGTGCGTTTTTGTCATTGACAAGGCACAGCGATTACTGCAGCAACAGTATCTGAAAGGAGTCGAGGTATTTTTCTTGCACCATTAACTCTTCATTCTGGCTAATATGCATAGATGATGGTTTTGTTCGCCATCATTCTTTTGTTCGGCTTGTTCAACTACGCAGTCAGCTCAGTTGCACTATATCTCTGGATTGACCGATGCACGCCTCCTTAGCGACAGGCTCCAAGGGCTGGCTTAGCTTTTGACGAGGCCACGTCGTTATTTAAGATGCATTGCTACCTAATATCACCCGAAATTGTACATTCTACAAAGACGAGCATCGATTGCTTGCGCTGTTGTTGCGGTGCGGCCATGTTTGCAGTGAGTGACAACGAGGTATTCTAGAATAGAGTATTATTTTCTATCAAGGACACAACTAAACTGCCATAAATATGTTTCCATTTTAACAATCTCAATTTTATACATTTCTTATTACCAAAAACTTTCACCATCGCAAAGACATAAGATTTGCTTGCAGCTACTGCGCTGGCCCCTCAATCCTTCATTCTCGCTACACAAGGCTACATGCACATACAAATGCTCAGGCTTCCCCCTCTACCGACCCCAATCTTGCTATTGCACCCTCCATCTTAGCACAACACCCCCAAAAATTAAAAACCATGCGCTTCAGGCAGTCAAAATCGGCCCCTCAGCAGCGAGCTGTTTTTGTCATCTCTTGGGGCCGAACCGCCACAAGTTCCTCGAGCTTCCACAAATGTCTGCTGGTCGCAAACGAAGCAGACGAGACCGTTTCACTCACCACGACCGGTACCTATTTCGATTGGGGCTCAATCGTGGATAAGCAAAAAGTAACGAAAAACAACCCGCCACGCGTAAAGGCGTTTGACTTTGAAAAGGGCGAAAAGTTTGCCCCCTCGTATGTGTTCAAGGGCATGACAGTCTGGTCAGATAGAAAGATTGCCAAATTCAGTAGGCATTTAATATTCTTTTGTGATTTATGGTGACTGAGGCTTACCTATTTAGTGACCAAAATAGGCAGTCACTACGATGTAGTCTATAATAACTGTCGTGATGTGACGGAGATGACAGCAGCTACCGTACTGGGCCAACATGACGAGGATAAACTTGAAGAAAAGATAAAAAACTATGGCACTTGGCCCTCTGTTTTGGCTGCAGCTACTATGCCCTTTAGCCCGGGATACAGGGTTCCGAGTTGAGTTGGCGATTCTTAGAAGAGGGCATACAGCACCTATGATCTATCCAAGATGAAGCAATAAAATGCGCCATTCACTCGGGCGTCTACAATAGTCATTGCAACGAAGTGCTAGAGCCAATTTCCCTTGTATCTTGCGGGGTGAGGGAAACGAGCCGCTCCTCCAAGTCACCACGCCTTCATAACAGTCCTCCATCACGGTCTCCTCAACCATGTCATAACGCAGGATCAAGATCATATGCCTTTGCTTCTTTTCTCAAGTCAAGAAGTAAGAAATGTGTATTTCATCATGATAATTTTTGCAACAGAGTGTAATAAAATCTCTCACGTATGTAAATCTCTAGCAGTTGCAATCTCATAGTACCTACGACACATAGGTAACTTAGGCCCGCGGCTTGCATTACAGAATCTGCAACCACGAACAAGCCAGGCCACTTCTATCGTAAGATGTGCTATCATGATTGGGGTTGCCTCCCAATAATTCCTCGCCTCCATATAAGCCTCTTAAACCATTTTCTCAAATGAATTCATCTGAGGCCGCCGAACACAGTGCAAATAAAGGCCCTCTTCAATTAACTGCCCTTGCTTTATTTGGACCAGGATCGTTTGCAGATAGGAATCACAGCTCATCAAACACCTATCGGCCAGAATCGCTTGGCGAAGCCCCAATTAGGAGGGCTATGTAATGAAAAGCGTCCCTTCTTTTGCCTTGTGGCGGATGACGAAGGGAATCTACTAGACACGTTAAGAGCTTGTAACTCCGCATATGAGGGCGAAGCTCCAGGACCTCTGATAGCTCGTTGGATGTCCTAGTTCTTCGATAATTATACTTCCAGGATCATTATGAACAGAGCATTCACGTCAGCAGCTTTCCTGGCTGTAGATTCCTGGATGAGCGGAGATGGGAGCAAGTCTGGTTCTCTACAAGTCACTTACGAGGCGGGAATAGAGACTGAAGTCCCCTAAGTTCCAAAAGGGGAACCATCTTGATTTCGGTGTTACTCGGGTTGCAGTTATTCTCTCTCCTTGAACTATCGTTATATTGCGCGTGGTCCCTCCCTGGGCGAATCAGTTGGATGCATTTGCCATGATACGTCTAGGTACTTCATTAGCTAACGACCTACCGTTCTTGATGGCTCAAGATTCTGAGAAGATCCATGCTTTATACAATTTGCCAGGTTGAATTGGGGATAGCGTTGAGCAAGAAACAGACAAGAAGGTAAATACATAGTAGGCAGATTGACATTGGGCGTGGACACACCTTTAACCGGGCGACGTAAGTATGCAGCTTATGAGCCAGAACTTGAAGAAAAGGCCAAGAGTCAAGGTAAGATTGGCCAGTCGCAGGATATTCAAGCTTATACCTCCATTTGAGTAGGTCTAATGGAGTAAGTCTGAGGTTGAATAGTCGCTGACGCTCTTTGACGCTGGGTGATATTATTCTACCTAGCATGCTGTTGCAATCAATTACACTATACTTACAAACGATATGTCAAATTACTATTAGAAATGGGTTCAAGGCAATCATGTCGTTGTTATTGATAAAACTTCATGGAAAGTTGTGAATGGCATACTGCGTATAATTTGTTGCAGTATAAATCTTGATATGCCTCTGGGTCTTAATCCTTCCATAAACCAGAGTTGACTTACCTTCCCTCTGTGAAGTGCACAGCATTCGATATTGTAAAGGCGGTACTCATCGATAATTAGAGTTACAGCTAATTGCTCAGTGTAGCTGCTCAAGTTCTTGTCTTGATTCACATTCAGATCAAGCGTGCATGAAGTTGCCATATGCGTTGGCGATGTCAGCGTAGGACACAGCTAATACGTTTCTAGGGCATCTTTGTAATGTTCAAATATAGAATAGTCCAACTGTATAGTTATCGTATGGACAATTTAGATTAGTATAGCCGCTCTAGTATATGTATTGGTAGTTGCAGGACATGTGCAATGCCTGCTTATGCCAAAGATATTTTCCGAGCGGGCGTAAAGATTGCCAGAAAGGAGTGAGCCTGACCAGAGAATTGTCTGACTCTCTCTTGTGTCGGATATCGGAATGTTCTTGGGTGAAATAAATGGATCGTTAAAAGGGGGGAACCAAGATATAATAACACTAGTATTGCTTTATTTACAGCCTACGGCGGAGCGATTTGCTTCCAAGACGTTGCTCTAAGCCTCAAAGCTTCAAATTTGTTGACCCGTACTAGCATGTACGGCTATCAGAGTGGCAAACATCCTAGTGTACATCTTTCATTTGGGTATGCCTAGGCACCGGCAGGCTCTCGGTATGTCGAGTCAGGTTCAGCCCATTCGATGCAAGCCACGTACTTCATACACATGCCTTTCTTCCGCGATGGCGTCTTCGGTTTTCTAATCAGAATAGCTACACTCTATACACTACTCCCGTGCGAAGCACAGAGATGATTACTATCTTTTTTCACCTTGTTCACTACCTTTTGAAACAAAGACTCTTGACAAGACTCTGTGTCGATTCGTGCCGATAGCCAGAAAGCCGGCAGAGGGCACGCCACATACTCGACACCCATCCCCCCCAGAGCCCAATAACCCGGCTTCTCTGTTCCGGTCCATCCGCCATTGAAATTACAGCCCTCCCACTCACAGTGCAGGCTATACCACTTGACTGCTACAGTAGGAAAGGATAGATAAGAAAAAAAGGAATACGCAATCCTCATCCCCCTTGCCAAACAGGCCTCTTTTTTTCGTCACATATCTCAAAAGCATGTGACTACCTTCCCCCCCTCAAGAAAAGCAAATAAAATAAAGATGTTGTCAGCGTCGCACCATCCAGATACGCCCTTTCTTGGCAACCACGATAGGATTAAAAGTAAGGTTACGCCATGCCCGCTAATGCATGGGCGAAAAAAAAAAAGGCATAAAGGGTGGAAGAAAGCTTCGAAGCTTTTTCTGAACAAGAAATGTGTGCGGCCAATCATGTCCATCACTAACAAAGGCCAAGCTTTTTGTTCTCCTCTTTCTTTTCCTCGGTAAAAAAAAAGTTAAGCTTAACGCCTTGAGTTGTATAAACGCCCGGTTTTTTATTTCCATTTCCCCTCTGAATGTCATCGAATCATTGAATACCTTATACATAGGTGGTACAACCAGACTTTGTGCATCCTCCCGGGGTGAAAGTGTTACGGTGGTGGTACAGGTGCGCATTCGGACATGTCCTTTACGCTGATGGAGGGTATTCTAGCTACTTTTGGACTTGATCATTTTACTGATAACCTACATGACTAAAGAGCGTGGATAGCTCCATAGTATCGCATACAGATAGCTGCCTCAACGGCCGTTGGAGAGCCAGAGAAGACATGGCTTGTCGTGGCCCCATGCCTGTCGATTACAAGTGCGAATACCTAGTTTAGTATTAGCTGGTAACCTTAGCTACGAGGTGAAAAGCGGGATATGACCGGTTCTTTCTTCTCCCGATGCTGTAGATGCTGGAGCTGTCTCATACGAGCACTACCTACAGCTCTCGTATAGATACATGTACGTATAAATAGGTCTAATCCATGTGTGCAAGGTAACTCCTTTCCCCATTGCTTGCTCATGTAATTCGTAAAAAATGCGATCGACTGTCCAAAAAGGAACAATCCCGACTCCTGCGCGGGCGATCAACGAGGCCAAGTGCCCGCTGGCGCTTTTCTTGACCCTCCCCATCCCAGCTGAGCTAAAAATACGCTTGCTATTAAAGTCCACGGACCGGTTCGAATTGGCTGCCTCTGCTTACCCTACATTGTCATAATCAAAAGTCAATATTTCCCCTAGCACGCAGCTATTGGGCGCTCGCTCGCTCGCTGCGGGCATCCATTTGTCATATATCCTGGCCCTTGTGGTAAGCTTGGATAAGCATGCTGCATAGGTTCGATGCTTGAGCAAAACCCTCCGACGAGGCTCGAACCCTCGGACCCGGGCGATTCAACACCGGCGAATGGATCCCCCAGAAGGAGCTGAATTGAAAAAAAAAAAAAAAAAAAAAAAAAGACAGAAAGAAAGGAGCGTAAACCCGATGGTATGTGCGGTACGATCCTCCACTCCACCTGTTGGTTTGGTAGTGCGGTATATCACAATTGAGTGGGAATAAAGCAGCAAAGATAGCCTCTATGGAGCAGGCATCCACATAGCACGCCTGCTAGCGAAAGGCATCATTACAAATTGACTACTAAGTACAAGTAGATCTTGTACAGTAGGTCCTATCTCGACTTTAGCCTGCTACCACGTCGCGAGTAAGCATCCAAACCCAAGACGTGTTGACTTAGTTCCTGCTTGCTGGGGTCACGAGCCCTTGCGCTGAAGTAGACCAATGAATTAACCTTATGCTAGAGAGCAGCCCGGCGCCGAGGCTAGTGTCTGCTGCAAAGTCGGATAATCGGAATCTCGAATGCGTCTCGGCGTATCCTATCCTCTTTTCTGCCCCTGCTTCTGCTTCTGCTTCTGTTTCTTTGCTGCTGCTGCTGGCACACACTGTGTGTCTAGAAGCTGAGACCGGGCTCGCCATCAAACGACATCTCCGTATTACGTACCACCAGCACCAGAGTCCGACGTTGGCAGTTGGTTATAGATGCCTGCTTCGCAAATTAGTACTCATTGCAAACTGTTAAAAGGCCGTCGCAGTAGTACGCGGAAATGAAGCTCAACAACACACTCCGTAATCCGGCCTCCCAATCTGGCGTCTCCATTGTCTGGCTGCTATGCTATGATTAGAATACGGTTGCCAAGCCCAGGATCAGCAAGGCTCGGCGTTTTTAGCACTGGCCAATGCCACGAGACGCCCTTGCCAATGGCCGGTCGCACAAACTCCACACGCCCCCTCTCCCTGGAAAGCCAAGTCGGCAAGCACGGCATCTTAGATTTGCGCCAAGTGCTTCAGCGGCTCCACCGATGGCAAGCCACCGTTTCCACCGCGACTGCGAAGAGGAATGGCGACAAGGCGCCAGCTTTTTCTGTATCGATGCCCGGAATCTGCTGCAGCGAGAGGAGGGCAAGGTTCGCCGAGATGCGCCGGGAAGTGGGTTGGGAAGAGTCCTCGCCATTATCGGACGCTGCCAAGTGCACGCTGAAAAGAGCCCATTCATATAGCCACGCCCTCTGCCCTTTGCAGATGGGAAATAGTTGCCGTGCCAAGCATAGTGGCTGACAACGCTTAAATTCATGCTTAAACGCGCAAGCTTGGCTTTAGGGTGGAACCGCCGCACAAATGAAGAAAATAAAAAAGAAAGCAAAGAGACTTTTTCCCCGGCCGACTTTTCCGTAGCGTCCCCACCACGCACTCAACGCTATCCAATGACGGCTGACGCGTGCACCATGTTTTATCCACTCCGGGCATGCTCAATGACCTTCTTTCGCATCCTCAATGGACTGCTCTTGCGCACCGCAGCTGTCCATTTTCTGCTTTGTAAAGATGTAGTGTCTGCTGAATGGGGTTATTGCAGTTGGCTATAATAGCCGCGAGGGAATGGCCAGAGATAAGGACCCCCGTCCAATTTGCTGTCATGGGACTGATTGTCAATGAAGACATGCTGGGAGGTGCTACTAGTGCCTATGTAGTAGAATACGCTGTCAGATAGTGTGTCGTAGCATCGAGAATTTGCATCAATGAACTTGTCTCTTGTCAAACAGGGTCATTCTCTTTTCAGAAAAGATATGCTACGTAGCATACTGCATGTCTCAGGCAGATTTCTCTCCTAGGCAGGCAGAAAGACGGGATGCGGGCCCAGGATCGCCAATCTTGGCTTGGCAAAACGGCCGCGCAAAGTGTTCCTGATGAACATCTTTGAGTCGAAGCGAAAAGCATTGCTAGTCGTGCCTAGGCAGCTACTAAACTGGGTTTTTTTTTTGGTACACCTGGATGATCAAGGGAAAGAAAAAACAAGAAGGATATCGCGATGCGCATCTCGGCCGCTTGAGAGATTGGGAAGGTCATCCGTCTTGCACTTTCCCAGTGAAGCAAGCCCAGTTCCATTTTCTGAAACCCAGACTGTGGGATGGAAGCGATGTGGAAGCCGATTACCCGGACGGTAGGCCGATCAAGAGTCTAGACTAGCAGCTTATCAGCGTCGCTTGTTGGCCCCAAAGAGGCAGACGGAAGCCAGCTCGCACTGTGCCGCTGTTGATCTGTCGCTCGCTTATTGCCTGCTGCAGATTGGAAAAAGAAAAAAAGGCGAATCCTTCGTATACAAGTGCATTGTCAATTTTTAAAGTTAATTTTCCATGTAGCGTTATATCTCTTAGGCACCCGCATCTGGCCCTTCTCTTCTCCTGACTCCTCTGCCACGCTGCAAATAGCCTTGCAGAGCCAAGAACGAAAAGCGTGTCTGGGCACCCCTTCCAGCCCTCCTCGAGGCCGCCGCAGCCGGCTCGGCATGCTGATGGCGACGTCATTACGGGGCGCTGAGAGCGAAAAGACACTGTACAGTACAGTAGTGCTTTCAGTCTTCTTTCCTCGTCGGTATCCTCCTAGGCCCGTTGCGGCGACTGCTCAAGGGGCGTGCGCCTATTGGCCGACGCCCCCAAGGCAAGGCTGGCCGTCTGAACCGAAATCTCGCGCCTCGCTGACCAGCCGCGGCGTATCTGTCGTCACGTCATTTGCGTGCCCTTAGGCGCATGCATTATTGCTCTGCTTGCCTCCTCTTTTGGAAAAGACATGCCAGCAGAGCCAGTGGCATGGATAAGCATGTTTGAGTCGGAGGGAATGAAAAAAAGGTACCTGCCTCGGCATGTACAACTTGAAGCACATAGTATCTGCTTCAAGCTTGCACATCAACGAGCAGCGCAATCTCTCGAGAGATTTTAGATGCGCTATGATGGCAAGAGGCGCTGATCTGTACGTTGCGAATTCCCTCTACGAGCCTAGTGCAAACATGCTTACCCGTTAACCTCATGGGATCGGCGCAACGTCTCACATTATCTGTCTTACCTAGCAAATGCTTATTAGCACCCGGCATGAATAAAGAAGCATCAGAAAGAAGAGGTGGCCCGTGCCTTATGGATATCGGCACCGTTCTCCATCGCGAAACAGCCCGCACGGCAAATAAGTCCCGAATATCACAGCTGCCATCCCCCCTTCTCGACGGAGAAAATATCCTCTACCTACTCACATATACACCTACTATACTCGTACATAGCCCTAAGGCACCACGCGGCCAGATCTGCTCGTGCTCCGGCTACATTTTCTACAATAGGTAGGCTGCATGGACAGACAATACATGCTAGCCTCGCTCTAGGTAGGGGAGGCTGATTTGGATTTGCCGTTTCGAGGCAAAATACTCGGGCTCACTGCTCTCGACGCCCTTTTTTCGGACAATTCGATATCGTGGGGAAACGGCGAACCGTAGGCGATGCAGTTTCAGGCGGTAGTACGAATGCCTATACCTTACCAACAGGCATTAACAGGAGGCTATCCACGTACTCCCAGCAGCTTGTGCCTGTATAGGAGTAGTTCCTGGAGCCGAGTAGCCGCCTGGAGATCCTCCTTCCTTGTACGGCTGCCAGTGACTGACCTTATGCGACACCTTAATTTCTACGGCCCAATCCGTCCGGCGACTAAGACACTTGCAATTATGCTGAACCAGAGAGATGGGACGAAGCGAGAGGATTGAATATCGCCTATATGTGCGTGATGGCGCAATCTTGAGCTTTGGTGGTGATCGGCCTGGACGGCATTGACATGGCCAAAAATACAGCTGGCGAGATCATCTCCTTTTTTTTCTCGTTTCACCTCGTAATTACAACAACTATTGCTAAGAATAAACACTCGCCGCTTTATCCTCGTCTCTTCTAGCGATGAGAGGATACCAGACAATCCTCGTATAAGAGCCTCTGCTTCGTCACGAAGCCCGTATTTGGATAGAACGGCACCAGCCGCAGATGCTCCCGTATATCTGCGTGTGTGTATACGCATGCGCTTGTCGGAAGTTCGGCCCCTCTGGCTCCGGTGGATTGCCAAAAGGCCCTGGGATGTGGGCAATCTCTAGTAGAGAGGAGAAAAAGAGACTCTATTGTGGCCCCCCAGTGGATAGTAGACGCGGAGCTAGAATAACCCGAAGCAATAATGAAGCAAAGGCACAAAACCAGATCAAAGGGCAAAAACCCAAACGCAATCAAAGTTTCTGCACGGCCCCCCCTTCATCGGCAGCTACGGCACTTGGTGCCCTGGAGAAGCGACCCTTAGCGCTTGGTGAAGGATGAGGCCAGATATAGCCGCAACAAAGCCGCAATACCCGCGGAGTTACTCTGCCAGCCGCTGTAAACTGTTAGCAGCGCATTGTACACATGGCTTGGCAAGCATCGCCGAGAAATCCATGCGTGGGATGCGCAATCTATTGTCTCTTTTATTTTGATCAATCAATCTACTATACGCTCGCCTTGGCTAGATCGCTTTTTTTGGCGCAAACAGTCGCATGGACCCTGAAAAGGGTAATTAATAATGGACGGATAACGCCATTCTTTATCTTTACTTTACCCTGTTACTTTATTTTATGGATGTTTTACTATGTCCTACTTTATTTCAATTTAACCTCGAACTGAGATTAAGCATGGCGGCGTGCTACCCCAAGAAAACTAGCACTAGGGAAAAGCAATTTAATGCGGTGCAACTGGATCTGCCATCGGCCGGACATGTACATGTAAAATGGTAAACCCGGCCGTCAAGCGCCGACAACGCGTAAACCTCTCAGCCATGGGCCAAGAGAAGGAGAAAACATTATCGTGCCGATTTACCCAGAATACCGGCTCCTGGCACGGATTCTTCTTTTATTTAGGGGGGGCTGTTAGGGGAGGCGCAGAACAATGTAACTAGATTTAGAGGATTGATAAAAAATTACACAAACCTCACGCCCTCCTCAAAACCAACAAGACGCTCATCAGCGGGCAAAACGGCACCGGGGAGAAAAGAGAATTGAAGGGGAAATAAGGGAAAAAGAGAGAGAAGAAAAGGAGAGGGGGGGGGAGGGGGGTGTGCGCAGCAAGAATTAGAAAGGAACATGGACGATTCCTAAAAAGCTGCTAAACGGGCACACGAGCAGGGCATCCATGTCGCGAATTGGCGCTATGCAGTCAGTGGCGGCAGGCTAAGCCTTTTGGTCAGCGAGTATTGAAAATAAGCTTAGGAGGAATTCTATGACCTTATTATACCGCCAGTCCCGTAGCGGCGCGGCGCTGATTATGCACGAGGACAAGGTGGTTTGGGTGGTGTTTGGTGTTGCACTGTGGGTGACTCGATTTTCGTTGCTTTTGTCGCAATGACAAAGAATGAGGAAGAATATGCGGCCATGATGAATCGACAGCAAGGCGAGTTGGCTGTCCACGGCACTCGGGCTCGGGAGCTCCTTAGCTCTGCGCTTCTTGACATCATCTTCACCTCTCTTTCTGCTGGCCAAAGGACCGTTTCTGACAAGCCCGATGCCGTCCATCCCGTCAGAGGCTTGCTGGTATTAATCATGCCGTGCTCCAGTCTATCGCCCTCTCCCGGCCCGGCGGCAGAAATTGAGACCGAAGAGGGACGTGTCAAGCCAAATAAGAAGAAACTACAGTGAGGTAATCTTGCAAAATCTGGGTTATTCCCATCTCCGAACCAGAAAAGAATGGGGAGGGGGGGTTGGTTCGCCCACCAAACAAGGTAAACACGAGTCATCATCTTTTCCTGGCAGCCCCGGCACCGAACAACCGGACTTTTTGAGGAGCCCTCTTCTTTTTTCGGGTTGGCAAACTCGCTGTTTTATTCAGTCGCCTTGGCGCGCAGCTGATGGAATCCCGTGCTTTATTCCCGGCTGTCTAGCCAAGCACTTGTAGCAAAGTACCAGCATATAGTCTGTCTTTCTGTATATATACACCCCACACCGGCCGTGTCTCTTTGGGGGGGTTGCCAATTGCCGTCTTTTCCATGGAGGGCCAGGCTATTGATGGCCAGGCCGCGCAGAGTTGCCTTTGCAACTTTGCTTGAACGTATCTGGAAAGAGACAAGGAATGGCACGGTATGAGTGTAATGTGAGATGAGATGAGATGAGATGAAGATGCAAATGCCATCTCTCTTCAGCTATTACTGGGATTTTACCCGTTTTGCCCTTTGCTTCTTTGTTCTGCGCAATAAGCTTTGTTACTTGGTAGTATTTTGCCTCGCTCTTCCGCCATGACTAGGGACCCGAAAAAGTATCCTTCTTTCAAATAACCAGCACGCGCGGCCTTTTCCTTTTGTCTTGCAAGTACTTTGTCACCGGCTTGGTAATGAATGCGTTCTCCCAAACTTTGTGAAACTGGGCGAATGAGCCGGAGGATTCACCCAGGCCGGCAAAGAAGCTGTTGCGAGATGGAAGAACTGGAGAACGAAGCCGATATCCGTCCGCCACACATATTGAGCCTACAGTATACAGGGCAAGACGGCGTTCGGCACGCAAGCCTGGAGGCTAACACGGCAAGTGAGAAGCCGTTTTTTTTCTTCTTCTATTTTACTACGATTACTACGGGCACTTTGTTGCGTCTTTTGTGTGGCGTGCATTGATTGCGTTGTATGTACTTTGTACTTTGAAGTGCTTGCGAGAATTGCTGATAGGCAGCATGAAGCAAAAGGACACGAGTACAGTTGCCAGCAGATGGATGCACCTTGACAAAGACCGTCGATGATACGATCATCTTCTTTCTTCTTCTGCCTCCCTCTTTTCGCCGAGTTGGGGTCAAAGAATAGAAAGTGTAGAAGAAAGGAAGCTTGTATGTTTAAATATAGACGTCTTTGTTGCGCACATCAAGATAGAGTACAAGTGGCTTTAACATTGAGACTTTAATTCCCATGTCTTCCTTTACGTTTTTCTATAGCATAGCGGCCATGGCTAGTAGGAGCTCCACATGCAGCAAGTCTCAGCGCTCTGCATCGCCAAAACAGCCACCCAAAGCACCCAGCAGCACCCAACAGCCCCGAAATATACCGCGCAGCAGGCAAAAGAAGCGCCGAATCTCACCCAGATTCCCAGCCCAGCGGCCACCTGAGACCTGCACGCTACCTGCACGCCCCCGACGCCCCCCCCAAGTCTTGGTACCCCACAACGTCCCTGCGTCTACGAGCCGATTTATCCATCCATGACCACACCCTGCGCACTTGGCTGGCCCAACCTTAATTCTCCCTCTCTCCTCCATCTTTTTTTGTCCTCTTCCTTCTTTTTTTACCTTTTGAGGCTTATAGCTGCTAGTTTTAACCTTGTTCCGTGTGCAGACTCATCCGTTTCCCCCGAATCTCCCTCCAGCGTGACGACAAAGGCGCAGCAGACGACGCGGTTTCTTTCAACAGGAATAAAACTACATCTCACAGCGCCTTGTTCTTTCACTCTTGCACCTCACCTTGTTGGCCCTTCCGTCGTCTTTATATATATATCCCTACCTCTATATATACACACACTCCATTGTTCTAGGTGAGCCTCCCATCGTTTCTTTGTCCCTCCAGCTCCTGCCTTTTCCTGGTCTCCTTTGCGACGACATCCGCGTGCCTCCACGGCAAAACCTGTGGTTTTGTTTCCCGAGGCTGCCTGCATGGATCTAGTGTTCCCATACTGAGGCGTTGGCTGTACTCCCTTTGTGCTTTTCCGCCTCAGGCTCTTTGCCCTGAATGGGCTGTATGACAGGGAAAAGGTGAGAAAGGAACAACGAGCAGGGCAAAATAAAGAGAGAAACAAGAGGATTCGGGAGAGCTCGGTCTGCGATTTCAGGGCTTTATGGAATGTGTGAGAATGCGGTTCTGTGCTCGGCGTAACCAGCACGAGCCGGGAGCAGCCAATGGCCAGTTACGACGTCCATGGTGACCGCAAACGCATCCATCCTTTTGTCGTGGCAAGTGCTGCGTCGGCACCGCCGTCAAATCAGACAAGAAGGGGCCGCAATGGAGGAATTTACTGCATCGAGCCAAGGCCCTGGCCATTTCTCTGCTCTGCGCTTCAGTGTGCTACTTTGTTTAGCGGGTCTGCCGAGTCTCCCATGCTGAGCCAAGGAGCACATATGATGCAGGCGGGCCCTCTTGAGCCCATGGATTGGCATCGACCTTTCCCTCTCATCGCAATTTCTCCTTCTCAGGCTTTTCAACATTTTGCATTCTTTCATTTCTGATGACAGCTTCATCTGACCAATATTCCCGGGTGTAATAAAACTAACACCTATATCCGTAGTCCATTGACAAACAAACAAGACTACAACTCAGCTCTATCGGTGACGCATCTACTGTCTTTGGTTGGCAGTAGTTGACAGACTTTACCGGCCAACGAGAGAACACTCTAGACTCGTGCGTCTGAGTGATTCGGCCCTCTTATTACTATTCATCAGGGGAGGAATTGTCCGCTCAATCGGACAACCGGTCTATCACATGTACAAAACAGACTCAATAGCTTCGGAGAAGATGGAGACGTACCACGGATATGTACGCACTCCGGCTGATGCCATCAAGCTGTTCGAGGCTTGCCGGTTAGGTCTTCTACCTCGCGTGCAACGACGACTCTCAGAAAAGGAAAGGCAGTCCATCAGATCCGGTTCAGTCTTTGTATGGGATGAGCGGGAAGCTGGCATGAGGCGCTGGACCGATGGCAAATCATGGAGCGCCAGCAGAGTATCCGGTAGCTTCTTGACGTACCGGGAAATGGAAGGCAAGCGAGGAGGCGGGTTTGGTGGAGGGAGACGAGGCAACGGCAAGACTCCCGAATCTGGTCGCGGAAGTGACGAAGACCACGACGATGGCGAACCTGAAGGATACCGATACAAGGCCGATGGTCTTATGAAGCAATCTTTCAGCATCACGACCTCGACCGGCCAGCACCTGCACTTGATATCTTACTACTCTCGACCGCAGCCTGGACAGCCAGAACTGCCGCAACCGACTACCGACCCGACTCTGCGAGGGATTGTGCCAGTCAAAGGCATGTATCCTGAGTCGAGCATGGGCGAGACAAACCAGACACCGGCACTTACGAGGGCCCCAATGCAGCAACCCTACATGATTGCTCCTCAGCATCACCATGCTCACCCAGGACATCAGCCTTACGCCCCTCACTATGCGCAACCTGGTTACGGATGGCCTCCATCACCAGTTGCTACACCTCCCTATGGGCATTACGCTCCCGCGCCTTATCCTCCTGCTGGCCACCATCTGCCTCCGCCTTACGCCTCGCCAGCCCCCCCGCCGCCGCACCATGGCTATATCACGGCAGCTCCGCCGCCACCACATCACTATGCACACGTTCCGCCGCCACCTCACAGCTACGAGCGCACTTCATTGCCTCCTCTGCAGAATCCCCCGAAGCCACCCTCTGGGCCTCTGTACCATAGCCAGCCATACTCACAGGGACCCACCCCGCCGCGAATTCACGACTCTCCTCACCAACAAACGCTGCAAGCCGCTGCTCAAGCTGCTATTGGTGACGCCCGGACATTGGGTGACAAGAAGCCTCAGGGCCCTCTCCCGGCCTTGGGCCCGATTCCCAACGGATCCGGAGCTCCTCAGCATAACGGTCTACACACTCCTCCAAACCGGACAATGAGCGCTAGTCCGCCCCAGAGCTCTCACCTGGAGACACACAGTGCTGCTGGCGGCAATAAGGCGAGCCTGTCTGCTCTGTTGCATCCTACTCCGGCCCCAAACGCTGAGTCTGGCGCCAATGGCAGCGCCCATAGCAGCCCAAGAACAGGTAACGTCGCTCTCGCAGAAAAGGGCGGCGCGAGCGAAGATGCGCGAGCACTGAGAATGCTTGACCGAAAGTTCTGCATTTAGTGGTTGTAAATCTGAACCAATCTACTTTTCTTTCTCTTCTTTCTTCCCCTTTTATTCCTTTTTCTTCATCAAAGAAAAATCCAACAAAAAAGACACAAAAAAATTTACTGCTCTTCGTCTATACTTATTTTCTCTCTTTTCTGTTCGTATAGAAATACTAGGGCTTTGGGAGTCACGATTCTGTTATATTTGATGCATTGTTCTGGCGTCTAAAGGAGGAGCTAGCGATATGTCTATTTGGACTTTGGTTTGGCTGGATTTCTGGGCCGGTGGGAAACTGGGAAATGGCCACAGTGGGGAAACCTCTTTTGGTCCTCCTGGATGGAACAAGGTTCTTTTGAGTTTACACGGAAATACTCGAGATGAGTATAGGAGTCTGTTCCTTTTGAGTACTGTATATACGATAGCCGATTGTGAAGAGAGCTATTCTTTGACTATCTCAACTGATTCCCTTATCTCAAGTGGCTGTGATTGTGTGAAGTGATGTAGCAAATCGATAGATATGAGTCACACATTGTCAATGAGGGAAGTTAGCCTTTTGCCTTGTGTCTTTTTTTTTTTTTTAATCTATGATCCTCAGACTTTTTTACAGTTATTGTATAAAGTTAATTTTCACACGTATACATGGCTTTCGAAGCCATATTACTACTAACTGATACGGGGCGTTGTTACATTTACATGTTTCGGTCCTGTATTTCATGCTCCTAGTAATTCTTATCTATTGATATGCTGCAGAAAGCAAGTGCCAAAAAGTTTAACTTACCACCACTATGTCACTGCTGTTGTAAGTGACATAGTATAGTACGTACAAATTATATAGCATTGACGGCTAGTGGATAAGCAAAAAAAGCCATGGAGTTGGAATTAAACAGGAAAAAGGTAAACTTCGGTAGCATAATCTGTGGGGACTCTTTTTTTTTTTGGTTATCAAAAAGAAAAAGAGGCCGCGTCATCTCCCGGTTTGCGATTATTTGATACCATCCGTATTCGGCCAAATCCGTGTGAGCCCGCCGGCAAAGAAATGCCGGGAGAGGGGGAAAAGAAAAAATGGACGAGGGTTTACGGGGGGAGAGAAGGGGGGGTGGGTGTTTTTTTTAATTTGCACAGGGGACGAGAATTAATTAAGATAGATGGATTAGATAGTCAATGCAATAGTTTGCGGAGAAATTAAAAAAAAAAAAAAAGAGAGAGAGGGAAATTGAAATTGAGGGGAGAAGCGCATTTCGGGCCGCATTCGTGTGGGCTGATGATACGTTTGGGGAATATGACTGTTTGTAGTTTATGCATGCGAGTGGTGGCTTGATACTGAGGATAGCCAGCAATAAAGTATGTAGGTAAGTTCTTCGTAAACATGATAAGCTTATGATGGTGAAACAAGAGGCTTTACATTGTTGGGTTGCATTTCTCGGCAGCCTTTGTTGTATATCAAATTTTAAATTTAGGGCCTCTGTGTGCAATGTGCGGATCTGATCACCGTAGCAGATTGGCTAGATATAGCGTTTCTTCCTGAGAAACTGCATGTATATGCGCAATACATGCTCTAGCGCAACGCCATCTTGGAGTTGTTACTTTGTCTCTACCCTTTTGCATCTAACGCTGCACGTAACTATTAGCTGCGTTTACTGACCCGGCACTGAAACTAAAAGGTTCCAGATGAAATTTAACTCTAAACGGCGACACGTGGAGAAGCTGCCTTGCTTTATTCCAACTGTAATTTACACCTCTTTCTCCAGACAAGGAAGGTTTGGCCGCCGTGGCGTAACTTTAGAGCGGGCTCATGCAAGCAGATTGGCATAAAGCTTAAGTCAAGTAAGCTCTTACACGAGGCATACGCCACAATTGACTCATCTTGAGATGGATAGAAAAGTATAAAAGGATTTCTCTTTGAAGAGAGAAGAAAATTCTACGGAAAGAGATGCTACTATCTTATACGTCATGGTGAGAAGAACAGATACAAATGAGATACAAGAAAATGCAAAAAAAATTGAGATCCCTCAGTTTCGGGAATGTATAGGAAAAGCCCAATGCGGGGGTCGAACCCGCAACCTTGAGATTACAGAACGTGTGTCTTAAGAGTCTCACGCTCTACCGATTGAGCTAACCGGGCGATCACGTGATTGTTGACCAATTACGTGTCCCGGTTGAGCTGAGGGAGCTCGTTGTTCGGGTCGGCCTTGGTTTTCTATATAACCTTTAGACTACAGTGTTCCTAGCCATTTACCTGCAAATACCTGCAATTCTCTTGCTTTTGCATCTCTTTTCTCTTTCTACAAGTGACTAGACGCGGTGTACAGCGGCTACAAGTCCAAAATTTGCGGTTATTAGGCCTGACTTGAAGAAATAAGACTACATTGGATAGGTTAAGATCTTGAATGTCCGACCCATATAACGTACCTATTCATTCATGCTCATGCCTGAACAACCCAGCTTGGTCTATTCACTCTCTAAAAGCTCATCAATAGCTTCGTCATAAGCCATCATAAGCCATGACTTTGGTTCGGACTGTCTCACGAGCTCCCATAATGAGCCCCTGCTGTCTCCTCCAACATCATAGACAGTCTTGAGACCAAGAGGTCTCGTATCATGAAGATATCAGAAGACTCATCAACCGTATCTTCAACGTCATTGAAAGCAGCGCCATTTCCTTAGCAGTCGTCACTTTTGGTCTTTCAGATTTTTAATTTAGATCGCATGCGTCTGCATTTGTATAGCTATTGAGGTTGGTGTAACTTTATCTACTCGTCTCTTTCTGTATCTATGGAGCCATCTGTTAGTCGCCCATAAACAGCCTTTAAAAAAAAAAGAGCAAGACGGATAGGCGCAACGGCATCGAGAATTATTCACCGCCCATTCTCACAGTCAGGTTTCACATACCCCAATTTTTGGACCGGGCCCGTGCCTATATTTCTCGCCTGTTACTGATGCAATTTAGCACAAGCAACAGCTCTTTCGGGTTGGGTGAGCGTAGAAAATAAATGTGCATTTACTGCAGCCCAACATGGACAACGTCCAACCTGAAAATGCAAATTCGGAGCTCAATATTGCGTGAAGACCCGGCCCCTTCGTCATCATTGTGCCTCAAGCCTCAAGTCGCTCCTTTCACGAATATCATCACCTTGTCTTCTTCAATATATCCGCCAATAATGCCGCTGTGGACATGCGATTTCGAACAATGCTGCCGACCAGCTGTCCGCAAATCGGGTGACTGCCTGCTCTGCAACCGCCATCTGTGCTCGATTCATTTGCAGCCCAGCCATCACACATGCCCCGAGTGGAAGGTTGCCTTCATTCATCTGAATCTAGATGATGTATAACGATTGACCAGATAGAATAGGATGCAGATGCATATGACCCTGCGGCTGGAGTGGCCCAAGAGAACGAACTCGAGACGCTCATTGCGAGAGTCAACATCCGTGCTCTTGAAGATAGAGCTAGTCATTTGCGACAGGGCATGCCTTGCTCCATCACTCCTCTGACCAGCCATGACGTGAGTTCCATGATGGGAGGGATGAACCATCATATCGATATTTGCTTTGGTGACGGCATGGTATGGATCGCTCGCATCCGAAGGTCCAACAGTAAATCTCCTCCACCAGCAGTGAGAGATTATATTCTTCAGAGCGAGGTTGCAACGCTCGAATTCCTTCATCGCACGGATGTACCTATTCCCAAAGTCTTTAATTTTGAGCTCGAGCATCCAGGTAACCCGGTTGGCGTCGGCTTCAATCTCATGGAGGAGCTACTAGGCAGGGCTTTGCAATGGGCCACCGCAACTCTGGAACAAAAGAAAACCGTGATGCAACAAATGATGGAAATTTACATTGGGCTTATAAATATCCTTTTCCGCTTCTTGGCTGTCTTAATAACGACACTCCTGGTGCGTATTGCGTGGGTGCAATTGCCTAAGAACCGCTTATGCTTGGCCTACCTAGCTTAGCCTATTCACTCTCTATGATAATGAGTGATCAAGTGACTAAAGTACCGTATATGCGCGGGGCAATTCCTATCTTCTATCTAATATAGCGCGCTTCCCGACAATCTATGGCGCCTTTGGGTATCTGAGTGTACTCATATTGTTCTTGTGCTTGGCATCTTTGATCTTTCCTGTTAGGTGGAAACGAGTAACTGGCAGAATTGTCTGTAGATGAGGGGGCAATCCTCCGCTTGGGAGACGAGATGCTATAGTTATGTTAGCAGAGTTTAGAAGAGTAATATATTTTGAGCGTTCCTACCCTGATTCAATAAAGCAGTGATATATGGTAGCGTCACCTGTCTAGCCTTGAGCTTTTGCTCGTTCGTCGTCTAGACGAAAAACAATCGTCCCGAGCAAGACAGTGCTGTAAGCTGAACTGCTGCGCCAACAGTCATACTCGCTGGAACTTCAAGACTTAAATCTTTGTGGCAAACCAGCTTGCCGCCAAAAACCTTTGCCTCCCAGTGGAAGCCGGATTCTCCCCGCACCTTGCTCCAAATACTCCCTGGGATATTGTTCAAGTCGCGATCGCCATCAAACCAGTCGAGCTCTCCGGTATTGAGATGAGCGTTAGAAATCTTCTCGATATCTCCAATATCGGTGCCGTGCATCGTTAGTGGTGTGGCGGGGATTTTACCGCCAGCCAGCATAACGACAAATAGGTGAACGAACTCGTGAGCGAGTGCTACGCTCATACTGGCTAGATACGTTGTCCAGTTTTTCATGGCTTGACGACGTTCAGTAGCGGTCGCGTTAGGACTCGTAGCAATAATTGCTGCTTTTTTGGCAGACACCACATTCTAATTCATGAAAGATTAGTCTTGCGATCAAGATGGACGATGTTTTATGCTGTCATACTTCTCCGTTCAAAAGAACTCTGGCGCTCTGGCCTGGATCGTAGTCGGCGATGGTATAGCCCGGCTGTAACCACATGCCGCGTGGCCGAACTTCGGCGTCTGCTCCTTCCAGGTCACGGTGGCCAAGAAGTTCAATGGTCGGAAATCGAGCTCTCAGAATGCGTAAGAAATGATTCACAACACCGAATGAATCAACACCGGTTGGTATGGGAGTGACGCTGGAACCTTGTCCATTCCACGTATTCGTAACCTCAGGATGGATTGCTCGAAGAACTTCATGGCTTTTGGGAGAAATGATAAGAGCAAATGATATGTCAACCACCTTCCTAACTACATGCCTGAACCTTGGGTCATTGTCCTGATTCGGAGTCCCGTTACCAAGCGGGTTGACTGTGATGGGAAACCCGAAATAACTGAATATAGTATTTGGGTTCTGGTGAATGATAGTAGGAATCCAGCTAGGTAAAAGGCCGTTAAATGCCTTGAAAGTTGCCAAAGCATCAGAGGCGCCCTGCTGCATGAGCCAGTCATTGGGATACTGCTGCTCGGCATCGTCTTGTCTGTACTCCTCGGGGCGAACTGCGGAGCTACTTTCATCGAGGAGCCATCTGAGGTGAAATATATCTTGTATCTCAAATACGGCTTTTGTGGCCCTTCCTGGAAGCGCGTTGTTGGTAGGCAAGTCATTGTACAGGCGAACCAATTGCCTGATGTGCAACTTTTGGGCTATTGTCGCTTCATGGGGGATTTGATTCCCTGGAGTCATGAGATTGTTGACTGTCGCCATATCGAATTCCCACGTGTACGTTATCAAAGCCTGAAGTCGCGTACTCGAAGGCGCGGTCGGGGGGGGGGGGGGGGGAGAATAGAAACGGCGATAATGAGAAGAGGAAGGAGGGTGAAACAAACGCGTGTGAAAATTTTGCTTCTGCTGCTCTTAAAAAAATTTCAGGGCATCAGACATGGGATGGCCATTCACTTCATTGTCAGTTTGCGGTCCTTGCGCTGCCAGCTGGCTACCACTCGCGGCCGTACGTGCTGTCAAGGCCTGTCTGAAAGCCAGCCCTTATACCATGTCCCCAGCCACTTCCATTTCATCTTCAACTCTTGCTGCTTCGTGCCATTCTTGTTGGACACTTCCACGGTCAAGTTCTGGAGCGCGAGAGCTTAATAGTCTTCGAAGGCTTGGATCGCGGCTGCCGAAAGACATCCAAAGCTCATCCTTTGGAGACTGGCAAGATCCAAGACAATGATAAGTGCTGATATTCAAGTTTGTTTCTTCATCGCTTATTCCTTGGTCGAGGGAAATGCGGTAATCTGTTATGCATACTGGGCACGAATCCTGCTCCAGATCGAATTCAACAGCTTCTCCATCGTCTTGAAGATAAGGCTCTCTTGGCTGAACGCTTAGACAGTCGCGCGAGCGCCCTGGAAGTTTGTGCTTGATATAACAGCAACGTGGGTAGGCTGTGCAAGTGAGATGGGGGCAGATCGATATTGACATACTGCCTATAACCTTTTCAAGGAGCTCTTCGGATACTAGGGGTCCGGTTATTGTAAAAAATCTGGCAACATAGAGCTTGTTATCGATGATTTTCGGAATAGATCGAAAGAAAAATCTCCAGGTGTTTTTCTTTATTTGTAACGCTTCGAAATTATCTCCGGAAAACTGAGTTTTGGTATTGGAGGTGTCTTCCCAGTCGTAAAAAGTGTATGAGCACCCGTCTTTGAGTTTAATGCATTGTAACTCAATGACATCCTCACATGACTCATATTGTTCTAGATTCTTGAGAGAGATACCATGGGAGAACCCGTGAAAATGCCGACGCATGACCAGATTCGCTTCCATAAAGCAAATATTGTAATTGCTCACTAAGTGGCGGAATTGTTCTGGGAATAAGACGTGATCGATCTGTAATCCATTGGGCCACCAGTGTATACGAGGGAAGATATTGGGAGTCTCTCCATACGCCTGGTCCCCCTTGCTAAGAGTCTCTTCATGAGGCCGGCTTTTCCACCTAAGATTGGGATCAAACGGGCGCAACTTGTAGCAACAATAGCAAAAATACACACTAGGAATATTCTTTTGCAACGTTGAAAGAAGTTCTATCAGCCCCTCCCCTTCGAGACACGGGAGCGTGCTTCTATGAGTCAGCTCCGTAAAAGATTTGCAGGTCAAAGCTAAAGAATATTTCCATGGTAGAGACAAGTTGCTTATGATCAGCAGTAGGATTTCGGTTGGAAGCGCCCATATAGTTTGGCGAAAGGCATTTTCTGGACTTGGGAGTCTCTTCTTTTTGGACGCCTTTGCCTCAATGAGGCGCTGGCTGCGTCGCTTGGGTGTAGATTGTTTGTTGTTTTGGCGCATTTTTGGCTGTAGAAAGTGATTTGCTTCCAGATTTCCCGATTCAAGATGCGTTTGAGGGGGATTGCTTAGGATTAACAAATCGAGAATCCAATCTGGTTGTGCAGAAGGCTATATACATTTTCAGTTTGCATGTGATACGGGCCACTTACAGTGGCGCTTTGTAAGTTTTGACGCCGATACGTGGCTATTACGCACAATGTTCTTTTGTGTTACATGGCTAACAAACGATGACGAGAACATCTAGAGAGAACTCTTTACTCCAAGGCTGTGGCACGCCGCAGTGGGTCATAGTTCCTCACAGGCTACAGCCAAGTATACGCGAGATCTCACCGGTCGATCGCTTAGACCAAGTGTCAACGTTTCAGGCATTGGCTCCTTTAGCATGAAATTAAGTGCAAGATCTTTGTGTAGGTGGCTAGATGAATGCTGTCCCTTGGCCTCTGAGGAGCCTAATACATAGACTTTTGTTTCCGCTTTTGGTAATGACCGAGAACCATGCTAGAGGTGGATAGTTGACTAAACAGAAAAAAGACGGGAAAGGGGCAGAAAAATACTTTCCTTTTACTACACATCGTGCCAGTCAGCATACGGGTTCAACAATCATCAAGACAAGCAGTTCTTCGCAATGGAAGACGAAGCAGTTCGTATGAGCTGGCTTAGCGGCCGGCCCCAGCGCGTCTTCAACTTGCGCCCGCCTCCTGAGTTTTCAAGCAGCAATTGCTCGTTTGGGGCGCAATGGAGCGTCATGGACGATCAAATCTTGTTGACATTCGAAGAAGAAGCAGACGGCACAATCACCAAACACCCGTCTTCTATTTTCTTGGCCGACGTTCACGACATCTTGGAAGCCAACGACGTTGTCGAGTTCAGAAAGATTGTTAAGCTGCCGTTCAAAGCCACAAGATCAAGGCTATTGAGCCACCGAGCGGGGTTCGTCACCGCAGAGTTTAAAGAGGAGTAAATGCTATCAAGCCATGAGTTCTTGAAAAAGTCATGTTGCTAAACTTATATCTAGCGAAAAGAAGCTGCTGTTGCGCACGCACGACTGGGATGGAAACACCACTAGAGAAACAACAGTAGATGTGGCCTCTATTGACGGGCAACTCGTCGTGAATGACTCATGCGTTGCCCTTTGTGTGGACGATGAGCCAAAGAAAGGATGGTGCATCGGTGGCTGCCGCACACTGAGCCAGATTGTTATCTGGAATCTCGAATCAGGAGACGTTACAAGAATCGTTATACCTCAAGACGATCGCGCACCTCAGTGTGTAAGTTGAGCAACAAAACGAACCGTCTGTTCGTACAACCGCATAGTATTTTACTAAAACTTCCTTTAGCACAGTGGCAATTTTACGTTTGTCACGCCTTCGTGCATCGCTCTGGGTGGCCATATTGATCCTGAGCACGACCAGGCATACAGTCTCCTAAGATCATTCTCAACCGTTCCCTCGGAGAAGCAGGCTGGGCGGCTATTCCATCATGGTGGGAACTTTGAGTTTTTAGACAATCACGACGCGCTAGCAATTTCTGGAAGTTCTGCCAGCAGTGATTTTGTTGTTCATTATCATCATAGCGGAGGTCGCTTCACAGTTGCGGACAAGGGTTTGCTCACAGGTGAAATTCCAGTAAGTGAAAACGGCCAACTTGAAGGATCCGAAGCTTACAACCAGCGGATAGTCTGAGGCGCTCCCAACGCCCGGGTATTTCATAGACCCAGATTTATACAAGGACCTCTTCCATGTCTTCATGGACAAGTTTAGCGCACGAACACTCCCAGGCGTGCTGTATGAAAGACTCTCTAGCCTGGCCGGGAACAAGCTGCTCGTGCAAGATGACCTCGAATATGAACACGACGAAGAACAATACTCTGGGTTTCATGACGCTCGCTCATTTGGAGAGTTCCGAATCCTCTATCTCTATGATTTCGACCAGAATCGCTGCAACAAGTTACGACAGCTTTCACCTGACTCTGAGCGCGCAGATCTTGCGGCCCGTCTAAAAGAACGAAATCCAGACGCCAGAGTGACTGTTGTGTCTCGTATGTTCTACATGGGTATTGAAGAAGCCATGGATACGGAAAAGGACACCTCACCAGAGTGGGCGGAACACGATCGCCAGTTATGGTTGACTAATGAGGCGCGTGGAAAGGGAGAGGCCGAGTTCCCCGTGCTTGAATTCGACGATCCTCCAAAAGGTCACAACAGCCCTCGGATGTTATACACCCGAAGTATGCTTTGTCTTCCTAAAATAAGAGAAGGCCAACAGTTTGCTTTGACAACTTCGGCAATAATAGAGCTCCCTACACATGAAGCAGATGGATATGTGCACTATTTTGGCGAAGAATAGGCACTGATGGTATTATAACTCAATTCTAATAGTTTATTTGTAAATGGCTATAAGTAAAGCGTTAGTTAGAGATATATATCACCGTAATTCCCAAGCCCCTAGTCTTTCCGTATTATATATACATGGTGCATGCACTATGTGAGAGAAGAGCCTTGAAAAGGAAAGCAGCTTGAGATGCATTGTAAACATAGCCATTGGTACAAGACTTCAAACCTATTAAACATATCTCTGCATCTTGGGATATGCAGGCGGTTTGACACGATGAGGGCACCAGTGGGTTGGTCTCCCCTTGGCCAACTGCCGGGCGAAGGATGATACAACAAGATGCACAAAGCAGGGGGGTCGTGTTTTGGAGGGGAAATTATCCAGTACCTCAATTCTAGTACACAGTGCCTCGGTTATAACTTAACAAGGCAGTTGGTCTACCTATATCCAAAGTAGAGTATAAGAAGTCTAATTACTATATTCACCTATATACTACTACTACTACTACTACTGCTACTGCTACTACTGCTGCTGCTACTACTACTGAAGTCAATGTAAAAGCTCTGGCCAAGAGCCCATCGATTATGGGGCCTCTAAAAGGGATTTACTAAAGCTGTAGTTTGTGTGCGAGCCCATGCCAATTGATTTGCAGAGCAAGTTTAACAATTGCTTACAAAAGTCACGCCTTTGGTCATGGTATACATTAAAATGTTCCCCATTTTCCCTAGCCGAGCATGTTTGTAATTAAGAATGGAATAGCATGTAAATCGATTGGATACATGCGCCATCTGCTCCATTGTAGCTGAGAAGCAAGTTGCCTAAAAGGGAAGGTTTCGCTTTCTCTGGGATAAAGTATCTCCGCCCCGCTATCTACATCCCTGTCACCAGATTCCCAGAATCGCATCAAATGTGTCGACGCGATCCGGCCATCAGATTGGCCAGCATTTTCATACAACACAGAGCCTTTGAAGCGCCTCAAACAATTGGCCTCTGCTATTCACAACAACCCCTGCTCTCGATAAAACGAACCATGCTGCAGCAACTCGACTGAATCATTGCGATCGCAACGGGAGATCCATCATGTTCACCTTCTGCCCGCTTCAGGGCGCTCTTTCGGAGTCGCTCGCGTCGCAATCTCTCCTGGAGCTCGATGGAGGGGTCAAGGTGCTGGTCGATCTGGGATGGGACGAGTCTTTCAGCAGTGAGAAGCTCGAGGAGCTGGAAAAGTAGGTGTTGACGGCGGATTGCTCATGGAATGGGAGTTGGAGCAGACAGAGCAGACAGAGCACAGCTAACCTGAGCTTCCAGACAAGTGCCCACCCTCTCTCTCATTCTTCTGACCCATGCGACGACATCGCATCTTGCTGCCTACGCCCACTGCTGCAAAAACATTGCTCTCTTCACACGCATCCCCGTCTATGCGACTCGGCCCGTCATCGATCTGGGACGAACGCTCACACAAGACCTCTACTCTTCGACGCCAGCAGCCGCCACGACGATCCGCCAAAGCTCGCTCTCGGAGACGACATACGCTTATTCGCAAACGGCTACAACTGCGCAGAATCTTCTTCTCCAATCCCCCACTCCCGAAGAGATTGCGCGATACTTCTCCCTCATCCAGCCGCTTAAATACTCGCAACCCCATCAACCTCTCTCTTCGCCCTTCTCTCCTCCGTTAAATGGACTCACAATTACCGCCTACAACTCCGGGCACACTCTTGGTGGCACAATCTGGCACATTCAGCACGGGCTAGAATCTATCGTATATGCTGTGGATTGGAACCAGGCCCGCGAGAATGTATTTGCTGGAGCCGCCTGGCTTGGAGGTGCTGGGGGCGGTGGTGCAGAGGTTATCGAGCAACTACGCAAGCCAACCGCGTTGATTTGCAGTTCCCGCGGTGCTGATAAATCTGCGCAGGCGGGCGGTCGTGCCAAGCGAGACGAGCATCTCATTGATATGATCAAGTCCTGTGTTAGTCGAGGTGGCACAGTTCTCATACCTGTAGATTCTAGTGCCAGAGTTTTGGAGATATCGTATCTTCTGGAAAATGCTTGGAGGACTGATGCGGCTAATAGAGATGGAGTGCTAAAGTTTTCAAAGCTATATCTAGCGGGTCGCAATGTGTCTAGTACCATGAGATATGCGCGGAGTATGCTGGAGTGGATGGACAACAACATTGTCCAGGAATTTGAGGCTTTTGCAGAGGGCCAGAGGAAAACCAACGGGGGTAGCGAGAAAAAAGAAGGAGCACCATTCGATTTCAAATACCTGCGCCTATTAGAACGGAAAGCCCAGATTGCAAAGCTTCTAAGCCAGAGCATCGAAAATGGGGAAACACAGGGACGTGTGATCCTAGCCAGTGACGTTAGTATGGACTGGGGATTTTCCAAGGACCTGATCAAAGGCCTGGCAAAAGACACTCGCAACCTAGTCATTTTAACAGAGCGGCCTAGCTTGGCCAATACCGATGCTCCCTCCATATCGAGAATGATGTGGGAATGGTGGAAAGAGAGAAGAGATGGCATTTCTACAGAGCATGCTAGCAACGGAGACAGCCTAGAGACAATCTACAGCGGTGGACGTGAGTTGGAGGTTCGCGAAGCTCGCCGCGAACCTTTGGAAGGAGACGAGCTTGCCATCTATCAACAGTGGCTGGCTACCCAGAGACAGCTGCAGGCAACTCAGCAAGCCGGTGGAGCAGGCGCGCTGGAAGCATCTGCTGATGTTGTGGACGACGCATCATCTGAATCATCATCCGACTCTGAAGAGGAAGGCGAACAACAGGGTAAAGCACTCAACGTTTCTGCCACGATGGGTCAGGCTGGCCGCAAGAATGTCGTCCTCAAGGATGAAGACCTGGGCATAAATATCCTAATTAAGAAGAAAACGGTGTTTGACTTTGACACCCGAGGCAAAAGGGGCAGAGAGCGATCGTTCCCCATGGCCATTAGGCGGAAGAGACATGATGACTTTGGCGAACTGATTCGTCCAGAAGATTATCTACGAGCCGAGGAAAAGGAAGACGACGCAGCTGACGGAGCTCAAATCGCTGCAGAAGACGAAAAGCTTGGCAAGAAGCGCAAGTGGGATGATGTCGTCAAGCAGGTGGCTGGTGCCAACAAGCGGCCAAGCAACAACAGAACAGCCACCGCAGACGATGCGGAGACCATGGACCTGGCAGATGGTGCTGTCGCGGACGAACTGGACATGGTAGAAGACACTGAACCAGAGGAACCTACAGGACCATGCAAATTAGTATACAACACAGAATCCGTGGCAGTCAACCTGCGGATTGCATTTATAGACTTTAGCGGATTACACGACAAACGAAGTCTCAACATGCTAATACCCCTTATCCAGCCACGCAAGCTGATTCTCGTGGGAGGCACTCAGGAAGAGACCATGACTCTGGCGACAGACTGTCGGGCTGCACTGGCGTCCGATGGGGATCGCTCCGTCGATGTATTCACGCCCGAGATAGGCACATGGGTGGACGCCAGCATGGACACAAACGCTTGGGTCGTGAAGCTAGCCGATCCCCTGGTCAAGAAGCTCAAGTGGCAAAACGTCCGGGGCCTAGGCATCGTCACCATCACAGGCCAGCTGCTAGCCTCAGCCCTGGCTCAAGAAGCAGAAGGCCAAACGCAAGAAGATGCGGCAAATAAGAGGCAAAAGACCGAGCCGTCCACATCCACAGCCGTGGCGCTCACCAACGCAGCAGACACGGCTACTATGCCCACTCTAGATGTCCTCCCTGCGAACCTCATCTCGGCTGCCCGTTCGGCCGCTCAGTCTCTTCACGTCGGCGACCTGCGACTTGCTGATCTCCGTCGTGCGATGCAAAGCGCAGGCCACTCAGCCGAGTTCCGCGGCGAAGGTACTCTTGTCGTGGACGGCTCGGTGGCAGTACGCAAGACGGCTGAGGGCCGCATCGACGTTGAGAGCGTGGGCCTTCCTCTCGGCGGGAAGAGAAGCACACTGTATCAAGTCAAGAGAGCGATTTACGATAACTTGGCGGTTGTTGCTGGTGCTTAAGGAGAGGCACTAGGAAGAGTTCAGCCAGGGTTTATTGATGCTCTTTTTTTTTCTGTCCCTTTTGTATGGTAGAGCTAGGAAAAGCGGGATAATGTGTACAAACTACTTTCAAGGCTTAAATGAATATGGGGGAGACATGTATATGTATGATTACTTTAGATCCAGTCATCAAAGCAATATTCACTGCAAGCGAGAAGACTTCTTATTCTTTGTGAAGATGCGTCTTAGTTTCATGCGTAGGGTGTTCAGTTACTGCCTTTGAACAACAGTGATTCGATGCGGCCCCTTTCACAACGACGTCTCTGCATCATTCTTTTCTTGCTGAATATACACACATGTATATCTATAACTGCTAACCCTTTTCTCTTCCCCCTTCTCTTCTTCCTTCGTATTCCCTTGATTCGACTTCCACACACCAACATATCCCCAACCAAAAAAAATCTCTTTCCATATCAAAATTCCAAATTTCCACCTCACTTCTGACCCCCCCAAAAACGAACCACTCCTCTCCACACCCAAAGCAAAAAAGCAAAACCAAACACACAAAAATGTGCTTCACCCTCATCGGCACCCTCGTCTGCAGATGCTGCCAACGCACAATCTCCGAGCTCGCCACGGGAGACGTCCTCTTCTGCCAGAGCGGAAGCCCATGCGGACGATATGTATCCAAGAAGGTAGACGAGACAATCTGGGGCATGTGCGCCGTGTGCGAGTCGAGTCGGCAAGAGAGACGATCGGCAGCTGCGCGGCTGAATAGGGCGTTCCAGAGACAATAATTGTTTTTTTTTTTTTTTTTTTGTTTTTCTCTCATTTTGTGTTTGTTATTGTTTTGTTTCCTGGAAGATGTTTGGCCAGCGACTTTATGCTTCTCTTTCCCCATTTCACCAGACTCTTTCTTTTTGTTTTCTTGTTTACATGCTACATACATATTGTTTGTATATTGGGGAAGCTCAGTAGAGCATCCCAGTGCATCAACAACGCAATAAACACAGACACCTAGACTGGAACATGTCATTTACAAGTAAACTATACTTGGATAGTTCAAAAGAGATCAAGTAATGCTCAGAGCCAAAGAGTATACTTACAGGGATAGTATAGATGCATATAATGCTGCCGCTGACCAGCAATACGCTTCTGTCCCAGACTTGAAACTCCCACCTTTGCTCAGTAGATTCTGCAAACATTTCTAATATGTCTTATGACACTACTTTCTCGAAACTGGACATCTACGCCACTCACATACACCGCATAAATGAGAGAGAAACGTGTGAAATTGTCTAGCCTAGTCAAGAATATCCCACTCACTATCTGCCAAATACTCTTCTCCATCAGAGACCAGGTGATCTCAGTTGTGTGCGAGTTTTTCAGTTAGTCCGAAAGTTATCAAATTCCTCACGCCCAAGCCCTACAATTCCTCTCCCAAAAAAAGTTTTTTTTCTCAGTTTTTTTTTAATAATACTTCATCCACGGGTTTTCATCTTCCTGTCGAGTGTTCTCAAACCTGTCAATAATCGTCCCAAGTCGCGCATAATCACTCATTGCCAGAGATGGGACGTATAAACTCGTCAAAGCGTGAGCTGACAAGATACAGAACACTCAACCTTTCAACCAGCCTTCCAAAGTTATCACCCATCTTTCAACAAGGTCCTCAAAATACGTGTAGAAGGTTGACTTCCTCCAAACTCTCGTCATCAAGGTTCCGTACGTCCAACGTGATGATTCGTCAAAAAGGTATCGTAGCCGTCTCGTCGATGCACCTGACCTGACCGATCCTTTCAACAGAAAATCCCAACTGCTTTCCTCCCGAAATGCAAGGAGCCAGCATCAAGATACCGAGAGAAAAAACCAGGTACGCCGTGATGCATGCTTCTTCCGCCCCTTGCGTCTAACTACGCCAGCCAGCCCATAGCAACAAGTTCTGCCCACCGCCTCTCCTTTGAAAAATGGTATCCATCTCGCTCTCTCTTCTTAATTCCTAGGTCCCCAGTTCGTCCGATCCTTTCTTCATTCGTCAACGCCATCAGCCATGCAAAGAACAAAAAGAGAAAAGAATTTTCCAGAGCCGATAGCGGAACGTATAAAGTCGACAAAAAGCGCTGCTCAAAGACAAAAGAAAAGCCGAAGACGATATAAACGAGGAGCTCGTCGTTTAAATACTAGTATAGCATCCTTTTTTTGTTCTCAGGTTCGTTTCGCGCGCTTTGTAGATGAGATAAAGAAAAAGCTGAACCAGGGACCCCCAAGAATGTGGCTTGATCAGAGTTCATCAGCAATATAGTCCGGTTCGCCGTTCCGCTCGTGCGCCAATACTCGTGCGGATAATGTACAATCCAACAATTAAAACTGCCCCAAGTCCTACAGAAAAAAGATGCTGAAATCAAAAGAAGGTAATAAAAAAGAAAAGGTAAAAGAAAATCATCGTCAAACATCCACGTACGCCTCCTTCAAAGCAAAAAAGGGGGCAAGATGGATTAGGATGTAGGGTCGCGTGGTGGCTGGCCGCGGCCTCTGCCATTGCCACCGCTGCTACCACCTCGACCACGATAACCGCGGCCACGTCCACCTCGGCCACGTCCGCCGTTAAATTGGGCATTGCCGTTGTGTTGACCATTTTGAGCAGGCCAGTTTCCTTGGAGCGGTTGGTGATAAGCCGGTTGGCCTGGCGCCGGGCCTAAAAGGGCCTGCTGCTGAGGAACCGCATTCTTAGGGAGGTTCGAAATGGGACGAGGGATCGACTCGGGATTTTCGTAGACGTAAAGGCTCTTATCGATGCTCGCAGGGATTGGTAGAATTTCAGTTCCAAGGTCCCTCTCAATATTGTAGAGGTTAAAGCGGTCGTCCCAATTGATCAAATTGATAGCCAGACCAAGGTGACCAAAACGACCAGATCGACCAATACGATGCAAATAAGTTTCGGCGTTCTTGGGGAAGTCAAAGTTGATGACGACGTTTACAGCCTGGATATCAATACCTCGGGTGAGAAGATCTGAGCAGACCAAGTTTCGACAAACGCCGTTACGAAAGTCGTGGAAGACTCGGTTTCGGGCATGCTGTTGCATTCTAGCGTGGCTGTAGAAGCACGAGTAGCCGAGTTCAGTTATTTTTTTGGCAAGCAGCTCGACTCGGTTGGTCGAGTTGCAGAAGATGATGGATTGGTTGATTTGCAGCTTTGAGAAGAGGGTGTTCAAGCAGTGGACCTTTTGCTTCTCTTCGACAAAGGCATAGTACTGGGTAATACCTCGCAGGGTGAGTTCGTCCATGAGGTTGATTTCGTAGGGGCTGGTCATATTTTTGTCGGAAAAGTCCTTGACCGAGAGGGGGAAAGTGGCGGAGAAGAGCATGACCTGTCGGTCCTTTGGATGGAATTGAAGCAGCTGCTCAATGACGGGGGTGAATTCAATGGAGAGGAGCTTGTCAGCCTCGTCCATGATGAACATGGGACACTCGCTGAGATCCGCGACATTCTTTCCTGCGAGATCCAGGATTCGACCGGGAGTACCGACCACAATATGAACGGGCTCCTGCAAGCGGATGATATCATCTCGTAGACCAGTACCACCAGTTGTTACCATGACGTTGACACCGAGGTGCTTGCCCAGATTCTTGCAGACTTGAGACGTTTGCATGGCAAGCTCGCGTGTGGGGACGAGAATAAGACATTGGATTTTTGAGATTTTGGGGTTGATGCGTTCCAGAGCGGGGATGACAAAGGCGGCGGTTTTTCCCGTGCCATTTTTGGCTCGGGCTAGGACGTCACGGCCAGTTAATGCAACGGGGATGGCTTCCTCTTGGATGGGAGAAGGCTTCTCAAAGCCAGCTTCGAAGATTCCCATGAGCAGATCTCGCTTTAAAGCAAAGTTCTCAAACTCGAGGCCTTTTGTTTTTGTGACATCCTATTGTCCGACAACAAGCAGCACTCATCATCAGCCATCAATCGAGCCATGGTGGGCCATCAGGCAGAAGAGAAGAACAAACCTCTGTTTGCAGTCTGGTATCCTTGGCGGGGATATTCAGGTTCTGTTTCCAGTCGTCACCTCGTGGGGAAGTGCCATCACTAATAGCGGCAGTCCGTTAGCAATGGATGAACGGATGAATCTCCTCCTTGCTCGAGGAGAAGCTACAATCATTGGCTCTCTGAGAGAGGAAATGGAAAGCCATTCTAACCTCAACTGGGTGTTTTGTAACTGATCTGCTAGCTGGCTGGCCATTTTTGGCGGAGTCTGAACCTCGAGTTTCCGAGGTATAAAGTCTTTTTTTCAATTTTTTTTTTTTTCGGTTCGGATAGCGGGCGGTTCAACGGGCCCTGCAACTTCAAGGTTGCGAGATGGAAGTGGTTGTTGTGTTGGTCTCGTTTGTTTGATGGTGTATAGTCGAAGAAGCGGATTAGTCGAACCTGTTCTTTGAAGAAAGGATACGACTTGGGTAGCAGCGGAGAGGGAGAGGAGGAGAGGGAAGCAGGCAATTCAGTGGTGAAGGAGCCCGGGTTGTTGAGTGTCGACAGTATCGCCGTTTGTCTAGTCGCTTGAAGATTATGGCGGCACAGAGGCCTAGGATTGTGTGGAAATGGTATGAGATGGAAGAGGGAATTGAGAATTGGAAAGGATCCTGATAGATAAGAGGCAGATGAAGCAACTGAGTTGCAGAGCGGTCGTTTTAGTGTGAGTCACGTGGTAGCGGGGCTCTCGCAGGTCCAGCCTTTCAGCCTCTCTCCGAAAACCGTCGCCTTGTTTGTTTGCCTCACCGCTCTAGACGCAAATATAGAGGCCCATGTCACAGTTTGGGGTTTCATTCAACTGTCTGACCACTGATTGCATTAGTGTTTAGTGGGTATTTCAGCAGAGCCATGGGCAACACCAGAGGTGGGATTAAACTACAAAGCGCAGACGAAAGATTACGGCAGTCGCATGCGATTGAAACATGCCCCTGGTTTATCTGACAAGTTAGGCCCTAAGCAGCTGCATCCTACCCCAGATAGTACAAGGGAGCAGGTACCTTCTCCGCCCGGAGGACCGCTCGGCCTGGAGAAGGGACATTCGGGTCATTACTATGAGACATTGAAGCAATTGTTTGCCTTATATAATCTCTCTACGGGACAGTGCACGTATTCAAGGGGCTTGGTTACGTTAGGTGCCTGCCTATGCACTGGTATCCTGCCTAAGCATGGAAAAGGGAGCGAGAAATCTCAAAAATCATGAGACCAATATTCACTATTGCTAGTAGACATGTATATACACAAAGCAGTTGGTAGTACGGAATGCATGCGTGTTACGGCCTTGCGATTTTCTGTTTTCCCGGCCTCTAGAGGATTATACGATGGTCGTGGTTTAGTGCCTTGTATACGCCGCATGGCCCTTTTCATCAACCGTATCATGACCAGCAGTTCCTTTTTAGCCATCCGGACTTTTTCTTTTCCCCCTCACAATCATCTTCTCCTTCGTCTACAGAAAGGAGCATCTATTAGTCTATAGAAATGAAGATGTGCACCTACCTACCAAGAAAAGTGAGCCAGTCACAGCCAAGGCGCTTCTCTGCCTGTATTCTCCGTCTCATCTACAACGCATTCTTCCCGCACCAGCTACATGGTTAATATTCAATTTCCTGACTCGCAAAAACAACACTATTGTATTTGTTCCCGTCGCACAGCTCCTGCACTCAAGAAGTGAAAATAGCAAACAGCAAACACTGATACAAATGGACTTGAGTGCGGTGGATGAAATGACCAGAGCGGGCGCCCGTCGAGCCAAAGGGGAATTTAGCCATGTGCAGTGCCTCGGCATCTCCCAGGCTCCGCTACGGCTGCGGTTGCGGCTACGTCGGCGACCAAAAACCCCCATGACATCAGCAAGTCCGTTCTGTTTTAGAATGGCTGTTTTCACATGCTTCCAAACTAACAAACTTGTCACGACTCAAAAAAAAAATACCACATGACAGCGACGTCTTTCGCGTTTGGTACTAGACTAGTGTAGGCAGGGCAAACAAGAGTCCAGGAATCCGAATTGCCATTGCAAGCGCCGGGATAGGCCCAACTGCAATTGCGGAGCGCGCATGGGGGAGTTTTGTGGGGGAAAGGCTAACAAGTCCTGAGAGCAGCGCCCCGGACATGTAGAACTGCAGTGGCTTATAAGCTGAATCAAAGACACGCGCCGCAGTTGGTTTTTGGCCTTGTCGGAGCATGTGATTGACATTTGCCGACGGGATTGTTAAATACCGTTTCTTGTCTGCTGTTCGACATGTTTTTCTTTCCTCTTTTTCTCTCCATATTTTTCTTCTTTGCAATCTAATCTATTTTAAACAACCAAGCTTCGTCGTTTACTTGTTTTCCTATAATTCCCACCATGACAAAGGTATTCACAGCTGCCGAGGTTGCCTCGCACAACAAGCCCGACAGCTTGTACATCACCGTCGACGGCGACGTCTACGATTTGACCAACTTCCAAGAGGACCACCCTGGTGAGCATCTCCCTTTTCTCTTATATAATCTTCACATCTAGCAAGTTGCTAACAACTCCCAGGTGGAAAGAAGATCCTACAGCGCGTTGCCGGCAAGGATGCTTCCAAGCAGTTCTGGAAGTACCACAACGAGGGCATCCTGAAAAAGTACAAGGCCAAGCTCCAGGTCGGCTCCCTCGACACCAAGCCCAAGGAGGAGCCCAAGCCCGAGCCTGCTCCTGCTCCCGCCCCTGCTCCCAAGGCTGTCGTCAAGGCCTCGAGTAGCAGCAGCCACAGCGAGGAAGACTCGGAGCCTCTCGAGGCGTTTGGCGACCAGATCCCCTTTGCCGACCCCAGCTGGTACCAGAACTACCACTCGCCTTACTTCAACGAGACCCACGCCGCCCTGCGCGCCGAGCTGCGCCAATGGATCGAGACCGACATTGAGCCTCACGTCACCGAGTGGGACGAGGCTAAGCGTGTTCCCGAGGAGATTTACAAGGAGATGGGCCGCCGAGGCTACTTGGCCGGCCTGCTGGGCGTCAAGTACCCGACCGACTTCGTGCCCGCGGGCGTAAAGTCGGTGCCCCCCGAGAAGTGGGATCTCTTCCACGAGATGATTGTCACCGATGAGCTGTCGCGGACAGGCTCCGGCGGCTTCGTCTGGAACCTGATTGGAGGCTTCGGCATCGGCGGCCCGCCGCTCTTCAAGTTCGGCTCCAAGGCTCTCAAGGAGCGCCTCGGCCCCGGCATCCTCAGCGGCGACAAGCGCATCTGCCTGGCCATCACCGAGCCCGATGCCGGCTCCGACGTGGCCAACCTCACCTGCGAGGCCAAGCTGAGCGAGGACGGCAAGCACTTCATCGTCAACGGCGAGAAGAAGTGGATCACCAACGGCATCTGGGCCGACTACTTCACCACCGCCGTGCGGACTGGCGGCCCGGGCATGAACGGCGTTTCTCTGCTGCTCATTGAGCGCGGCCCCGGAGTCTCGACTCGCCGTATGGACTGCCAGGGTGTCTGGTCTTCCGGCACCACGTACATCACCTTTGAGGATGTCAAGGTCCCTGTGGAGAACCTGCTCGGCAAGCAGAACCAGGGCTTCCGAGGTAAGTGCCCACACACACTGATTGCGCTTCAATGACCTATGCATCCGATGAGTTTTTGCTAACATGAATTCTTCCAGTCATCATGACCAACTTCAACCACGAACGCATGGGCATCATCATCCAGTCCCTGCGCTTCGCCCGCGTCTGCTACGAAGAGTCCGTCAAGTACGCCAACAAGCGCCGCACCTTTGGCAAGAAGCTCATTGAGCACCCCGTCATCCGCATGAAGCTGGCCCACATGGCCCGCCAGATCGAGGCCTCGTACAACTGGCTCGAGAACCTCGTCTTCCAGTGCGAAAAGATGGGCGAGACCGAGGCCATGCTGCGTCTCGGCGGGCCCATTGCCGGCCTCAAGGCCCAGGCCACCGTCACCTTTGAGTTCTGCGCCCGCGAGGCCAGTCAGATCTTCGGCGGTCTGTCCTATTCCCGCGGTGGCCAGGGCGCAAAGGTCGAGCGCCTGTACCGTGACGTTCGTGCCTATGCCATCCCCGGCGGCTCTGAAGAAATCATGCTGGATCTTAGCATGAGACAATCTTTGAGAGTTGCCAAGGCCATGGGCATGAAGCTGTAAAGGGGGAAAAATTAATGAATTGCGGATGACTTTTGTACATTGCTTTTGGGAGTCGAGGCAAAATTGTTGGAATTGCCGTGTATATGATTTGTACGACTACATCTCTTGAGATATGGAACTATTTCAGATTCTTTTTTCAGTATGAATAGCTTCTGTTTACTATATCGCAAACAGAGCGACCTATAGATTGAATGAAACTATTATATCCTTTATTATGACATGCAATGACTCGTGACAACTGTTGACATTAAAAGCTCATTCATGTACATTTTCACCGCAGTGCTCATGTACGCCACCAGCATATAAGCTATGATATAAGTTTTTCACTTTTTTTGAACTCATTGAACGAATCTACCTCTGTAGATAGACTTTGCTAAAATACACAAATACCAGATAGGTATGACATGGAGCGTAATGCCCTCCCTCTGCACGCCAAAAAAAACTCCGTAATACTGCTCTCCTAAAGCAAAGCAAGCCATGTAAATGCCCCTATATCTTCGAGTTCCAGTGCCAATGCCAGATATCCGATCATCTCCATATAGGTAAGGTATACTTGAAAGATGATTTGATGTCGTTTTTTTTTTTGTCCATTCTAATTTCCATCTCAGCTTATAACACTCCTTGACGAGATTACTTATGCGCCACCCCGGGGCTTTGCCTTGACCGCAGCCTTTTCCTTCTTATCCTGCTTAAGCTTCTTCTTCTTCTCCTCATTCTTCTCATCCAGCTTGCGCTTGTGCGCAGCTTTTTCCGCATCAGTCTTGGGAACGGGCTTGAAGAACCCCTCCAGGCGTGCCTGCTGAGAGCTCTTCAGGTTCTTCTCGAGCCGAGCGCCTGCACTGCGGACGCGATCCTCGGAGAATCCCTTTTCGGTGACGAGGAATGTGACCAAGCCTTCCATGTCGGGCTTTTCCCACTTGAAATCGCAAAGGGGATCGTCTGCTTGGCGCACGTCCGGGTTGAAGAATAGTTCTCGGGCGTCCTTGTAAGGCCAGTCCTCTGGCAGCGTGTACTTCTTCTTGCTATCTTTTTCGATGGCCTCGACAACCTTTTCCAGAGAGCCATGCTCTCGAATCAGTTTCAGAGCCGTGGTGGGCCCAACCTTGGGGACCGGATCGAGATAGTCACAGCCCAGCAGGATGCAGAGATCAACAAACTGAGAGAAACGCCAGTGTTAGCTAACAATTCGCCCGATTGGATACAAACACGATAAAATCACATACCTGCTTTCGCTCCATGTTCAACCCCTCCAGCACCCTGTCCAAGTGAATCTCCTGGATAGGCTCCTTTCTCTGCTCACTAAAAGTAAGGTGACGCAGCAAGATGGGAGTATTGAAGCACAGAGTGTCCATATCCTCACTCGCCGCAGCATACACCTTTCCAGCTCTTGCCAAGACTGCGCACTGGGCCTCAGCCTCTGTGGGTGCAATAATGTACGGAATGCCCATGAGCTTGAGCAAGCGCTGGCACTCGGCATTGTGTTCTCTCGTAACTCGAACCGTTCGCCTGGAGAACTTCTCGACATCCTCCGCGGTACCCGTCTCCTTGGCCTCCTCGAGGCCCTCTGTAGCCTCCTGCTTGCGCTGAAATCGCTTCGCCAACTCGCCAGACTTGAGCTTCGGCGGTGCGCCGTCGAAAACGTAGAGGGGCTTGATTCCGTTGTCCACCATGCGCAACGTGCGGTAGAACATGCCCATCAGATGCGACGTTGTCTCGCCACTCTCGTTCATGAGCTGCTGGCCATCGGATCGTACAGCAATCAGGAAGCTGTATATGCTCATGGAGGCGTCCTAGACAAAACGTATCGAGATGGCTGGTTAGCAACGGCAGCCCACCACGAAAATAGCAATGACAAGAAGCTGGCAACGCACAATAGCAACTTTGCGCCCAAACTGGTTCTTGATTTCGCCCTCTTTGATAGCATCTGGAGCCTCCTCCTTGACAATCTGGAATAGCTGCTTGATACCCATGGTTGCGACGGAGCTCTTTTCAGAAGCTGATTCACGGTGCAGTAGTTCGTAGTGAAGAGGGCAAAGGGAAGAAAGAGAGAGGACAAAAAGAAGAAGAGAGCTCGTTTGGTTCTACCAGCTGTCAATTAGCTCTGGAGCCCTCTTTCAGCAATCGTGCGGCTGCCTAATCGTCTGGAAGAAAATGGAGAAAAAAGAAGGACTATTTAATGGCAGACGATGGACACGCGCTGGAGGTGGTGAATGACGCGCCGATTCGCGAATGAAATGGCGGCATGTTAAGTGGTTTCCACTTTTTTTTCTACATAGGCAGCCAGCGCGCAACAGCATCAAAAGCAACAGAGACGGTTGAAAGTAGCAGCATTTTATAATGAAATTTGTCTCTATGGATTTTGAATTCAATTTATAATCGTTGGAAAGTAGACATGCACAGACACACACATATATATATATATATATATTTATATACTATACAATACAACATGTGCCAAATTCACAATAAAGCCACGGCAAATATTCTCCATCACATTCATATATTAAAATGTCTCGACAGTCACCACCACCTAACCAAGGAAGCACGCCCCCCACCATCTTCAACAGCCAGCAGCCCCGAGGAACCACGTAACTGTGAGCGGACGGCAGATAGCAGGGCGTCCCTCAGATCAGGAAAGCAAATGGTCATTTGTATAAATCCCCTCCTCTCCCTATCCCTGTAGATGCCATCGAGTAAAAGTGTTTGATCTACCGCTCGGAATACAGAGCAGTCAAGGATGAATCTCGCCTTGCGCTCCACCTTGCCGTGCGGAAAACAAGCATCCTCAGCAATGTGAGGATTGTTCAGTCACATGCATTCAAAAGAGAAAAGTAGGAGAAACGCAAGAAGAGAAAGAAAAATGGGACGAGGCATTTCACCATAGGAAAAATCAATGGGCTGGCTTCTTGGGCCATCCCTAAATAGCCAATTAGTTCGGGGTATCGTACACTGTGCCATCTCGGCGCATTTCAAAGTTGTCATTCGACAATGCCGCTCGTATTCCTGTTCTCATCAGTCGCCTTGAAATGTCTAATTATAATCAGTCTTCCTCAAAGAACACCTTCTTCCTCCCGCTGCCTCTATCATCCTCCATGTTGTTTAATGCTTGATCAATCTCCATGATATCAAGCATTTCCGCTTCCACGTTCCGGGTAGTGAAATCTGAGGTGACGTCTGCCGCTGCGCTTAAAGTATCAGCAAATCCAAAGCCGGCGCGCGATCGATTTGCCGGAGTTGGCACGTCATCCGATTTATCAGTCGCTCCGTTTCCGTTTCCGTTCCCGTTTCCTTCATACTCATCTCTGGCAGCCTGCTTCTGCCTTAGAGTTCCCGGTTTCACAGTACTCAAGTTGAATGACAAGCTTGCAGGTCGGTCCTGCTTGCCGTGAACTATGATGGCTTCCGATTTCTCATTTCTTGAAAACAGGCGTTTCCTGCGGCTAGCAACAACGTCGCCAATCTTTCTTCCTGGGCCGTCTTCTCCCTCTCGCACAATGACTATTCTTGATTCCCCTCGGATGAGTACGTCGACGGGGAGACCACCATCGTCGGGAATATCATCATCGTTCTTGCAAGCATCTGGAATCAAACCAACTCCACAACATCTTTCTCCTAGAAGACCAGTGGTAAGATCAACCAGCTTGACCATTCTAGTGGGTTGAGCACCGCTGAATAGATTGACACCGCCGCCAGATCCTCTTCGTAGCTGTGAATCCCAGAATCTCAACACACCTGGAATGACGCAGACATGTTCCAGCCCCCCTATCCACAGAGCCAAGCTCTCATCTTGAAGTGCTTTGCCAGGAGTCGAAGGAAGTCCAATGACTTTTATACCTCCACGAACTGCAAATAGGCGATCGAGGCTCGTGGCGGCATTCAAAGACGTGGCAGCCTGTTTGCGGGTATGGGGCGTCATAGGTGCAAAGTCACCAGCATGCTTGTCTTTCTGCTGCGTTGCAATGGTGCGTAGTGCGCCTGTTCCCTCAACATATCCTGAGACACTAAAGGCAGTCAAGGCAGCCCCCTGAACACCCGATTTCAACTTGCTAGATATAGCGGCTCCCGATTGCAGCGGCTTCGCGCCTTCAATGTCCCAGATGCCCCACATGCCATCTGCTAATAAGGCGAAGACTGCCCGGCCATGAGCTATCCATGCGGCATCCAGTATCGGCTTGCGTGAGGAAGATATCTTGGCAAATGGCTGGTATAGTGAGAGTAGCCACGAGCCTTGAGCCGGGAAGGGTCCTCGGGCATCCAAGTCTGGGGGTAATGATGGCTGCGCAAAATCGTATATCCTTACAGCGTGAGGTGACGACACCGCAAGGAGCTGTGAAGCATTTGTGGGGTTGAATGAGATGCTGGTGAGGGGAGCAGGGAGAAACTCGCTCTGAAAGGGCTCAATTGGCCGTTGGGAAGACATCTTGTCTTCTAGCGCGATATCCCACAGATGCAGAACGCCAGAAGCTTGTCTTGAGAAGGCGGCCACCACTACCCTTGGCGCCTTGCTTGATGATTCGATAGATCTTGGGGCAATCAGAGTGATGGCTAGGCCGTCGCTGTGTTTTGTCTGGCCACCAAGAAGCGTCAGGGATTCGCCCCAGGACCCAGATCCAGCTTGTCCAGCCAAGAGATCTGCTCTGAGTTCTGGTCTCGCCTTGCTTTGGGGAGAGGGTGGCGTCAGGGGCAGTGTGACAAGATAGGCATCGTTTGTGGCGCAGGACACCGCGAATACCATCTTTTCGGCCAAGATTGGCTCGCCATTGGATGCCACTTCAGCTGAAGAACACGGTATTAGAGGCATTACAGCAACTTTCAACACAGCCGTCCCAAAAGCTAGATCCAATGTCTGAATGGTCTCGGGATAGGGGTTCCTTTCGATGGTGTCTTCAAACTCAGGCTTGTCGACAAAGCTCTGGCCAGTCTGTGATTTCGCCGGCGGCTCGTCATCATCTGAGTCAATAATCATGACAGAATCTTCAGAAGCTCCATTTCTCTGCTCTTTATGGTTTGTCGGTTGTTTCGATGTCTCTTTGGAAGCTTTAAAACGTCGGCCGCCTCGCCAAACCAAAGTTACGCCGTTGTCGTGCCCATAGATTAATATGGTAGCTCCCTGAGGGGATTGAACGGGGTATGTCTGGACATCGTTGACTCGGCGTGACAAGTTGTATCTGTGATCTTGGCATTAGTCTCATACTACGCGATGCTTTTGTCGCATACTCACGTAAACTGCGTATTCTGCGCCGTTCGACGTATTCTAGGCGTAGCTGCAGGGCCCATTGCGAGACGATCTGATTATTGCCACACACCCTAGGGTGAGAGCAAGATTGTAAGAAGCTCTGTTCGTTTATTTTTCCACGTCGAGGGGCCTTAATATGTCGTTTGCAGCCAAATTGCAAAGTAGATAGTGCTTGGTGGTTTTCGATGGTGGTTTTGTATGGGAACTTTTCCTTGACGCGACATGCTAGCAGCAGGGAAGCTCTAGAAATTTATATCACGTGATGCGCGCAGCTGCCTTTCAGCCTCTACCCTGAAAACTGAGCTTTGTATTCCATATGGTAAAACCAATTATGCTTAGGTATGTTTGGTACAGGGAATGATTAATTAGTATAAATTAGATTCATACTAATATCGCTAAGCTTTGATTTTAATAGGCGGCTATTAAGCTTGAAATTCCTCCACGTTGCCTTTTAGAATCATTGAGCATCAGATACCGAACTGCGTTATCACACATTTCATAGATAGTATCTGCCTTGGCTCCTCATGTAAAGCTACCTGAGAGCCAGTGTATTTAATTGATACAATAATTTTTGTTGATTATGAGCAAGAGATTTATATGAAGCATTGCTCGTAATTTCCAGCGTGGCTGCTCTACACTCGTCGTATGGCGAAGAAGAGCTATGTTATCTACTACGCAGTAGACTATAGATGCCAACACGCATATAAAGAGACCCAAAATGAGAATATACCAAAAAAAAGCCAAAGATGATATAACGAAACAGTTGCTATTGTTTATCGACCGGAATAAACTGAACACGACCACCAGCTATGGAACACCACCAATAACAGTATTTGATCACACGGTTGGACGTAATCCATGAAATATCACCTGCCAAACGAACATCTTCGTACTTTCAAACAGCTTAAGCACAGCAATTAACAGCGCTCACAATCTCAATGAATAATTTTTTTTGTTTCGACATGATGGTACTTGGTTACTATGCGCAATCCCTACATACACAATCCCACCCAAGATCCATCGCCCACGTCCCAAAAAAAAAGAAAAAAGGAAGTAAACAACTCAGTTAGCAACCATATTTTATCTTCTAGCTCCTTCACACACAAACACACGTCCCTGGCCTTTATCTCTTTCATACATACACCCGAAGCATTGATAGCTCGGTTAATGCCTCTCTCTCCGCACGCCAACAAGTTTATACACAGGAGGTTCCTGGAAATGGGAATTGTTAAAAAAAAAAAACACGCTGGGCCAACAAAGCAAAGCGTGTTAATCGGGCAGCCTTGCGCCTCCCCTTTGCTTCATAAAAGTTGTGAAGACGAGGAGTTTAATGCCGTTGCGTTCCTCGCTCTCTAATCGCCAAAAAAATTAAATTGTAAGAGTCAATCGGACACGTAAGGAGTGGACGGCGTAGGGAAAGCCGGGGTATGATGTTGAAGATGGCCAAACTCATTCATTTCCCTGAGTAGTAAAAGTCTATCCCTACGCCTGAAATAAAGAAAAGAGAAAGAGAAAATGTCAAAACGCCGCTTGGCCATCGGGCCAAGAGGGGGGGGGTCAACCAAATGGACATGAGCTACCATCCCGATAACGCCGTAAATGCCCATGATTGAAGGAGAAATTGGTGAGGCCAAATGAAAGGCAAATTCGCTCGTCGTTAAGTGGATATGTGGCTATTTGCTTATGCGTTGGTGACCTGGCAAAAATCGTTAGCTAATCAGAAAGCTCAAAGTTTATAAGTGAGCCGCTAGTGCGGGCAACGTCAACATACCCGCAAGATACGACGAGAGTAGTCCTCATTGTCTGCAATACTGCCATCACTGAGCCTGCGGTGGGCCAGGACAGGGTCGAGACGAGAGTCGGTCATGGAAATGCTACCGCTGGTAGAAGGCGGCTTGGAGCCGTTGATGAAGGCATTGACGGCGGCATTGCGGCGATGTTCCTCCTCAATCTCGGCGTTCCGTCTTCGCCTCATGGTGAAAAAGGCAGCTCCCAGAAGACCTCCCAGGACGACAACACCAACAACGGTGCCCGCAGCAATACCAGCAACGTTGGTCTTCTTTCCTCCCGACGGAGCATCTGATGGAGTTGGCTCTGCAGATTGAGTAGCCGGGCTTGAAGGATTGGCGGCGGCGGCCGAAGATTTCTCGGCATCAGATGACGTCGAGCTGGTTGAAGAAGAAGTAGACGATGTCGTTGATGATGGGGGCGTATAGTTGGGAGGATCGATGTTGATACCAGTGTTCCATAGGCTGAAGAAACCTGGGTTTCCAAGAGTGCCGCAAGCCTCGTTACCAAAGCCAGGGCAAGCGTAAGTACATTTGGAATCATCAGCCAAGTCATCCGCGGGGGGATAAAGCATTCCGCAATAACACTTGGCACCCTGCAGTCCCGTGACAGCAAAATTCTTGGATTTGCACAAAATGTTGCATGAGCCGGAAGAAACCTTTGTCGGCACCACGCCGCTTGTTTCCGTCAAGTTTCCCTTGGAACTCCAGCAGCCCGCCGATCGATCGGCGCCTGGTACAGGTGCTTGTGATGGCACTTGGAGATTGGCCCGGATAACATGGCTAACCTCATCGACTCTCATAGGGGTTGCACCAAGAGCAGTGCAAATCTGAGAAGCAGCCACCAAGGCGCCGGAAATGATTGTTGACGATTTCATATTGATAGAACGAGCGTGTGAAAGAGAAGAGAGATGTCAAAGTGAAATCAGGCCGGAAAAAAAAAAAGAGCCTCAGAGTGGAGGCTACGGGTTGAATGTCGATGCGAAACAGGCAGAAGTAAAAGATTAATATCAGGCTGGCTCCACCGGGGAGTTTGTCAAAGGATAAAAAAAGAGACGAGACTCTGGCAGGAGAAGAAGGCTGTTGGACTTTGGCGGCCGTTCGCCTTTGTATGGCGACTGTGCGATATGTGCTTCTTTCTACTTCGAGGGGCCTGCTTAAGTCGAGGGAAAAAGTCGTATGACTTGGATTCGGCGGCGAGTGGCAGAACGAGAAACGAGAGGCTCGACAGACAGACGCCTTTGCTGGTGGAAGATGGGAATTCTCAAGAGATCAGAGCAAAGACCGACTGCATCTGATTCCTTTGACCCGATGGGCTTTGAGAAACGCTGTAGGGAGTCGGTGTCGTCGAAAGAAGGAGTGAACTGGAACGAGCGTCCTAGAGGCGTGACTTGTTTTGTTGAAAGGGAGAGGAGACGAGAAGGAGAAACGACAGATTTGGGGGGGCGGCCAAGGCAAGCAGGACGGCCTGGGGGGGTGGGCGCCGGGTCGTGGCAGCTGAGTACGTACCGCCAGGTACTCGTACACGGATCAGGGAGCTGGGATTAGGCCAGTTGGTGTGGTTAAGGGGAAATTAGTGCGCTGGCCCGCCCGGCGCTGGCGCTTTGGCTGCGTGTGAGTGCCTACTCCGGAAGCTACGAAATGCACGTACAGGACGCTGCAGGCCGGGATACGACGCCGCTGGTGCTTGCGTGAGCGACTGAGCGAGTGATTCACCATACAGGCATCAATCGATGGCACTTGCTGGGCGCCAAACACTATTGACCCCGAGTCCAATGTATCGCTGGCTGGCATCGAGGCAGATCTATCGATGTCTGGTGCTCGACGGGCTGCCCTTGACGTTCTCACCAGTCCTCTGCGTCCCCTCTCTGTTGTCAATATTGACGCTGCTGCGCCGAAGCACACCGCGCTCGCACGTCCTGCCACTAATGCAGGGAGAAAATATTGCCTGCAGGTACCGCCACAGCAATGCAGTGCCCGCGATCCGCCAGAGAAAAAAACATCTCGTTCCTGGGCTGGCGCGAAGCTCAGCAAAGCAGCTCCAGCCCCTGGCCAAGTGCAGTCTTGCGTCTCCCGCATCCTTGCCTGCTGCCGGCCAATCGCAGGCGCCATGCTGGAATGCAGCGGGCCTATTGGGCTGCGCAGCGCGTCGGCACCCGCCAGCTAGGCCGCGAACAGGCTAGGCCTGCAAGGCCCGAACCTGTCACGGTGGCGCCCAAACAGCACGAAAAAACTTCAGGAACAGCTGTGCTACAGGCTGGGGAAAAAGGGACGCGTGGAGCAGCACAGCGCCAGAGGTAGCGCGTACGGGGGCTGTGCCGCGGCCGCGTTAGTGCTGCAGCGCTGCGCGCGCGCGCAAACTCTAACGGCGTCCCTGGATCGAGCCTGGCATCGGAGTCGCGGGTACCTTCAGAAGCTCCTGCAGACGGCGTCCGAGTGGCGTTCCGTCCTATTTCCCAACTCCACCTCAATCAAAAGCTCTTCCACACACACAATGCAACCTTTCCTTTCACTGGGCATTCCAAGAATAACGACGCGGCCAGCACGAGGAGGTGTATTTACGGCAGCTCGCTCGCGCAACCTGCTGTGCCTGAGCCGGGAGACACGGCTGGCTGCCCGTCACTTGCGTCCCGTATTTGCCCTGTTCGTGGCGATGCTGCAGCATGTCGAGCCGCGAGACAAATTGAGGGAATAGCGGCCTCTCCAACGGCCGCCCACCATCGACAGGGGTCGGGCCAACTGGCTGATATTAAAGGCACACAGTCGGCTGCTGATGCGTCGTCGTGCGACCTCCGAGGCCTTGTTCGTGTTGCGCCTAGCGAAAACAGGAACTGGCAGAGACCCATGGCCCATGGGCTCCATAATAATAGGAGAGTAGTGCGTTTTATGTCGTGCCTTTATCCAGTCAACGCACAACTCGCTATCGACACCGGCCGGTGCACGCATAACTCGAACTGCAGGCAGTTGTGGGCCGCGAGTACCTGTGCGGGTGTGCCACGGCCGTCCTGATTCATTCTCTTGCGGCCACGTCGAAGTTGGCGCCTTGATGGTCGCAAAGCTGAGACAGCGCGACCCTCCTTTGTGCCAACTTGCGACAGCCTCGAGTTCCCTCGATGCTTCATGTCCTTACGCACATGGTCCATCGCTGCCCGATTCGTCATACCCGCTGCACATCACGGTAGCGAGGCGACGATCGAGATGTTTGCTTGGCGGCCTGCTCTTGATTGGAGGTGGGAGCCTCAGCTTCTTCTTCGGCGCCGAACACGTGTGTCTCCGCTACGATGGAGGAGTGCCGCCATCATCTCAGGGTCAATGCCGCCTAGTTCCCTGTTTTTTTACAGGTGCTCGTCCTCTTGTCCAACTTGCGCCGAAAAGCCCTCTTCTGCCATGGACGAGGACGCACCGCTGCGGGTCCTCCATGCCTATGTAGGTCAGCACGGCCACAAGGACAGCATTGTCAATGAAGCCACAATCTCACCTTCACCGCCTGCTCTTTTGCACCGTGCATCGCTGGCACCGATACAGAGTACAATACTGTACGTGAGCAGTTACATACAACCGAGGCTGCTATCCGTGTACTGTACTGTACTGTATGCAGAACGATGGTGACCGGCAGCGGATATCAAGACAAACCGGCCTTCCGAGCCTTGCTGTGCCCCCATGTACAACCAATATCCCGTACTGTAGTACTGTAGGTACTTGTGGTGTTTGCTCCTCTGATAAGACCCCTCGTCGCCCTTTTCACGTGCGGTAGGTATCACGACTTGCTGCGTGCATGTATGTATGTATGTGCTTGCGTCTTCGCAAAGCCGCTCGTTTGCCTGCCTTATCATGCAATATATGCATGGACCATCTTGTGTAGGGCTTGCCAACTCGGCGCCCAGGCGATATCCTGATGCAGCGACGGAGTACAGCTACAGCTACATGTACCCAAGGTGCCAAGGTAAAGCCGGAGCCCACAGGTGGCCAGCAGCATTAGAAATCCTTTCTTTGAGAAGAAGAAGCCTTCCGAAGCCGAAATTCCTTCTACTGCTACTAGTGCCAATAATATCTACTGTTATTAGGTACTATTTCTTAACCCATACATGGTTCCTCCGTGTTATAAGCTCCGGAGCTTCCGTGGATGGCTACAAGCATGGGTTGTCAGGAACTGGTCAATAGCCCAGGCGAACCCATTTGTTTTGAGTCTAGGTTGCTCTCATCTCACATTGAGCACGAGATCTGAATAAAGCGTGTAAAAGGGGAGTATTGCGTGCATATTGAGAGGGCTGGTGGATTCTAAAAATAATCGCCCACTTTATTAAAAGTACCTACTCCATAGAATGCAATGGATTGATGCGCGGTTTCTAAAGCCTCAGCCCTGAATAAAAATTATACAATGGGATCTGCAAACAATCACGTCTGTGCTGAACAACATACAGTATAGTGAGCGATATTTCCTATACAAGTTGAAGATTTAGCTGGAAGTCGATGGCGAGTGTTTGGCTCTTATACAGCCGTGTATCAACAACTCGTCTCAGGTGCGTGGTCTATGATGTGTTACGTGAGATACGGCAGTTTTTTCCGAATCCCAAAACGAAGCTGGTGTATCACGTTATGGCGATAATAAGTTGCATGTCATGAATATAGAAATGTACTTGTAATACGTTTACCCAGCAAGTCGACTGCTCCCTAGAGTACGTTCCAGTTATGGCTCGTGATGATGCTCAAGACTTGCTGTATATGTAAGGTATATAGGCTAGGTATGATCCAACGCTATCACGCTTTCTTGATATGCAAAATAACTCTTTACGTGATATGGGATGAATTTAGCTAATGGCATGCTAGATCCTATGTTATCTCAATATGGCAGCGAGACGGCGCATATACGCTTTGACAATGATGCCACAATACGGTATAAATGGCACTCTTGTATCGTAATGCAGTATGATGAGATCGGTGGCTTTCACTCAAATACCAAGCTCTCAAGAGTTCAATCGTCGTAGATTCCTAAGCACAAGGGTTATAGAGAGTCTATATAAACGAAAACATGCATGGTGATGAGTTTAATTCCATCGCGTAGGAGGTATCGGAAATTTCCAAAGCTAGACAATGAAAGGAATTATAGAGCCACGTAGAGACTGGCAGATATGAGTGGGTATATTAAAAATAAAGCTGTTCAGGGCGAGATGGACATGGACATGGACGCAGTTGAAGGCAAACAAAGTACCTAATGTACTCATCACTTTTGGTCAGAAACAGCTACTGCTAGTGACATTGATATCTTATTTTCACGTCTTGCAGAAGCTGACAGCTTTTAAATCTTCTTGCTACTGCAGACATCCATACTTTGTAAGCGTCATTAGGGTCACAAAGAGGGATGTTGACTTTATCCAGCAATGCGTCTTAAGATGCCTGGTCGAACAAAAGATTGTAGAGGCAAAGATTATAGACAGCGTCGTGTCGTCGCATCAATTTCTTCATGTGAGTACATTGTCAGAACACGATAGCCACTACTACCGATGTCACTTCTCTACTTATTCACAGAAGATGGAGCTCATACATCTAACAATAGATTTCTGCATTATATGTCACATCGCTTCCCACTTTCTTCGCACCTTTCTTTGCAAGCTGCCAAGACACATGCACCTACTTACACAAACATCCTCCTGGAAACTAGCAAAGCCACAATGAGGGTTGGCCAGTCAGACTAGCCATGTAATGTGTTGGTTTTATCAATTAATTCCTTATACTATACTTTTCACTATCGGTCTGTGTATCTGGCAGTGAATCTGCTGGTCGTACGATTTGGCCATCGACTTGGGAGATAGATGTATGTCAAAATGACGGGATTAGCTGGCAAAAATACGCCACCTAGGCGATTCCAGAAGAATTATACATCATAAAATGTCTTCTTTCTTCCTTCTACTTCTGGCAATCTACTCGTATCTTCCATGATGGTAGGCGCATCATCCTTTTTTTTATGTAAAATACCTACAGTAGAACAGGATTTGGTTTGCATCGTACAAGTTACCAGGTGAGCCTTCCCGGTACTAATAAACCCGACGCTTTTGCAATGTTTTGGGAAAGACGGGGAACATTCAAAGGCTGGTCGAATAAAACCTGCGCTTGCGTATTGACTGTATTCGTGCAAAGTCTTGAGACTGCTATTACTCTACGAAATACATTCTGCCTTTAAAATGTTGAGCAAGGAACAGTCCAGAGACATTCAAGGAAGAGGGAAAAGAGCAGTATCGAAATTACTTTGGAGGCTTAGCTTTATGAGTAGGTAGATAAGATTTTATTAACCAAAGTGTTTCTGGATCTTGGATAGTTGGAAGTTACTTGTTGGGTGAAAATAAATTTCGTACGGTAAGCGTATAAGTCGGTTGTGATACTATTAGTACTACTAGTAGTATAACCTACTAAGATGCTACCTACAGAGGCGGCCAGAGACAGCGACATCAAATATTCATGTTACAAAGCACTTTTTATTAGTGCCACAGTCAGTGAGCAAATGAAAAAAAAACTCATCTTCAAAATACTCAATTAAATCAGCTTGGATATTGATGGAACGATTGTAGGAAAAGTATCTACAAAGTGTAACCGGGTAGGTAGAAACTGCGGGCTCCTACTAGGTAATATGGCGCAAATAGATAGGCGCCATTACATGCATCCAGAAAGTTGCTACTCCATACCAGCTGAATCGATGGATGATTGACTGAAACAGACTGTTACCCGGGACAGTCAATGATTCTGTCGCCAAGAGAGGCATGAGATGACGACGGTAATGGTCTATGTTGCTATCATTGGTTTCCAGCAGCGGCTTGCCTCGGAACTGTATCAGAGGCTGGGGTCTCCCGTTTCAGCTACTTGGACGTAATAGCACTGCGCCAAGCAACAAATGCTGCGGTAGAGCTGCGTATCAAGGTACCAGGTACTGACATGCGCGCTGTTGCATGTACAGCACCTCATACTTGGATCCCTCCCTTGTGTCTCGAATGCTGGGGTACCTGCGTGATGGACTCAAGTTTGTGCTCACTCTCGAGGGGCGATGATGCGCATTATTTGGTACCCGATGATGATGTCGTTGACATACCTTGACGTTCGAGACCTGGCCGTAGGAGCGACACTGTAGCGGGTGCTCTATCTGCTTCACTCAAGGTTGAATAAAGATGGCTTGCCTCGGCAGCAAACGCAGTTCAACCCAAGCTGCGTTTACTCAGCGGAGTAAAGTGGCAAGGCCATACTTGGGTAGCTTGCAGCTCGAGCTCGTAAATGGCAGGCAACGGAGGATGCAGGCCGTACCTACATATTAGGTAGACAAAAGCACCATTCGTAAACTCATTCCAGATGAGTCTACCGTTTCTGATGCCGTAATACCAACGATCGGTACCTAATACTGCACGGCGATATACCTAGCTGGCAATAATGTGGCCTGAGGCACCATGTCTGTTTGTTGATCTCCGTCGCCCCATCAGCCAGTTAGGCTCGGGTCTGGGCAAGTTGGGGTAAAGTACCCAGGTACGCCATTGGAGGTAGCTCTGGTGTCTTTTTCGGCGGGAAAGAACCTCCGCAGCTGCTCGGGCGGTACTCAAAGGGCCCCCTTGCAGGGCCGCCGTGCGTCATCAGCCCGTCAGCACAGGCACCAATAGGCGCGACAGCACGCAAACGGCGCGAGCACGAGGCCTAACCCCCCGTCCGCCCTGTTTGATTAGCCCAGGTCCAGTGACCTCTTGGTCTGTAGCAGCGGTAGCATCACCGCCAGCCACCGATGCTACACCAGAGGCCGACCAGTACTAAGCTGCCTGCCGCCTTCTTATCTAAGTTCCCGCTACTGCTGCTGGCGCCACTACAAAGGCAGCTTCGTCATCCCTTCTCCTCGGGCTGCTCTTCCAATCCATCAACTCACCATCCTCCATCCATCACCTCTCACCCCAAAAACACCCATCATCAAGTTCCCAAGTGTCGCCCAGTATGAAGAGCGCATTGATTGCCGCTGCGGCGCTTGTCGGCTCCGCCCAAGCCGGCGTCCACAAGATGAAGCTGCAAAAGGTTTCCCTGGAGCAGCAGCTGGTATGAACCCGCCCCAATCTGCCTCTGCACCGTCGCACGAGCACTAACGCTTCTCTTTTTCAACAGGAGGGCTCATCCATCGAGGCCCAAGTCCAGCAGCTCGGCCAGAAGTACATGGGCGTGCGCCCTACTAGCCGTGTCGATGTCATGTTCAACGACAACGTGCCCAAGGTCAAGGGCGGCCACCCGGTCCCCGTCACCAACTTCATGAATGCCCAATGTGAGTCAACGTGCAATGGCACTACTCCAGCAAGCGAGTGTAGCGCTTTACTGACTTGAATGTGACAGACTTCTCCGAGATCACCATCGGCTCTCCTCCCCAGACTTTCAAGGTCGTCCTTGACACGGGAAGCTCCAACCTCTGGGTTCCCTCGCAGTCCTGCAACAGCATTGCCTGCTTCCTGCACTCCACGTACGATTCGTCTTCCTCGTCATCGTACAAGAAGAATGGATCCGATTTCGAAATCCACTACGGATCGGGTAGCTTGACTGGATTCATCTCCAACGATGTTGTCACTATCGGTGACCTCCAGATCAAGGGCCAGGACTTTGCCGAGGCTACCAGCGAGCCCGGCCTTGCCTTTGCCTTTGGCCGCTTTGACGGCATTCTTGGCCTTGGCTACGATACCATTTCCGTCAATGGTATTGTTCCTCCCTTTTACCAGATGGTGAACCAGAAGCTTCTGGACGAGCCTGTTTTCGCCTTCTACCTTGGAAGCGGCGACGAAGGTTCTGTGGCTACCTTTGGTGGCGTTGATGAGTCCCACTACTCGGGCAAGATTGAGTACATTCCTCTCCGCCGCAAGGCTTATTGGGAGGTTGACCTTGACTCCATTGCCTTTGGCGATGAGGTCGCCGAGCTTGAGAACACTGGTGCCATCCTCGACACTGGTACCTCGCTCAACGTTCTCCCCTCTGGCATCGCCGAGCTGCTCAATGCTGAGATTGGCGCCAAGAAGGGCTACGGTGGCCAGTACACCATCGACTGTGCCAAGCGCGACTCCCTCCCCGACATTACCTTCAGCCTTGCCGGCTCCAAGTACAGCCTCCCTGCTTCTGACTACATCCTTGAGGTGTCTGGCAGCTGCATCTCTACCTTCCAGGGCATGGACTTCCCCGAGCCCGTGGGCCCCCTGGTCATCCTCGGCGATGCTTTCCTGCGCCGATACTACTCAGTCTATGACCTCGGCAAGGGAGCTGTCGGTCTTGCCAAGGCCAAATAAAGGAATAATATAGTACACAGTGGAATGAATGTGTTGCAAGGATGGGCACAGCTTATATGTTGCTAGAAGGCAGTTTTGGTTAATTGAGCGCCTTTGCCTATATAGTACTGCGAGGTGTACGGATCAAGATTGCAGCGCCGTTTATGTAATATAATGGAACACGGGTACTTGTTTTGCTGCTCTAATTTTAGTTGATATTCACAAATTGATCCTGTTTTCAATCTTTTGCATTTATTTGGTGAATGGCTTGACGCGTAAACTTGAGGTGGCTACAGCGTTTGTGGCTGCTTTGTGTGTATTTGGTTTCCAGTAGGTATTCCTTTTTGGTGGTGTCTGGTACAACAATCTACCCATCGCCTACCTGGTAGGTACTCAAAAGAATATGGTTAATACAGGTTTGTATCACGGTAAGATCTGGTAATCAGTGAGATTTCGTGCATTAACATTGGCACCCTGCCTTGGTACAGAGCTGAAAGTCAGCGTGGGATCCATTACCTTGCATTATATACGGGCTGAATCATGGCGGCCCTTCGTCATCAAGGGCGGTTCTAGCTCCTACCAGGAGTAGCCTGCGCTTCCAAGTTGGGCAAAGCACTGGCCGAAATAGTGCCATTTAGAACAAAGAAACTTTGCAAGCCAAAACGGCTCGCCTTTAATACTGGATGCGGAGGGAGGGAGGGTACACGGCTTGGATGGAGAGGATCTTGTTGCATACTTTTTCACGTGGCTAATTGTGTATGTACTTATTACCAAGGGTGATATGAAATGCGCCTAATTGTTTATTCAATAAATGTTCTTGTATGTGTTTTCAATATGGGAATAACAATGAGCGGCTGCATTACAATGACATCCATGGATCGATCTGAAGGTTGCAAAGCGTTGAAGCTTAAGCACCCACTAGCACCGAGCACCGCTAACTGCCTCTAGGCTCTATAGGTGCCTGCAAGCACGGCTCTTTTAGCGGAGCCCACGGCGAGCCGGCAGCGCTGTCGCAGCATCGCAGAGCAGAAATCACGTGCGGGCAATTTTAGACTTTTCCCGCGAGGGCCTTAGCGCAATCCTGGGTCCAGGGAAAGTACTTGGCGATCCAGGACACATTCTTCCCCAGCAGGCTCAACAACGGCATTCCATCCTGCAGCCGCCTGGAAATCTGCGGAAATTTTGCCATCATTGTCTCCGGCTGCTGCTCGAGGCGATTTGCAGGCGCGGCGTTTCATTGCACCCCGGCTGTTGGATGTAGACGCTCTGCCCGCGCGGCCTGGACGAAAAGGTTTGGAGTCGCACCAAAAGTCAGCCCTTCTGCTACCGCGTATCGCGACGGGGCGCGGCCAGCACAGCACCTCGACCAACTGACAGAGGCATCGAGCCAAAATGGCGCAGCCCACGCCCGAAGATGCGAATGGCGTCAAGATACCCGACGGCGATGCGGGCGAGAACGGCCACGTCGTTGCGGCGCCCGGCAAGCGAAAGCGCGACAGCGACAATGGCGACCGGCCCGAGGACGGCGACGAGATGGATGTGGATAGCAAGGTCGAGCAGCCCGACGACGACGACGACGACAGCAAGAGCCCGGAACCCGAGGAGGACACGGCAAAGAGCAGAGAGATTATCAAGGCCTTTGTCGAGGTTCTGCGGAGGTACGATTGTGTTTGCCGGGAGCCGCGCCTGCGCTTCTTTTTTTTCTTTTCCGTTTTCCGTTCTCTCTCATTCTCTGTTCCGCCGTCATGGAATTTCGTCATTAGAACCTCCCCGTCCCCGTTGCCGTCCCCAGTATACTTGGAAGAGCTAGAGAGCATGCATGCTGACCGTCAACACCAGTTTTGCCATGGGACCCTCAATCCTCGGCCGCCCTCTATCGGCGCCAGAGCCGGAATCTGAAGATGAGCCCCATGCAAAGCGTCAGAAATCGGCCGAGCCGCCAACGAAGCTGAGCATCGCCGACAAAGTGGCTGCCGACGCATACACCTCGCTCGATGCCATCGCAGCAGACCTCGCTTCTGCCGTCAAGGCCTCGCTGTCTGAAATGGACCTCGGGTCTTCGGATTCTGGTGCGAGAGCTGTTAGCCTGAAAAGGGCCGCGCAGATCAATGAATTCCGAGACAGAGCCATGGATCTACTCCGCCGCGAAAAAGCGTACCCCGACACGCGGCAAGAGCCTGCACACGGAGAAGTCGAGGTGCATACTGCGTCCGAAAAGAGTGAAATGGTTTTGTCGCTGGTTGGCTATGCGCCTCAGGAAAGGCGTTTGTTTTCTAGTTTACCGCTGTCTAAAGATGTCGATTTGTCTGACCTTAGCCTCCCGCCTGGCGTGTCCATCACCCGAGTCATCCCCTCCAATCCCCAAGACCAAACGCAAACTCTCGGCGAGCTATTTGCTCCCCCACGCCCCCTTCCGCCTCTTCAGCCACCCAAGCAACCAAAGACACAAGCCAAGGGAAATCGCCTAGACTTTTATCATCCTCACTTGACCGACAGCTCCCGCTACCGGGGCAACTCCTACTTCAACACAAAACTGTCCACTGGCTACTACTTGGATTACAGCCAGGCGACGCCTTCATGGCAGACCAAGACAAAGCAGCATGAGCGTGCGCAAAGTCTTGCCGGCCGGAAGCCCTCGCTTTTCGAATTGGAAATGTCCGAAATGGAGACGCTCTTCCGAGGGGCCTTTTCCACGTTCGCGCCATGCAAAGATGATACTGCTGCAGTAGTGCCGTCTAGCGTTGCCAGCCGGATTTGGTGGCAGCGCAGTGGCAAGCAGAGCTTCCAGCGAATGATTGAAGTGGAATACTATGGCGACCTCCAAGATGCGGAACCCGTCGACCCCGCGCGGCCAATAGAATTAGACGAAGGCGCAGTGCAAGAAGCCATTGATAACTGGGACGAGACAGTTGTCGACCCTTCCTTGGACGACGTGATGGGATCCAAGCACGATGAACAGGACAAGGAGGTTGACGAAATCCTCGAAGAGGTCAGCGACTTGATCGAGACGCTATCCTCTTACCAGCGCATCCGCAACCTGACGTTGCCCAATTCGCAAAACCGCCAGTCAAGCGACCCCATCAATGGAGACATGCTAGCCAATGCTGGGCCCCAGCCCTCTGAAGAAGAACAGGCCACCTACCTGATGCTAAAGGCCCAATTGGCGCTCATCATCAAGACGCTGCCGCCATACGCAGTGGCTAAGCTGAACGGCGACCAGCTTGATGACCTCCTCATTAGCACCAAGATCATGGTTCGCACTGACCAGTATAACGGCACTATGGACGAGGACGAGGCGAGCGCGCAAGCTCGGCTCAAGGCGCAGCAACAAGCGGCGGCACAAGCAGCGCAAGCCAATGCCAGACAGGCGCAGCGTACGCCCAGTGTTTCTGCCGTGCCGTATCCTAACCAATATGCGGCGGCGGCGGCAAACCAGTATGGCGCACCCGCTCGGCCTGCCCCTCAGCCTCAGCCTCAGCATCAGCAGTACTACCGTCCTACACCAGCTCCCAACTATCAGCAGCCTCGCAATCTGGGCCCACCAGCTCCTCCTCAGCAAAGGCCTCCTCAACCGAACCAATACACTCGTACCAATGGCTATCCGAACCAGTATGCCACCCAGCTTGCCAAGGCCCAAACTCCATACGGCCACCAAAGCCTGCCGCAACAATATGCAACCCAACAGAGGCCCAACTATGGGCAAATGCCGCCGCAGCAAGGCGTTCCCAACGCTCGCTATAACTTCCAACAGGGCTATCAGCACCAGCACCAGCAGCACCCGCAGCAGCACCAGCAGCAGCACCAACACCAGCACCAACACCAGCACCAGCCGGGCACGCCACAGGCACCTGCAAATTACGGGACGTACGCTAATAGTCCGGCTGCAATCCCGGCCAGAACCATGTCTCCCCAAGTAGGAGCCCGGCAAACATTTAGCCCATCGCCTGCTGTGCCACAGAACCAGGGTTATTCAGCACCAGCTCCGACCATGGCGAGCCAGATGAACCGATTTCCTAGTGGGAGCCCCGGATTGACTGGATACCACACCGTCATCCCGGAAGCCCAGCAGCAGCGGATTTTAGACCAGGCCAAGGCTCGCGTCGCGGCCCAGGAGAGATCATCGGCAATGTTTGCTGATAGACTCTCGCAGGGGAACACGTCGAACTTGTCAGGCATGGGTTTGGGGGTCAATATCGATGCGAGTCGAATCGCGGCTATCCGAGCCAATATGGCGAACCAGAACAAACCACAGTCCCCCACCCCTTCAAAGCCCGGCGGCGTGAATGGGACACCCGGAACGAGCCATGTACCTTACAAGGTGACTCCAGTCCCAGTCCCCGTCATCCCTAGCCTGCAACGCAAGCCGACTTCATAGTTTAGGTAAACTCATAAACGAATGTCACGGTATTGGTAAGGGGTGGTTACGCTTTTGTGAGTAGCAACACTTTTATGGCGTTGTTGAAAAAGGGCGTTGAGAGGGCTTTAGGTTCGTATAAAGGAGTTTTTTTTTGGCACAAAAATTTGACTTGAGAGAATGATTACACGCTTTCGAAGACGATAATGCAAGGAATTGCCCTCAGTTTTTTTTTAGAGGGTAGAGGGAATATGGGGTGTTGATATGGGAAGAAGGGTTGACTATTTCCGATACCTTTTGTTTTGTTTGTTTCGGGAATTGGGAGGATGGAAATAGGGAAGTGCGAGATGCGACCCGTGAAAGGACGTGAACGTATGGTGGGGGGGACAGGCAAAGGGAGCCTTTGGCGATGGTAGTATGGATCCCATCACTTTCTACACTTTACACCTCTTTTTTTCTTTTCTTTTTGAAAGTTTAGTGAAAGGGTCGATATGATTGCATAGGCATAGGCTTTGGAAGCAAAATTAACTAATAGTCGGAAGCACAAACAAGCTTCCAGACAGAGCACTTTTATCCCTTTTTTTTTTTTCTATCTGCAGGAGACTGCTTTGTGAGAGGATTTCAGAGGGGGGAACAGTGAGATGACGAGGATGAAAGAATCGAAAAGGGGCTTGGCAAGAACGAAGGTTTCTTCGTCTTCTTTCGGATTATGTGCATAGATTGCACGCGCATAAGACAAAGAGGCAATGGGCAAGGGCAAGGGAAAGGGTATTGATTGGGATTTCCGTTACTTGTTGACTTTGGGTAGTGATGTCGGGGGTTCGATTCAATAGACGCCAGATGGGAGGGCTCAGTTTGTTCTCTTCTTCTTTTGCCTTGATTTTTATTGTAATCCATCAGGCATGAAGTGTGTGGTATGTGTTGATTTTTTTTTCTCTTTGAGTACTTTGTATGACTGTATCACGAAGGTAGAAAAAGAAACGAAATTTCCTCACGATGTTGTATTTAAAAAATTTTTTGTCATTAAAATGTGATGTGGTGGAGATGCAAGTAATTGTGCAGCATAACTGAACTATTTATATAGATCTGAGGGGTATCATGTTATGTCATTCCGTCTAATTCCCTGTTATAAGGTGTCTTCCCCCTTTTGAGTCGTCGTCATATCAAATATCGTATAATATGGTGTGATGTGCAAGTTTCGTAAGTAGTAGTACAAGTAGAGTAGTGGTGGAAAAAAAAAGGGGGGGTTGTGTGGAGGAGTGTGATCTACGAGCGATCTACGCAGGCTATGTAATGGCAAAAAGTGCAAAAAATGGCATGAGAATGCGGTTACATCTCAGCATCTAGCTCCCTGGCAGCCTGCGCCTTCTCGCTGTACTCAATGACAATCCTCCTCAGCTCAAAGATGACCTCGACGAAAATGAGGACAATGATGATCCACTCTAGCCGAGTGCCGTGCTGCTCGCTAGACATTTCGCGTAAAACGGTCGCAATCTCCTGTGCGTAGTCCATCTTCTGGTTGAGTGCACGGATGCGCACGTTGACGTCGAGCGCGCGGCCGACCTGGTCGTAGTAGCCCTCCAGCCCCAGCTCGGACCGGCTGTCCCAGAAGATGTCCGGAAGGTTGTCCGTCAGCTCCGAGTAGTGGTTGAGCTTGGCGCGGAGGCTGAGCAGCTCGCCTGTCTTTTGTAGGATGAATTTGCGGCTGAGTGGGACGCCGGCGCCCTGGGAGAGCAGGGCCGGGATGTTCCGTGTGCTCTCAAAGTAGGACGTCAGGGCGGCCTCGAGGACGGCCAGCTTGGTGCTGCGGGCGAGGCCAGACGAAAAGGCAATCTTGGCCAGCGTTGTGTCGAGAGTGTCGCCCTCTTTGTGCTCCTTGCGGGTGCCCAACACGACAATGTCGCCCTTGAGCGTGCTCGTCTCGCGGCCGTTGTCGGTGGTGAACTCGAGATCCTCAACCTCTCGCAGGCTGTCAGGGTGAGGCTCCTCCGCTGCCCGCAAAATCTGCTTCGTAACGACGTCGGGGGGCAGCGACCACGTCACAATTGTGCCCGAGGGGAATACAAAAATGTCCCCGCCGTTGACGCCCCTTGCGTGGACAACCTCTGCGGCGTCGAAGCTGGTGCCGTCGGGATCAATTGCGAAGCCATGCGACGACAAGATCTCCATCACAACGGGCATATTAAAGGCCTCGGCGATGCACGTTGCGCTAATCATGTTGGACGGATCGGCCTCTGCGGCGTCCAGGCCCAGCTTGCCATTGCCATTGCCATGCTCACTGCTGCCCCGCTTCGGCTGCTGGGCGATGATGGCGACTCGACGAAGGGAGTTTTTGGTCGGCGTGGCTCGAGTCGGCTTTCGCTTTGCTACCGGAGAGGAGGCATTGGAGCTGTTGGCGGTGCCTGATTGCTGCCCGCCGCTGCGGGAAGACGCTTCGTCGCCATCGCCGGCCTGTGACGACAGATATGGGTTTGATGTGAAGAAGTTGCGCTTCCGGGGCAGGCTGGCAGATGTGGTGAGATGAAATGCACGGCGGGGACGAGGCACCGCAGTCACGATGCTGGCGCTGTGGATGTGACGGGCGACGAGGTTGGCGGTGGTACGCAGCGGAGGACTCCTCATCATGGTGGAAGTCGGCGGCTCGCCATGAAAAAAAGAGAGAGCAAGGATCTCTTCTTTGTCTTCAACGCTGTAACTGCTTGCTTTGTCCGCGATGGATCTACAAAGATGAATCCATCCCGATAAGATCTGCTATCGCCATGTGACCCATCACATGCCCGACCCTTTGCCCGGGTTGCCAGGCTGTGCTTATTTTCTCGAGCCACCTGCGCTACGCCCCATCCAGACACCGCCTGGCCGCCAATGACGAGCGCCGCGCCCCACCATCGCAGGCCAAAGTACCCGTGGCTGCCATTCTTATACCGCCACGCCGTATTTGGTGGTTAATTACAAGTTACGTTGCCAACCCCATCCAGCCAGGGATTCTCCTTCAACCTCCTCCAGGGCCTCCAGCGCGCTCCCCTTTTTATATAATTTGGCATCCGCTCTTTGGGCTTCCAGAACTCTTCTCTTTTTCCTCTCCTCTCCTCCATTCTCCATCACAGCCTTCTTTCGTCTTCCTCCTAACCCCTCACACCAAAATATCCCCCACCATGGCGTCCATAGAGCTCAACGAGAAATATGACAACTATGACTACCCCATTGAGGGCCCCGAGCCGCTAGAGGGCCACAACGGAAACCTGAAACCCGAACATCAGGCCAAGGTTCACCAGCTGCGTATGATGCTGGAGGCGGAGGGTGTCACCGAGCGCCTGGATTCTCTGACTCTGGTATGGATTCCCAAGCTTTGATCGCGCTGAGTCGGGCTCCGACATTGCAGTCAAAGGAAGACGAAGGATAGGAGAACAATTATTGGATAAGACAACGTCTAACATGCCATGGCTATAGCTGCGATTCCTCCGAGCACGAAAGTTCGACGTTGAGCTTGCCAAGCAGATGTGAGTTCCTCCCAGCTCAAACCTGGGCTATGAACCCCCCGATTCTGACCGCTACAGGTTCCTCGACACCGAGAAGTGGCGCGCCGAGACCAAGCTCGACGAGATCCTCCCCACCTGGGACTACCCCGAGAAGCCTGAGATCTCCAAATACTACAAGCAGTTCTACCACAAGATTGACAACGTGAGGCTGTTCGCGCGACCTTTTGTCTGTACGCAGAAACTAACAGCTTTGAACTAGGATGGACGCCCCGTCTACATCGAGACCCTCGGCGGCATTGACCTGACGGCCATGTACAAGATCTCGACTGCTGACCGCATGCTCACCAACCTTGCTGTCGAGTACGAGCGCGTGGCTGACCCGCGTCTGCCTGCCTGCTCCCGCAAGGCCGGCCACCTCCTCGAGACCTGCTGCACCATCATGGACCTCAAGGGCGTCACCCTCACAAAGGTCCCCCAGGTCTACTCATACGTCAAGCAGGCGTCTGTCATTTCCCAGAACTACTACCCCGAGCGTCTGGGCAAGCTGTTCCTGATCAATGCTCCCTGGGGCTTCTCAACTGTCTGGGGTGTTGTCAAGGGCTGGTTGGACCCCGTCACCGTCAAGAAGATCAACATCCTCGGAAGCAGCTACCAGAGCGAGCTGAAGAAGCACATCCCCGCCGAGAACATCCCCAAGGAGTTTGGCGGTACCTGCGAGTGCGAGGGTGGCTGCGAGAACAGCGATGCCGGCCCATGGCACGACCCTCAGTGGGCCAAGCCCGCCAAGTGGGAGCAGAAGGCCGGTGCCACTGCCACTGCCACTGCCCCTGCTCCCGTTGTTGCTGAGGAGGTCGTCGCTACTGATGCGGCACCTGCTGCGGCCTAAACGGGATAGCTGTGATTTTTGTCTGTGTTTTGGTTTGGTGTATGGTGGGAAGAGGAATATTAGTACTACGAAGACGGTCTTCTGGACGCTCATTTCTGTCTTGTTTTTTTCTTTTCAAACAAGACCTGTACGAGCAGAGGAGGAGGAGAGCTCTTCCAAAAATTATTACATTGGGTTAAAGTGGGAAGCTGGATTAGGTATTTAGACTGGAGAGGGATGAGAGATACACAATGGACGGAGCAGAGAAAGCTAGCTTTTTTACATCGTTGACAGACTTTTCGTATACACATGTCTGGGGTTTTTGATGTTTGCAATTGTCAGAGAAAAAGGGCGTTTTGCCTACGTTTTCTTGCATCTGTGGTTCTCCGTAAGCATTGTGAGATGATAGAGCTATTGCTGGGCAAGGTCTGCGAAGAAAAAGAGGGAGCTCTTTAACGATTAGCTCACGTACCTCAGCTTCACACTCCACCATGTTATTTAAAAGGGGAACCTGAGTTATCCAAGGTAGTATCCTAGTTTTATCATATAGCACTTTAGTTATAGCATGGGCTACTGCTGCTGCTACTACTGGAGTAACAATGAGAGAACACAAAGATATTCTATAACTCTCCAACATATGCAACCAAGAAATAAATGAATAGAGAAACCAAACAAACATGGATGCCCAAAATGTACATCGTGGTAATACTCCGCAGTCGTAAACTTGATCGCCATGCCCCCTTGACGCCTGAATGCCAACAAACCCCAAAAAGAACAGCGCCCCCCCTCCCCCGGTAGAAATCCCACAATATTGGTACCGGGAGCTAAGCAACAAAAAAAATGCCCGAATCAAACACCAGAACTGTACCACATGGGGAGGGGACGGCAGCACCACCGATACGAGGGGTTTCCCCAAAAGAGCGCTGCTGCATCTGCATAATGCGCCTCTTCGTCACAAAAAGAAAAATAACACCGCCCAATTTTTTTTTTTCTTGGTTGTCCTTCATCACCGCCCTTTTGACACGACGTATTCGCCCGCCACTCTAGCCCTCTCCATCTTGGCCACGACGGCTGGCATGTCCCTCTTGAGCCGGTTCAGCCCCTGAACCGCGGTCTTGTAACTCCCCTCAACGCCCTCCTGCCTCTGCAGCCGCGTAGCCAGTGGTGGACCTTTTCTAGCTTCAGTTGTCGTCGTCGTCGTCCCGGCCTCGTCAGCGTCCGCCTCCGCCGCCGCCGCCGAAGCGGCCTTGGCGACCCGCTCGCGGAGATCGTCCTCGTCCTGCCGCATGGCCGCGCGGATGCGCTCGGCGTGGTCGGCGGCCACCTTGGCGGGCACGGAGCGCTTGAGCGCGGCGACGTCCTCGAGCAGCTTCTCTTCCTGCGTGATGAGGTCGGCGACCTGGCGGCGCTTGCGGGCGTCAAAGGGCTCGTAGACGGTGTTTGGCGCGGGCGCAGCGGTGCCGACGAAGGACTCGGGCGCGACGGGGAGGCCGTTGATGGTGAGGTTGGGAGCGGCGAGGGAAAAGGTTTTGTTGATGTACTGTTGCTTAGGATTAGCCATGTTCAAACCGGTCTCTCTTCTTTTTTCATCTGCAAGAACAAAAGGTAATTGTATTGTTTAAGAAACAAATAAAAAGTATGGGGTTTGTTTACCTCATTCACCAGCGACTCAATCTGATTGCGCAGCTCATCCTCCCCGTCATCGCCCTCTACCGGCGGAAACGCTTCATTGAGGTGCTCGATTGCCGCGTTGCGCACGTTTGTGATGAGGTAGGCGAGATCGTCGTGGCTTTGCAGCTCAATCTTGCGCTGGACCTGCGAGACGACGGATTCAGAATCCATGTGCTTGGTGACGATGGATCGAGTAGTGATTATTGGGTTTGATGTGCTTTCTTTTTTTCTTCTGCGTAACGTTTGACTTCTAGTTCGGCGGTGATGGAGTCTGTTTCTGCTATGCGACCAGTGGAAGAGGGGAGCTTGTCGAGAGGTGTGCTTTTGCCGAGATCGTTGCGATTGGTATCAAAAGAGAAGAGGAGGAGGAGAAGGAAATGACCAGCGAAAGAAGGGCTGAAGAACAAGAGACTGCGCAAATCAAACGAAGAAAGCAAAAAAAGGCGATGTCGTCGCGGCGCAAAACGCGTTGCAGTGGTCGCGTTGGTGGGATGAATTGGAAGAATTGAGTGGTCGAGAAAAAGGAAGCGCATTACGTCGGTGGTTGCTAGTGCTTCGTTGGTAGCGCCATCTTTGGTGGGGGGTGGCATTTAATGCGCTTGTCATCCCCAAACAGCTGAAAGTGCCAAAGATGCTGTTATTGACCTAAAGGCTTCTGACAAAAAATAATTGAGTAGGTATCAAAGTATTGTGATGGAAGAATGCGTAGAAACAAAAATCGAGCTGCCTTTATTTAGAATGTTCTACAGATGTTGCTTCGTATAGTAAGTAGGTGGAAGAAGTATCCATCTTTCTTCTGCAATAGCAATTTTTTGGGACATGTGCTCTCAGTCGTACAAAGCATTGGCCAGATGTGCTAGACTAAATGGGATTGATTCTGCTACATACAAACAATTCCTAGTATTGTACAGATGCAGGGAGGCCCCAAGTCACTGCGCCCATCAAGGTATCAGCTCCCCACTAACTCGACACCAATATTCCTACAACACCGCTCTTGTACGCAGTGAACAAGGTACTGTTAACTACACCAGCAAGCATGCAAGAACTCCGATGAATGGATTTGACCCTGTCTCTGTGTGCATCTGACCAAGAGGACAGATGCATAAAAGGTAGCACATATCTCAGCAGACAGGCCGACAGGCAGTTCTACTTCAGCCTAATCAAGCCTTTCTTTCCATCACGGCACCTGCCCACCTATAAACAGCCTCACATTCCATCAAGCATTTTATCCGCAGCAATGTCTCAGCGTCTTCATCACAAGGCACGCTCGGAGAGCTTCTACTCCTCTTCGACTTCCCAAGTGTAGCATTTGTGACGCACGGCTAAATACGGACTCAACCAACACACAGCACTCACATCTCCGCAAATTACACCTATAATTTCCATTCAACAATTAAAATGAAAATTATTCCAGAGAGCCTAGGTCTTAACAAGCACGGCAAATATCCTCTTAGCTAATGCTACGACGTACTCACCTCCTCAGCTCGGTGAGGACCCCTAAAACAGGAAGCTAGCAAGAATTCGGGGTCCCGCATTCCTGCAGAGCATGTGCGCGTACCGCTGAGCTCTAATTTAAGTCTCAGGTACTCTGAAGCCCACCCGAAACCAACGGGAAGTCAGCTCCGAGTAGCCTAAAATGATCAGTCTGTGGGGTAATTGTCCTAGATCAGCAAGTACTCTATACCTTGACGGTACAAAGTCGGAAGATGTATTTGTGGCTCCCCATCCCCACAGCCGCATGCGGGGCATCCCCAAACGCTTAAACCTGCTGGTCCAGATCGGGTTTCACCACACCAAAGAAACGTTGGGGAGTCGATACTCGACGAAGAGGTGCATAAAGTATGCTAGGTAGGAGCAGCGGGAAGAAAGTCAAGATGCAAAGACATACAACATAGCACGATGAATTCGGACTGAGAATATCTCTCTGCACATGCGGCTCACATCTCTTTACTTGTTCTAGGCAGGAAGTATAACGGCGGCGTTCCCAGTCTTACAAGTCGGTGATGATCGCCCAAATAGCCAAGACAAACATCTTACACGACTTCATGCGAAACACACGAAACATACAATAGGCCTATAGAACGTCCATGAATACAAGAGTAGAAATTTACCTATCTACCTACCTACCTACCTAATTTCCTGATAACCCAGTGCCTTGATTGCTAAAAAAAGAAAAAAAGAAAAAGTCCAAATCTCAAAAAGGCTCCGTAACTGCCGATCCGGCGGGATGTTATTAGGAACCAATAGCCTGTAAAATACCAAACAGATACAACGAAAGACCAAATCAGTACCGCAATACACTGCTCCCAAACTCAGATACAAACGCCAGGCAGCCCTGCAAGGACCAGCCTCCAAAAAATAAAAACCAGAGTGGTCATCCATACTCCACGCCAAGCCACCACAGCGGTAATCGTCCTGCCAGGAATATACAAACCCCCCCCCCCCCAAAAAAAAAAAACGAAGAGGTCAAATGTTCAACAAGTCCCAAAGCCGTCAGACGCCGTCGGGTACCGACCGACACTGAGGAATACAACAAAGCCAAGCAGGCATCTCGTGAGGGAGAAAAAAAAAAAGGTATCTAAGTAATTCAGGGTCCCAAAGGAAGCGAGAGAAAGAAAAAGGGTACGATGCGTGACGATAACGGCAATGTTGTATGTCTTACTCGGGAAACATCTTCTTCATCTCCTCATCGGTGAGGTGGATCTCGTGTACGGGATCTCGTCTATTTTCCAGAGGGACGTAGTAGCAGTCGACATAGGAGGGAAGGAAGATTTCTAGAAAAGGAAGCTGGGTTAGCCACCTGGCTATCACTTCCATCGAACCGCCATGGTGTGCAAGATGGACGAAACATACCAGGATTCCACATGAAGCCTTGGCCCGAGGATAAATAAGAAATCTAACGCATGGTCAGCATGAGCAACGGCCAACAGCGAGGCCAGTGTAGAGGAGAGAGCAACGAACGAGTCGGGGAGGCCCATCTGGTGCTCCAATGTTAATAACGGTGCACTCTTGCTTGGAAAGGGCCGTGCCTGTACAACGTGGTCAGCAAACGGGTGGAACACAAGGGCGGACCACACGGCTTATTGGGCTGTGCCGACTGGCAGCTCCCTCACCGGCCATGGTCCGCGCCAGAAGGATCAAACGCAGAGGTGGACGCACTCAGCAGACTGGGCCGACGGCTGGCCAGTGCCGTGGCCTTTTCCTTGCCCTTGGGGGAGGCGGACGGGCTCGACGACGACGGCGAGCTGGAGTAGGAGCAGTCTGACGAGCTGCCGGCCGCCTCCGAAGAGAGGCTGTATCTGGCCGCCGGGATGTTGATTGACGAAGACATGCTTGGAGGCGAGGCAGAAGCTGTCCGGACCAGCCCGTGGCAGCGGCAGGGCAGATGGAGGCGCTGGCCACGCAGGGATCGTGAATGCCGCACAGAGGCGAGTCGGATGGAGAGATGGAGAGACGGAGAGACGGAGCTGCGAGTCGGCACGAGGGCAATAAAACAACAGCTGGGCAGTAGGGCTGGGGAAGACTGTTCAAGGCTGATGCGGAGAGGTCTGCCGACAGCGGCCTGCGAAGAGCGTGAGAGAGCCGGCGAGCGTTGCGGGATGTGGTGCGAGGTGAGGCCAAAAGATGAAAGTGTGACGAACAGAGGTCCAGGTAGGCGAGATGAGCATGGACAAGAGTTGCGAGACAGTCCGGCCCACGGAGTACCTCGCTCGCCTTGCCGGTGGCCAGCAGTACTCGGTACTTGACGCTGCTCCAGCTAATCGGCACTGGGCAGGAAACAGCTCAAGAGGGCGGCTGCGTACCGGGTACAAGCACTACCTCGTAGTGGTAATAGCGGCAACCTTGTATAATTGGCGATAAGTCGTGCGCTGAGGTGACTGGACGGGACGTGGCCCGGCATCATCCTATGCTACTGGGTATTGACGCTATAGCATCCATGGTAGCAGCGGCACTGGCTACTTGCAGCACATGCATGGCAGGGACGCCCAAAGGCAGACAGAGCACCGCAGTACATGCATGCATTGATCCTATCTGTGCCTCCATGCAGCAAACAGCACGTCTTTGGAGTTGCCAGGCAGCCAGCGCAAGTACCCCATACCTCGTGCGAAGCCGGAACGGCTCTCCAGCGGCCCCAGCACCCATCATGGTGCGGCAGGTAGCCAGTACCCCCGTACAGTGCCGTCACAGCGCCTGATTCAGATCCGGCTGGGTCCTTGACATCAATGGCCCATCACGCCAAACCCGTGATGCCCAGCGGGCGTCAAGGCGCTGGGCACCGGTACCTGCGCGGCATTAGCACTGGCCGTGGGCGCTGGCGCTGGCCTTAGCAGCGGCGGGTAGCGGCGACCTCAGGCGACCCAGCAGCGAGCAAGGGTCCCGGACGGGGCTGGAGTCTCCATGGCGCCAGCAGCGCCTGGGCCAATCGGAGAAGGGACTGATCGCCCAAGGCTGGCTGGGCTGCCACGCCTGGGGAGACTTTCGCCGTGGCTAGCTGTGCTGAAAGGGTGCATGTGCTGAAAGTGTACTGGAAGTGTGCTGAAAGGGGCCCTGCCAGAGACCACTGAACGTCGTGAGACACCCTCCTCGAAGCTGATTTTAGGCATCAAATGCAAGCACTAAGATTCAAGGTTCCGCATCGGGCGGAGCTCCAGGCCAGCCCCGGTGCCAGCCAATGGATCCCGGATTTGGCCTAGCTTGATTTCGGCCTGGTAGCAGCTACGGCATGTACCTTCCAGTTGTACCTCCTACTCCACACTTTCCGTATCGCGATAACGTGCATATCACGTGCGATGACTAAGCAGAGCCTAGGAAAGGCTGCGTCTTGGGTTGACGCCTGGTTGGCGATAGCTTTGGTTGCGTAACAAAGTAGCTGGCTGACCGTTGTTGAAGTCTCCCGGACCACCAACTCAACGTTTCTCTCCGCATCGTCTTGACCTCTATTTTCCTCTCTGAGTCTTTCTTCTCCACGTCAAACTTCGACTAATTGCACAAATCACACTCGATACACGCAGCAATCATGGGAGACGTCGCTGTGGAAAGCCAGGCCACCACGGTGCCACCTCACAAGAAGGCCGCCCCTTCAGCGATTCCCAACATTGACGACTTCGAGGGCTTACCGACCGACGGGGAGGATGACTATGCGACCTTGAAGAAGCTTCAGAGACAGTTGGAGTAATGCTCTCCCCCCCTGTCCCGACGTTCCGCGCAGAGCTTCTTCCCGCAGAAGACCGCCGCCACAACGCTGTCTTGGATCACGGCTGCTAACCAGCATTTCAGATACATCCAGCTGCAGGAGGAATACATCAAAGATGAACAAAGGTTCGATTGATCTTCTAATCTACGTTCATAGCATACCATAGAAGACTGAATCGCTAACCTGCTTCTCCTTCATCTTTAGGAGTCTGAAACGAGAGCTAGTGCGAGCTCAAGAAGAGATCAAGCGGATTCAGAGTGTGCCCCTCGTCATTGGCCAGTTTATGGAGGCTATCGACCAAAAGTAAATGACTCCTTTCCTCCCGTCGGCTTTTTTTTCGCTATAGAAATGGTGCTTGTCTAACACTCTCGCTCTAGTACCGGCATCGTCCAGTCAAGCACAGGCTCCAACTACGTCGTCCGCATTCTATCCACTCTCGACCGCGAACTGCTCAAGCCCTCCTCCTCAGTCGCGCTGCACAGACACTCCAATGCTCTTGTCGACATCTTGCCCCCGGAAGCCGACTCCTCCATTGCCATGCTTGGCGCCGATGAGAAGCCCGATGTGACATATGCCGATGTTGGTGGGTTGGACATGCAGAAGCAGGAGATCCGAGAAGCCGTCGAGCTGCCTCTGACGCACTTTGACCTCTACAAGCAAATCGGTATCGACCCCCCTCGTGGTGTCCTGCTATACGGCCCACCTGGTACCGGAAAGACCATGCTTGTCAAGGCCGTCGCCAACTCCACCACTGCCAGCTTCATCCGTGTTGTCGGCTCTGAATTTGTTCAGAAATACCTAGGAGAAGGCCCCCGAATGGTTCGCGACGTCTTCCGCATGGCACGCGAGAACTCACCGGCCATCATCTTCATTGACGAAATCGATGCCATTGCCACAAAGCGATTCGACGCCCAGACCGGTGCCGATCGTGAAGTCCAGCGTATCCTGCTCGAGCTGCTCAACCAGATGGACGGTTTCGACCAGACCTCCAACGTCAAGGTCATCATGGCCACAAACCGTGCCGACACCTTGGATCCTGCCCTGCTGCGTCCCGGCCGTCTCGACCGAAAGATTGAGTTCCCCTCTCTGCGGGATCGTCGCGAGCGCCGCCTCATCTTCAGCACCATTGCTGGCAAGATGAGCCTGGCCCCCGAGGTAGATCTAGACAGCTTGATTGTACGAAACGACCCGCTCTCCGGTGCCGTCATTGCCGCCATCATGCAGGAGGCCGGTCTCCGGGCCGTCCGCAAGAATCGATACAACATCATCCAGACCGATCTCGAAGATGCTTATTCAAGCCAGGTAAAGGGAACGAGCGACGATAACAAATTCGACTTTTACAAATAAACACAAAAAATTCACATTGTATCTATCTCATGGGCTGCCATCAGAACAATCAAGGAAGGGAATGATGGAGGGGACAAGGGAGTTGAGAGCAACTTGGTGATTATAGGATGAAAGGGAAAAAGGAAGAAAAAAAAGGATAGCTGTCGGTGTCGTCTTTAATACATGAAACCTACGGCGTTGGAATCTATCTCGTCGTCCTTTCTCAATGTGGCAACGTACTGACACCTGTCTTTTCGTAACATCATCATCCACGGCGTAGAGGAGAATCTAGTAGTATAGGGATGTATGTACTGTAATTCTTAGCATTCAATAATCACTCGAGTTCCGCCTGTCAATCACAAAAGTACTAGTCATGGTATCATTGTCCATCATGAAAATTGTATCAAGTTGAGCCTATTTGCTATTTGCTATTAAACCATTAAAGACATTCCATCAAAGACCGCCTATCGATCTTTGCTCTCCCTTTTCCTTCTGCTTTTTGACAATTTTGTAAATCCAAACTGGTCCCTTTTCCCTTATCCAATGGCTTCCATCTATGAGAAATGCGTGATTTTGTTTCGCCTTGCCCTGATCCTTTCCCTCGCTAATAAGAAGTGACACATGGCCCGTTGGCCGGAAGAAGATGTGGTTGTATCATGGTCACCGCATTGCAAACAATAAGGAATAAATCAATGCAGGTTGAAAAAAAGACAATTAGAGAATGAGTTGTGCCCCAGACGTAAGACCGTCATGGCCGAGCCGAGCTTGCTCGCATAGCCATTATCCGTTACGCCTTGTTTCGTGCAGACAAGAATAGACAAAACACCGGTGCTATGCTGACAATGAAGACAGTATCAAGGGGCATGAGACCCATGCCCCGTGAGACAGTTCTGAGGAGTATTAGGCACATACATCAAGTAGGCCCAATCATCCGTTTAATAATGTTTCGCAATGCCGTGCGGCGGGTATCAGTAGAAACGATTATAGAAAGAGAATAATACAATATAAGAAAAACCTCGGTCGGATTGAGGTGTGGAGAACAAGTGTTTGTAAATCCGTTATGAGTTTAGGGACACGCCCACTTCGAACAACAGCTGCACAAACTTTTTGTGCAGACTGATGAAGAAGTCTGGCTGCCCAACTAGCTCGGCAAGTCCACGAGCCTTGAGCGCAGAAACGCCGCCAGGACCTCCCATTCTTCTGGTGAAGCCGCTTCCGCCTGTCAGAAAGCTGCTGCCGCTGCGGTCCACATTTGGGGCCTCGGACGTGGATGATGATGATGCCACGTGGCTGCTCGGTCCGCCGCTGTGCTTGACGCTGCCGATGGGAGACGACTCTGCAGTGCGCTCTGCCTCAGCCTCGGCGAGGGTTTGAATCCAGATGGCGAGCTCGCGAAAGGTGGAAGAAATACCCGTAAATGACTTCATGGCAAGTCTCTCTTTGTGAGTGCTGAGAGCCAAAAAGGCGTACACACGTTTATGCCCTCGAGCATGGACATCGGGGATTCGAAAAATGTAAGCTGTGGTATATCCAGTCGCAGAATCTCCAAAGAAGATGGCACCGCCTGATGCAGCCGCCCCGGCGCTTTGGGTGGTCACAAAGGAGGGAGAGTTGTGATGCTGGGGAGAAGGGGTTGGCGTTATAGTTGAGGGGGCTCGAGGCAGAGTTTCAAATGTCAGGGCTCGCAGGCATGAAGCTCGAATGAGAGAAAAGGACTCGGCGAGGATTGGCTCGTGCGTAGACGTATAGTCTACATAGTGAATATGACTGGGGTGGCGTTCCGAAGTCGTGGATGTGCTAGAACACGACGTTGTGCGAGAGCTCACAGTAGACACATTTCTTCTACTGCGTGCCTGTCTCGAAAGGTCATGATCCGCATCGGTATCACTAGATGACTGCGAATTTGGCGGCGAGGCGGCTGGGTCGAGAGGAAGAAAGACACGCTCAGCTGGCGCACGGGTGCGCAAGGTTGGTGATCGCGTGTCAATGACATCTTCCGGGACAGCTGCGGCGTTCTGCTGTCGGCGGGGCAACGTCATGGCGCAGTTGTCGCAGGGGCCTTGTTTGCGGGTGACAGTCTCGTCATAAGTCCTGCGGTAGCTCGAGTCTCGTCGTGGCTGCTGAGACAAGGGTCGTGGGCTCTCGGGAGGAGTGTCGAGGCCTGTCATGGCAGTGCCATCTTTGCCAGCGCCAGGGCCAGTGCCTGGAGATCGACGCAGGGCCGGGCGTTGGGATTGGGCATCGTGAGATATGTTCAAATCTCGAATACCATCGGCGAGTGCGGCTGAGGTTGTTCGAGGCTGCGACTCTGATGAGGCTGGGGCTGAGCGCGGGGGCTTGTCGATTGTTACGGCTGGGCCCTCATTACATGTGCCGCAAGCTGCCGCCAGGCCTTCGGTGACCATCAGGGGAGTCGGCCCATGGATGTCACAATAGTGAGCCAGACATAGCTGCAGATTAAGCGTCAGCAAGAGTGTCAGATCCATGATCCGCTCATAAGGATTTGTTGATCGAAGCGAGTGCATGGGCAGTCAAAGTATCAAGAGTACGAGACGCAGTAGAAGGAATATAAAGCAGTGATGGGCCGACTTTGCCCAAGGGACATGTCCAGATGAGGTCGAAATCTAATAACCGGCTGTTGCCATGAAACCAGAGAGCCACAGCGAGATAAGAGGGCTTGCACTTGTGCGGGCAGGAAGGGCGTCCCCTGACCCCCTTGAAGTAGAAATAACAGCGGCACGTAGGAATGCTTGTGTGATATGAGCATCGACCAAGTGTGCCGCAGCCCTTATTCTTGGCTTCCCTAGAGGCCAGGACACTCGTCCAATGGGACCAATGACCCGAGAAGACACAGGATCCAGAAGGCAACTGTGCTCCCTAAACTCATGCCAGCAAGGCTGCGGGCACATGGGTGATGCCAGCAGGAGAAAGTCATGTGGGTAGGTAGAGGGGAGAACAGACTGACGGAAGCGGTGTACTTCCGAGTCTGCATGTAACGGGCATCGTGGACCGCTTCTCTGCCAGTCCAAGAGCAGTCATGGTGACGGCAACTCGAGGCCAGCAGCCCCCAACGCACGCTCCCAAGCTGCGGCTAGTGAAAAAGGCCAAGCCAACCAAGCGGGCGAAGTTTATGTAGGTGAAGAGCCAGTGGATGGACCAGCAATCAAGTTGAGAAATGTGACAGTCTGGGCAGAACAGGAAAAAGAAAGGCTAAATACGGGGACGGCTGCGTCGAGGTTGAATGTGGCGCTGTTCGATTGGAGAGCCATGTCGAAGATAGAGTGCAGCTTTGCACGATGAGTTGGGTTGCGCATATGCACATGCTGCAGAGTGGGCTGGGATTGCATGCAACATGCATGGGAGAGGAGTAAAAGAGGCTTTGCATTGGGTCATTTCGAAAAGGCTAAGCAAAGCAGGGAAGCCAGAGAGGGAAGCGACAAGAGGCGGATGGAGATGCATGTGATGTGTAGGAGACATGTGAAGCGACTTACAATATATGTCATGGCGCACGTAGTTGAGCGGTACAAGGATACCGAGTGGCCAAAAAAAAAAAAAACGAGGACGGGACGGATGGCCTATGGTTGTCGTGCAAGTATTCCAGATATGCAGCAGCAGCGTTGGTGACGGATAATGTTCGTATTCGTGCGTGCCTGCAAGGAATGTGCCAACGGCCTGCGCTTGAGCCCAACTGAAGCTTTTCTGCGGGAGAAGCGAGTCGAATGCTCCGAATGTTCGTCGTCGATAGCCCGATTTTTAAGCTCTTGTACGGCGCCGTATACGAGGGCTCGCAGTGCGTGGGCTGGGAGGCCCTGGTCGGGATGATTAATTCCCACGGACGGCGGTGCTTGGTAAGGCTGCAATCTGGCACAGTAACAGGTCATAAAACAAAACAAGGCCCGTCGATGTAAGTCGCACTCGCCACTCTGCGCGTCCAGCCGCAGGGTCGCTGAGGTTTCGTCGCTCCCTTGGGGCTGTCTCACTTTTTTCTGAGACACGCTCTCACGGGTACTTGATACAGAAAACCGACGTCTCCAACACACGTTCAAGGCCCTGTCTCGCGTAATGTGTGGGGTTGTGTGTGTGAGAGGGATCGAAAATGGCAATCTCGTGACCTGCAGAAGTAGATGGCAAAAGAGAAGGAGAGACAAGTGTCTTTCGAAGACGACGAGAGTCGATCTCGAGGTGAAGAAGACAAGGGTAAAAGCAACGAGACCAATTCCGCCGAACCCGACGAGGCCCAATGCGCTGTGAATGGTGATGCCTAGTCTGGGACGATGAAAAGGAAAAAAAGAAAAGACGGAAATGGATGGGACCAAGTAGAAGAAGGAAGAAAAACAAGAGGTGTGACGAATCCTTGTAAGCTTGGGGGAGCTCTTCAGGAGCAAATGGCAGGAAAAGAAAATGAGATGCCGGTGCCTTTCGATTGAAGGAGGCTCGCTCTCGCTATTTTGGTGCGTGCAGGGCCGGCAGTCTTGATTAAAGATGGGGGGGTCTAGGCGCCTGCGGTGGGTACCACAAGCACAAGCACAAGCACAGGCACTACTAAGATGCTGTAGAGCCATAAAACATGGAAGCCAGCCAGTGCAGGAGGCAAAAGGCTGCAGGCGGTACTTGACAGGTACTTGGGCAATTTGATTCGGCGACCTGTTTACTACTACTAGTAGTAGTAGTTTGTCTTTGCTTAGTATCCGTGCTAAGACTGCCATTGTGGACGATGCTGCTACTGCAGGCAATGTGCAGCGTCTCTCGTACAGGCACAGACAGCGAGCATTACAATTTACGAGAGTGCCTGTAGATCATAGTCATAGATCATGGTCATCGAATCGACCAGGCTTGCCAAGAAGGCGCAGCTCGGCGCAATCGTTGGGGCGGCGACAGCCGGTCCTTGCTGCTGCAATGGGACACAGTATGTGGCTCTGATATGCCCGTCCCATCCCATGCCATGGATGCCATGCTATATACTTGTTAATGGACAAGCATCTGCTCCAATAACACGGGCGACAGGCGGCATCTCATTCGACGTCCAGCGCCTCCGCAGCTCCATCCCCTTCGCCCTCTGCGCAACGGCGACTTTTGCCAGCTCTCGACGAGTAATTATTCTCTCACGCAGGCACGATGCGGCACTGGCTGGCGGTTTAGCTCCAGCCACAACCACACGGCCGAGTAGGGAGCCGTGCCGGTTCCAAAAGGCGCTAGAGTCTGCGAATTAGTTTCGCTCAAACTCTCATCCGCCCTCTTGCCCAACTGGGGCAACTCCAGCCGTTGCATTGAACTCTCTTTAATGAACAGGGCAATCGACACTCGGTGGTCTGTGGCGAGCCTGGCCGAGCAAAGAGTTTCGAAAGCCGCCGTGCATGAGCGAGCAATCATCCAGCTTGTTTGACCAGCAAGCGAGGGCACGGCAATGATTAAGTTGCTGCTGCCAAGCAACCGGGGGCATCCTTTTCGACAGGCACAGCCAGCGCTTTAGGCAATGAGAAGACGAGCAGAGACCGGAGCAGAGGCATGGGACGCCTGCAAAGAGAGCACGGCTCCGTCAAGCTGCATCAACTCCGTGCGAGGCGAAACTGTGCCGTAGCATGCCCTTATTTTGGGCTGGCCTCTTCTCCCGAGGTCCCGGTCGCCGCACCAAACGTTCCTCGCCAGTTTCCAGAAAGAAAAATAAGTGGAGGGCCAAAGGTTAGCCGCCGTTGGTCCAGCGAGGCCCTGCAACCACCCCATGCGCTGCGGAGTCGGCGCTCGGAAGGTCGTGGCTTCTTTCGAGTCTAAAGACCGCATGAGGCCCCGTCGAGACATGTCAAAAGCCAGGCACCGGTCCAGGGCAAGGCCCCAGACACCAGCCAGGTTGGCTGCGGTTCCATGGCCATGCCTGGCATAGACTGTGCTGTAGTGGCATGTTGCAGTCTCAAGCTCGCACAAATCCTTTGAAGCGACTTCAAGGCACATGCTTCGCCCATCGATGCTTTTTTTCTTCCGTCCTTGGAACTCGCACAGGCAAATTCCTGTACTTGCTCGGTACTTGATTGGGCATGGCACCCGCACCTGGTGCGAGCACTAGCAGCGCAAGCAGTCGTAGCGCTTGTCCTACTCGTTGGTGCGTTGGGCGTTAAAGGCTCGATTCGACGCTTTGAGGTGTCGGCCATGCCCGAATCGTCGCCGGTTTCAAAAGGCACGGCTCCATAGCCCCCATCTTTCCCTCTTTTTTTCGGGGGCCGTCCTGTCCAAGCAAAAGAGCTAGGCTGTTAGTCCAGCTGTCCAGGCAGTACAAGGACGGGTGCTGGCAGTATTCGTATTGCCATTCGCCTTTTCCGACCATCAGCGCACCGGGCCCGCGCTCAGTTGAATTTTGGATTTTGAAAGCCGGGGCATCAAACGAGGCTGAATGGAATAGAGCGACGAAGACAAGAACAATGGCTGCCATGTCTCGCTCTCTTTTCCTGCGGGCAAGTTCCAGCACAGGGTCTCCATAGAATTGTGAACCCGCGCTTTGTGATAGGTCGAAGCTCCTTCTTCGCGCCAACTGTCACTGGATGGAGACGGCAGCTCCAAGTCATTCGCTCCTTCGGGAACAGAAACCCCGTACCTGCAGATCTAGCTAATTCGCACTCACTTCAGGCACTAAGCCAGACTACCCGTTCCTTCTCTTGCGCCTGCTCCTTCTTACAAGTATGACTCTGGTCGTACGATTGCTCCTGCCCGTGCTTATCCTGCGATATTACGTGTGGCACCTGTGATTGTACATGGTAATGCCATTTCAGCTTGTTTCTTCCTTATTACCTGGCAGTAATATCTACAAATCACATTACTACTACCTTACAGGGCACTATTCTGTGCCCCTTGTCATGGCTGCTGCTATTAGCATGTGCAAGGTGCTAGACTACGCCTTATAGTACTAGCTGCCTTGTTTGTACATGAAGTGGTATATCACTTGTTGGATACGATGCAAAGTATGACACCACAACTACAGCTGGCAAAGTAATACGACAGACACGCTCTTGGATGCAAGGCCTGGCATCAAATATCATCAAAGATTCAAGTGCTCTTGCAGCATCTAGTGCCGTATAAAAGCATAGCCGGGCCCCCTGCTGCAGTTTCCGCTCCCTGTCGGTACTTTCGGAAACTTGGCGACGGCGATTTGCGCGCTCGCTTGCTGGCGCCTTGCACCCACTTGCAGGTACACGGGCACTCGAACCAGCGTCACGACTCGGGTTCCTGGCTGCGGCAAGGGCTGCACAAGGGCTGCAGATTCGTTTTCGTTCCCGTGTCGTCAACGATGTTATTTGACAGGCTCTGCTGCTGATGCCGGTCCGTATCGACCACGTGGCGTCGGGATTGTGCGAATTCTACCACCGGCCGCGGGTGCTCTCACGCCCGAAGGTGCATTTCTATCATCAACTACAAGTACCTAATATGGGCATGGAGCAAAAGCACGGCGAATCCTGTACGCCTGTTGTACAAGTACTGTAGGCTGCCGGGATACTGGAGGAATGGATGGATATTCCGCCTCCAGCCTTCTGGCCGTATAAGCCCATATCGCTCTGCTGCGGCACAAGCACAAAGTACGAGGACAAAGAATACCTGCAAGTACTCGTCGCACACCATCTTGCAAGCACCTACAACTACTAGCATGGAGATTATTTCGCCCCAAGTTTCCCCCAGCCGCTCGTGCAACGCGGCATATACAGCCTGCGTGGCGTGAGGGGTACAATAGCAAAGGAAAACCACGGCCTCCTTTAAGCTCCTGTGTGTGTGTGCGCTCTCGGTGAAACCCGCCTAGGATTGGCACTGCTGGCTTCCGCAATCCACCGGCGCAGGGAAGAAACGGGAGATGGATCCCTTGGCCCGGCTCTGTGCTCCGCGAGAAGCAGAAGCAAGAGAAACGGCAACTCAGCAGACAAGGAAAAAGGCATGTGAAGCTGGCGCGTAGATGGCAACCGGAGCACGGGTTTTGCGTATTTGTACAACTAGTATAGGACGGCGCACAACCCCGAGGATGGCGCCAATTCGAGCCCGGAACCGCATCACTTACCCCATGGAGTTGACATTTCGGCCTTGCATGCGTGACCACGGCCCCCGGCCAGGCTTTTTGCTAGAGGTCGCAGATTGCGCTTCAAGGGACAGGGGCAGGGCCAGCACTCAGCTTAGCTTACCCATCAGTCGGGGACGCACATGCATGTGGCATGCGTGTGGCATGCGCTTGCAAAAGCCATGAACGCCTTGTGCGAGCATGCCGGCGGGGATGGGTGCCCTGTGTGAGAATACACAGTCAGCATCGTGGCTTGGGGGCTGCTCACGACTAAGACTGGTAGTAAGCCTACGAAGCCTACGAAGCCATCGTCGTCTGCGCTGCTCTTCGTTGCGATTCGGCTGACTGCCAAGACGAAAGGTTGAGGAGGCACTTGTCCTGGTACAGGCACGAGCAAGCCTCCCGTCTATTATGGAGACAATATCGCCAACCGCGCACACTGACTTGGGTATCCTGTCGATACGTCAGAGCTAGCATCAGACCCTTGCAACGAGAGGTTACCCGATGGGGAAATTGCGTGAGCAACGCCGAAATAGCTTCAACAACCAAGATTGTTGATGAAATCCATGATGGAGATAAGCAGCCCGAGGCTCGACATTGTCCGAAACAACTAGGCTGTCGATCGTGTCCCGAGAGCCTGCTCTATTTTCGGTCCTTTTGGTCATCCTCAGCGCGCCCGAGTGCCGAGTTCTCGGGCTCATCTAAACAGACTCTACTGCAGAGTGCAACATTTGATAACTAGGCACTAGATGCCTAGCATCAGGGGCAACATGTGTGCGGCTATGCGTGGAGTCATGGGCAGTAAATGAATGGTATGGAATACCCGTAGGTGGCCATCTGATAGGGCTGGATTGACAATCTCTATACAATAAACAAACTCTTCAACCAAGCATAGGGACGAAAGAGGCAAGGCAACATGGCGACAGCATCACTCTAATTACTCGGTAGAGATGCCCTGCTGTCGGCTGCATTCGTTAAGCGCTTAATATCAGGCAATAAGGCTAAATACCAAAACCCGGACAGGAGGCCTTCCCGATACAAATCGTGCTAAATTGGTATTCCCGTAGATCTCCTGCGCTTCGAGTTGACACATCGCATTTTGCTGGACAAATATATCCACTTGCAGCAGGTGGGCTACAGATACGAGCATTCAAGTACCTGCGTATGTGCGGGCTGGTATAGCAGCAGATAAAGATACATTGTAATACTTGGCTACTGGTCTAACTTGCAACAGCTCAACTTACAAGATCAAGTCGGTGGATGCACGGATTTGAGCGTTATATAATCTATTTTGTTTCTTCCCATACTTGCTAGATAAAGAAGACAAACTCTATCCTATAATCTCATCGCCATACTAGATGATAACAATATGTACCTTTGCTGTCTAAAATATACCCTGTAGATGCTATTTAGCCATTTCCATGTCCTGCTGCTTAAAGTTCGGCAGGCATTCGTGCACCACTGCCCAACCTTGGCCTCTTCAAAGCTTGAGATATCTCCACGACTAGGCCTTCTGAAGAATACGCACGTTTACAACCGCCTGTGAACTTTGCCTGCCGAGTTGAGCGACCGCCATCTTGCACGCTCTCTACTGATGTCAAAGGCGTGGAGTCTCTGGAAGCGGTGGTCTGCGCCGTCGTATCAGGAGGAAGAGACCCAGCCTGGGAGGACTCATCAACAGCATCTGGGGCATCTGCCTCTTCCACAGCATAACGATTTGCAAACTTGGGCTTCTTGTTTCTTTCCAGACTCGTGGCCCATGCGTCGCGGAACGTGATTCCCAGAGCGACGGCGACCTGTCTCGCCACGCTGTTGCCGACGATTTTGTACTGCGTCCCCGGGTCTCCCAGGAGGACTTCCTCGTCGCGGAAGCCTTGTGCCCGGCGCGCTTCCATGACGGTGATGAGTCTGTTTTCTCGCCAGTGGAGGACGCGCCCGTTTTTGGCGTCTGTGGGTGTTGTTGCCGTGACAATGGTCTCGAAGAGCTTGTTGGGGAACATTCGCCCGTATGCTTTTGACGCGGGGAGCGTGTTCATGGGCTCTTTTGAAGATGGGCTGCTTGCCTTGTAGAACATGTCGCGCTCGGCTGCTGTCATTGCGCCGGCGCCGGCTTGTCCCTTGGACCGGTCTTGGCCGTACCAGGCTGTTGCAAAGTCCATGCCCCATGGCTGGGTTGGGATGGCGGATATGCGAGCTCGTTGCGTCTTGGTGTGGCCCCTTGTCGGGCGGTGGTCGGGATACGGGACGCAGATGTCGGGCTGGGCGTCGTGGATCGCAGGCAAGTCCGACACTGCTTCTTCTGCCGTCACGTATTTGAACGGCGTGGCCGTGGGCATTTCTCGAGCGGCCATGCTCTGGCCGTTGGGCAGGTATCCGATGCCGAGCTCGCGCGTGTTTGCGGGATGCGAATGGGTATGCGGCGGCTTCTTGGGCAGCTCGAGCCCGGGGGCGGCAAAGACGACGAAGATGCGAGGTCTGCGCTGCGGCGAGCCGCATGACGATGCGTCGAGGAAGAAGAAGTGCGTTTGGTAGCCGAGGCCGACGAGGGCGCAGATGAGCTGGCTGAAGACGTCTTGGTCTCGGGCGGTCTTCTTGTTGACTATGCCGGGGACGTTTTCGAGCACGCCGTATTTGGGACGGTAGAGGTCGACAAAGGATGCAAAGGCTGCGACGAGCGATTGGTTCTTGCGCTGTGCCGCGGTGGTCTTGTCGTTGGTGAGGGCGGAGAAGCCAGGACAGGGGCTGCCGCCAGATATAAAGTCGACGTCTCCAATCTGCGGCACATTCTTTGCAAAGTCGCCTTGCATGGATAGACGCTGTAAATCGTCAATGGAGCCGAGAAAGGGGTCAAGGTCTTGGGGGTTCTTGACGTTTGCCATGTAAGTGTGGATGGCTTTGCTGTCATAGTCGTTGGCCCATTTCATTTGGATGGCTCCGCCATCTTCAAGGCCTCTGCCAAAGTTGCCTCCTCCGCAGAACAAGTCAATTCCGCGGAGTTTTTCTGTTGCCGGGAGGGAACTGGGTCCTTGCTGCAGAGAAGCTGGTGCTGTCTTCAACGGGGTGTAAAATGAAATTCCATCAATGAGAATTTGCTGGTGGGTGATGTAGAAGAGATTTCCCGTACCATTGCGATCATATGGCGTAGCAATCGTATCACCGTCTCGAAAGAATCTCACTGAGCAAGAGGTCAGGATTTGGCTCTTCCTTACTTTGACGGTTTTCTCGCTGTAAACAAGCTCGTTTGGTCGCGCGTTTGGTGCGTTTGAATCAACCAGTCTACGGCGTAGAAGTCGTCTGAACTTATAAACTCTGGCGCTGCCTTCTCTAGCCAAGCCGATGTATTCACAGGGCTCCGAAACGTCGCTCTTCAAGTCTAGGTGCAGCAAATATGTCTCTCCGGGTTGATATGCCGGCGCGGAGGCCGTCTTTGGTTGCTGTACCCCAGTATGCTCGCACCACAGGTGGCTTTCCTTCAACGTCACCCATCTTCGTTCTTCCTGGAGATAGGTTTGCCGGCAGAAGAACTCTGCTTTTGTTGTTGATGTTGCCCAGAATTCGACGTCGTGAACGCCGAGAATCTCGTCTTCGTCGATTTTGGAGGGTTCCGAGCAAGAACAGTGGTCGGAGAGGAATAGCTCATTGTTCCATGGATATTTCATCAAGCCGCAGAGGGTGTCTACCGGTCGATAGTACCAAATCACATCGAATGTGCGCAGTCCTTTTCTGTCAACGTGAACAGATTGCACCCGGGCGAACCATCGGTCCACATCTGAGAAACCCTTGGAGAGCTCTCTCTTCCATATCGTGCCGGACGCTACATCATCCCTGTGCGTCGAAATGGTATCGCCAGGCTTGATGTTATTGATAGTCTCTTGTGATGGCGCAACAAGGTCTTTCGCAGCGTGGTGTAAACTCGACGGGTATTCCAAGTGCCGTTGACGGATCAATTCATTGCGAAGCTTAGTAGTCTTGAGGCTCAAGGGAATAACCTGAAGACGATCGCCAAACGGCAAATGTTCAAAGCAATCGTATATGTACTGAGTAACGATCGTTGGGGGATCCGCCACCGCAGGCAAGCTCTTAAACAGCTGAAAGTCCAAAACTTCAGCCCATATCGTGTGAAGGCAAGCTTTCGGGTGACTCAACACCCCTACAGCCTCCTTGTAGAGAAATTTGATGTTGGCAACAACCGAAGTCCGATAGTCCTCGCTTGGGTGTTGGCTCAACCACTCCAGAAACTCCGGCGCTCCCCTGTGGCTCTTCTTCAGCCACGCAACAAAAGTCGATCGAAAGTGATGAATGGAAACCTTGCGCCCGTTTTCCGCCATGATGAAAAGAAAGTCCACAAAATGCTTCGCCAAGTCGGCAACCCATAAAAAGGGGTAAAAGAAACGCCCGTATTCCCGTGCCGGTTTTCCCAATTTGTAAAATAACGCCTGTTTAGAACCCAATGGGGACTGTAGCCAAATGCTGCCCCGGACAGTGTGCTTCGAGACCGAGCCGTAGTTGCCAATGGGAACCGCAGCTATCTGAATCCGACGCACATATACTTTTTCGTTGCCAATGCCGAGCACGCCGTCAAAAAAGAAGTTGCCATGTCTTATTTTTGTGTTTAGGTGGTGGAGAGACCGCATCTCTTCCGGATAATCAGGGGTATCGAGGTAGATTGAAAAGTCACTGAGAAGTATCTCTTTGAAATCTTGTGCGCATTCATCTGTTTTCGATGCATCCATATATGGCGAGAGTTTTTGAAGTGCTCTCCACTCGGACATGATTGACATGCCATTAGGGGGTTCGAAGTCTTTATAGCTGGATTTTGGTGCGGATAGAATGCATTCATGTATATCAACACTCAAAAGTGTAGTTGAAGATGGGTTTCCAGTCGAGTATAGTTGTCGAACGCTCTGACTGGGACCAGTTGATAGAGGATCAGTCGCTTCAGAGTCCTGAATGGTCGAGCAAAACGAAGGTGGTGAGCTGGGAGGAGACAAGAATTGGTTTGGCTTGATCGGACCAGTAAGAGCCTTTTTTCCATCCAATGGGATTTCGTCCAAGTCAAAAGGCGGTAGTCGATGACGATTGAAAGACTCTGGCGATGCTGAGCCGCGGATGCTGAAACTTGAGACGGTAGCGCGCCAGGCATCGATCCTAGAAGCATTGCTTCTGCTGGAAATCCCATCTTTCTCTTTCTTCATGATAATCCTCTTTCTTGGTGAGGCAACCAGCTTCTGAGCTGTGCCACCGGACACTGCGGCGTACTCCATTTCTCCTTTTCCAAACCCCTTTCCAAATCTCAAAAAACAGACAGCGAAACCGAGCCTTGATATTCAGCCACGAAAGTAAGCAAAAGCGAGTAGATGTTGATTATGGCGAAAATAAAGCAGAAGATGACTCCCAAACCGATGGTATAACTCCCAATGAGATCCCAAAATGACCAAAAGAACAAAGAAAAGGGGAAATGTCAAAACCTCAAATCCCCATCAAAATCCCGTAAAGTTTGCAAAATGACCAAGATGGAAAACAAAAAGTAAAACGAATCAAGCCCAAATCGCATATATGCAACTGAGAAAAGAATTTAAGGGGAAAAAAGGCGGAGTGATAATTCAGAAATGTGTACTGCCAGCTGCTCGCAGATGCAAAGGTGAAAGACCTCTTTGTTCTTAGGAGCGATGGCTATTTTTGGCGGTTTGACATGCTTTCTTGGTTAAGCATTGGCTTTGTGTAAAGAAAGAAGAAGAAGAAGAGGTTGAAAGAGGATTGAAAAAAGAAGACGCCGAAGAATTTGACTAAAAATAAAGTCAACGAACCATCCCATGATACGTGCAGAGTCAGGTAAAAGTGAGATCAAGGTCACCCACACAGCACCTATTATTTGATAACACCACAATAGGACAATTAGTCTCAATAGCTTAATGCATGCTCAATCAGATCAAATACCCTGATTGTTTATAAGTACAAAAATATCGCTCTCAAGTTCATGTCGCTCGAGTGTATGTATTGAATGTCCGTCCCATCCTAAAGAACGCCCTGTATGCATTTCCCATCAAGCCCACGACACGATAGATCCCATCTTGCCCATTGTCCCGAAAAATGATATTACGTATCTAATCCCTTAATTTTCATCGTTTTCTTCGGAACCGACTATTGTAGCCTGGCCCACCTTTGGCACCGTTGTTCCGTAGCTTCAGCCTTTGGAAGTTTGCATGTGCCAGCTGGTTCACTTTGCGGGTCGCCTTCTTTACCACGCCTTCTTCCTTGGCGGGCTTCTTCGCCTTCTTCGCAGTATTCGCAGTATTCGCAGTATTCGCATCCTGGGTATCATCTCCATCTTCAAACTCGCCATCAGACTCGCCTGCGACATCTGATTTGCCAACATGAGCTTGGGTATCTGGAATAGTGTCTTGACCATCTTCATCTTCATTTTCGTCACTCCCATTCTCCTCAGCTAGGTTCGTTGGTCGCTTGGTTCGAACTGGCCGCATGTTTACTCGTCGCGTTGTTCTCTTCTGCCCCTTCTTCTTGAAAACCCTCATTGGCCGTCCGTCACGATCCACGGCATCTTCTGTAGGGCTATCATACAACCCCTCATCATCGAACCCACCCAAGGGCAGCTGTTTAGCCTGGCTATCCGGCTCCAATATGTCTTGCTTCGGCTCCGGCTTTTGTATTTTGATCGTAGGCTGAGGGGGACCGCCGGATTCCATTTCGGCCTCGACTTCGCGCAGTGCCTCGAGGTCGTCATCCAGCTGTTCCTCCTCGACTCTTCGAAGGCTGGCTACAATTTCGCTGAGGCCACGAACCAGAGGCTTTCGCGGCAGCCGTAGAGGCGGAGCATCGAATTTTGTGTTCTCGTCCAGTGTTGGAAGTGAGTGCCTCTTTAAAAATGCTGGCGTGTCAAACTGAAGCTTGGATACGGACGTGGGCGTTCCGGCCATATTCTGTCCGTCTCTCTTCTTCATTGGCGTCGAAAAGAGCTTTCGTTTGCTGGCAGAGCTTGGAGTAAGTCCTAGTTTGGCTATAGCATCTTCGCCCAAGTGACTTTTGCGTCTGCTAGGAGTTGCATGGGAACTAGCAGGGCGACCCATCTCCTTCACGCCCTTCAACGGGCTCTTGAATTCTTTTTCCACCAATAGATCAAACAACCCGAGGACCTTGCCATCCCGCTGAGGTGTCGGCCCAATTGCTGTCACCGGCGCAGGGCTAAAAAGTTTCCTGGAGATAGCCGGGCTGTTCATGTATTCGTCGCCGTTCGGGGCCAGTCGCTTCGAAGGGGTCTCGGCATGTTTTGCTCGCTTCATTGGAGTCTCGGCTGCCGGCCTGGGAACTGCTTTGCGTTTGTCATGCTTGCTTTTTGAGATCGAGACGTCTGAAGGAGGAGCTAGCTTTCCAGATATTATGTCGCGAAGCTTGTTATAGTCTTTATATTTCTGGGCTTTTATATCTTTAGCGAGGGCAGATTATAGGCAGGCAGTTAACATGCAAGCTTACCCATATCAGGATTGTTCTTGATATCCTCTCTGCCTGGCTTCTTCCCGCCATGCGTCTTTGCCCAATCGCCCTCCCATTGCTTCAGATCAGCCCGCACTCTCTGAGCTCTAGCTTCATACTCTCTTTTTGCTGTCTCTTCCATTGTGGCGTCGACAGCTCAATCCACCGAGGTATACACCAATTGAATTCGAAGGCGATGAATCAGGATATCAAAAGCGACATGTCTTTTACAAGGACGCTCGCAAATGCCGAAAATGACCAGAGCAGGAAAGAGAAGCAGGCTTGAATATCAACATAAACAGACCCAAAGAGCCGGAGAGGATTTGTTTTGTATACTTGAATCCTCGTCGAAAAGCGTCATGTGGGGAACTGCAAGTCGCGCATGCAAGCGCGCTGCCTGTCATTAGAAAAGCGCGTCTTGCAGAAGCACTTAAGAACAGCCGCCACCGCCACAGGCCAACCCCACTGAAGACGCCCTGTGCTACAGGCTGTCGATTGCCCCACTAAGCTACGAGCAGAGTCGATATCGCAACTTCTCCCAGAGGTAGGTAATTCTTCTCTTACATCCTCCCACGACAGCTTCATCGCATCGTTTCTATCGTCGCGCTGACCCATGGAAAGCGGGCCAACTAACGAAAATGACGAAATATATTGCAGGATCCTGCAGAATACACTGCAAGAGGTGGCTGCAAGAGAACAGTCGGATAACGCCGCCACGTGCTGTGTCATCTGTCTAGACACTGTCAGCGATGCCTGCGAACTTTTGCCATGCGGGCATGACAGTTTTGACTATCTTTGTATCTTGAACTGGCTCTATGACAAACCTCTATGTCCCCTCTGCAAGGGGGTTGTAGCCAAGGTACAACGAGGGCCCCCTGAACACCGAGAAACAACCATTATAGAACCGAAACCACAGCCGTCTCCAACTAGGACGTACTCCCATCAGTCATCATTTCCACGCCCTAGAGCCAGAGCGACGAGGACACCTCGATTTACGACCCAGAATGATGCCGCAGAAAGAGTACAAACCCTTCGACGTGACGTTTACCTACAAAAGAGATTCTCAAAGCATGTTGGCTCCAACCGGCTCTCTCTATATCGGGAGCTGACACCGAGACTCTTCTGCCGTGATGAGCATCTTGTGTCTCGAGCACGCATGTGGATCCGTCGCGAACTGCAGGTGTTTTCATTTCTCACGGCTGAGGAGCCTACTGCTGCTACTGCTACTACTTCTGCCGCCTCTCGTCCAGACGAATCCCAAGCGCGGCGGAGAGCAAACAACGCCGAATTCTTGTTGGAGTATATTATTGCCATCCTGAAGTCTGTGGACATCATGGGCAGCGCCGGTCAAGCCGAGGACATGCTATCAGATTTCCTTGGCCGAGATAATACGCGGGTGTTTCTGCACGAGCTACGATCATGGCTAAGAAGTCCATTCGCAAAGCTCGAAGACTGGGATCGAGCAGTGCAATATGATCCGGTTCCATCAGAGGAGTCTCCATCCAGGCCGGCGCCAGCCCGGAACCGAAATGAGGGTGCGCCTCAAATGCGGCACACTCAGAACCAAATGCGATCCGGAGGGGACTATTACCGCCCTGGACCAGCTCGAGGTTCCCGTGAAGAGATGCAGAAATCAAGGCGTGAGCCATATGCACACGGCAGGCGAAGAAATGAAAGAGGCGCTTAGGGAGTGACCATTCATGTGGAACATCAAGCTTGTACATACATGGGGCAGGCGTACTTGAAGTTACTTTGGCTACACAATAGAAGGAATTGATACCCACGTCATTATATAGGCGATTAAACAAGGAGTTTTTAGGCATCTTCATAATAGAGTTATATTCAGTTTGATTCACAGAGCTAGTCGTGCGGGAAGTTTGAAGATTGTCTGCCTGGCCCATTTCTCAGCTGAGCGGCGGAAAATGCAGCGCCACTTCCCAGTAGTTTTCCGCAAGAGATCCGATCCATGCAAGTCCACCAAACGACAGACGAGCTGGACACGCAATCGGCTTTAAACTGAAACTCAGGTTCGTCCAGGCAACCAATATTCACTACAGCTACTTGTTTATTTGATTTAGTTATTAGATCAATGAATGTGTAGGACGAAGAATATTTAAAAGTCTAGGCATCTCCAGCCCGTATTCTTTCGTACTTTTATCATGATATTCAGCTTCTCATTAACAAAATCTCCTATTCTCTTATTTCAAAAGTAGAAAAAGGGTAATTTTAATTACTTATTCTAGCCTCTACTACCCCTACTACCTCTACCATGGCAAACTACGACATCCAAATCATTTCCGACACCGTCTGTCCCTTCTGCTACCTCGCCCGAGCCCGTCTCAGTCGTGCCATTGCCCTCTTCAAGAAAACCGTCCCCAACGCATCCTCGTCCACATTCACCATCCGATGGCACGCCTTCCAGCTGGACAAGTCCATCCCGCACGGCCAATCCACCAGCGTCCAGGACATTGCCGTGTCACGCTTCGGCGCCGACCGTCTCGCTGCCAAACGCGCGCGGATGGCGCAGATGGGCGACCAGGAGGGCTTTGGGTTTACGTTTAGCGGAAGGATTGGCAACACGAGGGACTCGCATAGGTTGTCGCATTTGGGACGGGAGCTGGGTGGGCACGAGTTGGAAGACAGGGTGCAAATGGCCATGATGAAGATGTTTTTCGAGGAGGGCGGCGATATCACGAGCCATGAGGATTTGGTCGCTGCGGCGGAGAAGGCTGGGATTGAGAGGGACGTGGCGAGGAAGTGGCTTGAGGATGGGTCTGGAGGTGAGCAAGTTGATCGGGAAGTCGAGGAGATGGAGAAGTTGGGGATGAAGGGCGTGCCGAAGATTATGGTGGATGGCAAGTTTGTGATTGAGGGTGCGGATGATGTGACGGCCATGTTTGAGCAGCTTTACAGGGCAAAGGAGGAGAAGGAGAAGAGTGAGAGTCTAGTGTAGAATCTTATATAGAGGCAAGCACGCTATCGCTTATATATTTTGGGGGTATCACAATTCTTTTTTGGCCTTTTATATCCATACGCATTCGTTACATGTTTCTCAGCCCTCCAATATCCCTCTCCATGGACTTTAGCCTCGCCTGCAACTCCCTCTTTTTCGTCTCCATCTGCTTGGCCTCCTCTTCCTCTCTCCGTAAATCCTCCTCCGTCCACCCATCACTACCGCCTTGCTGAGCCTCATCCGCTTCCTGCTCCTTGTCCCTATCCTGATCCATCCAGTCCTTACTCATACTCGCCAGCTGCTCAGCCTGCTCAGCCACTCTCGCCTCATAATAAGCCGTTGTGTTCTTCCCATTGCGGTACCTGGCCCGCAACGCCACAATGCGCTCGCGAGCCCCCGGCAATTCATACACTCCGCAGAGCTTCTCGGCGCCGCGCAGGAGCACTTCCACGTCCAGGTCGCCCTTGCGGTCTGTCTCTCCTCGCCGGAGCTGTTCGTGCATCTCGCCGCCTAGGACAGCGGCCACGGCGGTTCGGCGATGAGGCGCCCCTCGCGTCGGCGGGCCTGTCGTTACTTCGCCCGAGGCGACGTTGAAGACTGTTTGCCGGCGGTTCTTGGGCTTGGCTTCGGTTTCGGCTTCGGACGGCTTGGGGAGTTTCGATGCTGTGGTAGCGGCTGGAGGTGGAGGGGGCACGGAGAATAGAGCGCGTTCGTGAGCCTCGGTGTCTCGGATTAGGGACGTGATGTCGTTGTTGGAGAGCATTGCGTTGGTGAATATTTTCGGAGGTGGGAATCTTGGCAGGTCTAGTAAGCAAAGGGCTGTTCATTTCTTAATAAGAGGAAAAAAAAAAGGGCATTGTATCTTACGGAAGCGAGTCAATTCCCTGACATGAGCTTTGTATTTGCTCGAGGTGAACCGACATCAGAGTCGAGTCCATGGCTTCTGTTGGCCTCGCACGACGCGTTTGGTGCAATGAGGACAATGTTGTGGTTTTTTTCAGGTGGCAGCAAGAGCTATATGAGAGACTTTGAGGCGCAAAAAAGCCAAAGAACGCCTGTACCCAGGTAGTGGTGGCTGTCTGTCGTGGGATATTTTTGATGATGCGAGATTGATAGCGATAGCTCAGGTCCCTTGGTCGTCATAACAAAGTGCCCCACCAAGATCTGTGGCGGCTTGGAGCTCCGGACAGCAGTCCACAGCGGGGCTTTATCAACTGTGTTCCCACTGCATGATAAAGCTCATGAGCATAAACAAGGGAAAAGGTATCCAGCACCCCGGCTGTAGAGCGACAAGCCAGCTAATCCATGTATTCAAATACACCACTGCTAAATATAATTCAAGTAGCATCAGTTGCATCAGTAGCATCAGTAGAAGTAATAGCAGTTATAGCAGTAGTAGCCCACGCTTTAGCTAGAGTGCTGGATAACTCTTCCCATAAACAACTTCTGAGCAAAGCCCGGGTAAACAGTAGGAATTTTGTCTATTGTCTATCAAGCGTGAGTCTGAACGATGCATCTCTCAGCAATATATGAGTATCGAAATGTCAAGCTAGTCTGCCTCCATCTACCCTCTAGTCTGAAAAAAGAAAGAATGAGAAAAAAAAAATATAAATGATGCAAGCGCAGTAATCTATAAAGGTATCAAAAGAAGAAAACCGTTCGGTACATGCTGAAATGTAAAAATGACTGACGCAGCGGCGACCAAGTTGGGGCACCTTGTGCCTTTGATTTTGCTTTCTCGGCTATCCAGGTAATTGATCTTGTATATTCACCGTGCCGTAATAAGTAAATGTCGGCTTCCCATGTGAACTTTGCTTGAGGCTTCAACGTGCCTCTCTAATATGCTCGTTACATTATTCGTCATCATGTATAGTAAAGCAGGCTCGCTGTCTAATAACCATGAATGTTCTCCGGTGAGAACTCTTGAAATTTTTTTGTTCCTTTTTTGCTTTGACTTTTTTATTGGTGTGTCATGATTTGTTTCTTGCTCTTCATCAACTCGAGTCAGTGTCCATAACATCCATTGCATGGCGTGGCAGCTCCTGTGCAAGGCGCATCTCGTTGGCATATTCATCCTCGCTCGAATTGGGCTCCTCCAGCTCATCAATTCGAGGGGCGGGAGGATCCTGGAATAGTAAGCTCCCGCGGTGGACCCTCTTGTGGAATCGCCGAGCACTGGAGCCGGCCTCGTTTACGTCGAGAGCGCAGTCATTGTCGTCCGAGTCGCTCAACTCGCTGTGCGTCCTCTTACCGAAGCTGCTCGACATGCTCACTCTTCGAATGCGCTTCAGCTCCTGTTGCCTTCTCCTAAACTCCGACTCTTCGTCATCTTCGTCAGCTTCAATCTCATCATCGGATGCCTCGTTGCTGCAGTTGAGGTTCTCCAGGTCTTGCATCATGTCCTGATCCAGATCCTTCTGCTGAGACGCAGACTGGCTTGGAGGCGACTCGGCATCGGATTCACTCTCAATCTCAGTGGGGTAGACGACATCCAGGCCTTCCCACTCACTGTCCATCGGATCCATATCCTCAATCGTAAAGTCAATCGCAAAGCCACAGGCCTCAGGGATGCCTGTCGGGCCGTGCGCAAGCCTTGCTCGCTTAAGCTTGTCTGGCTCCGCCTCGCAATCAGCCTCAGACTCATATTCCGATTCTGCATCGGCATCTCCAGATGCATCCAGCTCATGCGATGCCAGGGCATTCATTTCAGCCGAAGCGCGTAGCAATTGCTGCACCGCCGAGGTTGACAGGCTGACAACGCTAGCGCTGTCGGAAGAATCGCCACCAATCGAATGTCCCTTGTCGGCTTCGGACGAAGATGACGATCGCGGGCTCAATTGCTCCAGCGGGCGGTAGCTGAACTGATGGCCGCTCCCATATGGCCTGATGTTTGGGTCTTGAGCAAGAGAATTCGCCAGGAGGTAAATTGCCGCTTGGTTGTCCTTGCGGGGGAAGTCTGGCGAGGTGACAGGAGTGTCGGGCGGTGAAGCTGGGTCGCCGGTCTGCAGCGCGACCAGATGGGCTGGCGACAGCTTCAAATTTGGCGTTGAAGACCGCCTTCGCGAACTTCTGCCGTGTCGATTCATGGTTGTGCGCCGCGAAAATGGTGATGGAGGTGGAGAGAAACGTAGATGAGCAGCTTCAGTCCGTGTGAAACGTATGACTGAATGAGTCGCCGGGGGGGCTGTCTCTCTTTTTATCTGGCCACGGGCTAGTTCCGTTGTCTCGGTCCTCTAAGATGGTCGTGTCTCGGACTAGAGTCGCGACAAGTTGCGCTCAATTGGCTGCGCGGGACTTTAAGATTGCGTTGGGTGCTTTCGCTTGGAATGAGAGAAAAGGGAGAGAGCGAAAAACAAGATAGTGGTCTATTGCGCGGGGTGGCGACCATCAGCATCAAAGCAGGGTAGAAGCAGGAATCAGGACATACAGCGTGGTAGCAGTTGGGTACTTGAACAGTAGTTGCGCAAGGAACCAGGCTACCTAGATGCGAGGGGCTCTGCTTTCGCGGTAGGTAACTGATACAGGAGATGGAAACAGTAGCAGCGTCAAGGAGTCAGGGTCCAAAGTAGGAGCCTCCAGGATGGAGAAGAAAAGACGTTGTTTGCGGTCAAGGGCATGATAATGTTTCTGGAGGGCCCGGCGCTGGCTGTCGGCGTGTTGGTCACACCGTGATTGGCACCCGGTCGACACGGCGCTTCTATCAAAGAGCAGCAGCTGGTTGGCGACTTGGGGGGAGGAAAAGAGAAGATGGCGCAGTGAGTGATGGCGGCGGCAGCGGTATATAAGGCGGGAGTAGGAGTAGGTAGAGCGCAGAAGAGGGAGGAGAGGAAGAAGGGAAGAATCAAGAGGGGCGAAACAAAGATGAAAGAAGAGGAGAAGTAGAAGAAGAAGAGAAAGAGAAAGGCTGAGGGAACCAACCGATAAGAAATGGAAAAACAAAAACAGGCACCAGGCACACAAGAACTTGTTTGGAATAGACGGGAGCGAAAAGGGCCAAATTCAGCCCTGGGCGGATCTGCGATCTGCTGCCTGGATGCTGCAGACGAGCGAGGGCTGCAGGCGACAGGCGAATGACCGGCCGCTGCTGGATGGCGAGGCCTTTTTAAGCGGCAGGACAACATGTAACTCCATGTGCATCAGCCGAAGCGTCGGGACGACGGGCTGAGGAACCTTGTTTCAGTGTCTGGAGAGCGGACGCAATGCAGCCAACAAAAGTGGCGCTCTGGCATCTAGCCTGCGGTGCATAAACACCAGAACCACAAAGAGAATGGGAGAGATTGAACAACACGGCCGACTTGCTATAGTCAGCAGCTCAGCAGTCAAAGCACCGAATCTCTCCATGACTGCTCCCTTGCCGCTTCAGGCTCGGCCCGCCCATCCAGCGTGACAACAGCAAAACAACGAAACCTCTTGTCTGCTGTTGCATTTCAGACTGTGATGGCGTCTTGTTAGCTGCTCACTCGCTGCTCCTGTGAGTTTCCGGGGCGCATGGTGTGGCACAGCATCATCCCCTTCCCAGCTCACAACTGCGGCCGCGCTGCGAATCTTATCCCAAACCTACACAGGATCACTATTTACGGCGCATCCATCCCTCCAGCGTCCTTCCTCGTGTCTTCGGCGCAACCCTGGCAGTTCTGACAGCTCCTTGGCGCAATTGAGGATGGAGTACAGATGCTACTGGCATCATACTGCAGGTACGAGCACCTACATGATCCACCCAGTCCATCGGGCAGCAATGCTTCTACCCGTCAGTGGCCTTATTGCCCACTTAGACTGCTCTCAAACCTGCTTTCTACCGAACAAGATGTAGAACTTCCATCTTGGGTGGAAATAGCCGGGATCGAATGAGAGAATTCTTTCTTCTCTTGCTCAGAGTCCCGGTTATTTCGCTCTCTTTTGCGCGCGCGTTTGTAAAATGAAAATGCCCGATACGCCATGCCATTGGTTTGTCCCGGCGCATGGCTGGCTTATTGCGAATCTACAGTTCGGCCATTGATCTTACGGCAGTGCTAGACCTACTCCCGTACCGTACCTGCTTCTGGAACAAACACTAACAGCAGCGCTATTGTAGCGTGCTGTCAAGGGCTGGGGGCGTGCAGCTGGGTCTGCAACTTGAAGCTGGGCCTGCTTGATTGGGTGGCCACGGCGAGTAACCGCATAAAGGATTTGCTCGCCGCCCGGAGAATTGGCCCATGCCATTGGACAATCGCGATGCATGACCGGATGATCAAGTGAGGAGTAATAAATCTGCGTCAAGGGGGGATGTGCCAATCCAGGAGACGAATCTTTCTGTTCAGGAGTTAGGAGAAGTTGGCCATGCGACGAGAGTAGATGGCGATGTAAGTTGCATTGACGACAAGGGATTTCTTAACATGAAGCATATCGCGTAGCAAACATACACACCGAGGTACTAGCTACTGGTGGTGCTTCATACACTATCGTAGCTTTCCTTCTTTACTAGAACGGCTGAATATTTAGGCAGGTAGTATATGCCCATACAATTTCACACAGATAGGTGACTTCAATTACCATCTCCGCGCCTAGCACTATACAATATGCACATAATGGCCGAGTCGGCACGGGGATGTGTTAAATCCACACAAGCTACATGTACCCGTCACATCGATAGAGTGTATAACCATTAGCAAGTACGCGCATGCAGCGTTTAGAGGGTCCACGGAAACAGGAATAGCCGCCGCGAGAAACATCTTCATGCAGCCATCAGGGGAACTCTCCACGGAGCACTGCTAGATCCTTATGCTCTCTTTCCCCTTTCCCCGTGAAAGTGGGAACTAGACTGCTCATTGACACGTAAGTGAGTGAAACTGATAGCATTCCCAAGTTGGCAATGAGAATCATTAATTGCTCTATAAATAGAAGTGGATTATAACAACGGCTTTGACTTCAACCTAGTATGCTGTCGCGATGCTCCGTTCGTCAATCCAAGTATACTGCATAAAAAGACAAAATTGATGGAATACCGGGTTACTTCAGCGATTCAATTACGGGAATGATGAGGTCACATTTCAAGATCAATTCTTATATGTTATGATAGAAGCACATACATCTCCCCACTCCATACATCTTCCAAAGTAGTCGATATTGCGTCTATAGCAGGCACCAGCAGGCGATAATCGATTATGTAAGCAAGCCTCGCGGGCCGACGAAAAGTCCGAGTCCTGCCAGTGCAAACGAAGTGACCCATGCTCGGCGAATTTAATTGGTAGATGCGCTAACTACGATGCAACTGTGACGGCCTTCTCAGCCAACTTTAACCTTCAGAACGCGTCGTCCGTTCAGCACTTGCTTCGCCGCCCTTGCTTCGCTTTTCCTGAGATTCATTTATTGCTTTTATTCGATATCCCTGCTTTCATATCAGCTACAGGCCCTGCTTTGGCCGAATACGGTCTGCGAACGACGATGAATCAAGCCACGGGCCAAATGGCCCAGCAAGGCCAGCCTCAGCCTCAGGGTGGTGCACAGGCTCCTGCTGCCCAGAACCGGCCTCCCATGTATCAGCCCGGCCAGATCAAAAACCTGCCCTTTCTCAGCGATGATGAGAAGACCAAATACGAGCAAGGATTGCGGGGTCTTTGGACCAAGATGAACGGCTCCCCTACCAACAGCCCAGACCAGATCGCAGCTCGGCAAAAGATTATTGAGTTCTCCCGGATGCTGATTGGGAAGATCCAGCAGAGACGGACACTTGCCGCTCAGCAGCAGGGCCAGCAACAGCCTCAAGCAAGGCCGCAAGTGGCACAGCCGCAACAGCAGCCGCAACAGCAACAGTTGCAACAACAACAGCAGCAGCAGCAGCAGCAGCAGCAGCCGAACGCCGCCCTGCAAGCCCAAGCCCAAGCCCAAGCCCAGGCTCAGGCTCAGGCTCAGGCACAGGCACAGGCTCAGGCACAAGCTCAGGCACAGGCTCAGGCACAAGCTCAGGCACAGGCTCAGGCTCAGGCACAAGCTCAGGCACAAGCTCAGCAGCAAAAGACACAAGGTGCAGGAACCGAAGTTACGGCAGCTGGTGCCGCTGGTCCGGCGCAGAATGCTCAAGGACAAGCACCCGCGACAGCAGCTCCAGCGGTAGCGCAGCGACCCAAGATACCTGAAAACTACATGAAAATGGCCAACGCCGCCATTCTTCGACCTCCTCCGGTGCAGCTGACAGATAAATCTGCTAATGGCGCCAAATGGATGGAAGAATTGAAGGAACGCTTTGCACGGGCGCTCATGACTATGGACACTACGAAGAATAATGTTGCCAACTGGGAAAAGCTGATGAACGATCGAAATGCTCAGGGCAATCCCCTCAAAGATGAAGAACTTCGAAAATTCCAGCTGAGAAAAGACCAACAGCTGAAGCTTTACTCCGAGGCTCACAAGTGGGTTGAGGGTGTTCGCAAACAGCAAGGAAACTTTCAAGGAGCCGCTGCTCATGCCAACCAAGCCTCAGCTGGCGCCGCTGGTGCTGCTCATGCTCCTGGCCAGCCTGGCAACGCTACTCCGGTCATGCCATCCGCATCTCCAGTTGTAGCAGCTGCTGGCACTGCCGCAAACAAACCGCAGAATGGCAATCTGCCTGCGCAAATGCCTGGCAATGCTGCTGTAGAGGCGGCCAAAAACCAACAGCAGATGCCAGCCGGCAATCGTGTTTCTACGCCAACGCTGCAGCCGCAAGCACGACCGGTCCCAAACACTGCTCCCACAGCACAGCAGCAGATGCAAGGGCAGCAGCAGATGCAACCGCAGATGCATGCACCGCAACAGCAGCAAATGCAATCGCAGCAACAAGCACAACTGCAGCAGCAGATGCACGCTCAGCCTCAGGGACAGCCCCAGCCTCAGATTCAAGTCAAGACGGAGCCACCGCGGCCGGCGCCGGTCAACACAGCTCTCGCTTCAGCTGCTGCACAGGCTCAGGTTGCTCAACAGACTGCATCTCCCGCTCAAGCAGCGGCACGCGTACAAACCCCACAAACTGCAACTCCCGTAGCTGGCCCTGGACAGCCCACACGAGCTCTCAGCCATTCCGCCGCCATGTCTCTCGCTAATCAAAGAGCAGCCGGAAGCACGCCTGGAAGCGCTCCGCTACCCAATCAGCCTACAAACATGAACACGGCTGCAGCTACAGCTACTGTGAACAATCCCAATATGGGGGTATCGGGAGCACAACTCCAACAAGGTCATTCTCATGCTCACCCTACGCAGCAGCCTGCTACTGCTCAACCAAGAATGCCGATCCCCAAGCAACTGCCAGAAAAGGCCACTGCAGTTCCTCAGGGAGTGGCAGTCGGCGGCGGTGTCGTTCCTGGACGACCAACCATGTCTCAAGGCGGTGGAACCGTGGGAGGAGTCATGAATCAACCAGCTGTGCCCAGAATACCAGCCTACAATCACGATGCTGAAGGCGACCACGTTTTGAGCAAGAAGAAGTTGGATGAGCTTGTACGACAAGTCTGCGGAGGACCTGCGGAGGGCCAGGACGGCAGTTTTCTGACCCCAGAAGTAGAGGAGGTGAGGATACATGACTGATAAAGAAAAGCTATAGTGATGTGTGCGTGTGTAACTAACTGTGCAATAGAGCGTCTTGAGCTTGGCCGACTCCTTCGTCGACAACGTCCTTCATGCCGCTTGCAGAAATTCTAAAGAGCGCGGCTCCAAGATGCTTGAAATACGAGATATTCAGCTCGTGCTAGAGCGAACTTATAACATTCGTGTTCCAGGCTACTCCTCTGATGAACTGCGGACGGTACGCAAAGTCCAGCCATCTACGGGTTGGATCGCGAAGATGAGTGCTGTGCAAGCAGCCAAGGTAATGCCTGGAAAGGGCGAGTAATGCGATGTGTTGAACATCTGTTCATAGCATTTCTTGACAAAAAATTGGGCCAAGTTTCGGCCCGGCTGCTATATTCGCTTCGGGCCAATTTGGTTTTCAGGGTTGGATGGTAACGAGATTTGATACGAAACGGCGTTTTAGGGAATAATAATAACGGATACCTGGCTAGGTGGATATAGGCTGTTTGATTTGCTTTTCACGAGGGCTGGCTTGCAACAAGAGCCACCAGCAACTGACGGCTCATTTGATCTTGCTATGCGTGGGCAAACCACGATGGTTTCTAGCCGTTTATATTGCCAGAAAGAGATAATGCAGAGGCACTAAGGCTAATTACGAATTCCATAAAATGGATTTTGTAACCTTTTCACTTGGAATAAAGACATGGAGTGACGCGATGGTTGGGCTCTGGAATCTGCTATGCGAGCTGTATCCTGGGGGATGTCTAGATACTGATTTGGCACTCCTAGTAGTAGTATCGATACCAGTGTTAGAAGCATCATCGCCTGCCTCATCATATATCATCATATAGCCTCGAAAGGGGGAATCTCATTCCATTTGAAAATTAACAGGCGCCCAATATGATATATGAAGATTAAGATATCACTCTTGAAATCTAATGTATCTATCAAAAGCACGGCGGATATCACAGCCTTTATCCTTATTCTGCTATTTTACAGCCCTTGCTTGTCCAGTGCTTCAGGCCGGCTGTAGGCACCAGGATGGCAAACGTCACTACAGCGCGGCAAGGTGGCGGCCCAGCCCCACAGCGACCACAGCTTACAGCATACGGCCTTAGGCAAGTCTAGGCTACCTCTGCGCTCAGCCAAATCACCGCGAAGCTGCGGGTACCGCGACATCGCTAGCCTTGTCCCTCATGCACTGGCCGTGCCAATTGTTCTCCAAGCTTCGAGCCTTCTTGCACCTCCAAACACCAAGCAATTCAGTCACCACGAAGCGAGCCTCAGCGGTCCCCAGCTCGGCGCTCACGACTTGCTCCAGGCCGACTGCCGCGAACGAACTCGAACCTCCGCCTCTGTCAACTCCAGATTTGGCCTTTTGCCAGCCGTGCTTCCGTGCTGTGGGCAGATACACGCTTCCGTGGACGTCTAGCTGGCCCAACGCAAAGGTGGTCCATCCACTCGGTCAATCTTCTTTTGAGCCAATCGTTTAGATCAACTTTGTATCTCTGAATTATCCTCAGCAAGAATCCTTGAGTTGTTTTGCAGCATCTTCAGTGCTGAGCCATCACCATGCCTAGCAAAGCACCCCACAACAACGGTAGAGGACCCCTCGAAAAATGACATCCAGAAGACCAAGGAAGCTAATATCAACGGTGGAATAGCTGGAAAAGACGGCGAAGATAGCATGACCGTGGTTGTACCGCCGTCCAAAGCTCCCAAGCAGCCTGCCCCGGCGACTGACGCTGAAGGCGACGTGGCAATGGATGTCGACAACGCCGAAGGCAAGGAGGAGAAGGTTGATCCCGCAGTGCAGGCTGTAGCAGGTAAGCAATACAAGATTCAGAGGGGGCTGCATACATCTCCAGCGTAAGGATGCCTTTTTTGTTTCACTTCCGCTGACATATGGTCTCGTTTTGTTGCTACGCATAGACATCAAGAGCAACTTTGCTCTTCTTGACCGAGCTGTTGCGCTCTTCGACGCCCGCTTCTCCCTGCGAGCCCTCCGATCAATCTCTCTCATCCGCAAGCACCTATCACCAGATGTCATTGCACAGGCGATTGCCGACACATACCCCGCCAACTCGGCGTCGGACAGCATTGCGAAGAACCTCCTAGCTGCCGTTGACCGAGGAGACGTCACGCTTGGCCGTGCCGCCAGCGCCGAGATGGACGTGGACAGCGACGTCAAGACTGTCAAGAACGGAACCTCTAAGAAGGAACCCAAGGAGATCATTCCGGAGATTGACGTCTTCCTGGGCATCCTGGTTCAAGTCCATCTTTTTGACGCTAAACAGTACCAGCAAGGAGCCGAGTTCTCCAAATTCCTGTCTGATCGCATCCAGACTCTGAACCGCCGAACGCTGGACTGCCTCGCCGCCAAGGTCTACTTTTACTTTTCACTCTTTTGCGAGTACATTGCTCCGCTGCCCCCGTCTCCCGAATCGCCCATTGTGGCTATCCGGCCTACTCTTCTTGCCGTCCTTCGAACTGCCGTGCTGCGCAAGGACACCGATACTCAGGCTTCGGTCATTGTCCTTCTATTACGAAACTATCTCCTGACGTCGCACATCAAGCAAGCCGACCTGCTCGTCTCACATACACAGTTCCCCGAGAACGCTGCGAACAACCAAGTGGCACGATTCCTGTATTATCTGGGTCGGATCCGATCTATCCAACTGCGATACACGGAGGCACACGAGCATCTCACAGCCGCCACCCGTAAAGCGCCGTCGAGCGGCTGTGCCGTGGGTTTTTCACAAACTGCCACCAAGCTGTTGCTGGTTGTTGAGCTGTTGATGGGAGATATCCCCGACAGAGCTACCTTCCGCCAGCCTTCGCTGGAGGATGCTCTCCACCCATACTTTTTGCTGGTTCGCGCCGTGCGAGTGGGCAACCTGGAAGACTTTGAGACTACCATTGCTGATAACGCCGACATCTTCAAGCGGGACGGAACCTATACACTTATCCTTCGTCTGCGCCAAAACGTCATCAAGACCGGTATTCGTATGATGTCTCTGTCATATTCGCGTATTTCGCTGCGTGACATTTGCATCCGGCTGCATCTTGGTAGCGAGGAATCGGCCGAGTACATTGTCGCCAAGGCCATCCGAGACGGCGTAATTGAGGCCACTTTGGATAGAGAAAACGGATTCATGAAGAGCAAGGAAGTGGGTGATGTGTATGCGACAAGAGAGCCAGGCGAGGCGTTCCACGACCGAATTCGGGCGTGCCTTACTCTTCACGACGAGAGCGTCAAGGTGAGTTTTCTTTTCCCCCTTTATCTTTCCCCCTTTCTTCACTACTTTCCCATCATCGTTCCATACGTCTCGATAGCGTAAGCTAACGCATCTAATTATCAGGCAATGCGATTCCCCATGAATCAACACCGTCTCGAGCTGAAGAATGCCCAAGAGGCACGCGAGCGCGAGCGAGAAATGGCCAAGGAGATTCAGGAGGGCGACTTGGACGACGATGACCTCGGTGGAGACTTGGATGGTATCTAATAACTTCTTATTTTACCCACGCTGATGTTTTTACTATGGCTACTTTCTACTATTACACCAAACAATAACCCCGATGTTTACTGAGGATTTATTGGGTAGTTTGCACCATGTGATTAGTGATTCTGCTTCAACCTAAAGATGCTTAAGGGACGGTGATTTAAGAGGTATACATGATTGTGATTGACTTGGTATCGTGCTGTTAGACATGAAAAAGGGCGAGAACTAGATCTATAGAAGACTGGGGACATATGGGCTATGAGAGGTAATTGGTGAGAGAGTAGCCTCAGTAAGTAATTGAACCTACTTCTTGACAATTTGATGCGCCGTATATAGATGTATTCCATTACTCAGAGATGGTGATTTTTTAAAGATGAATGTATTCTTTTTAGCATGGGTCTCTGCTCTGCCGAAAGGGGTTCGCTCTCGTGTGGTGGAAGCTGCCATTTTTTAGTCTACATCACAATTATTGATACCCAAGTAAAGTCTAGAAATTGAATTGTGAAAACCCTCTTGAATAGGAATTCCTATTCTAGAGGATAGACTATAACACATAGTAGGACATATACGACTATCTTCACAGTGGGTATATCGTATACATACTCTTCCACAGCATTCTAAGCGAGTTCCATGCATGAAATAGGCAGCCATCAACACAGCCACAAACAAGGACATGACATGGACATGCAGCCTTACGCCCTTTGTCTTTGACATTCTGCAGGGGCGAAAAGAGGGAGATCGTTTTTAGTACTACTACTATGTACTTTAAAAAAAAATTTAGAGAATTTTTTAACCTTTTGTTGACGCCCTTGATCATCACCATCTGCGGCTCAATGCGGAGACCATGTGAAGGATTCCGCTATAGTTGCGTCGCATTTCGATCTGATTCGATCTTCGCTTGGCGGTCTGTGGTGTTTTTTGACTCATACGGATGGATGCCTGCGTGCTGCGCGCCTTTTGACATGTCGTGTTTCTTCTCCGATTGAGTTAGTGCAAGGATGATGACTGGATGTTATCCCTATTGGTTGTGTGTGTGTTCATCTTGCAGGATTGTTGGAGAGTGAGGGGATGGAGGCGTGTGGATGATTGGTACGGGGTTTCGTTTGTGTGTGCTAAGAGTGATGGTTGGTTAGTAAATACGGGAGTCTGCCTCGCCTGGTCGATGTATCTGTGCATATTTGTCTAGGTATATATAAGAGGATCAAATGTCGCGTGTTTCCTTGAGGGCAGATAGACGTTGGTCATCGCATCTCGCAGCAACATCAGTTCGGCATCTTGCTGCGTCATCATTTGGTATCATGGCTTCGGCTACGCAGGTTAGGCTGCTTGACAGCAGCTCGAATCCATCTCTCACGCTTCAAATCAAGCCGGTAGAAGGCCTCAATGCCGATTCACACGCTTCCATGGATGAAGCAGCCCACTTGGCTGGCCTCTGTCGTGCTGCCCTCAACAATCTGAATACTTACATGGTCGACATCCTTAGGCCTTCGCATGGCTACACGGCAGATGATATCCTCGAATTGCCACTCGACAGACACAGGATCGAAGACGTCCTGCACGACTTGCCCAGCCGGAAATCGACTCGACACAACCTCGCCGTCGCTGTGTCTTCGCTACTGCACCCGGTCCACGACGGCTCACTGACGTCCATCATTCGCTACGACGCCGACCGTGTCCGTCTTCGCGCATGGGCTTCTCTCCAGCGTCGCTATGACTTGCTGCAGGCCACCAAACGCAATGGCAAAATGGCTCCAGGCATGACTGGCGGCGTCGAACCTGGTGTCCAGGCCCCTGCTTGGGCCAGCCGCATCACCGGGCAGGGACCGTGGGACGCCGTCAAGAAACCCATATCGCTCGGGGGCCCGAAAGCTATCCCCATGCCGGTGCAGATTGCCCAAGCAGAAGAGCTGGCGCCATTCTTTGAGCATCTATCCAAAAGCGGCGATCATGAGATTGAAGGCGTGAACGGCGCTGTTGAGCTCCATGATGGCAACGGCGAGCCGTATTACAGCGTCCGTGGCGCAGAGTTCCGCCGAGGAGTTGTGTATGAAGATGGGCGGATGGATCTCTGCAAAATGGTTGTCGGCCCTGATCATATTGGCCAGTTGATGGAGAGCTTGCGGATGAATACCCATGTTCGGCACTTCCTGCTAGGCAATAACATCATTGGCCCGACTGGTGCCCAGGCTATTGCTCGGTTCATCAACGACTTCCCAGATCGCATGGACACTTGGTATCTTGCGGGCAATTGCATCCAAGGCGGGGACAACTTCAAGACTCTGGTGGATGCGCTGGTCAAGTCGCCTGCCGTGACCAATATCTGGTTGAAACGCAATCCGCTTGGGCCAGATGCCGCCAAGGACGTGTATCGTCTCATCACCGAGACGAGGAACTTAAGCACGCTTGATCTTGATCAAACTGAGCTTGGAGATCGCGGCGTTGCTGACTTGTTTACCCGTCTGGCCGCTTATTCTTCCCCTGGTGGCAACAAGCTGCCTCTGCGACAGATTTACTTGAATGGCGTTGGCATGTCGGCCAAGGGAGCTGCTGCCATCGGCAAGTTCCTCGCGTCGCCGTATTGTGGCGTAACCTCGATTTACATGTCGCTCAATCCGCTTGGAGACGAGGGCGTCCAGGCTCTCGCTGAAGCACTGCCCAAGGCACCGTATCTGGCTCGACTGCTCGTACAATCGGTTGGAGCCAGCACCCAAGGTGCCGTGGCGCTGTGCAAAGCCTTGACTGGACATGCTGGTATCCGGACTTTTGATCTAGGCCAGGCCTATGCCACTGAAGATCTCGGCCAGGCGTACAATTATATCGAAGATGAAGCCATCCCCGCTATATCGGAACTCTTCATGAACACGCCTCAGTTGCAGTACTTCAACCTGGGTCATTGCGCCACCACGCCCCCTGGTCTGCTCAGGCTGACGCCGGCGATCCTGGAGAACCCGAGCTTGATATTCTTCTTTGCAACATCAATCTTGGCTGACCCGTCTAGGAAATCCGTGACTTTTGTGCCGTCGATTGACTCGGCATTCCCTCACCCGGATGCTCCCTCCACGGAGCAGATCAAGTCCGAAAAGGCGATCCGAGAGCACCTCGAGGCCAATGTGAAGAAGACTTTTGGTGAGGATGTGTCGTACGCGGACTTCATGGCCGAGGAGAAACGTTGGCTGGTCAGCGACAAGGTAGTTCGCAAGATCGACAGCGTGTATCGGAATCGAGATGCTGGACTGGCCCGTCGTCGCTTGCTGACTCTGGTCAAAGATTGGGAGGAGGGCGATGAGACTTTGCAGCGGGTTATGGATGCTGGACAGCACTGATCTGCTCCTCAGGGTCAAGGTTTTACAAGAGAATCTCCTCTCCTCCTGTGTTTCTGTAAAGAGAAATTGTTAGCTATTACCTAGGTAGTCAATCGTTCGTTAATTTAATGCAATATCATTGTAAATGGATTTCCATCTTGTGATATAAGAGTTATCCCAACATACGTCGTATTAGATACTGGAGCTATAGAGGTGAAGCTTCCAAGCAACAAAGACATTAATAGTTAGCCTAATCACTCAGCGCATCAAGTCTAAAACAAAGAAAATGCCATCATTATATCGTTTGCAGTCAGCAGTGTTGAATGTTTGAAATCCAGTTGTAAACCAACTTGGCCTAGAACCTCATGTACGCCCTTTACGCGGCCCCACGTGACGGGCCAGACTTGAGCTTCTTCCGCGCTCAACAACCGCCAACACCTGCCCTCCAGCAACTCCATGCCAGAGAACCAGTGCACGTCTACTCTACTCGTAACCTCTAAACTGCGAACCTTGAATTTGATAGATCTCCTGCTCCTAGATGGCTTCGTCGCATCCTCCTCTGCGCCCAGTCGTCCCGTGACGTCCCAGCCAGCGGCCCCTCGTCGATCGTCGAATCCAACCCACAAGGCTCGAGAGGCTGTCGGCTCCCTTTGCCGCACTATAAGCTACATAAACCACACTTGCTCGTCCTCGTGGCACAAAAAGAAGCATCAAGCGATGCCCCAAAAGCGCAAGCGACCAGACGAGCCCGCTGTCCAGCCCGATCCTGACTCTCAATCGTCCACGCGCCGTGCGACGCGTCAGACGCCTGTGCATCCTCCACCAGTTCCCGCGTCTGCGCTGCTGCCGGTGCCGGTGCCGGCGACGAACAAGATGGCCGCCGCTCCTCTGCCTGCCGTGACGGCCGTTCCTCTGCCTCAGATGCTCATGCCAGATCCGCAAAAGCGACTCGCCCGTAACGGCGCTGCTCGCCCGGCTGGCGCCAAGACCTCTGCTCTCCCTGTTGCGCCCCCAAGCCTCGAGGCGGCTGCTCCCAATGGCGCTGCCCCTCCAAATACCAGCACGATAGTACCGCCGCTGCCGTCGCCCAACTCCATCCGAGTAGCTGCTGCACCGGCTCCCCTCAAGCGAGGAGCCGCCGCAGCGGACCTGACCGGCGGCGGCTCTGCCAAAGAGCGTAGGCGACCCTCGGATCTCGTCGCACCGGAGATTACGTATCACGTTCCCCAGGCGAACCAGCATGGCCGGCTCTCTTCATTAGTGAGGCCTCATGGGCCTTCTGCGCCGCCTCCAAGACTAGATAAAATAGCGACCACCCCAATGGTCATTACGCCGGTGCTACCGCCCAAGCCACCGACATTGCCCGTGTCCGACCGACCGCCGCCGAGAACAGATCGCAATATTGACAAGGTTGTTCTGGGAAACCTTTGCTTCCGGACGTGGTATCCGAGTTACTACGGCAAAGAAGTGCTGGGAGCTACATCGGGCAACGCAAAGGGAGGCAGCAAGGACGGCCCCGCGGAGACGGGCGGAAAGGCGCCGGCAAAGAAAGAAAAGGACGGCGCTCCCATGCTAGAGAGGCTGTACGTCTGCCCTTGTTGCTTCAAATATGCCAAAGAGCTTGTGGCTTGGTGGGGTCATGTCAAGCTATGCCAGCAGCGAGCTCATGTGCCAGGGAAGAAGGTCTATGTCCATCCCAAAGGCAGACGGATGGTGTATGTTGCGCAGGATGGCAGCAGCAGGGGCCCGGGACAGAAGAAGCGGCGAGGGGAGGGAAACATACGCTACGTGGAGGAAATCGTGCAGGATGAAGGCGAATGGAGCCTTTGGGAGGTGGATGGAGAGCAGGATGTGGTGAGTCTTTACCGAGGTTATCGCTTTTCTCTCTCTCTGATCTTAGTATGCTAACCCTTGACTCAGCTCTTCTGCCAGAATCTATCGCTCTTTGCCAAACTCTTCTTGGATAACAAGTCAGTCTTCTTTGACGTGACTGGCTTTAACTACTTCCTGTTGGTATATACACCACCAACGGCGGCGGCACCGTCTGGCACGGCTACTCCTCCTGTAACACCACAAATCACAGGTTTCTTCTCAAAGGAAAAGATGTCATGGGATAACAACAACTTGGCATGCATTCTCATGTTCCCCCCCTGGCAACGCAAGGGTCTTGGTGCCCTTCTGATGGGCGCCTCCTACGAAATCTCTCGACGAGAAGGCATCATGGGTGGGCCTGAGAAACCTATATCTGATCTGGGTAAGAAGGGATATCAACGTTTTTGGGCTGGGGAGATTGCTCGTTGGCTACTTGGCCTCGAAATCGCCCCGGCGGATTCAGAAGACGCCTCGGAAACACTGGTGGACGTTGAAAATTGCAGCCAAGCGACATGGATCTCATCAGAGGACTGTCTGAGCGTGTTGAGGGATATGGGTGTGGTCGAGGATGCAGGTATCGGGCCCGGAAAGCCGGAACCTGTGGAAGAGACACACTTGCCGCTCTCCGAAGAAGAAAAGAAGAAGAAACAAGCCGCCGGCGAAGAGGAAGGGAAACAGAGCGGTAAGAGAGCATCAGCCGAGGCTGAAGATGAGAAACAGCAGCCGAAACCGGTCGTCAAGCAGGTTCCTCGTGTCCGACTTGACAAGGAAGCGGTACGGCGATATGTGGCGGCTCATCGAATCATCTTGGACAAGACGTGTGATCCAAACGGGTTTATAGAAGGATATGCTGTGAAGAGGGCCGAGAAGGCGTCAAGCGAAAGTGTGGAATCCAGAGATGAGGCTTTGGCAAAATGATGGAAATAATGGCGGCTGGGTTTGGCGCAACGAGAGTAACAATGATACCCCCTTTTTTATTTTATGTTATTAATATGCCAACCGGCGCTGTCTCGATCGTGTATGCGTTTATGGAAGGAATCTGTGCAATTGCTATTATACGCCATCTCTCCAGAGGTTAGAAGCAAGTTACCTAATAACTCTTTTCTCTGGCTAATCATAAACTAGCAGCAGCATGCTCACGCTTGAATTTAGTTGCTGTCAAAGAACACAATAGCCGATTCTAGCTCGTGTTCTGACACTCATGGAATAGCCGAATAGGGTCTCTTGGCGGACAAGCCTTCTCTATATGGCTCACCCAAAGGGGAAATCTAGCTCATCACAGATCACGGAGCGATATACGGGCTTCCGCGGCAAAAAGGAGCTTTAGAGCCCGTCTCTATGCTATTCTTAGTTTTGTATCTAGAGCCCGTCTTGAGTTAGACACCATGTGAGAACGGGCCGAGATAGTAAAATGTCTCTTTCAGCTACCTCGGCCATAAGATGCGCGATATAAGACAAAAGGCCTTGATATCTACCGGTCTAGCATGATCCGGATTATTCTCGTGAATTCGGAGCCAGGCAGAAAAGGCACATCTGGGATCCTCTCTGACGCAGTTGTATCCCCTGTCCCTTGTACGGGCAAATCGGAGCAAAGATAGCCGCTGCGTTGCACCAAAACCCCTTGCTACAGATGCTGCGTGGGATGAATGCATGCCTGAGGACAAGGGGGCGTGGGAAAACGAGGCTGGACGGCAGATTGACAGATCCATGCGCCCGGTTCAAGCCTAAGGCAACCTCACCCCCATAATGAGAGCTTCGATGAGCTGCTGTAGCTACTAGGTATACGTGCTTACAAGACGACATGTTCTTTGCTGTTCTCTCAGCTGGATGACAGTCGTTCTACTGTTGTATTTCAGTCTGAGCATAATTTTCGCTCAAGACGCAGAAACATCTCCCCCAATAGCCGCGGAGTGGGGTAGAAGAGCGCCTGTTGGCTGATTTTCCAGTTGAATAATCGCCATTTTCGCAGCACAAACGTTCAAACCGCCAGCGGAATATTCAGCTTTTCGTCATGGCTCTCGCGCATGTCAAAAATTCAACAGCGCATGCTTACATGCGTCATTTTGAGCCATTTGATCTTCAAGCACTGCGATACCGCCTCTTCGTTTGTGGACGCAAGGCCCTGTGACCGACAGCTTGTGTGGACCCTGGATTTCCCAGCTGAGCAGTGAGGCTCGGGCTCATGGAAAATTTTTCGCAGGCGCCGTTCGGCATGCGCGCTCCGTGTATATTTTAGGCCGGGCATTCGGGCGACTGGTCGGACACCGCCAAACGCTCCTACCCCTGCAATTTCAACGTGCGTAGCTGCGGCGGCGGCACGAATAGCGGCGGCACGAATAGCGGCGGCACGAATAGCGGCGGCAATAGTGCTGGAAGATGGTGTCGGGCGTCTCGCTCCTATTGGGTACACCGCGGCGCTGGAAAGGGTTGCAGCGAGATTGATGAAGTTGCAGCGTATCCATAGCACGTCATGCTGCACGGTAGCAGCGGCGAAGAAGCGGCAAGGTTCGGTAGTCCGATGTTCATCAACGGCGTGTGGTGAGCAGGGCTGCTTGTGTGGTTGGTGCCTGCGTATTGTTCCGGAGTCGTCGGTTTGCTGTTTCTGACCATGATCACTGCTCAATAAGAGCGCATCGTGTCATATATGGCGACGGAATAAATGTACCGGACGAATGGTTTGAATCGACGGAACGACAAACGGAAGGGGACTGAGTTCGATGGTAGAGGTTGCATGCTGTAGTAGCAGTAGCAAGTAAAAGATAATGCTCTGAGACCTGAGCAAGGTCACCCTGCCAGATGCATTTGCATGGAGGGGGTTCGGCTCACATCCATATATGCGCCTGCAGCAGGGCACTTGTCGGACATTCCACCAAATCTTTCAAAAAGAAAGAGGAAAAGAGATGCAGCAGGGCAGCTTCCCCTTTATACTGCTGCGCAAACTTTGCTTCTTGCACACAGCAGAAGAGTCATCAGGGGGTCCAGCCCAGATCTGACTACAGCTTGAGCTTCCAGCACTTCAGCATGAGCTGTGACTCTCCGTCTCCATCCTTATCTCAATGAGAATGTATACTTGGCCTCAAAGTATAATAACAGCTCAAGATTGCTTCAGGCTGCGTGGTAGCAACCCTTTGAGATACCTCGACTCAGTGTACTTTGATTTCGCTTTTCCTCTTGCACACCCCTCCCAGAAAGCCGTATCGCAGCAGCAGGTCAGCTAAACCGCAACCAAAGCCAAGAATCCTTGTTAGATCCACCCACGTGTCAGGCACCGTCTCTTTGGAAAACCTGCGCTGCCGGTCCTGTTCTGAGCTGTACTCGTATCCTTCTTTTTCATTCCTGGCAATGGCACCAAGTGGGGCGTGGGGGCATGAGCCAGCGAGCCTCATCCACTCGTACAACTTCATGCTATCTGAACGCGGTAAAAATTCTCTATCGGATAAGTCGATCCTGATAGCACGAGTAATAGGAGTCTCGAAATTCGCTAGCAGTACTAGGTATACTAGTGATTTTTTTTCTTTATGCCTCAGACAACAACCACGAGGCAGAAAATTTTTCTTGGTTTGTTAGCCAGCACTCGACAGCCAACACTCACACCTGGCATCACGCTTGGCGTCATTCTCACTCAGTGTCGTCTGGGGAAACATGTGTCATTTGTTGAAAGTTGATAGTCTTCACGCCTTAGAAGTTAATAGTGGCTGTCCTGCATATGGTTGGATTAAGGTTTAAGCCAATAATGACCTCTGCCGCTCTGTATGCAGAGATTTAGACCTCCTCTCAGTGAAGCCGATGGCTTTGTGGCAGAAACGTCAATGGCCACTGGCTGACGCCTGAGTCCTTCATTGGAATGCCAACTCCCAAAGTTTCATCTCTTCTGGTGTACAAGTCCAATTGGCGCCGCCAAATAGAGTAGAAGCCTCAGGCTGTAAAAATCTGGAGGGTGCAAACGAAGAGCTTTCCTCAGGCATTTGCAAATCCTGCGAATCCGCACCCGGCTTCCCCCGATTGGATGAAAGACCGCCGCTGGTATCCCTCTACTGATGCTAAGATGGGCACCATAATTTTCGAAGAAAAATTCGTTCGGCCTCAGTCATCCACTTGGTCCGGCGGTGGGAATTTCACTCGTTTGTCCAACCTTGGCCCCGGCTGACCTCCTTGGCCAATCCCCAAGGTGGGTCCTCTTTTCTTGCCATTCCTCTATCCAGCTCCAGTTCTCTTTTTCTCTCTCTCCTTCTTCCTCCAGACTTGACCTTCACCACTCCATCCAATCCATCCAGTCCAATCTTCCAAACCCCCTCAAACCATCACAATGGCCTCCCGTGTCTTCGCCTCCCGCCTGGCCTCCCAGATGGCCACCAAGGCTGCTCGCCCTGCCATGCGTGCTCCCGTCGCTGCCGCCAAGCGCACCATCACCACTGGTGAGTCAAGAAAAACTTTTTCCCTCAGCAAATGATGACCCCTCAACACACGATGGTCGACTTGAACTATTCCATCATCCAGAGGGCATCGGTATCGCTCAATTGGCGGACTCCATGACTGACATCAATTCGTAAAGGCAGCCCCATGCAGGCCATGAAGCGCCAGACCATCCAGGCTGCTGGCCGCAACGCTTTCCAGGCTCAGCGCCGTGCCTACTCTTCCGAGATCGCCCAGGCCATGGTTGAGGTCTCCAAGAACTTGGGTATGGGTTCTTCCGCCATCGGTCTGACCGGTGCTGGTATTGGTATCGGTGTCGTCTTCGCTGCCCTCATCAACGGTGTTGCCCGCAACCCCGCTCTCCGTGGCCAGCTCTTCTCCTACGCCATTCTGGGTTTCGCTTTCGTCGAGGCTATCGCTCTTTTCGACCTCATGATTGCCCTGATGGCCAAGTTCGTAAGTGTTTTCGAGACTTCCTGAGCTTCATTTCATTGAATCCGTCTAACCGACTGTTGCGTAGACCTAAATTGCCTATCGAGAGATTGGAACAGCTCCGGCCAGTGGATGGAGCAATTAATAAAAGGGGACGACGTTGGACCGTCCACCATTTGGAGTTTGATGGTTTGTCAAATGCAATTGGGGTGCCAACGTGCACAATAAAATAAGGAAGATGATGCATCATAGACGGTGTTAGAGATTGGGGAATTTGGTCATCGATGAAAATGATGTCCTCTGTCTCATAGATTTTGGGTTACCACCCGTCACGCTCCGTCATGGAGTCGATTGTAAAATAAAAAAAAGCCTCAATTTTCATTTCGCCTCTTCAGTAAATGAAGGGCTTTGATCAGTTCAATTTGATGTACCAGCCAAAACGCGATGAGCTTGATCCGCAAACACTTGTTTGTAACTATTATCAAGCCGCTTTTTGACAAGAGGGCAAATTCATTGATATGACGGGATAGAGAAGCGTAAATTTCAGCAAATAGAGCTCTTCTTTAGAACTATAGCTATCACGCAGGCGGGGAACTCATCAGCAATTATTTTTGTGGTTTTCACCGACTTGGTGAGCGCTGAGGGCTATACTGTGCGTGATATATCGACCAAGGTGTCCACAACCTGAGGGAAAGGATTGCTCCACACGGTGTTAAAGTGCTGGGCGAGCCTGATAGCGGGGGAGGGGTTTTGCTTTGTGCTTCACTCAAAGCTGGCGAGCTGGTTTCAAGAGTGGACTCGTGAACAATGCCCAGTGATAGTCTGGTGGACCTCAACGAGATAAGGGAAGGGATGGCCTGTATGCCCCATAGTGGATCAACTGAAGAGCATGAGATCATATATATCTGCAGTGTCTCAGTAATTGGCGGTGATATTTCGACGTCTCTGTTCAGGAAATCAAGATGATTGATTGTAAGGCAGCATATGCCATCTTCTGCGAGGCTGAAATGATAGCCAGCCAGTCGTCTTGTATGTCTCAACCCAACATGGTAGCCGGATTAGCTTCGTTTGCCAAGCACGAATTCAACACCCTCGATGCCCTGCAGCTTTTGATCGCACATTCAGGCCTTATTCGATCAGCTCTTTGGGCAAACTGAGTTTCGCAATGCCATCAACGAATCGCGCCCATAGCTAGGCTCCGTGGAAGTCACTCGGGCTATCGCTAATATTCGTCTTTGACTAGATGCTCGGATCCCAGGAAGTCATGCTAAGGATCCATGGCCTTGTTTGATATTGGACCACCATCTTCTGCCAATCGCCCTCGTTGATGATCCTTGACGTGCCGTTCTCATTTGATCCAAGTGGATTGGAGTAATCATTTACTCGTGTTGAGGTTTTGAAGAAGAGCAGCCATGTTGACGAAGCGCTCAGATGGTGGCATTCTCGCTCAGTATTGGACTTGGGACGAAGAACATCTTTGCCTAAATGTTAGCAAGCTGCGACTTTATCAATGATCCAGGGACAACATACGAATGGCGTGCATCACGGTACTTCTGCGCCATCTGCCGCGTCGTTCCGATTAGGCGGATTGAGAATCTCGTTCATCGTGTCGACGCTCATGCAATCGAATTTTGGATGGTTGAAAAGTCTGGTCTCGAGAGACAAGCAGAAGATGCATGTAAATGGACAGATGCGCGAAGAGAAGGCGCAAGGGGCATGCATTCGAGATGCCTTCCCCTCACAACGATTCCCCTCACGTGTCACATGACCTCTCCTGGAATCACTGCAACGACGTTACATCAGCACATGCATTTCGAGAAAATTTGGAAGAATCAACCCTTGCAAATGGGCTGATAATATTGGCATCCTCTAATTGAAGTACCAGAGAGCTGCGTTGCAGCACATGCTGCAGAACGGCGTGCCGTATGGGTTGCGTTGTGCGGATTGAGTTTGAGCCATGGCTTTTGGCTGCCGAAGCCACCAACATGGGCGGCCGTTTCCCCGGGACCTCGTCATTCTGTGAGGACGCACTGGGGTCTGAAATACATATAAAGTGTGATGCTGCTGTCAGTGACTACGGCCAGTAAATACTACATATGTGAAGAGAGCAGCAAGGGAGAATTATGCGGCTGTTGTTGGACGATCAGTCACGCCACGCAGCTTGATCAGGCTACGCTGTAATGCAGGCACGTCTGCAATAATCCCTATAGTATGAATAACTGGTGCGTTTTCAATGCTTACCAGCGTAACGGTATCAGGTCTTTCCTGCGATTTTCTGAAATTCTCTAAGAAAGCTTTAAATAGAGAAAAGTTATCAAGCACGGCTACTGCTGCTGCTACTACGATTATTATCCATTTCAAACGTACCTATATAATAGGTAAATACTTGTTTACATGCGGGTTAATTACATGTACTTTAAAGAGCTACATTTCTCCCTCTTTATAACTCTCATGTCAATAGAGTCTTATAACGAGAACAAGCTTTCAAGGAACTGGAAGACTTTGCCGATCAGCACCCGCACCATGCTCAAAAGATCAGGAAGGCGGCGTTGAGATTTATCATAAGGGGAGATTTTTCTCAATTTCACAATAACTAGCGCCTGATGCAGAAAAGTGAAAAAGTATTTGGTGTTTCGCGAGATGACGGCGAAAGAGCAACGTAAATTTGAGGGGAAGCCGGAAGAGGCGAAAAAAGGCCGCGTCAAAGTGAAGGCTCAGTCTCTACCTGTAGCAGAATACTATATCTCATTTTCCGATTGAGGTTAATACCATTCGCATTTAAAGACTCCTTGTCTCCATTCCATGTAAAAAGCAAAATTAATTCCCATTTCACGCTGTAAACCTTGACGTGTTTCAAATCAGAGGGACGCCATCATTCTCAGCGGATATAGCATTCGTCTCCTATACACTACCAAGGTACTTGATATCCAACAAGTCTGAAAGTCAACAGTACCATAGTCGCAGAACAATGGTGAGATTGCCTGCTGTTTGAGCGGAATGGAGCTGCGTTTCCCCTTTTTGATTCAGGATACCACGTCTCTTCGTACAGTCAGGCAAAGGCGACCATGACTAAGTGGCAGTTCTCTTCGCGGGTCATAAGAACGAAATCGTAATAGCAATCACTGCGAAACTGTTCAATCCACGGCATGGTAATGGTTCTGCTCTGTCAACGTTATTACTTCGTGCAATCTTAGTCATGCATGTATTACTATTTCCCAGGTGATGCCTCTTTCTTGGATAACACACTAATGTTATTCGACAAGAGCAATTCTATAATGACCGTCGTTTCCCTCCCGTTAGAACTATTGAAAACACTGGCCAACTTGCAATGATTTTTACAACAAAAGCTACACATAGGTAGTCTGTATCCTAAGATACTCAATGATTCAAATATTTGCAACGCCATTCTCTCCCTCCATTCCTTCCAATAGATAGCCAAATGTTATCATAATCTATACATACAACCAACCCTGCAACATTCCTCCCTTCATTTCTTAAATGTAGCGCTCTTCTCGCCCCTAACTGGCGGCATCTTCCTTGCGGGTTTGATCTCGTCATCGCCCGTCTTTGCATAAGGATCAAATGCCTTCTTCTTAGCTTCTTGGGCCGATTCCTTAGTATCTTCTCTCTTCGCATGCAGAACCGAGGCCGCCTTGCTGTAGTCGAAAGGAACAGCTTGGTACTTGGTAGGCTCTTCCTTCTTCGCTTGTTGCTGGTTCTTCCGCTGCTCTTTGCGAACGAGCTTCTCCTCTTGTCGCTTAGTACGAAGCTCTAGGCGTTGCTGTTCCTGAGCCGCCCGGGCTTCATCTCGCTGCTTCTTCTTCTCCAACTTCTTTGCTTTCTTCGCCGCCCTGGAAGGAGTATCCTCATCGTCTATCTCAATGACAGCGTCGTCATTGGCGTTCTCATCTTGCATCTCAGCATCGCCATCGGAAGCCAAGTCAGCTTCGCTAGATATTGACTCGTCGTTCTCAACAGCCTCAGCCTTTCTCTTCTGTCCTCTCCGCAACGTGAATTCTTCGTCTTTATCAACTTCTGCAGCAGGTATAGTCTCCTCTTTTGGAGGGGCAGTTACTACAGGTTCTTGCTGGGGCTCGACTTCGACCACGACATTTGCGACATCGCCAACAAACCGCTGCCAAGGGAAGGGGAAGTAGTCTTCCTTGACATCACCTGACTCCTTCATTTCATCCCATCGCGAGCTAACGGCAACATCGCCAAACAACTGCGATCGCGCAAGTTTTGCGGCTGTCACATTTGCGTCGGGCTTTAGAGCTTGACTTTGCGTTTTTGTTACCCTTGGAACTCCACTCTGGCTCTGTAGGGTTGCAGGGTCTCTGGAAGAGAAAAACTGTAGCAGGCTCGGACCTCCTCGAGCTTTTTCCTCTTGCATCTGAGTCCATATCTCATTCACCCTAGATCGAGCTAGAGATGCATTCAGCGGTAGTAGGCTGTGGAGGGCCTTGGCGTCCGGTGGGTTGACGCGTACAATTTCGGTCAGATTGTTGTTGCCCAGCACAAAATTGGGATTCTCGTCCTCTTTACGAGCAGTAAGGTCTCGCCAATTCCAGAGAGCCCTGAATATGGCAAATTGCTCGCTTTTATAACCAAGCTGTGAGTTTTTGAGAACAAAGTTGAACCACCCCCTCGACCCTTCGCCGGTTTCTGCGTTACATTCCGGATTCTCATGCCTTGACAGTGAAAGCTCTCGCGATCTTTCCAAGACACGCTTTACGAGGTGTTTATCGGAGTCCGACGATTGGACAAGTTCGTTTCGAATTTTATCGTAGATGTAGAGAAGGTAGTGGGTATCTGAACGAGCGTAAAACATCATTTCCTCGGAGAGGGGCCTAGATAGTGTTAAAGGGGAGGAACACAAGAATTATACGAAGATGAGCTATTGCATCATACCTGATTCTCCAGTCAGCCAGTTGATATCGCTTGTCAGCATCAAAGTTGACAAATTTTGAAAGGAGAAACGCCAAACTTCGACTTGAGTAATGTAAGGCATCGCTGGCGAAAAATGTGTCGAAGAGGCCATTGACGTAGAGGCCAAGATCTCGCTGCAGCCAGACCATATCCATATATGCTCCGTGAAAGACCTATAATTGTGAGCAACATGGGCTAAATTCGTTTGATAAGAGTATTTACCTTGACAATGGTGGGATCGGCGAATACTTCGTTAAGCACCTGGAGCTTATGTCGCCACGGCTTCAGCGTATCAACAACCCAGTCCTTTTCTCGAGTGCTGATTTGCAACAAGGAGACCAGTCCAATATACGTTCTAAAGTCATGATGTTCCAAATCAACCGCGATTTCCTTGGCTTCCTTTAGCTCTTCAAGCATAGCAAGAACGCCCTCGTATGTGTCCACCCATGTAGCTGAGGTCGCCTCGTCTGGCTGGGGCAAAATCGGATCTTGGATCTGGAATAGTCGGTCCGGATATTGCATGCTTGATATCTCTGTTTCGTATGGGTGTCTGTATCTATACGAGGAAGTGGATTATTAGTCTCGATATCGCAATACGGCGAATAGAAAGGAGGGAAAACATACTGAGTTGTGCCATCGTTTCGGACAAATGTGACCAGGCTCTCATCCAAAGGGACAGTTGCATGCGGCTTCTCTGTCAGAATAGGCTTCCAAGGCCCATCAAAGAAGTTATTCGGTTGAATTTCAAAGTCCAGCTGCGGCTTCTTTACGTTGGCGTTGCGGATAACCTTGCCTGTTGATTTGGGTTGCTTCGCCTTGGAGTTCTTGTTAGGTGAAGGTTAGAGTTATATCCATGTATATTGTTTGTAGAAGTCTTACAGAATCCGAGTCGCCATTCTCTCTCTGTTTGACAAGACCCGTGTACTCGTCTATCGCCCGATCTGCCTTTTCCAAGATGGAATCTACCACGTCCACCACCGCGCGCCAGTTCATGTCTACATCTTCGGGGTCTTCCAACTTGATCGGCTTTAGGCCACATGCTTGAGCTGCTGAGCTTAGTAACCGGGTGGAAAGATCGAGAATACGCGACGTCTTGTCATCGAGCTGCTCGGCAACATCTGGGTTGATGGTGCGCTGGAAACTCAGATCTTGGGATGCGATGCGATTGGCGGACTTGACAGTTGAGACGAGCGACTTTTGGATTGCCTCCTGGAGGGAATTGAAATCTTGTGACGAGTCCATTGCGATCAACCGCTCCCCCAAGAAGCGACAGGGTGATGAGGTCGTCGGCACCGCGATTGACTATGCGAAAAATACGGCTCGAACAAGGAAGTGCTTATCGATAAAAAAAAGTTGATTAGCAGAGTTGGGTCGCCAAGGTCGCGTCGCAAGAATTTAGCGGCAGCCTGAGAACCTGTAAAAAGTGGGCACTGCTATCCTAACAACTCTACTGTAGGCCTAATCATCTAGCGCAGGCAGCCTGCAGGCTTATAAACTGGATTGATCTTCTTTGTTATTATGCCGTCTCCTGTGATCAGCTGCGCTGAATACCTCCTTGGTGTATTCGGTATTTTTTGAATGGAGACAGCAGGCACGCTGTCCGTAATAGTTTCTTTCTTTTTCTGCTTTTCCTTTTTGGCCCATCGCTACTCGAACTAAGAATTCTGCAAAGAGAGAGTCGTAAGCATCATGAGCTTATCCCGTGTCACCATCATACAAAGAATGAGAAAGACGGATGACGAAATTGGTCTGAGCTCGGACGAGTCTTGTTGTCTTGGCGTATTAAGCTGTGAGATGCGAACAACTTGAGTGGCATCCATGGCCGTTCAAACCCCCCGTATGTTCTGCATGTACCTGACATGTATCAATGACTTAACCTTGTGTTCCTTTCTGTTGCTTCGGCCCGGTTGGATGAATGACTTAATCAAAATATTTTGCTCATGCATGGCCCAGCTATAATCATCCATTGGCCAGGGCCTCCAGGAACAGAATTTGGCGCACCTCGATGCTACCTAGTAGAGTGCCTAATAAACAGCCAAAATGGATCAAAGAGAAGAAGGGAAAGAAAAAAAAAGTTTGCTGCTGATAAGTACCTGCCCCATAGGCTGACGTAGAATGCTGATGTTATAACGCCCAGCTTAATCATGTATTTTTGCCATTTCCCATGCTGATGGATCCCGCCGCAATGCTGGGTCGCTCTATGATCGATGATCGGGGATGTCTCCAGGCGCAAAACGGACTGTTTGCTCCGCCATGGCACAGGCACAAACAGCTGCGCGTCCAAGCGGCCGCCTCACAGAGTTTTGTTATCAGCATCTGGCCGAGTGCACAAGTTTAAGCGCACCTAATTGTCCGACAGGCCACGGAAAAGACCAGATAATATATCCCTCATCAACGTTGTAGACAGCAGTGTGTAAGGTACCGTACAAGGAAGAGGTAACAAGTGACGAGTGTGACTGCGTCAGGGAGCTGTAATGCAGCTTTAGGCCTGTGCTAAATGCGCCGTAGCCCGGGCAATGGCCGCTAAAATCTGCTCCTCCCCCTCCCGCTGCTTGGAACTGCCCCTCTCTCCAAGCTTTTTGCTTCTTGATACGACATGCTATAAGTAAGCATCCGGCGCGAATCAGCCTCTTGTTTTTCGCTTCTTCAAGCAACAAAGCCGCGGCAAGATTCTCGCATCTACCAGCTAGATCAGTGCACTTGACAACTGCGAGTATATTTGCGCAGTAGCAACCACTTTCCTGAGCTTGCGCCTCCCGAAACTACTGAGTACTAGGTGTTTCTTTACCCTTGTCTCAGAGCTACAACTCGATTGTCGTCATCCCGAACGAGCGAACCAAGCCTCCTTGGCTGTTAGGCGCCGCCACTGTCCTACTGAAGAGCTTCATTCCACTGCAAACGTCTTTCGCCCAGCTAATCAAAGCACCGAATCTCAAACGACGAGCTACGGCGACGACTTCGAGCCGAGAGCTTGCCATCTCGCTATAAACAATCAGACACAATGCCCGCTGCTGTTGGTTCCGACGGAGAGGCCAACCCTGGCCGTCTTCTCCTCCTCTCTAACCGACTGCCCATCACTATCAAGCGCTCCGACGATGGAAGCTACAGCTTCTCCATGTCGTCTGGTGGCCTCGTCACTGGCCTCAGCGGCCTCAGCAAAACGACCAGCTTCCAGTGGTATGGCTGGCCGGGCCTTGAGGTTCCCGAAAACGAGGTCGACGGCATGAAGCGCCGTCTAAAAGATGAGTACGGCGCTCATCCTGTATTCATCGACGATGAACTGGCCGACAGACATTACAACGGCTTTGCTAGTGAGTCCTTCCCTCTCCCTCTTATAGGCCCGTCCTCTCAATCACAGGGTAAAAGATGTTGACGTCATATTTCTTCTCTCTGCAGACTCTATCCTGTGGCCTCTCTTCCACTACCACCCCGGCGAGATTACCTTTGACGAGTCGGCGTGGAGCGCATATCAAGAAGTCAACCGCCTCTTCGCAAAGACAGTCATCAAGGATGTGCAGGACGGCGACCTTATTTGGGTCCACGACTACCACTTGATGCTTCTGCCTCAGATGCTGCGAGAAGAGCTTGGAGACTCCAAGAAGGATGTCAAGATTGGCTTCTTCCTGCACACGCCTTTCCCCAGCAGTGAAATCTATCGAATTCTGCCTGTGCGAGAGGCTCTGCTCACCGGTCTCCTTGACTGCGACCTGATTGGCTTCCACACTTACGATTATGCTCGCCATTTCCTCAGCAGCTGTTCCCGAATTCTTGATACCCCAACTACCCCCAACGGCGTTGATTGGAACGGCCGCTTTGTCACGGTTGGAGCATTTCCCATCGGCATCGACCCCGAAAAATTCGTCGAAGGCCTTCAGCGACCCAAGGTCCAAGAGCGAATCGCCGCCCTCAGCCGCAAATTTGAGGGTGTTAAGCTGATTGTTGGCGTCGACCGACTGGATTACATCAAGGGCGTGCCTCAGAAGCTACATGCTCTGGAAGTATTCTTGACGGAACACCCTGAATGGATTGGCAAGATTGTCCTTGTGCAAGTTGCAGTTCCATCTCGACAAGACGTCGAGGAATATCAAAATCTTCGCGCCGTCGTCAACGAACTTGTTGGTCGCATCAACGGCAAGTTCGGCACCATTGAATTCATGCCCATCCATTTCCTCCACCAGTCTGTTTCTTTCGAAGAGCTTACAGCGCTATATGCCGTCTCGGATGTGTGCCTGGTCTCATCTACGCGTGACGGCATGAACCTGGTTTCGTACGAGTACATTGCCACTCAGCGCGAAAACCATGGCGTCATGATTCTCAGCGAGTTCACCGGCGCCGCCCAATCTCTCAACGGCAGTCTTATTGTCAACCCTTGGAACACCGAGGAGCTTGCCAATGCCATCCACGATGCCGTTACCATGAGCCCCGAGCAGCGCGAGGCAAACTACCGTAAGCTCGAGCGTTACGTCTTCAAGTACACGAGCGCCTGGTGGGGAGCCAGCTTCGTAGCTGAGATGACGCGCCTCTCTGCGGAGAACACGCAGTCCAAGACGCTGCGCAACATCTCTGGAGCAGTCGTGGGTCTTGGCCAAAAGGTGCAGCAGATCGCCGAAGAGGCCAAGGACTTGGTAACAGGCGGCGAACAGGCTTCTTCGGGGGCGCCTGAGACATCTGAATAGGCCTACTAGCTGCTTTCTTTCATTTTTGCTTCTCTTCTCTTTCTGATTCTTAGTCTTTTGGTGACCTAAAGGTTTTCTTTTTGTATCTGTTTACGCTGGGTTAGCGAGTGGGAAAAAAAACGTGCATGTATGAGTCTATTATTTATTTATTTTCTCCGCCTTCTATATCATATTAATTCCCACTTCTTCTCTCTTTGAACTTTGGTGGGAATGATATATTCTTCTATTTAGATGTTCCATGAACGTATCCGTTGTGGTCGCTGGTTTGAAAAGGGAAAGGTCAGCAATAGTCCGTCGTCGAGATGGATTGTATTAGCTGTTTATTAGCAGAGGATAGAAAAGCAAATTAGTTCATTCTTACGTCAATATATATATACATCATAGTGCTTCTGCACGATTGTTATTGGATCAGATAGATATGCATTCACAGTCACTGATATTGGCAATCTCGAGATAAAGGCCATTGGCTTGATTCGTTAAGAGCTATGTACTATAGAGTATCTAAGTAGAAAAGTAATAACAACAATCGTAAGCAGCATCGCAAACCCAGCGAACTCCATCGTCCTAATCGCGTAATCTAAAGCAACCTGTGGTATCCCGTCATCGTCGTCATCATTCCGTCCTTTCCCGTTCCCATTCCTATTCCCTTCTCCTATCTGTACCCTTCAATATCCTTTCTCATGTGCTCCCAATATGATTGATATATATCAGGCATATACGAAGCCACTTTAATAAGGGGAGTCGACAATGTCATCCCTTCCGAGCTTATACTGGCCACTCTTTCCCGTACCGATTCTTCCCGACTTCCGTGTACCGCCCAGCAGTCGCACATCTCCAATAATGCTTTCTCGTGTAGGCTCCTTGAGACTTTTCTTGGCGACCATGTTGACTTCGTTGGGCAGGGCAACAATGACGTTCTTGTCAGAGCCGAATTTGAAGTCATCTGCCATGACCTTCTCCTCATATCGCTTAATCATATACGGCGTTTTGGTGCCGCGAGTGACCCGCTTGAGGTTCCACTCAATGATGTAAGGTCCGGAAGCAGTGATGATGCTGGTCTCGGAAGCACCCTCGCCCGTGTTGAATTTGGCAGGAGTAAATGATACGGGCAGGCCAGTCTCGTGGTAAAACTGGGCGACGTGTTCGGGTGAAAGGGCTAGACGGCGAGGGCGGGGCTTCGAGTCTGAAGCAAATGCCTTTTCGAACCCAAGCTTTCCCTCGTTCTTGCCATCGTGCTGCATAGCATCGATAAGGAGGATGTAGTTCTTTGTAGTTCCCAGAATCCATCGGCCATCGGCTGAAACATCCATACCAATGATGGGGTCACCAAGAGCGGGAAGTTGCGTCTTAGCTCGAATTCCGAGGCGGTCAAACAGACGAATATCACCCTTGTTGCTTGCTACGGCGATGTAGCCCTTCTCGGTGGTAGCAATGGAAGAGAAATCGTTCTTTGAAACGTATTGCTTCGTTTCCGAATCGACAATCTTGTTGCCAGCTTGGCGAGGATCGACTCGGAAAAGTGCGTTGTGAGAGATACCCAAGAACGTCTGTTCTCCAGTCATCTGTGCAAACTTGTTCTCGGGAGCAAATGTTGTGACAGACATATCGTCATGGACATTCCACTCGTCGACAACCTTGCCATACTCGATATCCATGCGGTAGAGCTTGTTCGGATCCACGTTGTTTTGCATGATGAGATCCCTATCTTCTTTGTGGAGCATGACCTTCTTTGGGTTCATCAGTTTGCCTCCAGGAGTCATCACCTTTGAGATGTTGGTGGAGAACTTGAGATGGTTATCCGGCGTGTGGGTGAAAACTCCAATCTTGGAACCACGAACGACAAAGGAGCGATCATGTTTGTAGCCAACGGCAAGTTGAGAGTTGACGTCTCCGTCGTTCCTTTCCTGCTGTTCCTCGTCATCATCATACTCCTCGTCCTCATCATACTGGGCACGTTCATCCTCCCTATCCCGCTCCTCCTCCTCCTCCTCTTCCTCTTCTTCTTCCTCTTCAACTGGTGGCGCATCTTCCATGGTGAGGTCATTGAACGCATCCAAGACATATTCACGTTCTTTCTCTTGGATCTTCTTCCACTTGGTTTCATTCAATTTCTCCCATAGAGCTTGCATCACCCCTTCTTGGAATTTCTCCAAGGTTGGCTGATCCTTGAAACGGAGAAGCCACGATCTCCCAGTTCCATCTGCCGACCAATGGTTGAAGATGAAAGAGAGATGCTCAAAGTCAAATACCGGGTTGAGATCGGCAACCACGGGAGTGCCTAGGATCGACCTGTCATCCGCATTAATTTGCAGCCAATACTGCCAGTTTCCGACTTCAGAAACAGCAGCAATGACAGAGTCTTCAACCTGGGAAAAATGCCCTGCTTGCGGATCGTAGAGGTGCAATTCACCGGACACGGCAGCATAGATCTCCAGTGGCTTGGGAGCAGCCTTTGGCTCTGGCGCCTGCTGGGGTGCTTCGACCTCTTCAACAACCGCTTCAGGCTGCTGCTCTGCGGCGGATCCGCGCTGAGCTGAAGAGTTGGCGGTTCGCTTGGCAAACATGTCGTCGATGGAGTCAATAGAGCGGGCGAGAGTCGGGCTGTGAAGAGGGCTAGCGGGAGGGATGGGCTGCTCCTCGGGGAAGTCAAATTGCTCAAGATCCTCGTCCGAGGCTGTCGTATGCGGTTTGCGATATTTGCGCTCGTATTGGCACTCTTGAGCCGTTTGAAGGAAACGCTTAGCTTCCGCGTTGGGGACAACACTGTCGCAGACAAACTCGTAAAGATCGCCGTTGTCGCCGCTCAGGTCCTTCCAAGCAAGAACAGTCTCCTCGCCTCCTTCTCTAATCTCGATACGGAAGCGCAAAGCTTCGTCGAGCAAAAAGGTCTTCTCGTCGCGCTCGCCTACAAGAGCGTCAATCTCAGCGTCCTCGCCCTCTTCGTCAGCGAGCAGTTCGGCCTCTCCCTCTTCAAAGACTCGCTGCACGACGAGCTGGTACTGGAAGTCTTGATTGGTCCGGCGGATGCGGATAGCAGAGTCCTTGAAGATGAGTTCTGAGTATCCCTTGGGCGAGAGCGGTCGCACGAGGTACAGCTGGCCTTGGGGAAGTTCGATGAGGGATTCTTGGGCGGTTGAGCCGAAGATCAGCTTGCCAACTAGATGGAGGCCGGTGTTAGCAGAAGTGGTGCGACGGTTTGGAATAATGAAGTGGAAGTGGAAGAGGAAGAGGAAGAGGAAGAGCGGAAGAGCAGAAAAAGAAGTAGACGCGGGCGAAGGAAGGCATCCAGAGCCTTAAATAACAGGGCGGCAACAGAAACCGAGGGGCCTTTATTGGAAACAAAGCCGAGCTGAGCTACGCTGTTTCTGGGGATTCATGCATGCCTCAGGGCTGCATTCACTTGACTCTTGACTTACCATTTCTAAGGACGAACATCTTGGCAAGAGTGTTTGCCGTTGCTCTCCTACAGTCGTCGTTGCTACTTTCAAAGCGTGCGCACAAGGAAAACAGCAATGCGAGAGGAAATTAACGGTAGGCAGAACTTGGGTGGGGGAGGGCACAGGAAAAAAAACAAAAGGTGTCGTAGCAACCGTCGTCAGGAAGAAAAAGGCCTAGTGAGAACCTGCAGCACAAGGCAGTATCTAGTGGTGCCTCTTACAGGGGCTTGACACAGCGTGCAGAATGGAAAAGATTGAGAGAAGAGTTGAAGATGATTTTGTTGGTTCAAGGTAATAAATGTGGGCAAATGCCGTCTTTCGTATGCACGTCTCAACAGATCAAACGGTCCAGCCTTGACTGCGTCATACTCGCGCCAAACAAGCTTCCGCTAACAGCCAGCCATACATACAAACCTGCTGCCTGTGATCTGCTCTGTATGTGCTAGAATGCGCCGCTAGAACTGGCGGGTTGGCGCGTTGGCGGGCTCGAGTTGGAGGGGTCGGCGGGCGATAAGATTCGCTGGCGGAGGCGCTAGATCCTTGCCACAGTCGCCACGGCTTGAAACCCACCTTGTCCACTTCCAGCTACACAAGGCTGCGGCGGTGCTTCCACGATAGGGCCAACCAAAGGCGTGGATATCCTCATAGTCAAGTACAGTATACTAGATGTTTGACCATGTGCTGGTTGGTCTAGAATCACGTCTTGCAACGTGGCATTTTCTCAGTCTGGTGCTCAAGATAACTTGCGGTGGTACGTATGACATCATTCGCTGATACAAGCAATGGCGCGCAGCAATTCTGTAGCTATGATTTTCAAACCCTCTCTATGGCTATTTACTGGACCATACGATGAAATTTATTTCATATGGATAGATCCTTGGACATATTACCGAAATATAGAATCTACAAGACAAGGCTATCATTGAAGAAAAGAAAACAAGTCTTGTCATTACCATGTCATAGGGTAGGCCAAGATGCTTCAGTTCAAGAGGCACGGCCCGTCATGCTCATGCTGCCTTCATGATACGACATACGCACGCCGAATTTCAACCGATGTGATTGGCGAGATGGCCGAGTTGGTTATGGCGTCAGGTTAAGGCTACCTTAACAGCAATTCCTGGTGGAGCAATCCGCGTGGGTTCGAGTCCCACTCTCGTCATATCTTTTTTGCTTTTTTGCTCTTTGCTTGTTGATTGATGCAGTAGATGATGGGTAGTCTAGGCAATTCCTTTTTCATGGTAATACTATATTTCCTTGATATGTTATACAGACCCTTTTATAAAAGCGGGTAGTCTCATAAAGTTTGAAGAGGTATCAGAGGTATCAGAGGTATCATTCTATTATTCATTTTCCATCGGATGTCTCATTCTATTCGTAACCTAGGTATAACAACAAGGAAAAGGGAAAAAAGAAAGAAAGAAATTAGTGGTTGCAATCTCCTGATAATGCATAAAGCCAGACATGTATATATGCTCGTAGTATGCAGTCAACTTGAGCATGTAAGCAAACCTCGTCGCAAAACCATTCTCGATGCGACTTACACAAATCCCCATGAAGCGTCTCATAGCAACGAGTTCCTCCTATCTATGCTTGCCAACTCTGCTGCCAACGCAGCTGAAATCTCGGGTGGGCTCCGTCCGTTTCTGTACATCCATAGCCTGCTGAGTTCTTTGACTTTGACGTCCTTTCTCTGCTTCTTGCGGGCTGAAAACTGGTCGTACACCTCGATTGGGGTCGATATCTCGCCTGTTCCAAACCCTCCCGTGCCCCCGTAACTAATCTCAAAGGCTTCTCGCGCATTCTCCATGGCGGTGCCCTCGATACCAAACTTGATGACCTCTTCCATGAAGGCATTGTTTTCTTCGACTCCGATAAATTCCCCAGTCTCCGGATCGCGCTTTAGAGGAAACAAGCCATCAAGGTAGTGTTGGACGAAGAGGTGTCCGCCGTGGCCATTGGACCGATTGAATAGACGACCGAGGAAGCGAGGTAGTTGGCTGGAAGCCATTCTATTAGTCGCAAAGTGGAGAATGCCCCAGATGGCAACAAAGTCGGTGTTGTGAGTATAATGCTCGATATGGCCAATAGCTCTGTCCTTGGCAGCAGAGGCAGTGTGGTAAGACGCTATTGAAGAGGATCGTCGTAACAAATTTGCAGAGATCATCGGATCCTTCTTGACTTCCAGCGGTGTAGTGGCTGGAGTTTCATAGGTGGTCTCGGAGACGATTGTCTGCATAGCCTCAAATGGCTTCGACCGGGTCAAATCTTGTGAGATGACATGGCGGTGAGGGTTGTTGAAATGATTAGCGGCACTGCCAAAAGTGTATACTTCAAGCTTTGCGAGAAGATCTTGAGGCATCTCTTGTAGGAGCCAGTCCAGAACCATGCCACCTTCTATAGCCCCCTGAGAGTGCATGATGAACACCACCTTTGTCTTCTTAGGGTTGTAAAGAATATCTTTAATATGTCTATAGCAGACACGAATATCGCCGGTTGCGTACGAAAAGTTGCGCTGTATGAGGCACTCGATGACGTCGAAAACCATGCCGGAAGTGCGATTATGGATGCCGAGAATTGGGCGACCAAATGTAATCGCTAAGCGATTAAGATTTGTCTTCATCCAGTGCTCGCTATTGTCATTCAGTTCGAGTTAGAGTCAATACGGCAATAAAGACGGCAAAACATGATGCATTCCAAGCAAGCCATGGTGGGACAAACTCACCCAGTCGAGACGCCGTTTAAAAACACCCACTGCTCATGCTCATGCTCCGGTCGAGCTTTGGCATACTTTTCATCAGAGTGGAAGATGATGTCTTTGCCATTCAACAGCATGCAGACCAGCCTGTTGAGAGAATGAAAGCCAACGATGGCTCCGATTCCCATCCAAGCAGGAAAAAATATCGCAAATGGCAAAGCGATGAGAAAGGCGACCTGGAAAATGAGCAGGAAGAAGTGGACGGTGAGACAGAAGATGTTCATCCGCGACGGATACAGTTCATCAAGCTCGCCCGACCCAAAGGGATGTATAGGGAAGAAGACCCAAGGCAGTGCCCAACAGTAGGCGAAGAAGTAGTAGACATCTTTGACTAGGAGACGGAGAGGGAAGTCGGTATAGGCGTAGTTGATGACGGTTTCGCCGCCGATCTGGCAGCGGTAGAATTCGGTGACGGAGCTCATGAAGGACCTCGGCGATGCGCCGTTGGGTTGGTTTGGAGGTTTCATGGCGGAAGTGCGTGGATAATCGCGGTTAGGAGATGTATATAAGGTACTTGGTACCTAGGTATGTAACCTGGGCCAATAACGCAGCTGCAGTAAGCGCCTCCAGGTTTCTCCTCACAGGAAACAAAGGGAGGATAAAGAGAGGCCGTCACTTGTACTCTCAAGTATCCTCTGCAAATGAGTACATGTAAGTACTATAGCAGCAGCAGCAACAGCAGCAAGATAGGGCTGAAACGAGCTGGAGGAAACGCAGGTCCGGGCAATGGTGGTGAGCTAGCAAACATATACCTTTTATTCTTTTCCCTTCACGGCACTTGACCCCTGGCCGTCCATCTTCTAAATGCTGCGACTAGTCACTAGGCGCATACGAGTTTGTCGCTGTAGGCAGCGAGAGAGAGGAGAAGACAGGACCCATGAGAGGTGCCATCACATGTTGAGTTGCCCGGTATGACAGCTGTGGGCACTTTGCAACGCTCTGTTCTCTGTCTGGGCATCTTGGCTCTGACACATCGCATCATCTCGGCTGGCCAAGCGAAGAGAGGCGCCGTACAGGAGCAGACACAGCCAGTGGGACGTCACATAGGGCAAGGCTGAGCATGGAGCAGGCGATCAGCTGGCGAGTCCGCATTGGCCCGTGGTGTGGAGGAGCGTCAGCAGACCTGCAGATGCGAAACTTGGAGTCTCGGCAGGGCATTTCTGGGCCGGGCAGGGGAGATGCTGGGTGGAGTCGGTGTGCGGAAGAATTGATGCTAAAGAATGCTAAAGGCGGTGGATGGCTGCATGGAGGAATCGGGAATTGCATGAATGGATTTGGCGTGGTGTTGAAGTGGTGAAGAAGGATTGAAGGTTGATGGAGATGGACGCCGGTACTCGTATCTCAAAGCACATGGAACCGCCAGCATGTCTCAACCAACAAGCCATGCAGATGACATTAATGACATTAACACGCAAAAGGCACTGCGTCTCGTGCTCTTTACGGCTTCGGCACGTCACGAGCGAGATGTAATGCCTCCTTGGTGCTTACAAAGACTTGGAGGAACGAAGATCTGAGACAAAGACCGGTAGCCGGTGTGAACTATTCGTTAATGTCCCGCTGTCTTCAATGTGCTGAGACGGCATTTATAGGCCTAGCCGCTCTGTCAGGTACAAGAGCATGGTGTGCATGGCGGTGCTTGTACGCTAATTTAGAGCCCCGGGCTTTTAATGTGCCAGCGCTCGCATGAACTGAAGTCTGCACTCAACACGGGCACCAGCTAAGAATTCACTAGCAAGGTCGTCCTGGCCAGCTGGCAGCCATTATACAGGGCCATTACCACCCTACCAGAAGGTCCCTACATGTGCAGAGGTGGTATTGCTATACCGAGACTGTTGTGGTCACCAATGAAGATGCTTTCATGTTGTTTAATACGTACCTCAAGCCACAGCGCTTGGACGTTGGTCGCACATCCCAACGATTAAATACTCTAGATCTGTGAAATCATAGAAGTGCTGTTTTGCCGGGAATTTGGTATTGGAGGGTGCTAGCGTAACTTCAAAGGGAGATGGATGCCTTTTTACAACTTGAAAGCAGTACACTTACTGACGCCTATCCTAACTGTTACGAGGCGTATAAAAGAGAGGGAAAAAAAAAAGGAAAACAAAATGCCTTTAAACCAGAGACGGCTTTGGTTGAATATTGGCCCTCTTAAAAAGAGAGGCCTCTATTTCCAATAGCTCAAAAGGGCAAAAAGATATCGCTGACGAGAGTGGGACTCGAACCCACGCGGATTGCTCCACCAGGAATTGCTGTTAAGGTAGCCTTAACCTGACGCCATAACCAACTCGGCCATCTCGCCGTTGATGTTTGAGGTCTATGCTATATTCTTCTAAGAGCCATACCTCTACAACTGCGAGCCTAAAGCCCCCAATCCCCGTACAGCCTACAATATACATCACGGACAGCAGCAAAGCATTGGAATGGAATCGAAAGAAAGTTGGTATCATCTAAAAGTCTAAAAAGAATATTCAACAAACACTTATTCGAACATGTCGCAAAAGAGCAGACATTCCTAGCAGATGCTCTATTTGTCCTTGGAAAATTGCATCTTGATAGTCTAATTCTCCGACTCATATTCAACGATTTTCTTTCTTGCGGTGCAGGCGTTCCATCTCCTGCATGATTCGCTTCGGTTCATTGCGAATAATTATTGGCCGTGCTAGACGCAGCTTTGCAAAAAATCCCCAAAAGAGCGCATAAAGTAAGAAGGAGAGGTTGACGAGGCCGAGATATATCAATGGGATGATGCTGAGGGGAATGTTGCCTTGAATCACATGCGAGTAAGTGTCTTGGATAATCACCGGCAAAGGACAGAATAATAATAAATGTTTCTTACCAAATAGACCTTCACGGCGTTGGATAGTCTCCCATAATTCGCCAGTCATGACCTCGCCAGCTCCATCCCACTTCCACGGACCCTTCATGCGGAACTTTGTATTGAAACATGCTCCTGCGGCCCAGACGTACGGCAGCCTCCAGCCGTTTTTCGTACGGAGGGCGAGCTTGAGCACTTCTGTGAATGTTGGTGCTGCATCGATATCCTTTGCTAGTTGATATGCGTAGCTATCGTGCTCGACGCCATAGAAGACACGCGCATCAGGAGGGCGTATGATGCGATAATGCCACTCATCGTCGGGATGAAGCGGTTTAGGGATTCGATTCATCAGGTTCATGGTAAACAGCATGGACTGCATCTCAGCCAGAGGTGGTATGGCGCCGAACCCCGGGCGAATAAAGCCAATGAAGCCAACTGTCGGCTCATCCGAGCTCCAGATCTGCCTGACATCCGCATGCCACGCTGTGGGATAAGGCTTGTCGTTGGTTTGTCTGGATTTATTGAGAAAAGGAAACGATGGGAGGTAGCCAGTGGCAAATACAACGACGTCTGGCTTGACTACGGTCTCGTTGATGCGGACAGACTCTGGACGGCCGTTGAGAGGGAAGTGAGCCGTGCCGTCCTTGGAGATGTGAGAAGGAATTGGTGCGACTTCTATTATGCGTGAGGTGGGAGGGATATCGGTGTTGAAGAAGAAGCGACGGATGCGAGTCGCAAGAGGCCACTTGGACGGTCGCCAGGGAGCCGAGACGTGATTGCTGATGCGCTGCCAGGCTTTGTTAAAGAAGACTAAAGTATTGAGAGTGGCATTGGATTAGAATAAAGACTGCTTTGGAGAAATATTAAGTGTTGGTATATATATATATATATATGCTTCATACCTCGTGATGCGTGAAATCGTTCACTATAAATCTGGCCAACAAACTGATCGACGCCATATGGAGAACCGCCGCAGAGCCAGCACCCAGCAGGCAATGCGACGAAATGGTAAAAGTTCCATATTATCATACTGTCTCTTACCATAGGATGAACATACATGGAGTCGAACAAGGTAATTTGAGATACATCGAGGGGTAGCTGCGGATACTCATAAGGCTTGGAGCCAAGGAGCCAGGGCAGAAATCGCTGACCAGGGACTCTCTGTAAGCCAGATTAGCTACCTTTTTGCGAAAGAATGTTTCCTTGTGAAAAGAAGAAGAAGTTTGATGTTGAAAAGTATGGAATACATGCCTTTGGGGCTCCGAGCCAACCATCGCGATGGCATAGAATGACTCTGTCCGTATCCCCTGTCACTGCCAAGTAGGCAATATCTGCACCAGTCTCGCCACTTCCAACGACCATGACCGTCTTGCCCTTCCCAAACTGCTCCCGGGACTTGAATTCACAGGAATGTATCACGACGGGGACATGTTCGACGCCTGGCAAATCCGGAATATTCGGAGTGGCGTGCACGCCGGAGCAAACTGCAATGGCATCGCATTCCCACTCAATCTCCTCGCCGGTCAATGTCCGGTAAGTGACAATGTGCTCACTTGAGCTACCTCTTCGAATTGACTTGACCCATGTATTCAAGTTGATATAAGGCCACAGCTTGAAATGCGTGGCGTAATCGTCAAGATACTCGAGGTAGCGATCGGTAGTGAAGAAATCGTCATCATCGCTACGAGCGCGAAAGTCAGAGAAGGTGGTTAGATACTTCGACGAGACCAGCTCGGCCTCTTCGTAGCTATGACTTGAAAAGATACCACCAAGCCTGTCTTGGGATTCAAAGAGTCGAACCTCAAAGGGCGGGACGGGAAAGCGCCGATGGGCTTCGGTAAGCGTCTTGAGTTGTACGATACCCGAAGGACCGCCGCCGATGATGGCAACGCGCATTTTTCTTCTTCTTCTCTTGTCTCTCTTATATCAGCCACTGGCTGGAGAAGCTGGGAGGGAGTTGATTAAAATGAAAAGGGCTAGTCATTAAAAGCTTTCAAAAAAAAAAAAAAACATAAAAACATGAGCGCCCTCTAGTATGCTTTGCTCATGAGAGGCCACACCCTGTGGCACATCCTGACCCTTAATAATCTCTCGCCAAAGGTGAACAGCTCCTTGCCTGCTAGACTCTCCATTTGTCATTTTACCGAATAGTATTTCCCCTCCGGCTTGGCCATGGGGAGCGGATAGCATTGTTTCCGCTATGCAAGGCGGGCCACACCACATGGCCATGCTCCTTGATGGGTATACTTGTAGGCAAAAAGACATGGTCAAGGGAGCCAAGACGGCTGCTACTTTGCAAGGGGGGGATAGTCATATGGGTCTGTGAGTCGACGGCGTCTGCGGTGGGCCGAAAGAAGACTATAAGAGTCGTCGTGGAGAGAGAGGTCCATGGCCCGCGGTAGTGGTGGCATGGAGCCAGCCCACAAAGGTCCCATCTCCGTTCGCCGACGAGCTATTAACTGGCTAATGGGTGCTGCGCTGCCCATGGAGTTGAGCATTTGGGTAAGCAACTGGCGCGTCCAAAACTAGTTGCGCTGTCGAGCTGTCAAGGGTCATCGTTGCGCCGTCTGATGAAATTAATTAGCAGTACTACTAGGCATTACCTACTGCGGTCACTCGTACATGCTTGTATTACATGTCCAAGCTTTCCCGGCAGTCTTCCGCGACAGGACAGGGAGCGGTCCGCATTGATACGCTGTCGCGAAACAATAGATGCATGGTTAGCAGTCCATGTTGCTTCAAAGCATGTTGGGCGGGAGAGTTTTATTCCCCGTGGCTCGCTTTTGGGGCAAATCCCGGCAGTTTGGTTCAGACGGGCGGCTAGAACCCACGTGGAAAATTCCAATTTTGGCATCTAGACTGAGCTTATTGGCTCTGGCCCAAGCCATCGGGACTGCAAGCAAAGAGAGGCCTACGAACCAACAACACTGCAACCCGCAGCTTTTGGATGGTGTCCGAAAATAATTCCCTGCTGCAGCTGGATATGACACATCGGGGTGCTTTTCCTGCAGAGCGCTCTTCTTTAGTCTTCGTACGACCTACTAATGTAGGCCATGGTGCTACTGCTCGTAGAGGCTGCGCAGGGGACTGGACCCGCTAAACGGACATATCGGGCCTGCGTAACTTGGGCGTGGTAGCACGAATGGATGGGATCGATCAGACATAAGAGATGGGGGAAGGTCGTGATACTCACGAACGAAGGAGTGATTTGTGATTTGGGTTTTGAAGAAAGGTGAAGAAATCATACTGTAGACAGATGAAGATACAACGCCTACGAACAGCGCTAAACCGCGCAATTACAATCACGTAGCTGGGACTGGCAGAACACAGCCTCTCTCAATGAGATGATTTAATAATACGCCGTAATGCAAGCAAGGACTTCATTTTCTGACACTGCACGCACGGACGCTTCGGCCAAGCAGGGCTTTGAAAGGGTTCGACCGAGCCTAGCCCATTTCCAGAGGCCGTGCAGAAGGATGCGGGAGTTTTCTCAATATGAAAGCCGAGCAAATTTGAGGTTTCTGCAGCTCACCAGTAGTAAGTAGTACCGAACCAATGTTGTAGAGCAGCCCTCTGACTTTCCGAGCATGAGCAAAAAATTACGATCAAATACCTTGAAGCAATTGTTTCCTTTATCAGCCTCTAGGAGATTCTTAAGAAGAGCACGATAATGCATTGCCTGTCTCTGTTCACAAATCCTAGTGAAAAGAAGCAATCTATAACGAGTGAACGATGGACTGAGAACACAACCCTGAGTCTACTTAGTGGCTAATTAGTAAATGTATTTATGCAAAAAAAAAAAAAAAGGTGAAAGATTTGGCTCATTTTGAGTAGCATAACGACTTTCTGTGGCTATCACCACATCTTCGTCTCCCATTCTCGTAGAATCTCTTTGCCAAATAGCTGTGATGGCCGCTAGCAACCTAGCTCAAAAGACAGTTGAGTGGATTGGCAGCTTTTAAAAAGAAAAACCGGAGGCGAATAGCCTATTGAACGTTCTTGCCATTAAACACGTCCCACCACAGCTGCCAAAAAATGCCAAAATAGCGGGGAGAGTAGCGTGACCCGATCCAATCCATTGTAGCTCCGTCCCGCAAAAGCACGATTTGTGGACAACATCATCGGCGCCAAAAGTTCGTCCTCGCTGGATTGACTGTAATTGATCAATCGATAACGCCCTCAAATCGACCAATTCTGACTGTAATTTACTTCCACTGCCTTCAAAGGCCATGGCCATCATCAAGCCACCGACCGGCACTCTCGCCTCGCCCCTCCGCACCTCCCATCACATCTCACATTGCGCACGATCCTCTGCCTCTGCCTCGCCTCTATGCGATCGATTGCAGCGACGACGATATGCCACTGTAAACGAAGCCAACGAAAAGAAATGGTCCGACGTAAAAGCTTCCTCTGGCGATACCATCCCCGAATGGCCGAAATCGCCGCGGCCCACGCCATACCAGGTCTTGGGCGTCTCCAAAAGCGCAATCTACGATAAGCGACATTTCTATGACCTCGTCAAGCTATACCATCCCGATACACATGACCCCCAAGGCAATCCCTCATCAGCATCAGCATCAACATCGCCATCAGCGTCGTCGTCCTCATCACACATCGGCCAACTCCCCCACGCCACCCGCCTCGAACGCTACCACATGATCGTCGCCGCCAACGAGCTCCTCAGCAACTCCTCCAAGCGGCGCATGTACGACGCCTACGGCCTCGGTTGGTCCCACGGCGACGGCGTTACGACGCTGCGCGACATTGACAGAAACTGGCGCCACCAGCAGGGCACTGCCGCGAACAACGCTACGTGGGAAGATTGGGAGCACTGGCGGGATGCCCAGGCGGGAAAGGCCGGCGAGCCTGTCTTCATGTCGCATGGAGCGTTTGCCACCATTGTCGTCATGTTTTGCGTCGTCGGGGCCATTGCGCAGACAAACCGCGCCGAAAACAGCAGCACCGTCTACGCTGGATGGGTGGCCGATCAGAACAACAACGTCGGGCGCCGGCTGCAGAGGAACGAAGTCATGGTAGCGGGACTCAACAAGGATGAGAGGGTCAACCACTTCTTGAGAGAGCGGGAAAACGTGAGTTACCAGTTTGTGCCAGCCAAATTCGAGACGGCGGACCCGTCTAGGCCGTCATAAACTCTTCGCCGTCGCCGGCAACAAGGAGCGGCACGTCCAGTGGCCAATCCTGTGTATTATTATAGATGATGATTTAACGAATATCTTCCCTGCATCCAACCTATTATTTCTATATAATGTACTGATAGTTCTATATATATATACTATGCGTAAGAAAAGTGACATTACATTATATCGTAAAGGACATTAGTCATGATTGAAAAACTCGTGTCATCATCCGGCGCTTCTACCTCTTACGTATGGGACGCTTCTGTCTCTGTCCTCGAAAATAATGTCTCTTGACGAGAGTAAGCCACGCGAGCTGTCTTCAAGTCAGGCTCAAACGGCTCTTCATCGGTGTATTCTGATATCAGTCTATGGTTAATGATATTGTCGATGCGCAAGCGTGGCGGCCCGGAATTGAGCTTTTCGCCATTCTTTGGTGGTCCGGCTATGCGCAAGGGTCAGCAGAGGTAGCAGAGGGAGACTTTAGAAATGAGGCTCATCTCGGATCGTTTAAACTTACATACGATGAGGTCTATCAGCTTGACAATGACAGGACCCCAACAAGTAATGGCAATAATCTGTCCATACGACCATTTGTTTGCCTCAAAGCTTTTGGCACTGATGACAGTAACCAGCGAAACCATGTATAGGATATTGATGAAGAAATATAATATTTCCAAAACTCTCCAAAAGTACTTTGCAAATTTTTTCCAGTGGCGCTGAAGTCGGTTCTCCGGCCATCGACCAGGCGTCCAGCGACCGAATCTCAAATGCTTCGTCCGTCTATGTTTTCGTAGCGTCCAGCTCAGCTGGTCGATGACGAGCGCAATAAATGTAACACTGTCCAATGCCAGAAACACAACCTTGTAAAAAAGCGGATGTGGGAAGAAAGTCAAGCTAAGTCCGGAAACTCCATGAGTAGCGGCGCAATACGTGCGCGGACTTGGGTTACCGCCGCATTCTTCGATACTATGCTGCTGCTTGAATAGATCAAAGGTAGATGAGAAGCTAATCTTTTGCGTAGATGCAATAATCGCCAATAGATATTCTGCACAAAAGCCAAGGAATGTATGCCAGTTGCGAATACCTTCGTTATGGAGACAAACTTGGACCAAGAACATGGGAAGCACTCCGTTTAGACTGACATGGAATGCGACAGCGCCATTGACGATGATCTCGCCCCAGAATGTGCCATCCTGGGAGTTGATGACAATAGCAAGGATGGAGGCGATCTGCAGCGCAAACACAAACCAGCACTGAGCTTCCTGGAACTCGACCAGGGTGGTGGCCATGGCCACACTGGTCCGCGACATGGTAGATGTGTCTCTCCAGATTAACGACTGGGCACGGGTGAGGGTGTAAGGCTCCCGTTTCTTTTCGGTGTGGCGCGCCCAGAGGGTGAATGCTTGAACAGCAAGATACAGTGATCCCGAGAAGCATACTTGAAGCACGTAGGAAATCAGCACCTATTCCGGCAAGATTAGTGTTGTCTTGACTCGATAAGGCTACATCTTGATAGTATAGTCTTACTCCGGGCCCAAAGATGTCAGGGTCAATATTGGCTGGGATATCTGGGCAAAATGTGTTCATGGCCTCAAATATCTCATCTGCAGTAGAGTGCTCTATGGAGAGCGCTTTGATAGAGGGGCCACATGGCACGCTCAACTGGTCACTTCCGCAGGATGCTTGTGCGCAAGTGATGAAGGAGTCGAGGGTTGGCTTATAATCGAAATTGGCGAGACTTCCAGAACCCATAATAACGCTAGCATTCCGCTCTGTCTGGGGGGTGATGTAGTAGCTCTCGGTATCATGAGTCCAGTGGGAAATGGAAGCCAGCGCGATACAGTCGTAAAACGTCTCAAGAGAGCCGAAGAAGTTTTCAGTGTTGTTGCAAGCGCGGGTGCAATCCTCTACGCCATCGACCAGGCAGCCGGTGCCGAAGAGCACAATGCTCTGGTCGCCTGCAATGCTCGACTTGATGAGATCCCTGAAGCTGAAGACATCGTCATTCGGATTCCCGACGTTGGCTAGGTCGTCGAAGGGGAAAAAATCAAGAGTTCCTCCTATATTGGGCTCGACAATGACCGAAAGTGGCAGAGACGACGCAGCAGGTGCCGCTGTTATTGCGGTCGAAATAACAACAGACGAGATTATGCTACTGGTGGCTGCCATGGCTCGTAGAAAGAACGCCCGTCGGCCCCCAGCAACTACCAAGAGCAAACTGCGAGAGCATAGGTGCCCTACCAATCAATGCCCCCAGCGACGACCGACGATGGGGCCTATTTCAGTAGTGGCCTAACCAGAGAGCCTGCTCAGATCTGCTAATGGCCTGCGACGATTGCCATGCCCCAGGCCGAAGTGGTACAAGAGAGACGAAGTCGGTGAGGTTGGCAAGGAGCCCTCCGTTCGGTGGCTCTTTATATCACTACTGACAAATATTCCTTGATCTCCGATAAGTAAATGATTTGTTGTCATACGCCCAACGGTGTGGGTCGAGACGCGGCCATGTCAAATTTGACCAATTGAGACTCTCATGGCAAGCAGGCATCTTGTCCGCGGGACTTTTGGGGGGCGCTGGCCAAAGGAAACGCCGAGAAACGATATTGACCAGCCGATGGCTGATAAGCCCATGATGATGGAGAGGCTGCGCGATCTACCAAAGATTAGATTAATCTTGTATGTATCAGATATGACCGGGTCCAGGGGTTTGGCGAGATCTTGCAGGGCAATTTATATATAGCGTTAAAGATCGCACAACGACCCGAAGGCAGCGCTGCAGCAATGCTGCGCCTCCCCCGGATTAATATCGTGTGGTTGCATTTGGTGCGCGCCGGAGCTCGCCATTGGCCCGAGACGAGAAGCGGGTGAAGCGGCATGAAGAACTGCACGCACCATGGCAGCCTTAGTGATGTGTCAAGAGTGGAACAAGAAGCATGGGTTGTAGATGGAGTCTTTCTACTTGTATGAGTTGAAATAGCCTTTGTGCTATCGATTAGGGTTCAGGGGACAATGTTGAAGGGAAGGTGCGGCTTTAGAAGCTCCTACCTAGCATCTAGGGCAGCGGGATATCGGAATCATTGACACCACTTGCACCTCGACTCCCAGCCTCGATTGGCCATTTTAGAGCACTTAAAGGACTGGCAGAGACTACAGGCTGTTTACTTACCAGGGTCCAATGGAAAACCCAAAGCTTGAGCATAAATGCGTTGAGTTAGTGAATGGAGCAGCCTAGAAGCATGCGGAGCTCTAGCTAGCTAACGAGAGCTTTGAGACCCACGACAACAGCTCAAGTGACGGCGTCTTCGTGGTCTTTGCATCTCTGTGGACTATTTTCACTTTCTTCGCTTTTACCTTGAGCTATTACCAATGGTGATTTTTGCAAATCATGTTTACTTCGAAAAGAGGTTATAACTAAGAAACAGAGCGATCGTCGAGACGCTCATCGACCTCATCCATTAGTCTTTTGGGCTAAGCTCAAGGTCATCAAGACAGCAATTGACTACCTGTTTCACTAATTGAACGCAATAGAATTTCCATCTGCAGAATAAAGCATCCCAACCCATCATATTCTCCATACTTGTCTAATAAACCTGTAATTGTCGTTGCCCTCAGCCTTAATGCCGGCTCTCCAGCCAAATGGCCCAAAGCACCGATACAAGCCGCATCGGCACATTCAACCAAATCGACGTCACTTTTAAGCCGAGCTTCTATCCAAAATCCCAACTCATAGCTATCCCTCTTCCTCCCAATTGAATCCCTTCTTCCCCCCCCCCCCCCCAAACCAAAACCACACACCCTCCTCCACCTCATTATCCTCACAACCGCCCACAATGGCTCCTCGAATCCGCCTCTCCGCCTCTCCCTTCATCTTCCGCCGCCTCTACTCAACTCCCTCCGAGCCCCTCATCCGCGTCACGAACCTCCCCGCAGGCGCAAACTCAAACGGCCACATCCGCGTCCTCGAGCTCAACCGCCCACAGGCCAGAAATGCCATCTCCAGAGACCTGCTAGCCTCGCTACGCGCCGAGATTGACGATGTCCAGAGCCAATACGGCCCCAACGGCGAGGAAATCTCTCCCAAGCAGCGCTTCGGCGGAGCTGCTGGCATCGACGAGCATGGCCCCACGAGAGCTCTGGTTCTCGCCAGTGCGGTTGATACATGTTTCTGCGCAGGCGCTGATCTGAAAGAGCGTCGAGGCTTCACCCCAGAAGAGTGAGTATAGAAAGACATATCATATCTCTGTCCTATGGCCATTTGCTAATATTGTATCTACTACAGAACGGCCCAATTCCTCTCCAACCTCCGCAGCACCTTCACCAGCCTCTCCAACCTCCAAATCCCTACAATCTCCGCAATCTCCTCCCTCGCCCTCGGCGGCGGCCTCGAGCTCGCCCTGTCCACCCACTTCCGCGTCCTCTCCTCCAACGCAACCGTCGGCCTGCCTGAGACCCGCCTCGGCATCATTCCCGGCGCCGGCGGCACCTTCCGCCTCCCTGCCCTCATCGGCCTCTCCCGCGCCCGCGATCTCGTCCTCACGGGCCGCCGCGTCGCCGCCCCGGAGGCTTACTTCCTCGGCATTGCCGATCGCCTTGTCGAGGTCATCCCCGAGGATGAGCGCGAAGGGTCGGATATCCTGCAGATTGCGCGCAAGTCTGCCCTGTCAGAGGCTGTCAGGCTGGCTCAGGAGATTTGCGAGGGAGGACCCGTTGCTATCCGTGCTGGGCTGCAAGCCGTTGCCTGGGCTAGGGAGGAGAAGGAGAATGAGATGTACCAGAGGGTTGTCAACACTGAAGATAGAAATGAGGCGTTGAAGGCGTTCCAAGAGAAGCGAAAGCCCGTCTTCAAGGGCCGGTAAGATTACAATTTTATAGAAGCATTTAATGGGGAAAAAAAAAAGAATAAATCCTTAATGACAATCATACCCTATTCTTGTGCCCTCGTTAATATGCGTGTGTTTGTGATTCTGCAAGTTTCTTAGTAAATCATCTCATCATAAAGCTACCTAATTACTAGACGCAGACAATGCCATTTATGCTCTCAAGTTATTTTTGGTACACCGTACGCCTCTTTTCTTTAGTTGCCATGTGTTAATACTGCTTCTCACCCAACTGAATTGCCCCAAAAAGAGTCATCAAAAGCTATTCCTCCGACTTCTACCATTCCTCCCTCCTTAAAATTGACTTGCATCTTCCATGACTACTGTCTTCTGAGAATCTTGCGGTTCCTGCGGCTCTTGCGCCACCGCATCCACCTCAGGGGCAATCACTGGGTCACCTTCCTTCCTTGCGTCAATAACCTCAACATCTCCGTCCCTATCGGCTGCGGTCAAGGGTGCTGATTCAATCTCAACGACTGGCTTCGTTTGTTCAGCCTCTGGTTGGCCTTCTTGTTCCTGGCCGCCACCTTCCTCCTTCTTAGGAGGCTCTCTTTTAGGGACGCTGACATATTGATCCTTGTCTTCGTCGCGTACGTAGCAGAGGTAGTACGGCTCACCGCTAGTGCTTAGGGCCTGTAGTACTTCTGCAGTATCTTTGTTCTCCTTCACATCCGCATCGTTATACCAACGCCAAACGTTGGCTTCGAAATCGTGGATCCACACCCAATAGTGTCCCGACGTCAGGTGGCCACGATGGCAGATGACAGCATGGAGACGGTACGAAATTTGCTTCTGGCTGCTCATACTCGCCTCAAGCGCTTCTTGTCGTTGGCGCAGTTCCGATTCCATCATTTCTAGCACTGCAGCGTGCGTCTTCTGTATATCTGTAATCTTGTTGGCGGGTTCCTCAGGAGCAGTCTCTTTAGTGACATTTGCCGGCGTGATAAGCAAAAAGTCATCTTCTACTGGCCCATCAAAATCCCAATTTTCAGAGTCTATTTCATCTTTCATGAACTCGTCACTTCCGCTAGTGGATTGCTTCGCTGTGTCATCTGTAACCTCACTTTCACTCCCATAGTTCTGGAAAAAGGTCATATAGGCTGGGTTTGCTTCGACCTTTGCCAGTTGTGACTTTAAATCAACAATTCGCTCTGCAGTCATCCAATCCTGTACCCTTTGCTGGAAAACGGGCGAATCATGGGGAGCGTCCATGTATCTATCGAGGTATAGAGTCTCAGGTATAACAACTGGGTTGCCGTTCTTGCTGCCCATGGATTGCGACCGCTGAATCAAAATGTGTAAGACCGGCGGTAACGTCTTGATGGCGGTATATCGCGAGAGCTTGCTTTCCTCTAGAATCTGCTGGTCGAAATTTCTTCCGAGTGCATCGTACAATGAGCAAGGTCCTTCAGCAGCCGGAAACGCCGTAATTGATCGATCAAAGCTAATCTCGTGTTGGTACTCCTTCTCATCAAACTTCTTGGTATAATTGACTGTTGTGACGAAGAAGGTCTCCATAATTTTTTCCAGCTGGATGCCGCTTGCGCTGTCAACCGAAGTTGGGCGAATCGCTGCCTGGAGACGGTTGAGAATGCTGCCCATGACTTCCTCAACATCTTGCTGGTCGGTTCCAGAAGATCTCTTCTGGTGCTCAAGGGCATTGAGAACCTTTTGATCCACCGTTTCTGGCTTTTCTATATCAATCATGTCGACATCAGCATTCTCTGGCCTGACATCAACAGGAGTGTCTTTAGACTCGTCCATATCCACTAGAATGGTCGATTTCTTGTCGTCTTGCGGCGCCTCAGTCATTAAAGTGTCATCCTCCAAGTCAATAAGTATCGGGACGGACTGTGGCTGGCCACTGGTATCTTCTGTCACTGTCTCAACCTTCTCATACGAGCGATCTGAGCGAGCGTCATCTTGATCAACGAGAGTTTGAGTGCTAGAACGGCTCCGCGTTTCTATCGAATCTGACACAGCTTGCACAGAGACATTGACCATGTTAATATCATCGTGGCTTTCCGTGGGAAGGGCAGGCGATGGGCGAGCGGGCAAGGGCGGAGGGTTCACTATCGTAGGAGTCTCAGACGGCTGCTTCGAGCCAGACAGGAGAGTGTGAGTTGATAATAAAACTGCGTTGGCGAGTCTTTGAGAAGGCCGAGTGGCAGTTCTGTCGGAAGTTCGAAGACTTTCAAACAGCGTGGCCATTTCTTCCGCAACTACACAAGAAACAGCGTTAGCTCTCACAAGCCGTTACTCCAAATCTCAAGAGTAGGTTGCACTTACATGCTTGCGCAACGACAGCCTCCCCCCGATCCATTTGCATCTTGTTTCCACCAAGTCGACGTGCCTGTATGTTCTCATCGTTCAACTCTAACCGCAAGCTGTCATAGTTGAATACGATATCACGAATAGGCTTCACGGTGAAGAGATACTGGAGTAAGCTATTCAAATAACAGGTGTTGCCGATGTTGTGCAGGCCCATGGGAAGGTTCAAATTGGCTGCTCTGGAGTCGCCATTATCGAACTCAGAATTACTGAAGCCCAGGGAATGCCTAAGTTCCAAAACTGAGTGTTTGAGCGAGGGCGAAGACGTGTGCTCAGCGATCGAATCCAATGCGTCAAGGTATACGCCCTTGGCTTCCTTTGATGTGCTTTTGTCTAGCTGTAGATTTCTTTCAGTTAGCCATATAATGTGAAATGAGGTGCATTTCTTTAGTCATTCTTGTCTTTTATTGATTTGAATTTCTAAAAAAAAAAAAAAAAAAAAAAATAAAAAAATAAAAAAATTCGCTTACCTTTGCTTTTGTAGCATCAACTGCGTTCTGCCACGGCCCGTCAACTGTATCCAGCCCTAGAATCACTTTGGATGTCTCAAGTGACATCTTGTCATCAGCCTCCATAAGTAGTGATGCCTGATAAGAGTCATCGTTGGATGACTGGGCAATCAACAAAAGCATGCTCCTCGCAGTACCCGCTTCAGATGGGTCTCGCGCCAGCTTTTCTCGAAAGGCTTGTATCGTTGCCTCCGCGCTATAATTATTTGGTGGGCTGAGGCCAAGAAATTCTAATGCTTGAGAGGCAAGCCCATCATCATCGCTGTTGGTATACGTTTGAAGCTGGCTCTCAAAGACGGATGACTGAGTCATGGCGTAGGCAGACAAAAGTTCGTTACCAGCGTCATTAGCAATATTCCGTAACATGTCCACAAGCTCCCTTCGCCTAGAGGGCGCAAGTTCCCACTGCCTTTTATAGGCATTTACAACAATCTCTTTTGACTGGCCAGGCAAAGTTCCTATGAATTTGTATTGCTCCATGTTTACCAAGGGATTTGTGTTGACATGAGGAACTTCATTGCAGCCCAGGTGATTATGCAGAGCAGTAATACAAAATGTCGGGCGTTCCGCAGTGCTTCCAGACTTGAATATGAGATTTTGAACTTCAGAGCGCACATCTTCAAGATAGGCGCGAAATGTGCCCACTTTAGTGTTCCCGGCAATACCGTCTGCTGGCGGTGGAGGAGTTGGAGTGAATGACCCTTCATCGACTCCGTCATTAATCTCGGTAACCTCTTTGAACTCAAGTTCTCGAAAGATGGAGAAGCAACGGGGTCCAAACAGAACTGCGAATCTCTTATTCCGTTTCGAGATACTTCTGGTAGTTTCGGGAGTCGTTTCCAAGAGATTCTTTAGGTACGTATTAAGATTGGATGGCGCTTGGTTGGCCCAGTCATCGGTAGCGCTTTCATATCGTGTAGGTTCGTCCCTTCTCGCGGCGTTCAACTGTTGAAGAATAGTCTCATGGTCTAGCAAGAGATTTACCCACCACGAGGCCATCCGCGGTTCTGATATATCAAGGGTAACCTGGAACGTGCATGACGGAGCCGAGCAGGCAAAGTATTCGCGAGCTAGCAGCGGATAGTATTTTGATCGATCTCGAGTAATCTCAGCGTCGTTCTCAGATGGCGCCCAGACTAAATGATGCCAGGGAAACTGAGTATCTCCAATGGGCCAGTCACTGTGGGTATGGTGGCACAAAACATCTGAATGCTCTTGTTCCCACTCAACACGGAATAAGAAGTGATAATGGCAGTCCAAGCAGATGGAGGATAAAACCTTTGACGAGGATGTCGAATAAGACTGGTTCCCATTGATGACTAGCCGATGGGGGTGATCCCATGCATAGTGACTGTCCAGCCTGGCTTCCCGAGCTCGCTGGAAAAGGTCGCAGACGGTAAAGTTGTTATTGATCAGCTCGTATATCCAGCGGCTGGGGTGGCATCCTACACGCAAAGTTAGTTTGAGGGCTCGGATTGGTGAAGACCAAATATGAGGTCGGCATACCGAATAATTCTCGCCCGACCAGATTAGACTTGAGTGGCGTCATATTATGTGCAACAAACTCCGCCTGCGTCCCAGGCAAGGCCGCATAGGCATTCGCCTCGAGGTCCTGCGACCGCAAATCATACCCGCCGGCCATGATTGTATGCTACCGGCGCCTCTAGCTGAGGCGAAAGAGTGTTGATTCTAGGAGGGGGCAAGGTGGTATGGAGATGGAGGGGTAGCAGACGGCTGCCACCTTTGATGCTGAAAGCTCAACGCTCAAAGACGTGCTCAGCGATATCCGACCCCGCGCTCCTTTATATTGATGAAAGCTCGAGATAATTGTTGATTTAGAGCGGCAGAGAGCTGAGCTGCAGAGTGGAAGCCGATTATATCTGCCTGGCGGGAGTTTCGTTCGGCGAGAGGCTTGGAAAGGGCATGGAGAGGTCGGCAGATTGCTGCAGCTGTCCTTGAAATACGTCAACCGAGAGAGTCGTAGAGTCGGGACGTGGCAATGACGAACCTCTGGAAGAATGAATCGGCGTATGTAATTGCTTGCGTATGCGGTGGCGGATCAACTCGTGTATTGATAAAGTGCGTGTTTGCCTGGCCAAGGTCACGGTCGGCTGACGCAGCCAAAGACGTCGCTGGAATCAACACGCCTGTTAGTCTATGACAGCTGCTGATTGCGGCCAGAGCACTTGGCGTTTGCGGCAGTGGGTGCTGAGTCAGCGCTCTGAAAGAGGCGACGAGTGCCCTGTGGCGTCACTGCTGAACCATAGGCCGAGTAACTAGGTACCTAGATATAAAGCTCAGTCACGTAAACAAAGAGACGCGAGTTACTTTTCGAAAGAAAGCCATTTCATTAGTATCCGTAGTATACCTCTATTCTTCTATTTTCCCACCTCCTTTAATTACATAGGGAAACAAAGCTCTTTGTTATCAGACATTCACTTAACCATAATCGAGCAAAACAGCCAGATGCAGGCCTGCGGTACCCAGTCGACTAAGTGGAAACAAGCAAAGATGAAAGTGAAATGAGATGATCAGAGGCAGGAATATGGATGTTCTATATGCTTCAACCCGAAGACACATCAAATAGATCATATCTACTCTTCCTATGGTGTATATGCTGGCGCCACTCTCCGGAGCTACAAAGCCTTCATTGACAACGCAGAATGTCTTTTGACTCTCTACCACGCCAGCCGTGCCAATCAATTCTGGAAATCTCTCTCATAAAGCTCCATTTAGCAGCCCACATGCAGTGCTATACCCCGCCATCTCCGCAGCCGGGAGGCCGATTGGAAGGATTCCCAGCAATTTCCATCTTATCTGATCTCCTGATAAACAACTCAAGTGCCCCTCGACACCTCCATATACACGAATCTTTTGATGCGTAACATCGCTCCAACTTTCTGCCTAGATATAGCATCCAAACATTTACTCTGAATCAAGATGCCTTCCCTAGACTCGCGCAGACACCTTCGCATAGGAGTCGATGTCGGCGGCACAAACACGGACGGCGTCATTTTAGACCCCCTCCAAGCATCGTCTCCAGGCAAAGGAATCTTGGCGTGGCACAAATCCCCCACGACTACAAATCCAAGCGTTGGTATCAACGATGCCATCACTGCCATGTTCAAATCCGCTGCTATTCACCCATCCGAGGTTGAAAGCGTGACTATCGGGACGACTCACTTTGTCAATGCCGTCGTTGAGAGAGACGCTGCTCGGCTATCTACCGTGGCTGTTATCCGATTCTGCGGGCCTTTCTCCAAGCATGCTCCTCCTTGCGTGGATTGGCCAGATGACATGAGACAGATGATTCTAGGGCATTACGCACTTTTAAAGGGCGGCTTGGAAGTAGACGGCAATCTGATTTCGGACATTGACGAGCGAGAGATTAAACAGCAGTGCGATATTATTCGCGAAAAGGGCATCAAGAGTATTGTTGTTAATGGGGTTTTCAGCCCGATTGATACCAAAGAAAGACAGGAAGAACGAGCTGCGGCCATTATCGAGGCAAATTTGCCTGGCTGTGATGTTCTTTGTTCCAAGGAAATCGCCAATCTGGGATTCTTGGAGCGCGAAAATGCAGCCATCTTGAATGCCTCGATCCTCTCCTTCGCCAGGAAGACCATCAGATCTTTCCAAGCACCGATCAAACGCCTCGGCTTGCATTGTCCCGTCTTCATCACCCAAAATGATGGGACTGTCTTGTCAGGAGACATGGCGGCGAGGCTACCCATCAGGACTTTTTCAAGCGGCCCAACGAATAGTATGAGAGGCGCGGCGTTTCTTGCCCAGGGCCAAGTATCCGAAGCAATCATGGTCGTTGACATTGGCGGCACGACTACAGACGTTGGTCTGCTTCATGCCAACGGCTTTCCCCGACAGCAAGCTGCATACAGTGACCTTGCTGGCATAAGAATGAACTTTTCCTGCCCAGATATCAAGAGCATTGGACTTGGAGGAGGTTCCATCGTCAGAAATGACAGTGGCTTGACTGTCGGTCCGGATAGCGTTGGCCATAAACTCCAACAAGAAGCTGTTGTTTTCGGTGGCACCGTCACCACCACTACAGATTGCATAGTACAAGCAAATCCTGGTTTGAAGATAGGCGATGCCAATCTTGTAAAAGATTTGCTTACTGCCGAGCAGCTTGAGCTTTTCAGAAGCGTCATCAAAAACAAGATTGAAAAGGCCATTGACAAGATGAAAACATCTCCCGAGGACATTCCTGTTCTTCTTGTTGGTGGCGGAGCTATTCTGTCGCCAAACCAGCTTAAAGGAGCAAGCCGAGTGCTCAAGCCAGAGTGGGCGCAGGTTGCAAACGCAATCGGGGCAGCCATGGCAAGAGTCAGTGCAGTTGTAGATACTGTCAAATCCACAGAGTCAAAGACTACTGCTCAGTTGCTGGAGGAGGTTAGCAAGGAGGCGATTGCAAAGACGATATCTGCCGGAGCATCGCCTACGACTGTGGAGGTGGTTGAAAAGGAAACTCTACCACTACAAGTAAGGCCGCCAATATGGATCCTTGAAGCAAACCACAATTACTAACTGCATATCGTTTCCAGTATATTGCTCATAAAACTAGATTTATCGTCCGCGCCGCTGGCGATTTTGACCTGGGGGAAACGAAAACCAGCTCAACTCCTGAAGCGGAGGACGAAGAAGAAAACATTGATGACATGAGCCAATATGAGAAATTGGCAAGGCCACCGGAATCTTCATCCAAAGATCATCAAGATAAAGAAGTCGACATCCTCAACTACAGACCGGCTGTCAAAAATCGCGTTTGGTACATATCGGAAACAGATGCCGATTGGATTGCGATAGGCTGTTATATCCTCGGCACGGGCGGTGGAGGGTCCCCTTATCCTCATCTAGTGCGCTTGAAACAAGAGCTTCGCAAAGGGGCAATCGTGAGAGTTGTGAATCCTCACGATCTTGCCGATGACGATCAGATTGGCTGTGGGGGCGGCGTGGGCAGTCCAACAGTTGGTATCGAGAAGCTTCCCGCCGATGAGCTGCTAGAGGCCCAAGAGGAGATATTCAAAATATGTTCTCAGCCCGCCACTCATATGATCTCCATTGAGATTGGTGGTGGAAATGGCCTCCAAGCGATGATATTGGGGGCTAGCACGAACATGAACCTGCCAGCCGTTGACGGAGACTGGATGGGGCGGGCATATCCAACAAAGTGGCAGACAACACCTATTGTTTTCAACGAACGATCCCCCATCTGGTCCCCCATTGCCATGTCCGATGGAAATGGCAATGTTGTCGTCATGCCGAAAGCAACGTCTGACTTGGCTGTTGAACGCATCTTGCGAGCAGCTCTCACCCAAATGGGATCTCATACGGGAGCTGCCGAGTCTCCGGTAACCGGAGCAGAGACGAAGCGATGGGCTGTCGAGCACACTCTATCACAGGCCTGGAGAATTGGACGCGGTGTTGCACGTGCCCGGAAAGAGAACAGGGTAGACAACGTGGCCGAATCTATCATTGAGGAGTGTGGTGGCAAAGGAGCTGGTAGAGTGCTCTGGAAGGGCAAGATTGTGGGCGTTGAGAGGACACTCAGAGGGGGTTACGTGTATGGTGAATGTTTCATCGAAGGAGTTGATGTAAGGCAGGATAACGATGGCCTACAGCAAGATGGAACTTATCCGACCTCGTTTCAAGGCACCATAAAGATTCCCTTCAAAAACGAAAACATTGCAGCTCTCAGGGTACGAGACGACGGGAAAGAAGAGCAGCAAGAAGATGTTTTGGCTATTGTGCCCGACTTGATCACTGTCATCGATGCACAAAACGGCGAAGCCATCGGCACCCCTGAATATAGATATGGGCTGCTAGTAGTTGTTTTGGGGCTGGCTGCGAGCGATAAATGGACGGGGAGTCAAAGAGGAATCGAGATTGGTGGTCCTGCAGGATTTGGGATTGACCACTTGAAGTTCACTCCTCTAGGGACATTTGTCAAACCACAGAGTGTTATTGATGAATACGATGGCATCTCGGAAGATTAAAGTATAGAAGAAGAATACTATTTATATCTCATACAGTTATGATATGTATAATGGAAAATATCCAGCAACCCAGTCCTATCATCCAGCATTCTAGCTATAACACAAAGAGACTACTGCTACATTTGCTCTGAGGTGCTTTTCATCGTCTCGTGAACGTCGCGGTAGCCTCCCCATTTCGACCAATGTATGGCTCTGGCAAGTCCGGTAAGGTATATACCTGTAAAATTACTCTTACTACTATATACACCCAAGAGCCTTAAGAGCATCAGTAACATCAGTAGCATCAGAAATACAGGTCGAGAAGCGGTAAAAAAAAAAACAATTAGAGAAAAAAACAATTAGAGAAATTATTTTATATATATATAATTCAATGTTATTCGCAAGTATCCAACATACTGTCTAGTGCCGTCTTTTCCGCACTCGAAATTGTCAGCGCATAAGAGCTCTTGACCTCGATCCAGGACTTGGCGTAAGTGCAGTAGAAGCTCGACAGGGGAGGCTTCCACTTATCGGGGCTCTTGTCGCCCTTGGAGCGATTTGAGCTTGCAGAAACGGCCCAAAGCTGAGGAATGGTGATGTCGTTGGCAAAGGCTTGACGCTGTGGCGTAGTCCAGTCTGAAGCACCAGACTGTTGATTGTGCGTGTGAGCGATGCGCCGTTGTAGAGCTAAGAAAAGGAGAAGAAAGAAGAGACGTGTATTGAACGGGAAACTCACAATCCATGCATTCTTTAGAGGAACCATGTGGTCAATGTCCAGTTTGGATGCATTCGTGAATGCTGCATTATCGTAAGGGCTGATCCAACTTCCAGAAGTGGGCACACAAGCACTGTTGACTACGACACCCGCACCATCACGCTTCAACACAAACTCGCTGTCATTTTTTTTTTCTGTCAGCTCTTGATTCTTTTATTCGAAATGCTTATTATGTGTTCTTGTTTGACGTACCGAGCATCACAGGTGCCGGAGATGGTGATCCAATGGGGAAACAAAGTACGGTTGTAATCGCTGCCGGAGCCGGGGACGGCGACTATGAGGTTGTCGAGAGCAGCTCTGGCGCCATCATCTGAGGGAATACCGGGCTAGTTATTTTGTATGAGTAAAATTTCTCTTCATGTAGAATAAGTAAGATTGATTTGGATGGGTTGCTACGTACCGGTATAGGCATGGGCATAGGAGCTGGAGCAGCCCAGGCCGTGATGGCGGCGGAGACGGCTATTGTAATAGAGAGTCTCATGGCGGCTGAAATGCGTGATGCTCAAGATGTACGTAGAAGTATAGCTGCCTCTAGACTCTCTCCTTGTTTCTTGGAGTGTATGAAGCGATGCGATGTGATAAATATGCCCAAAGAAATGCAAAAGCCGAGAGAATCAAGCATGAATTTATACCCAGCCCGTCTCCTCTTCTCTCTGCCCCATCCACTTATACCCTACCTCTTATCTGACTGTTCCATTCACGTGTATATACTAATACTACTACTCATATCAGACATGCATGATGGGCCTCGGAGCCATTTCTGGCTTCATCACACACCATGTCTCAGCGCTGTGCGACTCACCAGGAAGTAAGCCGCATGAGATATTATCGGCTGCAAATCACTCTGACTAAGTGCAAGTGATCACCTGCCATATTCACCTGGTAAATGGACTCAGATAGATGAGATGAAATAGCTATTATTGAGCGTGAAATGCGACGAATCCGACCTTGCTATATGTGCCTACCCAGGCATACTCTATCTTGAATTCCTTTTTATCTGCTGGCCTTCTTACCCTGGCCTAGCCTCTCGACCCAATCAGTAGACCGAAAGATGCATACTTTTTAGCTAATCGCAACCAAAGAGGAGAACCCTTGAAAAAGACGCAGATCCAATATCAACCTTCCTGAAGCGGAAATTCCCACTAATATGAGGAATTACAATTTGACAAGCCAACCACCCCACTGCCTGCACAACGTCGTCCCGTTTGTTGTTATGCCCTATAGAGGGCTTGGGATAGATCACAAGATAGTTGGCTAGATGAATTTATCATCATCTTTCCTGTTGTTCATCCAATTTAATGAGTGCCTTGTATCTCCGCTCATAATCTTCTTCTGAGATAATCTTGGCTTGGTACTTTTCCCATAAAAGCCGCTCACCATGCTCAATATCATGCAAAAAGTGCCGCAAGGGGTCGCAGGCATCGATTTTTTGCATGCGCATGTACATGAGCTTGTCCAAGGCCGTCTCGCCATTCTTGTCCGTAGCTTTGATAGATGCGTCAAGTTGGAGAAATTTCTTTGCATGGGCAACTGCTTGAGAGGGTTTGTAAGTCGAAACTGTCTGCAGCCTTTTGACGATCAAATGCAGGAAGCTATTTCCATCAGTGTGGATGTAGCTGCCGTCGAAGTTCTTGAATCGCAAGGCATTGGAAAACCGCTTGAGGTTGGCATCCTGGATGAGGGCCCTTGCGGCAATCTTTTGGGGGGCAGTACTATTCGGAAATTCGCTTTGAAGCATGTCCCAAATCTTATCCTCGCCGTTAAGACAAGTACTGTAGGCAAAATCGATAGAATCTCGAGTGATAAATGGGCTATACGCGAGCATATTGAGTGCAGGTTTTGTATTGCGAAGGCTGCGGTTGGTCACCCACATCCTGAAAACGGGGTTAATCTCTTCAGGTGTGAGCTGAGCGTTTAGTTCCAGAAGGGTTTGGAAGAAAGCCAAGGGTTCACGGCCGAACTTGACGATACAAGCTCCCAGCATAGAGCTTCCAGAAGGAAGAAGCCCGCTGACATCAGCTCCCCGTTCGGTAACGAGTTGTTTGAAGAGCTCTAGGAATCCAGCAGGATTACCTCCGTCTTCTTTTTTCTTGTCCTTGTTGTCCTTCTTTTCGTTTTTTCTCTGTGAAATAACCCAGCAAAGAGCGCCGAGTAGGGAACATCCCTGGTCAGATCTTTCGTTGACGTCGGCTCCATGATCAAGTAAGAGGTTGATGATTGACGATATATCTTTGATCCCATTCTTCCAAGTGATGTACTGGAGATCGTTGGTGAAGCCCATGGCAGCGCAAGTCAATGGCGTCTGCAACACTCTGGCATCTGAATGCCTGCCGACGCCGGCATTGCAGGACTTGACTAGGTAGTGGATGAGTTCCATGTATTCCTTTCGTATTTCCCGCGTTTTTCCCTTGTTGAAGCATGTGATGGCCTGTATCAACGGAGTAGTTCCTACCTCGCTCACTGCTTCAATGTCGCCGCCGTTTGCAATTATGTCTCTGATCAAATTGAAGTTGCTATGGCGCATTGCCATGGACAAAGGGGCCGCTCCTCTTGGAACGGGCGCGTTAACGAGGTTGGAGTATCTTCTGAAATAGGATAGACCAGTAGGATCTCTATACTCTCGGTCTTTCTGAGATGCGAGTATGTGTAGAATATTGATGTTGCCTGCCTCATGGGCAGAGCGCATTCTGCTGGGAACGGGGATGGCAAGTATTGGAGAAGCGCCTTTTCTCAGTAATGCCTGGATAATCTCATCATTCTTCAAGACAAATGGGACGAATAAGGGGCGCCACAGGCTGGAACGAGAAGCAACAGCTACCGTCTGATTGATGTCTTCCATTATCTCATCAAACTTCCCATGGTCAAGAGACGGCTTCATTTTGTAGAGAAATCCCTGTCCGAGAGCGTTGGGATCGGCCCCGTAGTTCAAGAGCTTTTTGACGACGTCTAGGTTGCCGCGAGCAGCAGCCAGATGAAGAGGAGTAGCGTGGAAAGATCGAGGCGCTCCTGAGCCATATGTTTTGTTTAGGTCACCGCCATATCTGATAACAAGGTCCAAGACTGTCATAACATCCTCGTTGTAGACCCCAGCAGGGTCGACCGATGCTGCCCAAAATATAGCGCGTGGACACTCCTCTTTGTTGTCTCTCTTGTACATGATGGGGGTGATTGAGTCTTTAAAGAAAGCAGAAGTTTGAGCCAAGCGTCCAAGGTCACCGATAGATAGGTGTTGGATGACATGGGCCTTGACTTCGATGGGAAGACGAGTAATATGGTCATGATTGGCGATGGTATACAGGGAGAAATCCTCGTTGGCTGCAAAAGCAGCTGCCAAAGAGGCCATTTTGGGCTGCTATTGAAGAAAGGAAGAGGAGAGAAGGAAGAGAGTGCGAGCAGCTGCGAAGAGATGCATTTATAGGCCGTTAGAACCTCGATTATCAGGCAGGAAGATGAATGAGTGAAAGGTCACCGATTCAAGATGCTCAATCACCTGTTGTCAACTGGCAAAGAGAAACGAAATGGGGGGGTTGTTAATCGACACTACAGCTCCCAAAGTTGACACAATCCTAACAGCTGCCAAGGAGCAGAAAGCACCAAGCGTTATTGCAACAATGGCGGTAAACTAGTCCGCAAGATTACCATCGACGACAAAAATGACGTTACCATACTCATGACTGAGTTTGAAACTTTTGAATATGCCCACCTGTCAGTCAAGCACGAGATGAGCGAAAAGATACACCCAATTCTTCAATTAGATACGCCATATAAACCAACCTCCAAGTCGACAGCAGAAGCGAAGGTGAAATGTATTAGGAGACGCTCACCCAACATCCTCGGAGGAAGAAGGTCCCTGATCGGTCCTCATGAGATATATAGTCGGCCAACCCCTATTGCTTTTGTCATAAAGAACCAAGCCTTTTCATCCCTCTACCGAGATGCCTACGACTTGTAATGCAGTGATCTCATAGAGTGTCTAGGCATTTTTTTCTCTCTCGTCTTTTATCCCACAACAACATGCTCCGTCACATAGTGTCCTTTCACGATATACGGCGACGAATCAACTGCTACGTTACCAATTGCCCAGAATGTCAGAAGTCAAACCCCCGACGTGAACTACCTTACGGGGACCTACAACCGATCCCAACTCCTAGATCGCCTCTATCCACAATCTACCCAGACTTCATCACCGGAATAAACGCAGTCCTGCTGATCATTGGTGAATGCACAGAGTTCATCAGATATATCCTTGGCAAAACAACATGGACCGCTAACCAATAGGCCACAGCCCATCTCACATATATACCCGGATTAGGGCCTCTCTTTCGCCTTTGTGCACGACGTAGATCCCAGATTCATGTCCGAGCTCTTGCAATCCCTCTCCTAGGCAGGAGGAGTTCAAATCCATATAAGCGCATCATACCATCAATAAGCAAATGGGCAGAGTAAGAGAACAGCACAGTTGGTCGTCCACGGCCTGCGGATAGTCATCAGCGCAAAATACGACAAACGGAATTGGCCCCAGCTGACTGCCTTGTTAAGCTACAACTGGACTTCTAGATAACAGAATTGGAGCGCTGGACAACTTTTCCCTTGCAATACGAGGCTGTGATTGATCTGAGCCGAGACCGACCACCGAATTGGGGACACAAAAACTCATCGCGCGAAAGCCTATCCGTTTGCTCCGCAGCCGAGATGCAATGAAACATTTTACTTGTCTTAAGGGGAAGCCGGTGTTTGTTTGATGTCACCTGTCAAACATTCCCGAAACAGTGCTCTGTGAAACTTTTTTATTTTATATTCAAGGGTAACGTCGTTGGGATCAGTCGCGTTTTATGCATATATAGATACCGTTGAAAATAAATACATATAAATGAACAGCATCATATGCACGTCTCATATCTTGCCACATGTGGTCGAGATGTTGAGAAAAAATGCAGTTTCATTAATCCGTGTATTGCCTAAATTGTATAATGTTTGCTCCGTTACACCAATCCTTCTGGTATCTAGGTAGCCATCGCCATACTAAAGCCAAAGTCACTACATGTAGGTATTCAGGACTCCCTTTCGTATCGCCTCACATCTTTCATTCGCCATCCGGTTCTTTTTCCTTCTTTTCTCCTGTCCTGTACTTCATCTCACCAAACATGCTGTGCCAGGTGATCCAATGCTACCAACACTTTAATGCTGCCGAGAAGACTAAATCAAAAGCAAAAAGGGCTTGCGAACGAACATACGCCCAAGGTATTATGGCTCCCTTAAAAACTCTCCAGGGTGCAAACTCCTCTTCCTCTTTGTTTGTCCACATTTCCCTACTCATCTTACCCTTTCAAATTCTTAAAATTACTGTTAATCCTAATCTTTCATCGCCGACCTCAATCATGCTCCGACGGCTCATCTTCGCCCTCTTATCCACCCATCTGGCTCTCCCCGTACAAGCCAGCCTCAAAGATCTATCTCACTGCGATCCCCTCAAAAAAGACGCCCGTAATACAACTCGCCCTTTAAGCAAAATATAGCACGTCCATATTTGAACAATAAACTAATTTTACAAACACAGACTGTCCGCCTGATCCCGCACTCGCCAGCAAAATCACCTTTGACTTCACCAAATCCACCTGGGGCGACCAATTCACCTCCTTCTGGACCGTCGACTCTTCCACGTCCCAAGACAAACGCCAACTAATCTTGAACGACACTGATGGAAAAGGCGCCGCATTCACCATCTGGCAGGACGGCCAGGCTCCCACCTTAACCAGCAACAAATACATGCTCTTCGGCAAAGTCAGAGTTCAAGCTCAAGCCGCCAAAGGCCCAGGCCTCATCACCGCCATCGTCCTCAAGTCGGACTCGGGAGACGAAATCGACTGGGTGAGCTTTTTCCCGCTTCAACTATTCACTTCTCTCATCATGAAGCTAAACACCACTACGTAACCAAAGGAACTCCTCGGCGCCTTTGAGAACCAAGCCCAGACAAACTACTTCTTCGACGGCGAGCCCCTATTCAACACCTACAACACAACCTACCGCCTCGACACATCCTCCTTCGCCTCCGCCCACACATACGGCATCGACTGGACCCCGACCTACATCAACTTCTCCATCGACAACGTCGTCCGCAAGTCCTGGCGCATCGGCGACAACGCAATCCCCGCCTACAAGTGGCCCCAGACTCCCATGCAAGTCAAGCTCGGCATCTGGTCCGTGAGCAACGGCAGCGACCCGGGCACCGTCGTCTGGGCCGGCGGGCTGCCCGATTGGAGTGGCCGCGACGCCGAGAAGAATCCCTACAGGGCCTACTTCAAGACGCTCGAGCTGGAGGACTACGCCGGCGGCTGCAACGAGACCCAGAAGGGCGCCGAGATTGAGTACCTGTACAATGAGCGCACAAACGGCTGGCAGAACATCCAAGTCAAGGGCTGTGTCAAGAGGACAACCCCCGGCGCCTATCCTCCTCCTCTGCCGTCTTCGTCCATCGGCTCTCAGCCTTCGCATCCTTCATCTTCTTCTCCTGGCCCTACGGATGCCTCTGGCGCGCCGTCTCAAACAGGCGAGCAGAATCCAAATGAATCCGAGAGCAGCGGAGATGACAGTGACAGTGCTGCGCTGCCAAACGGGAGGCCATCTTCACCCCTTGGCGCCGTGATTTTCTTACTTTGGCTTCTTTCCATTTGAAGTTGGGACGGAAAAGGGGAGGAAGCGATGTCGAATCTTTTTTCACAGATAATGGCGAACGGCATTCCAGAGTAATGAGGAGAATCTCGAATCACACACATCCATAATGATAATGGCCTGGGCACATTTTCGTTCTCTTGTTCTTTAGGCACAGATACTCAGACACGCAGGCTTCTTAAACGCAAAAATAATGACCGCTGTAATCACAGGTGTCGTTGCTCTTGTTATTTTCATAAACAAATGCTCGCTTATGCTTCCAACATTCCTAACGCTTTCTCAACGGATTCTCAAATACAAAGACAATCAAGTGAAATGGAAACTAATAGTACAATATATGCCCTCCCCCCCCTCTTCACTATTAATCAACGAGACTATTTTGAGTAGAAAAGAAGAAGAAAAGTCCCCAGATAGGAGGTATCAAAAATGGCAATGGCCAAAAAACAATTAAAAACACAGAAACGGAATAAGATTGAGGGAGAGGAAGAAAATAAAAGTTCCAGTCCCTCAACGTAGCTCATAGTCTCTCCCCTTTCTTTCTTTCTTTCTTTCTTTCTCCCTCTGCCCAAGTATAATAAGCAGACAAAAGCAATTGATACGTTTCTTTAGCAATCATGTAGCAATGCTTCAAGGACGCAATGTCTCATCGCCTTCCTCTTCGCTGAGATCCATATCGCCGTCGCTAAGCTCGCCTCTGGCCGCTCGTCGAGCCAAATCTCGCTCTTTGTGAATTTCTTTTCTTCTGCTTTCTGATTGCTGAAGAATCTCCACGTACGTTCTAAATTTGACAATCTCCCTCAATAGATATGCGCTCTTACGCTCCCAGTTCGCCATGGCCTTGTTTGCGTTACTGCCCCTAGGCGTAAAAGCAAGTAGCATAGGGCTTCGAAGCTGATTGTGGTTTTGTAAATCATCCTCAATGCTCTTGACATATGTGAATAAAGATTCTAGCTGCTCTGGTTCGGGTAAGTTGCTTGGTCGCATGCTTTGCGTCGGGGGTGCCCATTCAGCTATAGTGATGCGATCTCCAGGAAGTTTACCACGTCCGCCACTCTGGGTAAACGCTCCAGATCCATGGTCCATGCTAGATGAAGGCCGAGTAACACTTGCAACACTCGATTGACGACCATGATTGGCACGGCTGCCTGGGCGTGAGTTTCGGCCGCCACTTAGTATAGAAGCATTATCGTTAGCAGCGCCAATGAGCGAGTTATTAATAATCGCATCGCTCCATCCGTATTCGATGTTGCTTATGCCACCGATCAGCGGATGTGTGCTCAAACGGGAGCTCCAGTAGTTGGCTGTATTCACAAACTCCTTGATAATTTCAGGAGTTCCGACTTGGAAAAGGTGAACAGCGCCAGTGGGCAGGCTCAACGCCCACACATACGGCCTTGATCGTGAGTAACCTGGAGACGGGAGTGCCGATGCGAGGGTCAGTCGCAGGTTAAACGTGCCCAAGCTGACGGCATTATCTTGCCAGTTACCGCCGCCAACTACGACATTGGCCTTTTCTGCATTCCTCGTGCGGCTCTTTTGCCGTGTTGATTTAGGCGCATTGAACGAAAAGAGACTCATCTGGCCCCTTTGGATGACGGCAAAAACTTCGGTCCAGTTTCGCTCCTTTGCCCTCTTACCTACGCCATCCAAGTGATGCTTATGCATCAATCTGCCTTCTTTCATCCATGGAGGACCAGCCAGCTCTAGTGACTCATCATCCAGCAGTTGGGTGGCAGGCACCTCGGCGCTCATAAGGGACATGCTATCGTTGCCGTTTGCATCTTCATCGCGCACAATGGCTTGGCTGAGAGCATTTGCAAACCCAATAGATTGCTGATAATCACCTCGGGGCATTGCTGAACCAAATGAATCCTGGGACATGGAGCCTTGAGTCCGACCCAGAGAGTAGCGGCTCCAAGTCGCCGATGACATTGCCGGGCTCCACAGTGAGTTTGCGTCGTCGAAGCTTGTTCGGCTCGAGTTGAATCCGTTACGTCCAAGTCCTGGTCGTGATCGGCTTTTCGAGGCCCATCGCGAGCCAGGATTGCGGCTGTTGTCGGCAAGTCGGCCTCGCGTCGACATTTGACTCTCAGAGGGCGCCTTGCTGAGAACACTGGGGCTCCTCTTCAGCATACCCATGACAGAAAGACTGCTTTGTGATGGCATGGTATTGAGATGCCTTTCTGGTTCTGCCCCAAACAGTGGCAGCTTGTCGTCTCGGATTGAGTTGTAGATGCTCTTCAGAACAATCTCTATCTGCTCTTCCCAAGCCTTCATCGAACCATAGAAGGCTACCTTGACCAGCGGTCCGCATTCATCGTGGGCGTCTCCACCCTGAGCTTCGCCGCGAGGCTGAGGGCGGAATGAGTTCCGGAAGGACCTCTTATCTTGAGGGTCAATTGACGGCCGCATTCCATCGTGAAGCGCCGAATTCCTGTCTGGTAGAATGCTGGGGCGCTCAAAGGCATCAGGAACAGACTCCTCAACAGCTTGAGTGATTGTTGCCGAGGTATTCTTGACAAATTGGCTGCGAGTCATCTTCTGTTCTATGTCTGCCATGTGTAGATCGGTGTTGAGTAGCATAATTGAATAGCAAATGGTGTGGATGACATCTAAGAAACATTAGAACAACGAAATGTGAAATGGGTGCCCGGTTGATTGGGTGAGAAACTTACCAGTCGCCTTGAAGCCATGGTTGGGATTGCAATCGCACCACCGCTTGGAAAAGGCCACCAGAATTCGATCAACTTGCTGTGTCTCGCCGCGCAGGATCAAACGGCCACACACTTTGCGCAGCGCACCAAGTATACTCAGGTCCGTAAAGTCGTAGAGCTCAATGTACGCCTTCAGAGTCCGCTGACGAATAGGGCCCTCTTCGCCCATCCAAGAAGCAGCCTTCTCCTTGGGGATGAAATCTTCAACTCCGTCGTATATCTGCTGTGCCTTTTGTTGGTCGTCCTCGGTAGGCTCACCAACGACGAATTCGGGCTCGTCTAGATCTCGGTTTTTGAGCAAGTCGAGCGTTCCCAGGCCCTTGGGACTTGACATGCTCGTCCTTTCGATACGAACGCTTGGGTTTCCGCTTGCGCTCGGAGGTCCGCTTGTGCTCGGAGCGGTTTTATAATCTCCATCATCAGTCGATGCCGAAGCGAAGGATGTCGACCGGTGTGCATCTGAGGGAATCGTGACCGTGGGACGAACAGGACCGCCGTTGGGCTTTTCTTGACCGTCAAGATATGACGATTTCTTTGGGCGGATAGTCCCGGTAGAGTCCCTGTTCTTGTTCTCCTTGTCAACTGCCAATGAATTCGTTGCCTTTTGTTTAATAGGGGAGTCGTCGTTGTCGCTGCCGCCGTCGAGATCCAAGAAGGAGTTGTTCCTGTGCTTGAGGCCGTTGCTCGGGCGATGATCCGTGTCGGTGGATGATTTTTCCTGGTCGGAATCAGAATTTTGGACTGCTCTAATCTTTGCATTGGGGCTTCGTACATAATCAGGGGAGAAGTCTCGCTGGAATTCCGGTCTGTCGTCATCGTCATCATCTTCGACCGCCGAAGTCGCCGATCTATTGGTAATATCACCCAGAGGATGCGCCGGCAAAGCACTCTCCTTAAGATATGGATTCATGATCTGTCTCAGGCTGCTAGCAGGACTGGCCGGCCGATCGAAATCGGCAGAAAGGGGAGGAAGAGGGGGCACATCGCCTGGTAGTGGCGGAGCTTCATCAACAATGGACTTCTTGCGTCGACGGAAGAAGGAAGACGGCTTCTTTTGCAGCACAGGTTGTGACTGCGGTACTGGTTGAATGTCTTTGGGGGGAGGGGCCGGGCTGTTGACTGGATTGGTCAAGCGCGGCGCCGGAGCCTCTGCGGGAACAGTGGCAGGCTTAGACGAACCGAACACACGACGGAAGAAACCTGGACGTTCCTTGGGCTGAGAAAGCGGCCCAGAGGGCTGCGAGGTAGCCATCTGCTGTTCTGCTTTGGACTTCCCGTAGCTGACGCTGGGGGCCGGAGCGGCATCAAAGTCGCTTATTGCCATGGCAGGTGCTACCAACTGGTTGTTGACTGGTCGCTTGGTGCGTCCCGAGGAACTCTTGACGGAACGAACCGGGCTGCGACTGCGTTCCACGCTGGAATATTCGGTTGGATGGGATGATGTGTGAGGAATGGCCAAGTTGGACGGCACACGACGTGGTCCTCCGGGAATTGTGGGCGTTGGTGCAGCGCCGTAATCGTCAGACACAGGATGGCTCTGGAAATCTAGGTGGAACGGGGACATCAATGGCTGGGTTTGCATCTGCGGAGGGCCGAAATCAAAGCTCGCCGAGCGCCTGAAGCCACCGCGAGCCGAGCTCGAAGGGCCGGCGATGTTTTGGGGGTAGCCCGCGTCGATGCTGCCGCTGGTACTGATGCTACTCTTGGTGCCGGCTCGAGCCCGAGGATAGTATTCATGCGGCGCAGGCCCTGAATGGGTTCGCTGCGTAAAGTCTCTCGGGCTATTGCTGCTGTTGTTGTTGATGGTAGGAAGGGGTGCCTGGAAGGTCGAGCTGCTGTTGCTCCTTCGCCGGCTTCGGTTTCGGTCGTCGGTCCTGGGGATCTGGACAGAGGTGCGCGTAGAGTCGTCGTCGTAGTCCGAGCTGTAGGAGTAATGGTGTCTGCCGGTAGTGTTGGCCCCCCTCTCGCGTGAGAAGGTGGTATCGTTGGCCCAGGGTCTCGGATCGTCGTATGTCAGCGCCTTGCCGCCAAATAAGCCGCCCGAAGGGGAAGTAGTGGTCTGTCCCAGCGAGAACTGATCGAGGGACAAGAGCATGTTATTCACAAGGGAATCCCGAGTGATGTTGCGGGGCGACAGCGAGAGGTCGTGAGAGTCCCGCAGCGCTCTGGACGCGTGTTGGTCGGCCATCTCGGGTTCAATTGGCGTCGGGTCATCTAAAAACGAAGCATTGACGTTGCGGGTCGCCGTGGCAGTCACCGTCGGGGGCGTGCTGGCCTGATCCCGTAGCTGCTGCGAGTACAACTCTGGCCTTCTGGCGTTTGGATCCGATAAAATGAGTGGCTTGGCCAGAGGGCTAGTGGTGGTTGTATGCGGAACCTCGCTCCTAGGCCGCGACGCAAGGGACGTGACGAGGCTCAATTTGGGCACTGGAGCCCTGCGGTGAGGAAGAGTCGTCTGGTGCCTCTGGTTTGACTGCATTGCTGGGATTTGTGGGGGCTCTCGCACGCCGGCAGAAATGATGGCGCGCTGGATCTGCTCCGCCCCCGTCACTTCGGGGTGGACAGGGGGATGGGGATGAATCGCCGCCCAGGGGTTTGATGAGTTAAAGTGGTCGCACAGGCGATCCGCGAGAGGGCGAGTGAGGGCGGCAGGTCACGGAGCCCGTAAGGGTCGCTGTAGTATGGCGACTAGACGGCTGCTAGCGGCCACGGCGGAGGGATGTGGGAGGGAGAAGAGAGAGCCGGACGAGACGAGACGAGACGAGACGCGAGACGGAAGAGACCAGCGGAGGTTCGTGTTTCATCGCCAGAAAATCAATCAAAGCCAGCAAGGGGTGCCACGAGCAGAGGGATCCGCGCTGCAGGCCAGGCGCTGCAACGGCTCCCGTGCCCACTGAGCGGCCTGCCCAAGTGGGCTTTTGCCTGCTGTAAATTTGGCCCATCAGCGCGGTTGGCACATGAAACGCTGGATATGCAGTGGTCCACCCTTTCTGACAGCTGCAGTTGGCTGGCCGCACGTGTCTCAGTCTGCAGCAGCCCCGGAGAGGCAAGCGAGGGATTGCGATGTGCAGGCTGAGACCAGAATAAGACAGGCGGGCAGGGGAGGCAATTAGACAATTGTCACGATGTTCGTACATGAGTAGAATGACGGCTCTAGTGAAAAAGAGTGCCTGTACCTGCAGCCAGTGGTATTGACAGCGCCTTACAGTACAACACACTACTAGCAGAGAGCCTAAGAGCGGCTAGGAGAATTATCACATGCGCCGGCTGTTTGTAGCGCATACTTCACAGCACCAACAGAATGGAGAAAACAGAAAATTCAAAGAAAATCACAAGCTGCGTCGTTGGGCGAAATGGATCTTAATTGGCGGCTACGGTGAGGCTGGGATGGCTCATTTCCCTTTGCCGCCATTGGCTAACCCCTTTTTTTCTCAACATGCCGTCTTCTCGCTAGGATAACGAGGCGCTTGCTAGGATCATTTAAAGATCACATCACTAACTAAAAAGAAAGTGTGTGCAGGACAATTAAACGATGCAGCACACACCTCGTCTAAGCACCAGCCTACCCGGGAAACAACGCAAAATCTGCATATTGCCAATGAGAGACATTTGTTGGATGGCAAAGCGCGCTACATTATCGCAGATTGATTGAAGCCGGCTAAATAGTCTTCACATACACAAAAGTAGAGGCTCTGACAGGCATATGCCTGACGCTTCAAGTACAACATGGCATGTCCTAGGCAGTGGTACGAGCGAAGGATCAAAGTCATCATTTTATGGGCCGCCTCAAGACTATTGACAACGGTAGCACGCGGCTAGCATCTCCGGAGACCAGGGAGCCATATGGCAATTAAACAAAGAAAAAAAGGAACCTGGCCGAATCTCTCCGCGGATACTAGCCTGGAACTATTCTTGTGCGCTCGGACGATTTTCCAGAAGCGTTCATGTTGTTTCTAGAAGCAATGAGGGCCGAGCTCCAGCATCGTTTACTTTGACCCTCGCCTTCTTTGTTCTCCATCTCATACGGAATTTGGAAAATTGCATCGTACTGATTTACAGATAGACAAAGCTAACATTAACCAGTATATGCGCAAAATAGGACAATGTGATTATTTTACATATACATATTACCGATTGACCGATTGCAGGGTTCATTGTCTAATCCTATTCAGGACTATCTTCTTAGAATCTCTGAATCCTGACAACTCTCCACGTATAAGCATGTAGCGAGTAGCGTGAGGAGTTGAATTCACCAGTGCTTCTTTCTCTAAAGGATGTGCTCGATTCATGAGCCTCCAAAAGATATCAAGAAGTCGTTCTCATCTGTCAAATCTAAGCATGTCCGGAGAAGCCTTCTAGTTCCCGCAAAGATGGCGTTGAAGATCTAGCGGAGCGTTTGCCCCATTAATCTGCAATGACTAACTTCATGAAGCCAAATCAGCGCGATCCCTCCATCAGCAAATGGGCGGATGGTTTAGTGGTATAATTTTCCCTTAGCATAATGCAACCTTCGAGTGGCATAACCGCATGGGAAAGGTCCGGGGTTCGATTCCCCGTTCGTCCATCGTTGTATTTTTTGCTTTTTGTTTTCAATCTTGCAATCCATCATCATCAGCTTGCCAAACAGAGTCTATTTTTGCTGTCTGGGTTATTCATTCAGTCATCAGTGGTATCTGCTCCTGCTACTGAATTGAGTCGTTTCCGCATCAATTCGGCTGGAGTATCATTCCTTTCCAATCACCAACTCTCAATAATCCTTATCCCGGTATGAACAAAACTTCCTCTCTTCAAATGATACCAGCAATTATAGCCATTGCCGCCCCATAAACTCCCACGCAAAGCAACCAATCCGTCATACTGCGAGTCTCCGCCACAGACCTAAGCAGTCCAGACTGAAACAACGCAGCAGCACTCCCAAGACCCACCAGGAAGACGACCGTCATACGGCCGACAAAACCAGGGATCACGGCGAAGCTGACTATTGGCGCAAGCACGATTACGGCTAGAGCTATAGCAAGGCGATTCAGAGCCAGCTTTGAATTGCCTTCTGCCGGATGGATCGAGCTGCTGGCGTTGGAGATTTGACTGCTAGGCGGAGGAGAAAACCCAAGCACGCTGGCGAATTGAGATATCGGGCTGGCCGGTTCGTCTGGAGGATTGCCGTTCGGCCGCCGTTTGCGCCGTCCCAGATGGACGAGGTCGCCTGCAAAGTCTAGGTACTGGGACTCACCCTCTACTATAGGATTGAAATCTCTGAGGTAAGATTGATAGGCGAGGACTTCTTGAAGGTTTGGCTCTGGTAAGCCGTAAGTAGCGTTGAATGAGGTGATGACCTGATCTGTTTCGATATTAGACGTAGCCCAAGTGTCATTCATATAAGCGAGGCATTACACACTATATTGGTATAGTTTTCCAGCAATGTTTTTGATCAGCTCCTTCCTCCTCCAGATAGTGTCCGTTGAGCTATTGCTCTCTAGTCGCCGGGATGCTGGGTGTATCCCTCCATGGTGTTTCCGGAGCTGGGTATCTGCTGCATCAAGATTGCGTAGCTGTTCTTCCATCTCCATGAGCTCATCTTGCATCGATAGCAGTAGCCGGTGATGGAGGCCTTCGAATCGACGATATATGGGTGCAAGTTTCTTTCCCGTCATGTTACCCGTCAACCTTGCTACCAAGAGTTCATAACCGCTAAGTGGCAGCCCAGGAACTTGGTAATTCGGCATTGGGAGCTGTGGAGGGAACGAAGCTTGCATAGGCGATGGTAGAAATACCGGCTGCGGCGGATCTGGAGCAGGAAATGGAATACCTTGAGGGCCATATCCTCCGTTATGGAAATTTCCGGAGAAGGGTTGATGCGGTTGGCCTTGAGTGTTGATGGGGTTAAAATTGGGCATTTCAGGAGGCATCGGGGGTCTCCCATTGAATGAATGACGGTAGCCTGGGACTTATACAATGTCAGCTCTAAAAGTAGGATGAGAAGTATAAGAAAATAAAGATAGCATACTTCTAATTGGGTCTTCAGGGCTCTGTCCCGGATGGTCCAAATGGTTTGATGATTGCCTGGGGCTGGCGTGGCTTTTTGAGCTTAAGCGTCTACGGTGATCAATTCTTGGCTTCTCCTTGACATGAACTGTCTCGCTTGCTTCTTCTGGATGAGCGTTGGACAACCCCCCCTCTCTGTTACCTTTTGCCGATGATGACGATGATGCTTCTATAGGTGTAGCCGGAGGTTGATGGTTATTTGCTTGGGGCTGAGAAGTCTGATGCGAGTAACTATTTTCTGACGATTTGCTCTCATCAGGCGGCGGATATTTCGAAGCGGTATCCGATGTAGGTCATCTACTTGGTAGTGGCGATGCAGTAAAGGGTGAGCTGGAGGCTCTCAGACGTCCAGCTGAATGTGGATTCTCGTCAATGCTGACATGCCGAGAGTGCGTAGCTACTCCTTTCCCTTTATCCGCCTTGGACGAATCCGAGGGCCCTGGTTCTGCCTCAGCGGACATGCTGATTATTTTTTGAGATTATGGTATAGTCACTTATACGGTTGATGGTTTCTCTGTCGCAATAAGCTGTGGCAATTTTGCCTTGCGATCGCGCGGGGAACAGGTGCAAGCGATTGATTTAATTCTCAGCCGGAAACCGCATTCCGGAGTGCTGTGAAGGATTCAAAAGACCAAATTGAGTCAATCAGATCGCTGCTGGTACTTCTCGAGAAGTTGTACTGCGACTATTTACTTTCCAGGCAACGAGAGCCGGGTTGACTATTCCGATGCTCAGCTGTGGTGAGCCGTTCCCACTTGAGGATATCCGAGGATTGCGGGAACACAGACGAAGCTCTTGCGAGAACAAGATCATCAAAAGACATTCCCTTTGCTGTCTAATTAAATCGGACAGTGGCGGCTAAAATGGTACTCTTATAGAGCTAATACCTGTCTAGTACCAGTGGCATTGAATAATGAGGTCACCGTGCTGTGACATGTTATGAAGGGCGATGGTGACCAACACCAAGTAAGAGGAATCAGAAAAAAATATTCCTTTTCGTCGGGGGCCAGGCTCTGTAAAATAGTCATATGTGGCCCTGCTAGGCCCGATCATGCGTACGATAGTATTCGCACACTTGTGTCAGCCCGGCCCAGGATTGGCTGCCTCGGATTCAGGGTGGTATGGCAAGAAGGCGCATGGCCTAGGGGAAAGCCTTGAGAGAGAGGCCAATAGTTTCTCCTCTTGTGGCTGACGCAACGCAAATCGGTGCCCGCGAGGGAATCCTTGCATCTTCTGCTGCAGAGAAGCTCAGTTTACAAGGCAAACCACCGGCGTTGTGGAACAGGACCTCTGCGGGCTTTCGGTGACTATTCGCTGGCTAATGAGCGGGGTGACAGGCTGTCAGTGGCTTAGACGAGGGGATATGTGGTGTTTTCTTGTCATTCTCTTTTTGGTCTCATATTTGTAATGATATCCAGCAGGTAAAGATGATAAGTGATGAAGTCCACCTAATTACCATGTCAACTTGTACGTGATTGATTGAGTTGATGGCTGAGGCTGCAAGTGGGTTCCCGACCTGTCGGGTTTTCTAGCGGGCCGGCGCGCAAAAGTGACCGCTGCATGCCATCTCTGATCTGACTGCACGAGCTCCACCTAATCATTGGTTTTTGATAGAGCGACATCTTCGACGTGGCCGCGCTCAGCTTCGGCGTCTGCACCACATCGTGTCAATTCTGAAGAGACTGACGTGGCACTACACCACAGCAGAGGGCAGAGCAAACTACGCCAATTGCGGCACGCCTAGGACCGGCAAAGTGCATCGGGCTCGCATCATTCTCCCGGTTGGCTGGCTAGGCGACGACAAGATACCTCTCGGGCTGCCGGGCCGCAGCTCACGATCCAAACGCCATTTCCACTGATCTGTCACTTGATGAGACTTGCTTGTCTTGTCTTTTAGTTATAGTGTGCTCTTATTCAGAGCTATTCACGACGTCGATACCAATCTTACCGCAGTATCGTTCATCGAATTTGAAGGCAGAATGAGCCGCAGATCTGCTAGTGAGCTCAGCAGATATCTGCTTGAGGGTCATCTATCACACCGGGGATGTATCAATGGCCAGCGACTATCTTCACGGACAGTGCCTATCTGGTCGTCACTACGCCATCCCTATGCTCTTCGGCACTTACACACCAAAACTGAGCCGGCCGTAGCAGGAGTACCACAACCAGCTCATGTACCCTTGCGGAAGCAACTGAAGGAGCAGGCGAAGCAAGCAAAAAAGCAAGGCAAAAAGAAATCCAAGGGCGATTCACAGACCGTGGATGGTTGGGAACTGACTGTCGGTATTGAAATCCATGCCCAGCTCAACACCTCCCGCAAGCTGTTTTCACCAGCTACGACCTCGTTCAATGATGAGCCAAACAGCCACGTGGCGTTGTTTGATGTTGCAATGCCAGGCAGTCAGCCCTTGTTTCAAAAGGAGACACTGATTCCGGCTCTTCGGGCAGCACTGGCCCTTAATTGCGAGATACAACCTGTCAGCCGGTTTGACAGGAAGCATTACTTTTGGTGGGACCAGCCCTCGGGCTACCAGATTACGCAATTCTACGAACCGTTTGCCAAGCAAGGACACATTACGCTACTTGCTCGCGACGGCATCTCTGCCGAGGATGGAGAGAGTGTCACTGTCGGAATCAAGCAGGTCCAGCTCGAGCAAGACACGGCCAAGACCCTTGCACAGACGGGGAGCGTCCACTGGCTAGATTTCAACCGTGTTGGTGTACCCTTGATCGAGATAATCACCGAGCCGGAGATGCATCACCCGCGCACGGCTGCTGTGCTTGTGCGCAAGATTCAGCTTCTCCTCAACACAGTTGACTCTTGTGTGTCTGGTATGGAGACGGGCGGACTTCGAGCTGATGTGAACGTGTCTGTTCGAAGGACTGACGATCCGAGCAAAACGCTTGGCACCCGCACCGAGATTAAAAACTTGAGCACCATCAAGGCAGTGGAAGATGCCATCATCGCCGAGCGTGATCGTCAGATTCGAGAACTGGAAGCAGGCAACGTGATTGCTGGGGAAACGCGTGGCTGGACCATTGGATCCAAAGAAACACGTCGTCTGCGTGGTAAAGAGGGCGAGGTTGATTATCGTTATATGCCCGACCCTGACTTGCCGCCTCTTGTAATTGGAAATGACCTTGTGCAAAGCCTTCGGCAGACGCTCGCTGTCCTGCCAGATACTGAGCTCGACAAGCTGGTTATGCATTACGGCCTCACACCCAAGGATGCTCTTTCACTCATCACACTCGACAATGGGTCGCGCGTGCAGTATTTCTACCGAGTCCTCGCTTTGTTGGAGGCTAAGCTGCGAGCTGATGCAGATCTTCCGGAGCTTCCCGACGTCGCTTCCTATTCGACTCTGGCGGCTAACTGGATTCTTCACGAGCTCGGCCGTCTGACAACATACAAAGCCGGGCCACTAGCGTCAGGGGATCTTTCATTTACACAGCTAGGAGAGTGTGCCCAAGTGCCAGACGAGGACTTGTCGCATCTCCTCTATCACCTCTACCGCAAGCACGTCACCGGCAAAGTCGCAAAGGAGCTCCTCATTGCGGTATACTTGAAGGAACTTGAGGGAGGCATTCTGGAGGCCATCAATGCCAACGATCTCTGGTTCAAGGAGATATCCAAGGAAGAGTACAATACTCTTGCTGCATCGGCTGCCGAGGGCGAAGACAAGGTGCTAGAGGAATTTGCTGACGAGCAAAAGTATCCTCAAGGCAAGCTAATGTATCTAGTCGGCAAGATGATGCGCCTCGGCCCCACGGAGAGAATCGATCCCGCTACGGCTGAGAGCTCGATGAGGTTGTGGATCGAAAGATTTCATGGTAGGCAATGAAAGGGATTCTTTCTTCTATCAGCAGGAAAGAGACAGGAAAAAAGAAGTACAATCACATAGCAGATATGAAATAGATTTCTAGAATACGGATACTTTTACCAGTGTTAGACTTGGACAAGCGTTATGTTTCTGCAAGTAAACAGGCTTATTTTCGTTGGAACCATTCCCTCAGAGCTCGTGTCAATGATGCACTCGATTCCAGCCATCCGCCAACCTCACCCCACAAAAAAAACCAATCGATCAATCGCTAAATACACGAAGATCAAAAGCTGGGGAATAAAACAAAGAAGTACAACTCTTACATCAGAGGTCTCAAATCTGGTTGGGGTAAAAACACGTTACAAAGGGGCACCGCATCGCATCTGCGTCATCATTGCGCTGCTCTTCAGGTGGAGGTAGCTGGTGGCGATGACATCACGACCAGTGCCACCACCCAAAGCTCCCAGCAAGCAAGCAAAGTACTTTCACAGTGCTTCGAGGCTCTGAAATGTAGCGAATGCTGGTAACTTTAAAAATACAGTTTTCTTCCCCGTTCCATCTTCTCTGCAAACCATTTTCGCCTCTCTTCTCTTTCAATCAATCAATCCATCAAAATCAGCCAATTTGACAAAACTATTCAGCTCCTACAAGCTTTATAAACCACACAACACACAAACATTCACAATGTCTTTCCTCACTCGCACCATCAACGCAAGCAGGACTGCCGCCATTGCGACACCTGCATCGCGTATTGCCGTGGCCCGATCGTCGCGGACGTTTACCACCTCGCTCGCTGCTCAAAAGACGGCCTCCGAGACGGTTAAGGATGAGCTCAAGCACATTGACAGAGTTGTGAGCGACAAGCTTGTGGATGGAATCAACCTTGCCTGTATGTCAGACCTTTAATCTCATCTCTTCTTTATTTCCTCACAACTGCATATATCAGTGTGCTATTGGCTAACTAATTGCAACAGCCGCCGCATCACATAAAGTCAGAGAAACAGCCGAAGACCTGTCCAACAGCGGTGTCGCCGAGCAGGTCGAAGGTGAAGCCGCTCACGCCAAAGGCAAGGCACAGGAGATGAAAGGTCGCGCCCAGGGCAAGATGTCAGAAATGTCAGGCAAGGCTCAAGAGATGAAGGGCAAAGCAAAGGGAGCTGCTGCAGAGACAAAGGGAAAAGCCAAGGAAAGTTTGGAAGAGATGCAGAGCAATTTGTTTGAGTAATGAGAACTAACCGACGGGGAATATAATAGGGTTTGTGAGATTGTTACGATGACACAGAACCATTCGATATGGCGAATGGAAAAGGTGGGAAGCAATCATTATCATTTGTATAATTAAGCGCGAGTTATGAGATTGTCTCATTGTAAATTATCATTAAATGAAAGTTACGAAATATGAACAAACTGCTCAGGGTATAATGGATATACACGGCCTGTTCTTCTTAGCCTACGTCGAAACAATCTTTTTTTGGTCTCAATTCGTTTCCTAAATATGTCCCACTGCCATTACGCATTACCATCATTGCCAATTTCCCAAGGGTCAAAAGCCGAAACGAGGCAAGCGGGTATCAAAAGCGAGGGCATAACCAGTCCGCAGATAAAGTCGACCAATATCCAATTCAGCATACATCAACCATAGTAATTCACTCTGTGTTTTTTCCGATTCTCCAGAGAATCATTCGTGTAAAATCGTAAAAAGCAGCCTGAGTAATGCCGTAAATGCTAGAACTCAATAGCATACTCCGAGGCGAACCAGTCGTCTTGGATTTTTTTTTTCCCTTTTGTTTCTTGCAATTAAACCTGGGCCCTCGCCGCCTTCTCCCTTTTGACTGAGGGATATGGAATCTCTCCAAGCGGAAAGGTGACAAAGGTCGTGTCCTTGAGCATGAGACCAGCAGCACCAGCGTAGAATGCAAACATGGCGCAGAAGACGGCAAAGGCACCACCAGCACGGTTCAAGCGGATCGCCGCCGTAAGATGCTCGGTCGAGACGAACTGTGCGATGCTGAGGAAGAAGAAAGCGAGTGCAAGCAGGCCAAGCACCATCAAAATCGTAAAGTTGGTCTTGAGCGCCGCAACGAAGAAGATGATGGTGAGGAAGCACCATATAATGAGGAAAATGCCGACAGCAAAGCTAAAGGCGCGTTGGTCTCCATTATATGCGGCCTGAATGCCCAACGTAGGGACCAAAAACATGGCAAAGGCAAGCCAGAAAGCCCCGTATGAGCAGTGGAGGGTGCAACCAAAAGTATTTCCAAGCACGAATTCCATGACACCAGCAACAAACTGGGCCATGCCTCCGAAGAATACGGCAACGCCAAAGACGGCCTGGTCAGGACCAACAGTACCCAAAGGGTTGGAGTTGGGAAGACTTTCTCTTGCGTTAGCAAATACTTCATGGAGAGAGATGGTTTCAAGTAAGCTTACCCAGCACCACACTGGTAAAGCCCGAGAACGAATGTAGTCAAAGCGAAGCCAATCAGGCCAAGAGGTCCTGGGTTACCAATCTTTCCCAAAGTAGGCTGATAGACCTGGGAAACCATGGCCTGGTGAGGTCGACCTTGAAAATTTGGGTCTTGGGCGTTGCCAAACGGAATATATTGGTAATTCGGATACTGTGACATCCCAGCGGGATTGCCTTGATTCTGAGCATGATGCCCGTTGGTTGGCGGCGGTGCCTCACTCTCTTTGTTATACCCTTGAGCAGGGTCTGCACCGACAGCAGGACCAGACATTCTGAATAAGTCTCTCTTTCAGTCTTTTTTCACAACGTAGTTTCTCAGCTAAAGCCTTGTAGTAGGACACTGCCTTTTTAATGGGAACAGCTGTGAGGTGTGGTAGGCAAGAGTTGAGAGCAAGAGATGGCGTTTCTGAGTTGACAGCTTGTTTATATACACAACTCGTGCCGTGTCCATTGTTTCTGCGCCATTGGAGCTCCCCCCCATACCGGCCTTGCCTCTTCTAAACTATTTCCGTTGCCCCGAATAGCTCGAATGTTTATTGGAGTTGTGATGGAGCTTCCCCCCTCCCCGCAAAGCCCTTTGGGTAAAAAACGTGCCAAGGTCGCAGAGCTTGTCTAGCTAAGAAGAGAGTAGATTGACTCCTGGATGCAGCCATCACAGACCAAACCCCAAGCGGGGGGTGGATCAGGATACATTGTATTTCTGCGTTGGGCTATATCTTACTACCCCGTTGGGATGGCTTGACGGGTCGGATATAGAGCAACAGCGATGTTCCTCATCGCCGACAGAACGAGGCTCGAAGCTATCTCAGTGGCTCAGTATCGAAGCATCGTGTGACTCGACCCCGGACTAGAGGCCGGAACTCTCGGGACACGGTCGAGGGGCGATAGTAGCGAGGGGCGTTGATTCGCAGGAATGTCGATGCTTTGGGACGGTCGCTTGACGGTCGCTTAAGCGGTTGGCGGGTGGGAGGAGCAAATCGAGCAATTAGCATTGCAGCTTCCAGAGCTCCACCAGAGCTTCGGCAAATCAATGTGAAGCTGTGGCAGATTTAGTCTTGGAGCTAAGAGGTCGACTGTTGGAGAGCCAGTCTTGGAGGCTCGTGGCGTCAATGGCCATTCGTGGGCCTTTTCTCTGATCCTGGGGCCCCGCCATGAGCCGTCATCGTCTGCCGGCAGAGCAGGGATGGATGCTGTTTGATCTCACCATGATGTTCGCCTTGAAGAGCAATTGGCATGCCGCAGCAACTTGCCCCGAAGCCTGATCGAAGCCTGCCCGTGTCTCAGAGGTATGACGGGCTTGGACGAGGCTTTGCGATCGTCCGCTTGCTGCAGCCAGAAGCGTTGCCAAACAAGTTTTGCCCTGCAGATTGGAGATGCTTCAGCTTTCCCTTCTCGGCGATGCGTGTGGGGAAGAGCCCAGAGCCGTGACAGCAGAAATGCCGGCAGCCGTCAGAGCGGTTTAGTGGCGATGCTAGCTCCAAAAGCTTGAAGCATCGACGCTGAGTCTGGAGTCCATCTCACGCACAAGTCGGGCAAATGCCCGCAGATAGACCGACACAGCACAGCAGTTCTGGTGGCCGGCGCAATGGAGGTGGCAGGTCTCGGCATAAATCAGCGGCCGATGGTACGCGGGCGGTGGCAGGACGGAAGCTTGTTTTGGTTTATTCTATTCGATAAATCAATTAAACCAATTAATGAAAAAGAAACAGAGTTGGAAACTAATTGCGCCCGCTGCTCAATGGCAGAAGCCAATTCACCAGCCCTCCCCAAATGGGGAAGAGCACTGGCTTTCCTCAGCTGTTCCTGGTCTGCAGGCAGCCTATCCCCTATGACCGGTACCTTTTACCCCAAGATAAAAAAAACTTGGAGGCAAGTGCGTAAATACACGTAAAGGAGAAGGAAAGGGATAGGAGGGAAAAAGGAGGCGCCAATAGAGTTGCTGTCCTAAGAAGACGGTGGTGAGATGGATGGCTTCTTTTCTTGAAAAAGCTTAGTCTGAATAAGACGACATGGCATAAATTGCTGTTTTGGTGTCAGCCGGCTGGTGACACGGCTCGGGTACCTGCTTGTTCGTATTGGCACAACAATGGGGATATCTCATGGTTCAAATAAACGTTCAAACAAAGAAGTCTTCAACGCAATGATTTAAATATATATATCATTTACTACTATATACGCTGTACTATACTCTAGCGATCAATGTAACAGTGCTGTCATTTCCTTGTATATATCTTGGTGGCTGGCATAAGTGAACCCGCAGAGGCAGGACACTCTCCAGCAAAACGGCAAACAAAATATAGGTAGCAAACAAATCAGTTACGATAGATAATGCCCTTTTTATCTTTTCTGCACTCTAGATTACGTATGGAATATCAATACACGTTAATCAAACCCTTTTACAAATCGTCAATCGCCTCCAATAGCCTCCCTTTTGGTCATCTTCACATGCATGCGTAAAGCAGCTTATCGAACGCTCTCTTTCGTATTATAGCAAAAGACCGCTCCCATTTTTTTGCAATTAGACTCCGAAACTCGACATCCCAAGTATTCACTGTAGCTTCCAATCCCCTCGGCAACCGTCATGCTAGCAGCCCTGATTCGGAGTGCTGCCGGCTGCCAGCTGCCGCCGCTGTCACTCCCAGATGCCCCCATTCAACTCCCATCTTTGCAAACGCACAAAAACAAATAAAGCGAAAAAAAAGCAAACAAAACAAATTCAGAGACGCGTTTTACTGATCTTATTGCCAAGTGGAATAGTGGGGCCGCATTTATTTACGCTCGTCCTGTATCCCCTTCCTTCTCCTTCCTTCTTCTCCTTCTTCATCGTCATCACACAGTCACCTCTGCGATCCAAGCAACGCATACAATATTCAAGGTACGGAATCCCTTTCATTATACTACATCTGATGCATCATGTTCTATGATACGATGGCATTCTTGATTCCCTATCAGCAATATCTTCCTCTTTGCTGTTCAGCATCACAACCTCCAACTCCTGCAGATCCCGCTTAGCCACCATCACGCTGTTTTCCCGACATCGCTAATCAATTTATTCTAGATTGTCTATCAGTATCATACAACTCTTATCCCGCAAGCATCTTCCATCTAGTCATTCAACGCTATCACAATGGCTGGCCCCAAGATGACCATGGCTCTCGCAAGCCTCCTCCTGTCTGGCGCGTTTGCCATCACTCCCTACTGTGAGTGTTTCTCAAAAACTGCAGAAATCCTCAATTCATCAAATCATCGCCGTCTAACTGATTCCTTCCTAGCGGACTGCCAGTCGACTGTTACTGCTGAGCCTCAGCAGATTGGCTCCACCACTTCCAACGGTTCGTCTCCCCCTCTCTCCCTGATGTGGATTTATCAAATCATTAACGCTGTCTAGGCATCCTCATGTACTCCATGAATTACTGCACTGTCGTCGAGAGTACCCAGTGCCACGTGTCTCTGGCTACCGCTACCACTGCTGTTGCCCCTGAGACTCCTTCTGCCGGCTATTCTGCTCCTGCCATCGAGTCGACCATTGAGGCTGCGTCCGCTACTCAAGTGGTTGAGGCGACAATTGTTCCCGGCGAGCCTGTCCCAACCACGGTCATGGCTGAGGTCTCCTCTGGTGCTCCTCAGTCCACCGGTGAGACGGCTGCCACTGTCATTTCGACCACTGATAGCCTTGGCAACCCAACTCTCCAGACCAGCTCTATTCTCGTTGCTACTGAATCTGCTGTTACCACTAGTGGCACCTTCTTAGCCTCGAGCTCTGCATCGAGCTCTGCTTCGGGTTCTACCACGGGCAAGCAGCAGACCAACTCGACTGCTACCTCCTCCCACGATAGCCCCTCTGGCAGCATGACTGCTCCTTCTGCCCCGGATCGCACCAGCGCCGGAGCGGCCATCAAGGCAATCTCCAGTGTTGCCCTTGGAACCGCGGTCATGATCATGGCTTATTTCATCTAATTAGTCATCTAGATAGTGCTGCATATAGTTCTCAGGACTTTCAGTTAGCACCGACATCTGCATGTTTCGATGAGGTTGATATTTAGGACAGGTTAAGAGGCCACATACCTGGATTTGATTTGTACGTTTGGGAAATCTCATGACATCGCCCCTTGATAGGCAAATAGGCATACAGTTGCTTTAATTCTTTCATTTGTACATTAAAAGTACATACGGCAATAAGATAAAATGGACACCTACATATGAGGAAAAACTACTTGTGCTCTAATCCGGGTGCATAAGAATGTATCAGATACTAACTAAATCTAACATACCTAGGTACTGTCGCAATGGGCTATGAAAAAAAATCCCCGGATATATAAAACGATAACGCCCAATATACGCATCATAATTATCTACGCTTCAGCTGGATGGCAAATTGGACAACCTCCTCTCACCCTGTCTCTCAACAGCCTTGCCTTCATAACTTTCATTGCGACTGAATATCGCCCACCTTCTTCCGGTCCAGGCCCCAGATCAACGTCGACCCTCTTGCCATTATGCAACATCTCGAGCAGATGGCTCACGTGGAATGCGTGTCCGCACACGAATCCCATCAAAGCCTCCATCTCATATTCGGTGAATGTTTCGAGGCACTTCGCGCACTGGCCAGGTTTTGGTGCCGTATCCTCCTCGCCTTCTTTCTTCTCCTTCTCCTTCTCTGCAGCATCTTCTTCCGCCACGACTTCAAATTTGATGCCCTTGCGCTGCCCTGTTCGAAGCTCGTTTTGAGCCGTCGCGACTTCACTTCGTAATACCGTTGCTACTCCCCAGCTAATGCTGTGCTGTAGCTCATGCTCCTTCATCATATGAATGAGCCCTTCTCTTAGGCCTTGGATCTCAAGACCCTCGGGAATTCGCCGGACCAATGTTATTGGATTTATGGTTGTGCCAACTTGCTCCAGAAGGGCTCGAATGAAACTAGGTTTGTCCATACTATAATTAAGTAGGTCTTCCCACAAGTCAGGATCGTCCTGCTCTTTCGCGAAGTCGATTGCTTTGTTGACATCGTTTAATCGGTCAATGATGAGATACAGCGCGCGCTTCATTTGCCCTGTTTTGGAATACAGATATACTAATTCGTCATAGTATGAACATTGCTCACACTCTTGGACGGCCTAGATACGAGGACGAGCTGTGTAAGCAAGTATCAAGAGAGAGGGAGAGGAGAGGGTCCAATCAATCTTACCTTTTCAAATCCGTATGAGGTCGAAGTCTTTAGAAATTCCATAAGAAGTGGTCTGTCAAACGTGGCAAACAGGCGAACTGCCAAATCTGCAAAGTTATCCACCAGGGACTGGCTGTCCATGACGAGTCGTTCGAGGTTTTCGCCAGTGTGCTCCGCGATTCCTTGGCCTTTCCACAGCCCGCGCATGTAGAAGAATAGATAGAGCTGCAGATTTCTTGCTTGCAGCTGCTCAATGACTACCTCTGGTCGTACAAGGCCGTGCTGAGCCTCATCAACAAGCAGAGTAATCGCTTCGCTGGTTGCCGCAACGAGATCAGGTTCAGTCATATGCTTGAGCCGTTCAGGAGAAACTCGTAGTCCGATGAATGCAGGAATATCGTCGACTACGGCGTCTGCGAGATGGAAATCGCCTATCAAGCGGAATGCCGAGTCGGCATCCTGAAGTCTAATATAGCACTTGAGTGCATCGCGATGGCGACCACCAGCTTCGTAAAGCTTAGCTAAGCCTTCTACGACGATTTTCCAGTCTCTGCCCGTTTCGCCATCTTCAACACTATTTTCACGAACATCGCGATACTTGAGTTGATTTTCAAGCGTCGTTGTGATCGCAGGTATATCAAAGAGGTCGGTTGACCAGATATCTAGCAGCTCTCGGAACCGAGGCTTGTTGTTCTGTATATAATGCCCCAAAAGCACCTCATATATGGTCGTCGGTATCGGCGGCTTCATCGGCTTTGTTGGCATGTGCTTGGTAATTTCGTCAAACTTATTGGCGCCTGCAAAAGTCCACACCCACTTTTCCCAACGATCAGGAGTCGTGAGAACCTTGCCACAGATTTGGCCGGCCAATTCCCAGTCGCCATCGTCAATCACTTCCCGGATCCACAGCTCACCAACTCTTCTCTTCTCCTTTTCCACAGCAGAATACACATTCCTCTGGATGGTGTCTGCCACAGATTCATCGTCGAAAAAGTCGTCAGCCCCGCCTTGGTATTTGGACGGCGTAGCAGGCGCCGCTGGATCTACGACGCCATCAAGTGACTCCGCCAAAATCTCAGGGTTCTCGTCAAGAAGTTCCCATGCTTGTTGGTACTGCTCACGTTCCACTAGCCATGTGAGGTGATCAGAAAGATCTCGTTTGGTAGCCAAGATGCTGTCGTAAGGACTATGGATGAATATTTTCACTCCTGGCTTGGAGAGTGCAGGGTGTACCGTTGGCACTCTAGCTCTAATATAGCTTGACCGGATGGTCCCTGCTATACTTCCGGCTTTTGATGCGCCATCTTCACTCTCCCTACTCAAGATACTGGCTCCTGAGCTGAAGAGTGATTTCGGGTTAATCGCAACATTCCACATCTCTGATCCAATACCGGCAAGTGCTTCTAATGCGCCCTTTGTTGAGGCCACTACTGAAGCAGCATTTTGCGCAGGTAGGAGACACATATGGTAGTCAGCAGCAGATAGCCTATCAACACGATTGATAGTGAGAGTGTGTCGATCTACTTCAGCTTGAGATTTGAGATCGATTAGCCTCAGCTCTGGAGGTAGGGCATTTAAGCGCCGTTGGCCATGATGTTGCTCGTTTTCCGCAGACGACGTAGAATTCTTAGACTTGTGCTTCTTGGGTGAATCCCGCGCATGAGATGGAGCAGAAGTGTCATCCTCTGCAGCATCATCTTCATCCTCTGGAGAGCAGTATGCTAATACCAGCAGCTGATTCTGAGCATATAGGGAAATTCCAGAGATGATACAGTCTATGTGAAGGCTAGGTAACTGTCAGTACTATACCAAATGGCGACTTTATCAAATAATGAAGAGAGGGGAGAGCCACTTACATCTTGGCAATTTCAGCTCGTGCAATGGTCTTCTCACCAGCGTGCCTACCAGAACCTATGCCGCCCGGGTGAACATGAATGATCCACATTGTTCCTCCCCAGCCAACAAGTAGTCTTTCAAAAGTTTTTGTGCCGGACGAAGCAGATGAAGCAATGGTTGGATCATGAGGGCTAACCTCTGACTCGTCACTTTCGACAGACTTCTCATCAATCCATTCAGCACGACCTTTCCAAACCCCTGCCATGGTTTCCCATTGGGTGGTGTGTGGCCTATCAACATGACCGATTCTCTTCCAGGCGTCTTCAATCTCTGTACTATCGAGATGAAGCTTGGATCTCATGATCTTGGTACCATGCTCATTGATCCAGGCGACATATTTTCCTGATAGAGACCATTTGATCGCGTTGATAATTCCCTCTCCGGAATGCAACACTGTGTCTTTTCCACCACTGTTCTTGACCCCTATAGTGGAAAGCCAATCGGATGCAACAGCAGCCGCCGTACCGACTGTGTTTGAGGTACTGCGACCAGGACCACCTCCTACCGTAAGAATGAGCTGCCCTGCTCGTCCGCCAGATAGATATGTACGATCCGATTTATAATCTGGTGACAAAGCGACTGCTTGCACGGGCCTAGCAAAATTTCGAAGCTGAACATCTTTCATGTCTATTAGGGACTGGATGCAAACGTTGCCATCCATTGACGCTGTAGCAATATAGATGTCGTTGGAAGGGGTTCTGGGTACTTGGGGGGCCTCTCTTAACCGTTTTGACGCCGCTGAGGGAGACATATCTAATGGCCTCGCAGATGGTCCAGATGATCCGGTTTGCGTTCGCTGAAGCACCTCGGCCCTCTCATCTGGAAGAGGAGGAGGATATGGAGATATCGATATGGCGGTGACGGAAGCCGAGTGCGCATGGTATACACGCAAAGTATTGAAGCCAGGCAGTTGGATAACGTGCTAAGTCGCTAGTTAGCATTCAGGACTGAGGAAGCTGAATCGCCGCTACTTACGATATTGCCATTATGCGTGCCAACGATCTGTAATCGTCCAATCAGTATAGCTCATGTATATGCGAGTGCCTCAGGGCCCATACCATCTTGTCGCCTGCGACGAGACAAGCACTGGTCGCATCGCCGTTGCGATAGACCGCGCCAAGGTGTTGAGTAAGCCTAACAGATTTGAGAAGCGGCTCCTCGTCCTCCTCTTCCTCGTCCTCCTCGTCCTCATCATCCTCTTCCTCATCATCCTCGTCCTCATCTTCCTCGTCCTCTTCCTCCTCTTCTTCCTCCTCTTCTTCAACCCCTTCAGCTCCTTCAGCTTCTTTATTGTTTTCGGCGTCGGCATCGGCGTCTGTAACCCCCCCATCTTTGCCCTCTACCTGGCTGCTTCGCTCGCCGTCTTCGTCACCGCCATCTCTCTTGGTCGTCGGCCCCTCGACACTTTCTCCCACCTCTCCAGTCGGCTCGCCTTCTGATTTTCCATCTTCTGATGCTCCAGGAGTATTCGACTGCGCGCTATGTTCGTCTTCCGTTTTGTTGGCTGGCGTGGAGCTCACGCTGTGCGCATCGGAGAGCTCTGGCTGGGGTTGCTGCCCATCAAGCTGCTGGGGCGGCTGTCCTGTCATGATGGCGATTGCGCATATGTCATTCTGGGTACCAATGGGATCGCTGATGAGGCTCGAGTTCGAATATCAGAGCATGCAGCACACGGCCGCCGCACGACAGGGTGGCAACGAAAACAAAAGAACCCAGGCGGTGGTGATGAGGATGCTATGCAGGTAGCAGTACTCCGCAGCTTTGGTACCTGACGGGAGCTGTGTTGGACGTCGACGTCACGAGCTATCAGTGCCTTAAAGGTGCATTAGTGCCAGCTGAGGCAGCTATGGCCGCTAATTGGTACCGCTCTACAATGCCCAAGTCCCCTGTGGGATGC